GGGCATAAAAAGTATAATTAACAGAAAAACCAAACTAAATGATGCTACAGAACACCCAGATCGACATTGACAACAGCCTTTCTTCAAAAAGGAGCTCTACCCACATTTTATTTGGACAACGAAGGATGCTCTGTTTGACCACAACTGGCGCAAACCGCATCTTGCTGCTGATTGTTTCGCCTATTACCGTGGAAGGTGGGTAGCGAGGCATGGTTGAAAGATAAAAAAAAAAAGGTTTAACAGGTCCTGATAACTTGGTGTAGATCATGTGATTATTGTAGTGCGCTCAGTTTTACTTCTCTTGGTGTAAATTTAGACGAAAGTGTAATGAATGACAGACGGGGCGCTTACTGCTTCCGTATTCATGGAAGTGATTACCACTTGATGGGATCGCTACTTCCTGCTAAGGGCCAACGACCTGCATTTGCACAAATATACGTCCATGATACTGACAACGAAATATCAAATCGACATGCAACTGCAAGCCATCTCGCGCGGGACACCTTGGAAGTACTTCAGCAATTACTGCATGAAACCAATCCTTTCGTCCATCTTTTCAAGACAATGGCCCAATACATAGAGGATAATGGTGGTGCTTCCAACATCAGAATGATTATTCGAGCTGACGATGTCCCAGATCCACGACGCTATAACGCATCAACAAAGATGAACAAAAAAAAGGCACCAACCAAAAGAATTTAAATTCTGATGACTTGGTGTATTGCAAAACGATATTAGGAAGTTCTGATAGCTTAGTGTAGTTGAAGAAGAAAAGAAGGCACAAAAAAAAGAAAGAATAATAAGAGGTTCTGAAGAGAGAAGGCACAAAAAAGGTTCCGATAGCTTAGTGTGGAAGTCATGTGATTTACAAATTGCTAATTTTCCAAAGATTTTAGTTATATAGACTAGTTGCGCGTGTGATCTTGAAGATCGCAAAGTTTGGTTCTTTGGATGTGTAGTAGGGATGTTGCTCTGAGGGAAGTGGGAATAGTAGCTGATTAAAGATGTGTTTGGGAATGGGATATTCCATTTGCAATATTCAAAACTCCGCACTCGAATTTGTGTATCCAAAGGTCCCGCTTTGATGTGTGTTCTCTTAACTCTATCTTTTGTCAATAAGCCTCCATTCGGTTGATTTTTCGGTGAGATTTAGTTGATGTGCTCATAAATCTTTCACATTCAATGAAGCTCAGTCTCTTTTCCTTTTTTCCGGGGAGCTTGCCCTCCCTGACCCACCGCCACATAACGATCATTTTCTTCATCCACGACAGACGAGGAACAACAATATCTATTGACCGTAAGGACCACTGTACGCTCAATTTACTGTGACGTTAGTTTTCTTTTCTGGTAATGAACATGGATTTTAGAAGAATCTGCAGTCTTAGAGGCCGAATTGATATTTGATTGTTATGAATTATCCATAACCCGGTAACATTCAAAAATGAAAACATTGACTGGAAACCAGAGCCTTCACACCGAACACCCAAATATTAAACCACCGACACCCAACCATAGCCTTCGCGTTAACAATTTTACTTGTTATCGATAACACTACTTCCTTTGTTGCCGATAACATTCAAACACAAACCAGGAGTCTCGCTCTCGCTCCTCTGTTTGTGCGTCCCGCACATTCCAGTGATTCAATGCTAGCACTTTTAATTTATTTTACAATGTCTCTTTACTCCACCTTCCCTCATTCCATTATTTTTTGTTTTTATATGTTAACCTATCTTCCTCAAATATCAATCATGGGTATACTGTAAATATTCAGTAAGCCCGATTGTTTATAATCCCGTTATTGTTCCCAGTTCCGCTGATCTACGCTCTTCCTGCGTTTAATATGTCCAGAAACACGTACTACGTTCTGGGGCAGAAGATTCCAGTCTGTATCTTACTGGTCATGAAGATGAAGTCAATACTGGACTCGTTTTTGCTCTTGAACTGGAGCTCGATGAGCAGCTTGAATAATCTGATAATGAAGCTGCTCAATTGGCTCAGAAAAACTTGATTCATTGAAAGTGGAGATGAAGTTGCTGAGAATCGGTTACCCATGGTTTTAATTCTTTCAGACGTTATCGCTGCAACGAGTCAATGTATAATATGCATGATTTGTAAAATGGGTTGTAGAACTGATCACACAGAGCAAGGCAACGAGACGGCAAGCTTCGAAGAAGAAACCGATCCTAATAATATGGGCATCTTGGTGACCGGAGATCGCGTTTACAAAAATCACAGAACAGCTTGCCATGAAGACGGAGAAGCTTGCTAAGGAATTAGTCTGTTGAAATGGACAAAAAAAATCAGAAAAGTACAGAGTCAGAAATATTGTGAAACTGTTGATTGGGTTCCTTTATTCATTCATCCGATTCATATTCATATTATATCGTCAAAATGGGTATTAATTAAACAGAGAGCCCTGTCAAATTTAGTGGAGACAATGAGATGTTGACAGTGATTCTGTGCTGGATATAAAGAATCGACATGTCACAACCCGTCAGAGACCACGGCATAATCTCCCCAGCTGAAACTACTAGTACTGCTAGTGATGCTGGTGATATGCTTTGTACAAAAATTGAAGTGGTAGCAGCGGCGTGAGTGGTGGTAATCCATTGCGTAAGCATCGGCGCTTGTCCGTTCGGGGGTACAGTCAACAATTGCTGCAAGTAATCACTAGTCCGCTTTTGACTGCTGTCATCGCCATTATCGTTATCGAGCAACTCGATGACCGTATGGAGCTAATGGTTCTACGTCCTCATACGTAACAGGTGGTTTCCTGTCAACTCCTCCGTCGTCTCCGGGGCTTGGATAAACTTGGTTGTAATAGCATATAGTCGTTGGATAGTTAGGTCGTGTTGGTGAGGATGATCGACCAATGATTGCTTTTGTTCGATAGAAAGCACCAAGACCAACAATCGGATGCGTTGGGTGTTTATCCAGATATGAAGCGATGGATTCTTTCCTGATGATATAACAGTCGTCTGCCCATGGATATGATGGTAATTGGAAAAGGCTTGGACCTTTTGGAAGAATTTATTCGAGATTCGCCGCGTGCATCCACATATGCCGAAGACTAATACAACAGGTGGTACGCGATACTCGGCGCTAACTTCCTCTCAATATCGCACGATCCGGTGTAAAAACTCGTCACTCACGTAATACTGCACTTCAACCAGGATAGGTGGCATCGTAGTCGAATGAGCAGAAGCGTAGACGGTGCCTGATTTCAACCCGCTTGCCCATTCGGTTGGCCTTGGCCAATAATGATGAACTGCATGTTGTCCAATCCAGATCATAAGAATAAAGAAGCATACAATTATCGCTATTCTAACTGATAAGGACATCCCGATTAGGGCTCTATAATGTTTTTTACTTTGTCCTTGTTTGCGCATGGCGTCGGTTCTTGGGCGGTTATTGTAAGGGAGGGAGGTAAGCAGCACATTAGCTTCGCCGCCCGCCGACATGCTGGTTAAAAGTGTGTTACCGAAATAACCAAACAGCAATACTGACGACAACAAACCAACATGGACAAAGCGCGCTTCTGGATTGATTTGCCCTTAATAAAACGCTGGCCAGAAGCTTCTTTGCCCTCGACGGCTTTATCGCCGGCAACACCCCGTATTCTGCATCCTTCGTAATGTTTGCATGCGAACCAGGTGACACGGTCGCTGAATCGTTTGTCACTGAGTACGATATTGAACTTCCGTTGGTATTCGGCGACAGCGTCGGGAACGTCGCAGTTGAATGATATTCGCGTAGGGCAAATACACCGTTTTTCATTGCACAAGACTGTTGAAAACTTCGACAGCAGCAGTGATGATTCAGTCGATGGTAATCAAAAAGAAAAGAAAGATCTCTCTCAATTGACGCGTCAGCACTTCCAAGTTGTTTTAGCGTAACGTCACGGTAATTGATCTTGGAGTGCACCTGGAGTGCGCTGAGTGCTGGCCCTTTTCATTGGTTGGCGAGGCCATTGATGCGCGTTATGGAAATTCAACCAGTTCAGAACGACATTGATCTCCGGCTTTTAACGAAAGCCGTAGGTCTAACGCCTATCCTCATTACTCGAGAGAATGGATCAACTGGTTGTCACACCCATCCTCTTCCCTCACTACAGCGCCCTGACAAAATTATGCATACTAATTTTTTTCATCTTTCGATTCATTTTACTGGGGAATTGAAGAGATGATAATAAAATAAATTGCAGGGAAACAAAAATATTTTATTTGGTGCTTCATTGGCAGGAGTGCGTTAGTCTTCCTCATATTGTCTGGCCTTATATAATACCTGCGTAATCTGATAGGGAAATCCGCTGAAACTGATGACTTTGTTCATCAAAGAGAAGTGAAAAACCGCCATCTTCTTGAGGATGACTTTAATATGAGAATACGAGTTGAAAAGCCAGTTTAATGTGCCATTCATCATTTCTGTACCAAAGTCAATGTGCATTTGTGTACCCCACCAGCCAATATAAGAACATTTGAATAAAGACATCTCAATCGATGGATCTCTGACCTATCTGAGACCTACTTCAAGCAGCTGCTTCATGCGATAATGCCACGTTTCGCCTATGATATCAATGAATAACATGCATATGAGATAAGAAAAAGACACACGGCATCTTTTCCTGCTTCCTTATTGGATAATAAAAGTTTTAAGCTACAGTATGAGGAATAGTTCAGGTATTACTGTAATATCGCCTCTTTTCCATAGACGATGTAACGCATCCTCAACAATAAATTATTGGAACTTATCAAAAAATAATAATAAGTTTCCAGTGATCTCGATATCTAGAACCGACAAAGGACGGGAGTTGACTCTGGGCCTTTAAGCAGATTGTTCTTGTCGCCTTTTTCGGTTTATTGGAGAACACTGCCTACAAGGGACCGAAATCTGCGAATGACGGTGAAAGGGTGGCTTAGCCGATTTTTCACTCTGGGAAATTCCTGTTCATCATTTTCTGAACGCTTTTCATTTCTTGCTCAGTATACGCCTTTTTCACCATGAGACTTATTACCCATAACATGCTGCAATGCCACGTTAAGAATTGCAATACAAACAATTTTCCCCTTCGTTTTGAAGACGCACAAGTAGAACTCATCGAAGCTGACTATAATCCTGAATTTCTGGCAAACATGCTCGACAAGATCGAATGGGATGCTTTGCTTCAAACTGCTGTGCAGGTATGCTTGAAAACGTTCGTTATTCGCTGATTACATATTCATCTGAAATTTACCGTATTAGCTTGGTATCGCAACATTGCCTGCTCAGATTCCCGAAAACGCTTTAGAAAACGAAGAATTCCTCAAGGCATTGCATAGTGTACTTTTAGAGGTAGGATGACATGCTTTGGCAATGGGTCAAGAGAGTACAATCAATTCCTAATATTTATTTTACGTGTACTAGACCCACGTGCAACAAGGACGCATGGTATGCCCCAACTGCCAACATGTATACAATATCAAAGACGGTATCCCCAACATGCTTTTAGCCGAACACGAAATTTAAAAAAGAGCACATCCTCATATACGCCAAAACCAAATGTACATCATAAAAAAACAATGCATCCGATACAGTGGAGAAAAGAGATGTATTTATTTTTATTTATATCCTTTTTGGGGGGTTGCTTTTTGGTGTAATTGGTCAGTGGGGTGGAAGGCGATTATGATGTGTCTCGTGGGGGACGCCAGTTTTCGAAATCACTATCAAAGCGTGCTTGTTTTCCGTCCACGTCTTCGGGAACATCGTTCTCAGATTGACCATGGTGCTTCTTATGATCTACGACATGGTACTTCTTACGCATAATGGCTTCTTCCTCCGATGGATTTGATGGTGGCAGATTTGTGTCAGTCGAGAAGCGGTTGCTGTTGTCAGAGTTACTGGTATAATTTGCTTTTGGCATGTCGTGAGTGGCATCGGAAATCGGTGGTTCCGCTTGCACCTTGAATGCTTGATATTCTTCCTTGGTGGGAACTCGGCTTTGCACAGCATCGTAACCGGCATCCGAACCAAACGGGCTGACTTCCATCACCGCATCGGATGCCTTTGCAGATTTAGGCGGTAAGCTGCGAGAACCAACAGGACTCATCATGGCCTTGTCTTGTTTCGTCATTTCTTCTTGTACTTGGTCATAGCGTCCTTCAGAAGGTTCATATTCGGGACACTTTTGTACATCGACGCTTTGAGCCTCAGCTGCCTTTTTCTCTTCTTCTTGATGGCGCTCGGCAGCTTCACGGTCTCGTTTTTGCTTTGTTTCTTCATCCTCCGGTTGCATCATCGTATTGAGCTTGGTGGCGAGCTTATCAAGTGCTTTATCCGCATCGCTTACGATAGCCGATCCTTGACGAACCGCTGGAGAAAGCGTTACCAACCATCATTTAGATGCGTAAAAACCATCACATCAACAGTAACACATACCAGTTTTAGCCATACTGGAGATGGTTTCGGACCAAGTGGCAGGCTCCTTATTTGAATGCTCGTCTCTGAATGGGTTACCGCCCAATACATCGCCAGCAACGTTGGCGTCGCTGCCTTGTTCTTGGTTATCCGAGATAGACCGAACTGGCATCTGGCGAAACTCATCTGTGGGGCTGGAGTTGGACTGCGTGCGATCAGCCACAATGTCATATGTATCGTTGGTGCTAGAATAATTCATGACTGTATTATGGATAAAATAACAGAATAGAAAGACGTGTAAAACAAGGTTGGAAAAAGCTGGTATCATTTTTAATGCATAAAGATTATGTCATGACAACGAAATAAAATTTTTAGTGGCCAACAAGTGAAACCGACCCAAACAAAAACGATCGACGATGCATTTTTCCCATTTTGGGTTTTCTCTACCACCATATTTCTCGTGGCAGCACTCACCTTGCTTTCTCTCTGCTTGACGCTGCTCATGCTCTACATTGCGCTCCTCTATGCAGATTGCTCTGGCAGATATTATTGAAAAATATTTTCCGTGCCATTCTTAGGGTCAACTCAGAAAAGGGGGCTGACGACGCTCCCTTGATCAGCGACGACACCCGCTTTTTTCAAGGAGATCAGTTTGCGCGGTATTGAAGCTTGCAAAGCACAGCACCCCAAATGTGGAATAGTCTACTGTGGATGACATTGCCTCTTGAAATAATTTTTTTGACTATGTGAATGTGATAAATCAGAGCTAGCCCAGTACGACACTTGTTCAAGCATTCGTCAGAATCAACAGCCCTTCGAATCACTCAGCCTCGAGCTATTAGAAGCCTCACCGATTCTTGTCATCAGTATCACAGTTTGCAGTACAGTAGCTCGCTTCGTTTGAATTGACTCCTAACGACTGACAAAAACTGCTCAGTTGGATTAAGCTCAGAAGAATAAGACGACAAATAGACACAGCGGCAATCACCTCTTTTTCCAATTACATCGCCCCTACTTTTTCTCACTTTTCCAGAGGCATTCGAGCTAATACTCTGTGCGAGAGTTCAATGTTTTGTATCTCCTAAATCAGTGATTTGAAGCAATTGCGAATAAGAAGTAAAGCAAAGGCGAGCATTTAGTGGGTTCTGTTTTTTTATTCGAACCTGCCAGGCCTTGTTCTGCGAGACGTCCTTGACGTCTGATCTGTCAGCGAAAACGAAACTCGTTTTATATAACACCAAGCTAGTCCTTGTCATTAGGTGAGCTGATTTTTCCACCGGGGGTTGAACGTTTTATTTTCATACAACATGACCTGTATTGTCACCAGTGGACGTTTACTTTCCGAAAAAGTGTATTTTTTCTTCGCACACATGGTAAATGACTGAAAACTATTTTTAATCGAAGAGCAAATTAAAGACGGCCTTTATTTCTGGAGCCTTGAAAGACAATATGTTTCTCAGTGATGACCATCACCAGCGATCGGACCGGAAAATCGTCCATGAGATTCTAAACGGATGTGCATATACTCTTTTCCACCGAAACTACATCAGATTCGTCAGTTTTCACATAAAACAAGGGGAAAAGAAAAGGGATGTTACCTTTCCCAGAGATACTCGGTCAATAGATGATATAGATTAGCATTAGCGTTGTGGTATTTGATAGCGTGATTGTTATCGGGGTAAAATTGTACTCGATAGTTGTATACGGAGGCCATGGTCAACTTATCGACAAGCATGATAGAATGTTGAAAATGAACATTATCGTCGCCTGTACCGTGCACAAGCAGATAATGGCTGTTTTGGAAGCCAGTCATATTGTTCACGGCGCTCATTTCATAGCCTTGAGGGTTGAGTTCGGGTGTCAGCATATAACGTTCGGTATACACAGAATCATACAGTCGCCAATCCGTCACCGGTGCAACCGCTAATCCGGCAGCGAATACACCCGAGTTGGCTTCGATCACTTTACTCGTCAAATAACCACCGTAGGACCAGCCCCAAATGGCAATGCGCGACGGGTCTACATAATCCAGGTTGGCCCAATGTCTGGCGGCGTTGATCTGATCGATGGTTTCCAATTCGCCTAACCGTTTTCGGACTGCTACACGATACCCGCGACCTCTAAAACCTGTGCCGCGACCGTCGACAGTGACAATAATATATTGTAGCTTGCTGGCAAGGAAAGTATGCCAACTCAAGTCGAACTGATAAGTTGCTGTTTGCGATCCAGGGCCACCATAAACAAAAAATAACACAGGGTATTTCTGCGTAATATCAAAATAAGGAGGGATTGTCTCGCACGCCGTCATTTCTAGGTAATGGTTCAGTTGTGAATATAAAATGGAGATCATTTTCTTCAAAGAAGCAGCACTTACCAACCCCACCACTTTTGACAGTGGAGAAACGCTTTTTCGGAAGTTCGTAGTGACTCAACAACTTCTTCAGTTCAGCATTATCTTCTAGGACGCTTTCGAACGTGGCGTTGTCCACCTTTCGAATAACAGTGAAGGGAACTTCCGGACCTTCGTATCGAAGCACAAAGTACCCTGAAGAAGGCGAAAATGAAACATCATAATAGGCATGCTGTTCTGGATCGTCTGGGCATGTTCTACATGCTTTTGTGTCGCTTGGGGCTTGATCGGATCTCAATGAGACGGTGTATAAGTGACGTTCCAAAGGAGAGCGTTCCGTCGACAAATAATGGCTAGAAATATGAATAGTATGTTACTGTCAATCATTGGACAATGGATGCCAAAAAAGTAAAAGAAATAGGATAAATAATATATACTTACACGAGCTGCCTTTGCTTGTCAACGACTACTGAGCCTGCAATAACTTCCCAGGCACCATTGGTCAACCAAGTCGGCTTCGAATCGCGACCAACGTCAATAATCGCCAGATGCGTATACCCTTTTGGATCGTCCATAAGATCAAGATATTGAATAATGTTGTTGCCTTTTTCATTATTGCCACGAATATACACCATGGTTTGAGCAATATCCAACCATCCTTCGTCGGCCGGTTTCTCATCGCGAATAACTTTGACTGTTGTCTCATTCAGTTTGGTGGAAATGGATACTAAGCTTGTTATCTGATGATCTTGGACGCGATTGATTTGCTTGAAAATCAGATGGGAATGGTCTTCCGTCGCCCATATCACGTCCGCAATCAATCGATCCTTGTCTTCAAAGAGCCCATTCTTTGCGGCTGTGTTATTTGTTGTTAGGGAGACCGATGCATTGCTTAATAGGGAATGCACATGAAGTGATACAACAGGGTTTGGCGCACCAGCCTAAACAATGGTATTAGGAATCAACGCCTTCCTCCAATCAACCCTTATCTTTGTTTATTTTTTTTTGTGACCCCTTATTGCATTTTTATAGCACTGACCTTGGGATATCTGAGAGTACTGTCGCTGGGATAAGTACTGTTTTCGAGTGTGTAGAACGACAGTCGCATTTCCGGCACTTCGGTTTCATTGAATTTCAGATAGGCTATGTGAGTTGCATCGGGCGACCACCACAATGTCGGATGCTGACCGAATACTTCCTCTGAATCCTCAAAAATTAATACGTGTTTGGGGACTGTGATGATGTATTGAACTTACCTTCGTATACCCAATCAGGGACACCATTGAAAACAGTAGCTGATCCATCGTAGGTGAGACGTCGTTGCTCCTTAAGATCACTGACATACAAGTCGTTGTCCATTACATACGCCTGGAGACATAGCAATGAGCGGATCCGTTTGTGGTTTTTACCTTTACTTTGGCTACTGGCTACTTACTACTTGATGACCTTTTGGGCTCCAGGCGGCATAGGATATCCGAGGATTACCGTTGATGGTGGAATTATTATCTAAAGGCACGATGGTCTTGTCTTTCAAATTATAGATATAAACGTTTGTTTTGGATGAATAGCGCCATTGCTATGCAAGGTGAGCGAGGAGTAGGTAAATTACGTTGATGGCCATATTTACATTTGTGTGATTGGTAAAAAGCATCAGAAAACCGGCATCTGACGAAATTTGGAAGGAATCAAACTCGAGCAAACCATTTCCAACGTGCTACAGCATTAAATATAAGCCAGAGAGTCACAAGGACATACACCATTGATCAACTAACCATGTCCTTTGCTTGTACATAGACTTGTGGCTTTCCGTCATCGACAGATTGTAACATGATATCATTCGTCTCCGTATGTCGATAGGTAAACATACCGTCCCTTGGACCTACAGATCATTTAATAGCTCATCTTAAGCAGGAACGATAATGTTACACGGACCGTTTTCAACCCAAACCACGGATGGCCGTTTTGGTATGAAGGAATCATTGTATAAATCAGGGAAATCAATGTGTTTTGGCAAATTGTCATCCGAGGATTCAGATACTAGAGATTGAAGAGAAGCCTTTTACGTCAGTAAAGTTTACGATTAAGTGATGAACCAACCCTACCGGGACTCAAAGTACTCGCGATAACAGTCCAAATGAACCATAAAAGCAAAATCAATGCGAAAAAACCAATACATAGAAACTTTCGTTTTGACGATGATTGTTCTGGCTAATCATGGTTTAAATAAAGCATTATTAATCAGAGTATACAATCATTCCAACTCGTATTTACCTTTGATAAATTCTCTTCAAAATCCATATGACCCACATCAGATACCAAACGCTCATGAGCTTCATCTTCCTGAAACGGTTGACTGTGCATCATGTCATAATCATCGCTGCCTTCACGATATACCCCGTCGTCTATGTTGTTCATATGGTGATCTCGATCGAATAAAACACGTTGTGGTTGTTGTGAATGAAGGGCGTAATCAACGCTGTCGTCGGATATACTGCTTTCGTCGCCGCTAGTTTCTGATGAAGAGATGGTATGCACGCTATTACGACTATCAAGCGAAGCGATGTATGCGTCGATATCCACTACTTGTGTCATTTCCGTGTCACCATGGTGGTTAGCTGCATTGCTTGACCTGAAAGTGAATGTCATTGAAAAGAAAAAGCAGAAAGAGAAAGTTTACCACCAATAATAAAACGGGAAAAAGTGGAGTTGCTTTGCGCCGCACCAATTTTTATTCAGGTTGATTTATAGTGCGGATTTCCTTCTATTTTTTTGGGTTTGTTATTAAAGGATGGAAAGAAAAAGCAGAATATTTGAGATGAGAAATGAACCAATGATGAAAGATAAAAGAGAAGGTTTATATGGACCTGTGAACTTTAACTTGAACACAGCTGATTAAACCTCGACCCTGATCGGTGGTGAATGTTTCCACCTCTTTTGAGGAGGCAAGGACAACCAGGAGAAAGGGATAATGATGCGACCGTATCGGAATGGTTAGTCAGTCAAATTTTTTACGCATGTTTATCGCGTTTCCCGTTTTCCGTGCCTTTTCGTGTCACTCACCTTCAAGATCGCCTATGCCGCGGTGTTGCAAAATAGTAATTAAGGATACCACATCGACCACGGCTTGATCCATCCCCACCACAGTCATCACCTCAAAGGCCGCCAATGAACGTTGTATCTGTATATAATTTCTTGGCATGAGTTTCTTTTTTCCATATCGTTTCCATAGCGAGGGAATTTCCTACTTACACAGTCGATATATCGCTCATATCCGTGAACTACCTCGGTTTCTTCTCCATCGACAATCATAACAGGATCGATGGGTTCCTCAATCGCCAAGAATTTGACTGGTTCCATAAGATCTGGCTGCGATGAGGATGCTTGCACCTCTTTGGACGGTGCTTTTGCTGATTTACGTTTGCGATTGGAATGCGCATCACGTGGCTTCTGCTTACTGCTGGAAGCATCGCTCGCAACTGTGTCCTGCGCCGATTTACCTTTTCCTTTTTTCCCTGATTTCACCGGTTTCGGGATACCGGTGGCATCTTTTCGTTGTGATTTCTTATTCTGGTGCTTCTTGTCTTTGAGAGAGTTGGGTGCGGGGTTTGCTGGCCTTGACGATGATGCTGATGAAGGTGCTGGCGGTTTGAACTCGGACGCGTGTGGATTGAGCATGATTGTTCGCTTTCGTTGGACGATCGATGATCTTGATGTTACTGGACTTGTCGCAAAATGGATTAGACGTTCATGATCCTGCCAAAAAAGAAGAAACAAAAAAAAGCGATTCCGCTGATGGTTTAGATTGCAGGAAATGAAGGCGGAATTCGGGGTTTTGATCAACTCTGTAATCGCTCCACTCACCGGAACACATTGGACTAACTGTAAATGATGGGCAGAAAAAGCCATTCGGCATTTGATGAAGCTGCGTATCATGGGTACGCCAAGACAATCAGTATGATATCGTAAATGTATGAACTGTAAAGCCTAAAATTTTATTGGTGACCTGCTTCATTAAGCATCAAAATGTTATGGCAAGATTGGTAAAAATACAAGTTATAAGGACAGATAAAAATAGAACAAGTAACCATCATTCATTTCCATTAGGAGTGAGAAAGATTAATAAACACCAGGGATAATCCTGTATTTCACTTTGTTACAGTAAGTCTCCCAATCCTCGCCATACTTCTTTCGACATTTCTCGTCATCGCGACGTTCGCGATGAATCAAAAGGATGGCAAAATAGATACAGTAAAAGTACGGAATAATGGACTTGAACCCACAAGGAAGACACCAAGCCACGGACATGAGCCAATCGCCCAAATAATTGATGTGCCTTGCTTTGCCCCACCATCCCGAAGTGAGCAAGCGTGTGCCAGCTTGTGTTTCGATGTAAGACAAATGACGCACTCGTTCATCCTCTGGATTCTTGCGGAAAACGTCTTTCTGCTTGTTGGCTGAGCGGAAAATGTAGTACCCACCCAGTTGCAAAGCGATGATGACTGCCATTTGGATATAGGTCAGATCGACAGGGAAATCCGACAAATAACGTGTTTGAAGACTGTACATCATGGGAACCCAGCACAAGTTACCGAAAGCCAGCATAAAGCCGAAACCATCTATCGTTTCCATGCAAATGAATTTCACCATCATCAAAGTCACCGATAATGCACTGTTGCTTACCAGTCGTAATGTCCATGGTAGTCAAAATAGAAGACTATTGGCAAGGAGGATCAGTAACGGATATGCTCCCGGCTTTTTCTGTCACCGTTTGGTAGCTACGACTTTACCTCGTTCCATAAAGCATCTAAAACGTACCACGCCTGGAATACCAAGACCAAAACCATACTGTTGGTGATCCGTCCCAGAGACACCCACTGTTTCACTGCCATACATCCATCCAGGAAAAGCCATCCAATCAAACCCGGGCGTAATTCCGTGAAAAATTTCAAATCAAAATCGCCAATGCGTGGATTCAGTTCGCGACCAATCATGAACTATTCACATTTGCAGTATTTGTTAAGATCCCATATGTGGGATGCTCTTCACAGAAAATGAGCGTTGACTTACATCGTAGATCATATTGCCTGTATTGCCACCCAGTGCAAGCAATCGTGGAGCGCCGAGGAAACTGCAAATATACATTGTGATCGAAATGAAAAATGAAAAGATCACGGAAGCCACGGCCAACTGAGCAAAATTAGCTTGGACCCACAGAGGCATACTCCAACCGTGTCCACGATTCGACATGATCAACATGGTCGTCGTCGTTTGTAAGGTTTGAAGTGCTGTTGAAAAATTACAAAAGATGAGCAGATGTGTCAATTATATTTTGTTTCATGAAAAAAAAAAAAATCAAAACCTACCATTGATACGATAGGAAAGACGCGTGCCGTCACGCAATTGGGTGCCCTCAACGTTGGTACCGGGCATGGCGATAGTAAAGGTCACAAGCTGCGCGATGAAGCAAAAATACCACAGCAGTGACATAGGTTTCCAAGCTTTGACATATTCCACCAAGTTACCAAAGCTCAGTTGGCCAGATGCCACAGCACCTAAACCAGCATAAAAACGTTCGAAAGGCATATAACCGGTTTGGTCACAACCAAAAGCGAATAACAGCACTAATGCAGGCAGAAAGATGACCATGGCTGCTGCACCAATGGGACCTCCAAATCTATAAATTGGTTTGCAAGTTAGAGATGAGAAAGCATTGTGGCCCTTGAATTTCAGTACTGTACTCGTAATGTGAAGTTTTTGGGTTCATGGCAGCCCAATCGATAATGCGAGGTGGAGGCGGGGCATTCTTTTTTTCCTTTTTTTCTTTGTGGAAATTGGCAAGCGAAGTATCACCTTCAGCTACTGCTTTACGCTCTCTTCGCGAGAGATGCTTCTTGGGTTGCGGCATCGCGATAAACGAAGATTTTAATCGCGCTTGCAAAAAGCTAATTAAGTTTTTGTCGTCGCTTTAAATTCCCTCTAATGCGGAGATTCGCAAACCTTATCATACAATGGATGCACGATCCATTTAACTTGTGCTTCTCTGCAAGGATGTAACTTTTTTCTGCTTTTATTACATTTATCCTTGTCAATTTTTTACCGAAATAATATCATATATTTGGGATATTATCCGTAGGATTCTTTTCTTTTCTAGTAGATTTGAGATACTAAATGGATGAGTGATAAAAATGCATATTTTTTTACATTACACAAAAGGTTCCAAGTTGAATTCCAATGCTGTAGTGGGATACGGTAATTCAAAATTGGCCAACACAGTAGGATGAAGAACGCCAAACGATCCGATCATTGCTTGCTTACGTTCGTTAGTCTCGGGGTCAATGTATCTCAGATGAATATTAGCAGAGCGACCGGGGAAATATGTAGCATCTAATTGAATAGGTTAGGTTCGGACACGCTCCTAAAGACTGCTAGTAATCGAAAATCACGCTCATCAACTTACTGTCTGATTCTTGAATCCAGTAACCAAGATCATTGCTATCCTTGCGTACCAAGGATGTGCTGAACATGGTCATTAAACGATCGAGCAAACCGTGAATCACCTCGAAACCTGAAGTCTTGGAGGTATAGGTGGCGCAAACATGTCGTTCGTTTCTTGCTCTACGTTCACGAGATTCATCCTTGAAACCAACATCGGAAACTTCGAACACCTTGATGGGCAAAGCCAGCTTCTTATTCCAGCTCACTGTTTTCAACACACCAGGAAGAAGCGACGTACGCACCACTTGGTACTCAACCGTCTTGGGGTTGGCCAACTTGATCGCGGTCTTGTTATCGTCGACACGGTTCAAGAATTTGAAGTTTTCGTCATGCGAACAAAGAATGAGGGGTGCAACTTCGGTAAATCCAGCCAAAGCAATTTCCCGGCGAGCATGATCGCTCAGTTTGCTGACAGGCAACGCCGAAGCAACCGTGTTGACACCGGGCATCTTACGCGGCAAATTATCGTAACCATAAGCGATAGCGACATCCTCCATGATATCACAAGCGTGCAAAATATCCCAGCGAGTAGGTGGTACCTTGACCAATACTTCGTTGTTGTCATCGGGATTGACCTTGGCGTCCAGTGTCATCTTTTTCAATAAATCGCACACCTCATCACCCGACAATTCCAAAGCAGTACATGCGTTAATATAATCCACCTTGGCGCTGGCGTCACGGGGTTGAATAGGAGGCGTAATTCTAGAAGTGCCGTCAGGATAGACGATCTCCATGGGTTCAACACTACAGAAACGAATATAAGTAACGAAAAAGACAAATCCACTATACTGCCTCAAAAATCGACATACGTGAAAGGTTCAGCACAGTATTCGGAGAACATGGCAACTAAAGTATTCAAAGCAATGTTGGCCTTATGCTCATCGGTGGCAGTGATTTCGATCATCACATTCTTGGTGTTCAATGAGATCTTGGAGTGATCAGAGTTGATAATAGGAGGCAAAGAGCAAACGACGCGGTTCGCATCAAAGACCACAGGATAGACAGGCGAGTCGCGAATAATATGCAAAAATTTACCCAAGTTCTTGTCAGGCTAATATTTTACCAAGCAAGAAAAACGAAATAGACGTGCATGAGCATCAGACAATATATATCGTAGTCCTTTCGACATACCGTATAATGCTCCATCAATTGGTTGCCATCCATCATCTCGGTCTTATTCAAAGGAATGAATTTGATATCCTGAGGAGGCAGAGCTTCATAGGTGAAAGGACCTTGAATGGTGTCGAGATCGTGAGTACCCATGGAAGCAAGGGTTCTCTTACTACATGTGTCTCATATCAGCCAGTCCATCCCTTTTTTTTTTCTCGGAGAAGCGAGCCATGTCATACCGGCAAATATTGTTGTGAAGTTTGTCTTGGAGATCGATGAAGCTGTCGTAACGCTCTTGGGTGAAGGTAATGTTGCGAAGAATGGCACCGACAATGTAGGGACGGATATTCGCGGTCTATAGTATGACAAGTTAAGGATACTTGGATTTGAACAGTCATCTCATATTGATTTCCATACCTCTGGAGTAAGCACAATGCGCTGTAACTTGCCATCTGCAGGCTTCACAACCTTGTACACGGGAGGCTGGTCCTTGCCTTCAAACACGCGCAAGGCACGCTTCAAACCTTCCTCGCAAAGCAAATCGTATCTAGTACAACGAACACCCCATTTGAGTCCAACAGTCCTAAAAAAAAAGTTCACCTTAACAGACAATGATGACCTTACCTGTTGGCAGGAATATCGATTTTAAGCAAAGGTCTTTCGGGCAAAGTTTCGGTGGACTTGGCATTTCCACGTTCCGCCATTTCGCGTTCAGAAGTCTATACAAATACTGTGAGTTGCCTCATATGTTTGTTTAATATTCACAGTCTGCATCTTACGTCCTCTTCAAGTTCAATACCGAAACGGAAACAGAGTTCATTGAATTCCTCAGAGGCTAACGGCACAATTACTTAATTCAGTCTGCGCAGAAAAATGACGGAAAAGCAAAAGACAAAAAGCAAAGGGACACTTTACTATATTCTCTCTCGAGCGCTTCGAAAAGTCGTTGCTTATCAATGTTAATGGTCGGCATGGCGAATGGATATGTTCAAGTTGGAAGCGGGAAAAAAAAAAAAAAAAAGATACCGGGCCAGTCAAAAGTTCAGAGATGTTGTTTTCGGCTGTGTGGCTTGGAGATGTGCGGAGTATCAATATATTCCATAAATGGTGTTCCCTCCTTTTGTCACCATGCTGTGTCAATCCCCAAAAGGAAGCCAGTTTATGTTTGTTACATTGGTTAATTGGTTTCTTATTTTAATTTTCAGGTTATTTCTCACTTTCCTCATTTTATTATTCTTTTACTTTCTTTTCCTCCTTGTTATTCATGAACATGGTTTGCCTTGGACCACGGAAAAAAGAGAAGAAGGCAGCATTTCTTAGTCCGGAGGAAACACCTGTCTCCAGAACATTAACCGATCCTTTGCGGAACTCCAAACGAGGTTCAAAACTGAAATCGGCCAAAACATCGCCTACGCCTACTGCTGGAACGATAGCATCGAGAAGAACGACTCCTTCGCCACGTTCCTCCTTCGAAACCGCCAGTTTATCTAAACAAGGGAAAACAACCCCTCGGAATTCCTTCGCTAATCGGGCTAATAGCCCTGTCAGCCGACCCACTTCCCCTCACCCTTCTAGACCAACCAGTATTGCTGCGTCAGTTCGCAGCACCACCAAGCTCACTACCCATTCTCGGAATGCCAGCGCAGCATCGACCAGAAAGTCCCCCATTGCGCAGATGAGGGAGGAATTTGATGAACTTAAAATCAAGGTAAGTTTAAAAAGTTTGCAATTTCGTCTTTTCAACTTAGAGGTTGGGATGGCAACCTTTTTAATAACGAAACAAAAAAAAACCAATTCTATTTTCAGAACGACGAAAACCTACAGTTAATAGCTCAACAGAAGGCGGAGCTAGAACAGTTGAAACTGCAACTTGCCCAGCAACCGACGGTGGTTGAAGCAGGACCTACGCCACCGATTTCCCAATCAACGACCTATACAGACTTCAGCGATCTTCAGGAAGAGAAAGAACACCTGCTTCAAGAAAAAGAAGAGAAATTAAGAGAGCAGGAAAAGGAGTTGGAAAATCTAAGGAAACGATTAGAAAATGTACCGAGTATCACAGTTCAAACGGACGAAGAAGGTAGACGTCAATCTCTTGAAGAAAAAGAACGCATGTTGTTAGAAAAAGAGCGCGAATTGGAAGAACAAAGAAAAGAACTTGAAACAGTCAAAGGAAAAGGACCTGCATTGGAAGAAGTGGCGGCTCAGCTGGAGCAACTCAAATCTCAGGTAAAAATTCCGCCAATGATTCCTCCACCCCTCCTTTGGTCCCCCTGATTTCCCATATTTATATTGGCCCATATCTTTTCGCTCATTCAACGGCCCTCATTGTTACATTTCGCTTCAAGCGTGTCTTTTTTTTTCTCATGAATGACTACCACCAACGGGAGATATGAACTGACATGACTTGTTTTCCAGAATGAAGAAGCGATGAATCAATTGGCTTCGAAAGAGAACGAACTGGAGGTGTTACGCTCCAAGATACAGAGCGGCGCTGAAGGGCCCGACATTGATGGTAGCTTATCTCTACAGAAAATCAATGATCTGAATCAGCAACTGGAGGTAAAATTTGCGAAATTTTAGAAGCTGAAAAAAAAAGACAACTCGTTTTTAAGCAAACTTGGCATTATTATTAGGCACAGAAAAAGGCTACCGAGGAGATGCTACGTCGGCATGAAGAAGCTTTGGCAGAGAAGGATCGACTACTGAAAGAACAGCAAGATGCGCTAGAACAGCTGCAGGATACGCATACAGAGGAGATGCGCAAACTTAAAACGTCTCAGACAAGCAGTATATTGACGTTGAAGCAGAGGCACAAACGGGACATGGATGAGCTTCAGCAACGCTTGAGCGAGACTGAGAAAAAGATGCAGAACGAACCTGGCGTACGATTGGATGATGAAATTGAACGTATTTTGCATGAATTCGAGCAAGCCGAGCATGATCACACTGTACAAATTGAAAACCTTCAGCAGTCGCATGAGAACGAACTGTCTGATCTGCAAGAAAACCACGTGGCGCAAATTTCCCAACTGAAAAAAGCCCAGGACCAAAAACGCCAAGGATGGACATCGCGCTATTTGCCTACAGAAGCTGTGTCATGGCCTGCCCCTCAGCCGTTATCCCGTCTTCGCAAAACACAAACTGCAACCCAGCCAAAGAAAGCTTTGAAAATGACGGACGAATATGCACCGATTCTTATTCCTCTTGATAACAAGAAAGTGCAAGTTTACTTTTCCAGCGTCAGTGGCAACCCTGTTGTAAGTTCATCGACGTTAAGCCATCCCGATTTTATGCTATTGATAATTTTAATGTGCATCCTTTAGACCAAAAAGAATCAGGAACATATCAAGCAACTGCTGAACTCGCGTCAGATCAATTACGACATGATTGATGTGGCTGCCAGTGAAGCGGCGTTGCAATACATGAGAAAATGCAATGGCTCGGAGGACGGAATCAAAGAAGTACCGCAGATCTTCGTCGGCGGTGAATACAGAGGCGTAAGTAGTTTATTTTTACAGTCAACGTGACACACTGCAAGAGTACTGATGGGTTTCACCTTCGGGTCTCTATATATTTGGTTGCGCCACAGCAATATGAGGACTTTGTTCGCCACGTGGATGATGAAAAGTTGATTGACTTTCTTCGGCCCGCCGCTGAGCGAGTGTTAACAGAGGAAGAGAAGGCAGCCATCGAAAAGAGTAAAGCTGCCATGTCCGATGAAATGGCACCTGTGCGAGTATTGCCAGCTGGACCGGTTGTCTTGCCAACATTACGAAAAACGAGCCCAGGCCCTGTTAAACCACTTCGAGACGATGATGATGAAGCTTTGCTTCAGGCCCTTGAAGAAGAATTGAGTCAAGGCAAGGTGAACGATACTGATTTAGCGTCTCTCTAAATGCGATCATCATTTTGAAAATTCTGTTATTTCTTTTAAATAACTGTCCTCCTCTTTTACGAGATATCCCTCCATTTCCACCCATACCATTATAAACTGTACCATTCATGCTAAACCATATACTTCAATAAATAACTCTACAAATGTCACAAAATATATAAATATCAAGAGCAGCAACCATATCGGCTTTTTATTTTTGATGACAAGCTGAATTTTGATTTAGTTTTTCTTTACGACTGTTTGAAGTCGATGCACAGAGAGAGGGCGATCAGATAGCAGGAATAAGGGACTTGGATCAGAAGATTACGTTATCAATGTTGCTGTTCATCCGTAATGGGTGGCACAGTTTCAGGAGCAGATACATCGACTGGTTTGGATGACCTCATATTCATCGACACCGTCTGGTTATTGAACATATGTAGGATTAACGTCAATCGATCAATGACATCATTGGCTGATGTTTGCTTATTTTGAAGAAGAGGATCGGTCTGTGAATTAAACATGATTAAAAGACTCAGCAACCAGCGACTAAGCGATCCATCAACGTACCGCTAATATCCGATCCAAAGCTAGCAAGCCGTAATTACGGGCGGTTCTGAGTACCCAAGAAAAAGAGAACGGCGTCAGTTATTCATAATTATTGATGACGACTACGAAAGAATGAATGCATACGTGGATAATTCATCGACCAAACGATTGACAGGTGGTTCATTTTCAACGGCGGTTGTAAGATGGGTCCCCAGCTTGATGCATACGATCACATACAAAAATGAACAAAGAAAAAAGGGCCAATGAGCGGAGTGAACTGATACACCAAAATAGAAAACAAGAGACGGTTTGAATATCAACAACGTCGTTTACCTGTGACACGGGACAGCGTTCCTTTTCCTCGTCATTCTGCATTTTCATCGGTAGGTTTAATCCTTGTAAAGGTGTATCCTTTACCCACTGATTGCTTAATATGTATGCCAACGTATCCGGTGTCAGAATAGGTGGTGAGCCCCAGTGATCTTGAATGTTGTTGAAAATCTCGATCAGACGAGTTTCGCTAATGCTACCATTTGTGCCTAAATCTTCTGAGGGTAACTGAATTGTCAGCGGGGTTTGCTTGTCCAGATGGTTCTCGATGGATAATGGTTTGGTATGACGACGTTCTTGACATGACGGTAGCGAAAAGTACATGGTCCAACAAATAACAATAAATAAAAGTAGACTGGATTATATATTATGTTAACAGGCTGGATTATAAATAAACCAGCAAGAAACTCAATCCAGAAGGAAGTAAGAAAAAGAAAAAGAAATTCAGTCAAGTCCAAGTACAAATAAATGGAACAGATAGAAAAAAAAGGAAAATAAAAACGAGAAAACAATGAGTGAAAGAGGCGCAAGCACATTCGCATTCACATTCAATATTTCATCAAAGAGGTCCAGAACTTCGATGGCAGCATGCCATCGAATCTAACCAGAAATGAACATCGCGGATTTTAAGCTAATTTTTTTTTTCTTTTTTATATATATTTCATTTTGACTTACTTGAAAAATCGAGACTTGCCGTGACTAGACGGTTCACATTTTGTCTTTTCAATAGATCGCGATATATTCATAAACTTTCATCCTCTTTCTGCGGATATTTAATTTTGAAAAAAAGGTAGTTACAAATGGGAAAGGGCAGAGTCTATGATATTTATCTCATAACAATACTATAACAGGTAAGTTCCAAAAACGCATTGGTGTTTTAGAGTTCGGCTCAACCTTATTTATTAGCAAGCGGTATTGCTTGGCCTGACCGTGGTGGTAAAGGTGGTTTTTCTGTGGATGCTGGGATAGCAGAAGGAACAGGGAGCGGAGTCGTAGATTCTGGTTGTAGTACACCAGGATATTCAGATGAAAGAATCGGTCGAGCCGTGCTAGGCACCGGTGGTGGTCGTGGTGGTGGCGATCTTTCCCGTCGCGGAGGAATTGCCGGTGGTTCCGTGACTATGGTTTGCTGTGCGCCTTCTTGTTTTTTATCCACCAGCAACGGATTTTCCATGGAATCTCTAGGCGGTAGAGGGGGTAACGGGGAATGGGTATCATGGCCGGGTTCAATTTCTTCCATCGATCGTACAGGTTCCTTGCGTGGCGGTTTCGCAGGTGCTATCGGAGGGGGTAAAGAAGAAAGAGAGAACGGTGTCGGAGACGAATGCGTGGAATCCAATTGATCTTCCAAAGGATCCAGATCAAGCATGGATCCGCCTCTCTTCAGCTCCGATGCTCGTTGAATGATATCGCGATACTCGGTTGCTGGGGTTTTCGGTTCGTCTTGTTGCTGACTCCGTCGTTTCATTTCCGCAATACGATAGGCAAACTGATCGGACCGTTGTTCCTGGGATGCTCGTATCGCCCGATCCTCTTCATCTTCGTCCCTGTTTTTATGCAACAAGTTTTCAGCCATCTTCGTGAGATTCCTCTTGAAAGGCATAGATTTGCTGCCAAATAAAGCTGGTTCACTTTGAGTTCCGTCGCGTATGTCGCCTTTGTTACTATTGACACTGATCTTTGATAGGAAACTTCGTTTGCCGGAAGTCGTCGATTTGGCATCGTCACCATCATCTTGACTCGATCGTCGTTCCAACGTCTCGTCCGACAAGTTATCCGAATCGCCGCTGCTCCATCTCGCCTTCTTACGTAAAATGGACATGCCCAGTTTTAATGGATTGCTTTGACCTGAAGTCGTAGTATGCATCGAGGCTGTCTCTCCTGATCGTTGACTGTCATTTGACCGAATGGAAGCTGTTTCCATATGTCCTCCTTCAAGATGTGCAGGCGCTGTCGATGTGGAAGTCGGTCCTCGCAGATTAGGGGTCGATTTTGATTTATCCGCATCCAATACATAGGCTGAATTAGGTGTCTGCTTGAGATCCTCTAATCCGCTGTCGGAGCCGGAGTGACGATGATTCACGCCATTCTCCTCTGAATCGTCTTCTTCCGAGGATGGCACCGCCGGATTCTGTTTGATGTCAATGGATGAGACTGGCGAAAATTTCTTGTCTACTTCGGCGGCTGGACTATCCTCTTTGCCCATCGACGGCGGCACAACCACGCTGTCACCGAAAATGCCTCCCAACCCTTCCGATGGCCAAAAAGGAAAATCATCCATGTTCGGCAGCACGATGTTCTCCGAAATGACTTCACGGATTTTGGATTCGATAGCGTTAGTGACCATATTCAGTTTGATCTCCTTGTCAGAGACAATTGGCGTGATTTCCCATTCCATGTATGGCATTTCGTAGAATCCGATCCAGCAACGATTGGTAGGTGGCGGTTTAATCTTGATCATAAACTTGCCTCGTAATTTCTTCAGCATTACCGAGAGTACAAGATTGACCCGAATAGGTTTGAGTCGCGATGAGTAACTCCAATGGAAGCCGGTCTCAATCACCACGGCTAGACCTCCTGCATATTCAATGTTCGCTTCCAGAATCAGATCGCCTTGAAGGGACAAAGATAACAGCTTCGGCTGGGTGATGTAAGGAATCGCCTGACCGACATCGACAGTCTGAATATGGATTTCATCCAGAACATTGGGTCGCTTCACCTTTTGCACTTTGCGAATAATCTTATTCTCCCAATATTTTTGCATCCAGGCCGTTTTATATGTCCCCAAAAACAACCGGCCCACCAGCGCATTCAGCCATTGCATTTCCCGTTGAGCTGGATCGCGTTGTATTGTCGTAATAAGTTCATGCATCGCCACCATATCGAATTGCGTGGAATCCGGCACATCTTTCGCGTCACCAGGAGAATCCATCATCGTCGACGCGAGTCGCAAGCTTAGGTACCAATCTTCCTTATCAATCGCACGTGCGCAATAAAGATAGATCATTTTATCCAAAGAAAATTCCTTTTCCTTCACCTCTATAGCTGGTTCTGTTTTGCTTTTGTACAGATCAGGCATGGATTCTGATTTTTTCTCCGGACTGGCCATGTGTAAGGACTGGGCTCGTTGGTTTTTTGGACGTAGGACAATGGCTGAGCTCCGACTGAATAAATCACCTTCCTGACATCCTTCGGGATACAAGGAGACGGTGTAGTTGTGAACAGGGATAACCAACTGACAATCCTGCTGTTCCGACGAATCGTAACAAAATAGTGTACCGTGCTTCAATGCACCATACAACAGTGTTTTCTGTTTCTTGGGTCCTCCTGTTCTGTTATTCATGTACAGTTGAATCCCTGAAATAAGGCCATTCTCTTTGTCTTTCTCCATGGAACATTTCGCTTGATAGTGATTGGTGATTCGGATCCATCCTCTTTTGCCGTCGTCATCGTCAATAGCATCGTAAGGTTCCTTGGAGTAATTTTTGAGTGAGCGAACGATTGGTTGTTTCCTGGTGACGAGTGTGCCAGATAAATATAAATAACCCAGCAACAAAGCGGGAATCAGCGTCAGTCCACCGGTGAGATATATGTACAGAAATTCCTTGAACGTAACCATATAAACAATAAAAACAAAAACAAATTGAAGACAACCAAAAAAAGGGGGGAAACTGCTTTTTTGCACATTTTTATTGGTAAATCCCAACAAAACCGATTATGGTCTTTTTGATTGTGGATACGTCATTCTTGCGCTCATTCGATTTTTTTATGTTTGACTTTTTTCCCTGTCGGACTTTTTTTTGGCATGAGGAGTGAGGTGGTCTTACAACTTGTGAAGCTGAGGGCTGGCGCTGCCATTGATTTCAATCACCACTTTGCCGAATTGTTGATGGTTTCTATAACAAAAAGTGATGAATAGTTATGTTCATACCAATTAATCACCCTCATCACGAAAAATAGTGACTTACTTCATCATTTCAATGGCTTCAGCCACGTTCTCATTGGTAAGTCCTTGCCATACACGGGACACAACAGGCTTGATTTTGTGCTTATCCACAAAAGCCACCATTTCCTGGAATTCACGGCGAGACCCCATCGTGGAACCACACAAATCGATATTTTTAATCACATGGCCCATAGTGAAGGAAACACCTTCAACACCGGCTGTTTGACCATAATTCACAATGATACCACCGGTCCGCATCACCTTGGGATATTGCGTGTATAATGGTCCACCCGCACCATCGATGATAGCAGAAATCTGATTACCGTTCAACATCTTCTTCAATTCCGCAATACATTTGGCTACCAAATAAGTAAGAATTCTGTAACGTCATGATTTTTTTTCTGGAAAATTCGTGCTTTCCCACATGGACGATTTTTTTTTCTTTACTCACGATCTTTGTAATTAATGCCACCTTCAGCACCCAACGCTTTGGCTTGCTCGATTTTTTCTTGGCTTCCAGAGCTCACATAAACGTGAGCACCGACAGCCACAGCAAATTGCATCGCAAATAAGGCCACACCGCCGCCAATTCCAGTAATAAGAACATAGTCTCCCTTCTTCACTTTACCCTTGGTAAATAAAGCTCTATAAAATGCAACGTAAGCCATGCGTATTATCACTTGAACCCTTTCCTGTCTACGAACCTGTAAGCAGTTAAACCAGCCAATGGCAGAGCAGCAGCTTCAGCAGTAGAAAGATGCTCAGGACATGGCACCAACTCCCTGGATTCTGTGACCAAACTTTCCGAAAATGTGCCTTTTGCGACCCATAAAAAAAGCGAACTCTATGTGAGCTATTGTAAAAATAAAACGTATCTGTATGGAACCTACCGATGGCAGGCAAGAGACCGAGGATCTTGAAGTCGCCTTCCGGGCCTCTTTCGTCGGATTCCCAATTGACGCCTGGATTAATCAGCACGCGCTGACCGACTTCAAAGGACGATGACTGACTACCGTTCTTCACCACAATGCCAACGCCATCGGAACCCAAAGTCGATCCCATGACAATTCCGGGATACATGTTACGAAGGATCCATAAATCACTGTTCAATATTTATCTTAGTTGCCAATAAGTTTGGGTGAATAACTATTCGCATATTACCGATGATTGAAAGCAGCTGCTTGAACTTTAACCAACGTTTGAGAGGCGGTTGGTTCAGCAATCGGAAGCTCCTTGGCTTCAAAACCGAACTTGAAGTCCGAATGATGCTTGGGCTGATCAATAAGAGTAAGGGAAACCATATTTGTTATAATTGAAGAAGAGAAGGATTGGTATTCAGCTCCCACACGCCGCTTTGTAAAACCCTCAATTAGTAATCACTTGCGGGGATTTCACTGACATAACGGATCTATCCAGTTAGACAATCGTGCTGTTACGTCAACTGGTATTGCATGAACATAATTTTCTTCTTTTCTTTGAGAATCTTTATAGATATTATATGGCATAATTTTAAGAGTGACAAAAATATATCGTGAAAAGATCCAAAAAAACTATGTGTGATAACTTGAAAGGGCAATAATCGTGTATTTTCTGCACCCTAAAAAGGGCAGGCCAGTCTTTTTCATGCATGTCTCAGTTTCATCTGTGCTGGTGTCGAAAACTGGACACCGATGATAATGAAGCAGGAATAACATATCTCCCACCTTGTTAAAATGTTTGGGAGTTACGAGCAGTGGATCGTTGAGACGGATGTCATTCGCGCACTGTGCTATGTTATATTTGTTTTCTCATTTGTATATTTTATGTATTTACCCTTATGCTGTTGGTTTTATTATTCCTTTATATCTAACTGTTTGTATTTTGTCTTATGCTCCTTTGCTTTCATCCTTTGCTATGATTTTTCAAGCTATTCTTCACCTTTATGTTTTACTGTATGCTTTTTGTCCTTCTGTTCCTTTTGATTTTATCCTTATGCTATGTTTTCCCAAGTATGATCTTTTCTGCTATCTATTTTTGTCTCTCCATTTAATATTATACGATGTCTGACTATTTCTGTTCCTAACTTTGTGTACATATTGTTGTTCCGCTGTCGTGGATGAAGAAAATGATCGCTATGTGGCGGTAGGTCAGGGGGCAAGACCCCCGGGAAAAAAAGAAAAAGAGACTGTGCTACTCTGTTGTCCATTGAATACGCAAAGATTTATGCGCACATCAACTAAATCTTAGCGAAAAATCAACCGCTTATGGACAAAAGATTAGAGTTAAGAGAACACCATGACCTTTGGATACACAAATTCGAGTGCGAGTTCTGAATATTGGAAATGGAGCATCCCATTTCAAACACATCTTTAATCAGCTACTATTCCCACTAGCCTCAGAGTAGCAACAAACTACAGACCGAAAGAGCATAACTTTATGATCTTTAAAAGATCAACACGTGCTACTATTAAAATTCTTGCCAAACTAAAAACCAGTCGCCGCACGCCTAAATTTGCGAGCTAAAAAACAGCTACATGGTGTTCCTTTTCATCATATGGATTTGGCAGCTACTTCGCTTGGTGTTATTTATTCATTCAAAGATGTTGGAAAAGTTCAATGGAAGGGGAGAGCTTTCTGTAAAGGGCTATTGTCAATGTCGATGTCGCGTCTTTGTAGACTTATTTAATAAGTTGTCTTTGTCAGTAAATGTGTGTCCTTTTGATTTTTTTCTTCAGTTTTCGGTGATTTAAAGGTGCATGAGCAGAAATGCTTTACCAATGTAGCTGATCTGGCGACATTGCTCATTGTTCATTCATTGGTGTGTGTCAAGGTGATCATTCATATTTTAGAGCTCTATTTTTATGCAGTTTCTTTTTGCTTTTATCAGATTTTATTTTTGGAGCTTTTTTTCATTTAGAAGGTGTTCATTCATACTTCTTTTGGAGCTTTAATTTTTATACAGCTTCTTTCTGCTTTTTATCTTTACAGTCTTTACCTTCAGTTTTTATTTTGGACTTTTTCCTGAAAAGGGTGAAGCTTTTTCTTTTTCGCTTTTATATTTGAAGCTTTTATTTTTGGAGCTCTTTTCTTCTTTTTGCCTTCGTTTTCTCTCACTTCGGTTCACCTAAGAAGCCTGGTACTATTTTATTTCATCAAGTTCCTAGCTGCGTCCATCGCCCCGACTATGGCTTTCCCGTGTAGCTGACTCGGTTAAATCGACCATCACAATCAGAAGGGACCATCAAATGGTTTTTTATCAGTTCTTCAACAAGGAAAAACTTACCTGTTCTTTTTTCTATTCTTCCTTAGCTTTTGTTTTTCTCTCCGGTTTTCTTTTTTGCCTGGCAAGTCATCCATCCCTCCAAATCTTTCGACTTTGTTTCGCGCACCAAATGTTGCCAATCCGGTTTTTGTCGTCAAAAGGGCATCGTCGGTGGTGTGACTCTCTTTTTCATCGGCAACGCTTACGCTTGGCTTCACCTGGATTACTTCCCGTGGTATCGCCTTCGATATTTCTTTCCGACCATTTTATTTCGTAGTTTGTAGTATGTACTTTGTAGTTTATTCGATAGACCTTGTTCCAGTATTTTCCTCCTTTTTTTTCCCACAGGGTTTTTAGGGGGTCTTTACAGACGCACCTATTGATTTACTTTTTTTTATATTTGTATCGTTTCTTTTTTTCCGGCCGGGAAGCTCTCGATATCTGCTGCATCGAATAACAGAGGTAAAATATCTTGACGACATTTGAATCAATCGAAGAGCGTACTAACTCATTTTTTTAATACCCAACATTCCTAACATCATTCTAGATCTATCATAACCTTGGGCGGGACGGGACTGAGGTGGCCAATAAGTGCTGCTGCACACATATTTGGAAATCATGACTGTACGGTATGCCAGAGTATTGACATTAATATACCAAAGTTCCATCAAGAGTCTCGCCCAGGTTATGCCGTATTGTGTTAGGCTTTTGTCTGACGAATGTCGCTCAATGTAAAGGGGCGACGTCCAGTAGCAGGTGGCATCCATTGCACAGCGGGTGTACGGCTTGTTAGATCCTGTGAATACTGGCTATTTTTGTCCAAACTTCATGAATAGCTTTAATCGAATCTACAGCTAATATTATTTAAATACGTACAGTTCAAACTATTTTTACCCTTGGTATTTTTTCATTCAGTGGAAGTGTACTGCAACGGTATGAATGAATATTGCATATGATGTATTGGTCATTTTTGTTTCCTCGCCTCTTCAGTGTCTAGAACAGTCCTATTATATTGCTGCACTATTTTAAAACGTATTCAGCTTGAAATCCTCCTTCGATAATGTCTCTCGATAGAAACTTGGCTTGACCTTGACTCTTGGTATCACTATTCGCCGCTGTTGTGTTGCAGTTCTTTGTTGCCGATATAAAGAAAAGCCGCATGCATGACGATTATCCAGCGGTTTGTGGATATCCTCATCGCTGGAATCAGCGGGCTCACAAATGGTCCCGCCGACCATTTCCTGAAGCGCCCGAATTATCGAGGCGCTTGATGGTCGATCTGCTGGTTATCGTAAGCGAACGCATGTGGTAAAATGGGAACAGCCGGGTTTGACGTTATTTGATGTAGGACCTCTCAAATTTACAATATGGCTCCCATCGATGCTTGCATGTCCTTCGCCAAAGTCAAGGACATGCAAGGAATTAGACAAATATGATTTTTCTGTCCAATCCATAGAATGTAAGCAAAAAAACTGGTCAAAAAATACGAAAGGATGTCAATAATATTTGCTGCTTTCATAGATTTCTCATATTGCCGGTCGAACACACCATGGAGCCGTCAAACGAATCGGAATTATGCACCCGGTATCTGCTGCAATATCTGCATTCCAGTGTTTGTTTGACGATGATCAATGATCCGTAAAGATGAGATGGTAAACATATCTCGTTTTCTGTGTATCATATTTAAATACAAACACTTTCCCACTAGGACAAACACGGCCACGGTCGACGTAGACAGCTCCTGACTGCTTGGCCAGCGTCATATCCAATAATTACGTGGCATACGACATTGGCTTTGGGAGACACAAGCAAAAAAATCATTGCATAATCAATCTCGACCCGATATGCCTCGGCCTTTTCACAAAAAATGCCATCGACAACGATTCTTTGGCGAGTTCCCTTGCGATTCATGTTGTTGGTAAAATCATTAATTACAAGTCAAAGCGCACTATGCAAAATACTGATTCGCCCTTTCAAGGCATGTGTGCATGCTTTTATTTAGTCCAGTTGAAGGCGGACGGATTGTATACAATGATCGAACTTGGAGGCCTAAAAATACCGCTTTCTATCGCTGAAATGCGTGGCTACTTATCATACATGTCAGACCTGAAAGCCATTTTTACTGCGTTCGAAAACCAGTTCCTCATCAAAAATAAACTGCTTCTAGCATTACTTTATTAGATATGCAAGTATCACATTGGATTTGGGCTGTTTGCCTTTCTTGACTGGATAAAGTTAAAAGAGTTGCATTCTTATATGGGTAGAAGTGAACTTTTGATCCTCTGAATTATAGCATATGCGCATAAAAGATATGTGTACTGTATGGCAATGAACAACAGGGCGGCGGAAGAAAAATAAATCTTCAGAGATCGGGATCAACTTGCCCTCCATACTCTACAATAATGCACATCTATTATACCGGTCAGCAATCTGTCGTTGATATCAGAGGCCTTGTTAGGTGGGAGTTACCGAAGCAAATGCTTTTCTTCTGCCTACAAGTACTTTGCAGCCGAAACCAAGACATTTTGCATGGTACAGTTCGCTGGAAATTGAAACCGCCAAAAACGTACCAGCCACTGGTAAAGCTAGGAATATGATACCGATGATGAGCAGCATGAAATGAAGTCCAGTAAGACGACGGCTTAATCACGCAATAAGAAAAATAAGACAAAAGAATAATCCGTTCAGCTGGATCGAGACTTAAGAACGACCCTTCAACAACCTGAAAGCCGCTGTGACTACCAGTATTATACTGGCCGTTCCTCAGCCGACCAAACCTTACATTATACACGGAGGCTTCGGACCTAGTCATAGGAACGGTACTTGATTAAAACAAAATAATGAAAACGAAGAACGACCCATTTGGTTTTTTTTCTATAGAGAGAAAACTACAACCGGCAGAAGTAAATCATCTGGCCATGGACGATTTCAAAGAATTATTTTGATTCATCATCACCAATCATGTTTGAAGCTTCAAAATGTGTTAGACCACACACGACACACATACTTTGAGGCTCAACGGACCGAAGTTTGATCATTCTTTTAGTTGCAGTGCTCCCTTTTCGCAGCAGTGTTGTAGTCCTGAACGAGTTTACTAGATATAACAAACGCTTGCTTCACAAAGAAGATAATTTCATTGTTGGGGTAGGCAACAAGTTCTCGTTCCGACAGTACAGCACACCTGCGATCAGTACAATAGTCTCGGGCCTCCTCTTGTGATGTCGCTGTGCATGCTTTGCGTTCATCGTCCCTACAATCTTCAGGGGACAAACGGGTGGAATTATGGTTGTCCATCGAGCACTCGATAGGGTGGAGGTAGCAAGTAAAGTCAAGCAAAGAAGGAGTAGATACTTCGCCATGATTTTGACGCTGTCCTGATTTTCCTCTTGGGGTTTCAATAAGTCATCAAGAATTGTGCATTATTCTTAATGCCGAATAACGAACCACTACGTATTAAAGTCGGCACTGATGACAAAGGTTCCCGTGCCAGGATACCGCACCTGTGGTATTTCAATATGCAGATTCATTGACGTGGATGCATTTGCAATGATGCGTATGCTAGCACCATGGAAATATTCTTGTGTCGAACTTTTATTTCCCGTTGATAGTTGTAGCCCTTTTTGGTTTCTCGGTCAATAATTTTTTTGTTCAAATAGGTGAGCAGCGTCGCGAAAATAAAAATGGGAGCCATTGTACACTTGTGTGCAAAAGTGCTACCGAGGCTGACTTCGTTAAAGTTGGCGGAACCTTTTTTTTTTTTTTCAATCCATTCATTTTCGCCTTTTGCCATAATAAACTTTGACGTGATTTTTCTTTTTAGACGGATATACAAACACAAACAACCACAGCATCTCGGTGACTGGATACACGAGCGAATGAAAGTGTTCGCTGGAAATCCATTGGAGATGCGACGAGGTACGCCATGAGCTTGATCAACAACGTACTTGCGAGCCTGCTTTGCAGATGGCAAGTAATTGCAATGATCAAAAAAAAAAGGGGGGGGGGTTCCCCTTTCTTTCGTCGGTCATTAACCTTTATGTTGCGAGATTGTTCAAGGGCCCATCCACGTTTCCAAAAATCAACATTCCTTTCTTCATTGTTGTTATTACTGCAAAATACGCGACCAGAGTTTTCTTCTTCTTTATCGAAAAAATGGTAAATGAAGACAACAAATGAGTTTACGCTGTCAAACTGCTCACTCACGATTTATACCTCCTAGAGACCGACTGCGCCAGACACCTTTTGTGCCGGAACCATCAGGCGATTATTACAATATTAAAGGTGCTATCAATGAGCTGCAACGAGATAGTACCATGAACATGCTAATCCAGCGTGAATACGAGACACGATATCGATTTTCGTAACTAAGCAATTGAGCCTGCTCATTCCGCTGGACAATTTAGTCACTCGCAGTTATGAACTGGATCTATAGACAACAGCTACGCCAACAAGACGTTCTTGAGAATGTACTGCGGCTACTTCGTATCGGTGTGCGAAACCAGAACCGATCACATTTGAACAAAGGCAAGCCGTATGATAATTATCTGTTAATTGGAAGCAGGTAATAGGAACAACAGTGAAGGGTTGATTGTACGCAGATCTTCGCAATAGTCATTCAGCGTACCTGATGGTAGTGATACTCTTTGTCGGAATCGCAATGTCAGTAAATACAGATATAGTAGATGTGAATACGGCTTGCTGTTATTGATCTTGCATTCATTGCGCAGCTCATATGGTTGGGTCGCCGGTTCCTCCTGTTGGCAAGAACAATCATCTGAGATTGAGTCGTAGCGACATTGATATGCTGAACGTGTTCGGGGATCGCGGGATCGTTGAGGCCAGATCTAAAACAGAATAGGCGAAAGAGGGGAGAAATGGACCTTGAGAAATTTGGATCTTGAAAATAAAAAAGTTACCGCATCAATTTATTCAGCGAAACGGGGAGCAAAATAACGAGACAATTGTTTCGAATGATGTGTTGCACGGTTAACTTGCATGCAAAGATACGCACAGAGGGTGCATTTCTTTCGGCAGATCTGCACGAAAACAAATTGGAAGCAAAACTGATGCAATGCGTGTTGGCTTCCACTTTCCGGCAACACGCGTTTCCAGGTGATCATCATTTCTATTGCGTTCGGAGGCGCCTCCAAAGGTCCTTAAACTTTGATTTTTTTCAATGAAGACTGCGGACAATCCGGCCCTCACAGATTGTCAATTTACCCCCAAATTTCTTTTGACGAAAACTGAGGAATACCTGCCTTGAAATTAGCTGACACTCGCCTCTTGCATGCTCCTATTATTGGATAAAAATTCATATTGCTACAGTTAACAAAGTGGCAAAGGGATTTCTTTTTGATACAGCGGCTGGATCGTTGTTGAGCTATGAGCGAGCTCTTACGAGTTCACATTCATGAATGAAATTTTTCAAAAGGATGATTGGATTGGTCAGTACACTGACACTTGTTTGCGGCGGCATCGTCTGACTTGAAAACTTTTAGTTATTAAAAAATTGACATTCAACGGTTGATACACCAAGCAGCTTTCATGTAACGAGTTGTGTTTTTCCCAGAGTTGTCTGAAAAAGCTGAAATATCTTGGTTAAGAATCCAAAGAGCCCCCGTTGCTCCATGTCACCAAAGGTGTGCGGACCGGTAAATAGAGCGGCAGCTTTTTGTCCTACAGGGTCCGCGTTTTCGGAAACTCACGCGAGAGCTTGTACAGAAATGTGCAGACATACAATGGATTGGAGGATCGACGGGATTTTCCCTTACCACTCCTGAATATCCTTTTTTAATGTAGTCATGTTGAATTGCATAAAGTATCATATAATCAAGGGATAGAGTTACTTTGGGTCGTCATGAGAACACCTTTTTTTTTTTTTTGCCAAGTTTCACAAACATAAGCGAAAAGAAAATAATGGTCGGTACTTTTTCGGCAGGCCAAGGAGATTCTCACCTCCACTAATATTACGTTATCACTTTAAATCGTTCTGAGTACATCAGCTTACCATACATGTATACAAAATAAATATACAGGCATATGTGGAAAATAAAGGCTTGAAGTTCTTACACTTTTTTACTTTATAATTTTTTTTTTTGTGTTCATTTCTTGTTGATTGCGAAATAATTGATTGCCAGAGCGGAAGAGCCGTACTTTTTTTCCCCTCTTTTCTTTTTTATTTTATTTTTTTATTCCCTGTTTTCCTTGAATTTATAAAACCCATTGGTTGTCATCGGTGGTCATGAGCATCGAGCCAATGCTGCATGCACCTGTCATAGTGGATCAACCTGTACCAGAATTATCATTGAGTGAGCATGACGAATTAAGAGCATATATCCAGCCACCGTCCTCACCGTCACCGGTATCTCCTTCTAAACAAATTGAGAACCAGCAGCAAGGTGAAAACACGGGCGAATTCGACCACCACCAACTATTTATTACACACAATAACACACCGTCCCTGGAACAAATTCAAGAAGAGGACGATTTCTTTTTCCTTCATCCTAGTGCAGGCGCGACTCATGAGGGCGATCCTCACAACACTGTTTCAGCATTGTATGGCGACACCAGAAATCAGCCGGCTGTCTTTATGTTTACCTCTTCAGAGGAATCTCCGCTCCACGACGAAGTAGCGGAACTGGAAGAAGACGATGACTATGACCATACCCTCGTGGATGCTACCTTTGATTTAGCCAGTCGAACGTTTTACGCCACTTGTCACAAATTTGCTCGTCAAAACTACCCAGAGTATCGCCGACGATCGGCTTACTCCTTTTTGGAAAACTGGCTTTTGCACAGTATGTACAGCAAATCACAGCAGATCTTACTCGGTATTCCTCAGGTGAAACCTACCGTATTACTAACTGGCGACGACTTTATGTTCACTCCACCGTTGATGCATCATCGACAGTTGGAGGGGGATGCTATTCAGCTGGATTGGGACGATCAAGAGGACGACGGACACTACGATGTCGATACCGAGCATGCCCATTTAATGGCTTTGGAGAACAACGATGTGAAGGTGATGGCAACGCCATCGCCCGAGGACGATGAAGCAATGGATATGTCATATACCCTTAATCCGGTGATGATGGATGAGAATACGTGGATGGGAATCAATCGCAATCAACAAAAGCTCGTATTGCATGTGGTGAACGCTGATATACCCGAAGATGAATATACCCAGCCTATTCAGGCGAAAGAGTTACCATCCGTTCCTGATGGTTCATCATGTCCTGTGGCAACAGAACACAGTAGTTCTCGCGATGGTTCAATCGTAGAAAAATGTATGGAAGAGAACCCAGAGAACGACGATTCAGGCCACACTGCTAGCTTGAATGTTGGCATCACCATGTCACCCGAACTTGTCGACTGGTATCGATCGGCGAATCCACGGAAACCTCTACATGTATCGGAATCGGCGACATGCGACGAAGCGATATCCAGATCACCACCTGCTGTATTGTCTCCACCGGTGGGGAGCGATAAGGGTAAATGCATGCCGACTCCGAACGTTACTTTGCCATCGAGTGCCGAAGTGGCATCGAATTCGGCCGTCGATATGGTGGAAAAGTCGCTTTCTACACAATGTAACGGTACGTATCAATCGTTGAGCGAAATGGTGACGGATGAATCGCCGTCGGCAACCCTTCGTGGCTGTGGAGCGATGGACGGTGACTCCAGTACGTGTACAATGGAATCTACACGATTTGTTCGAATGTCATGGCAAGACCATTGGCAAGGCCGACTCGCATCATTTTCCGGGACATTGGTGGATACAGCCAAATACGCTTTGGAACTGGCAGAGGCGTATGCGGATAGCCAGGATGCGGAGCTTCACGATAACCATGAAACCGAGGATCTTCATTTCAGAAAATCCAAACCAAAGCCTCGTCTCGTCACTTGTATCTTTCGTGTTTGGACTACCTTGTTCGTAGGGGCCGAAACCATGCTGGTTTGGATGACCATACCACAGCGACACTGAAAAAGTGGCTGGCGATGCATTCTATTACCTGCATGGATTGTCGATGATCCATTGATTTGGGGATATTCCTGATACCCTTGCTTCCGTTACAAACCGTTCTTTGATGACCGTTGACAACCGGGTCGACATATTTATACACACGCACACACACACACACACACACAGAGAGAGAAAGAGAGAGAGAGAAGTTTTACATATACCAGTAGCGTATTTCGTTCAGCCATTATCATATTTTGCTTCTCGACTTGTTTTTTTTTTTATTTCTTTCTCTTACTCTATCGCCGTCGCTATTTTTTTTTCTATCTATCTCTCACTCTCAGTGACTGTGTACCACGGTCATGCTTTAGTTTAATTATTTTCATAACCTCATGTTTTTTATTTCATAGTATGAGCATGTTTTTATTTATTGATTTATGAGTTATGTTTTATGATTTCCCCCCTCCCCCATCGGAATACACCAAAAAAGAAAAAAAGTTTTGTAAAGCGCTTCATCGTTTGTTCAACACTGCGTGTTATTATTCATTTTGATACTCCGGCGGCAAGTTAAAAAAAAGATCATGCCATTTTTTCAATTCATAACGATCACTCATGAACGACAGTCATGGAATTACCCAATCCGATACAGAAACTAATACTTATTTAAAGCGAGAACAGGAAGCACCCATTCATCTTTTATTTCTCCGTTATTTATAATTTCTTCTTCAATGCCATCCTCCGTTGAGTCAAGCCAGGTCGATTTCCTTATTGTTGGCGCCGGTCCCGTCGGGTTGCTAGCTGCCAATCTCATTGTTCAAGCCGGATTTACCGTGCGTATCCTTGGTAATTAAGAAACTATCTGTCGATACGGTGTTGATTTTTTGTAGTTTGCTGATTTACAAGGTTAGACATCGAATATGAACCCAACCACTGGGGTCGTGGTGACTGGATCCATGGACGTACCTTGGAATTGCTCGAAAAGGCAGATCTTGCCTCCGAATTATTAAATACCGGTGTGAAAGTGGAAAAGATGTCGTCCTATATGAATGGACAGTTGAAATCCTCGTTACCGTTTGTACCGGATGAAGTAGAGTCCAAGCACCAGTAAGTAAAGCATGTGAGTGGATCACGATTTCTGACAAAAAGGTGAGTAACATGGCATGATTTTCAACAGATACCTCCTGTGTGTCGGACAACACATCACCGAATCTAGTCTTCAAAGTCAACTATCACGCACCGATGTGCAGGTGGAACGGCCAGCCACAGTGGTTCAGATGAAACAGAGCAGTAATACCGACTATCCGGTACGAGCAACAGTGATGCATATGCAAGATGCTGTGACGGAGGAAGTGGAATGTCGATATATTCTGGGATGCGATGGAGCGCACAGTGATATCAGGAGTCAGTTGGGAATTGTGAACGAAGGCGAGACCACCGAAACCCATGCCGGGGTGGTAGATGCGTTAGTGCGAACGAATTTCGGTGGACGCAGGGATGTATGGTAAGACAAGGAATTCTCGCTGACGTTACACAACGGTAACTAACCCGATGCTTTTCAACCCTTGCCCCATGTGCACCCAAAAGTATTCTGCAGAGTGAAATGGCCAAAACAATTAGCCTGTTTCCAAGAGAAAATGGCTTGACCCGTATTTTTGTCCATTTCAACGAAAACGAGCACGATCTGCGCAAGGAACAACACAACCGAAACAAGATTCAGCTGGAGGATATACAGCGTGAAGCGAAGCGGGCATTGTTACCCCACCGACTTGAGTTCCTAGGTATCTTGTATTGGTCTGTGTACGTCGTCGGTCAGCGTGCGGCAGCTGAAATGGATGCTTTTGACGGCCGTGTATTCCTCTGCGGTGATGCTGCTCATTGTCAAAGCCCTACACTTGGTCAAGGCATCAACACAGGTTTTGGTGATATTTTCAACTTGGTAAGTACCGGAAGAAGTGGAACGATCGGTACAAACATGAATGTGTATCTAATATGATATGACACAGATATGGAAGCTTTGCATGATTGAACGTGGCGTTTTGAAACGCGAGGTGACGGCCACCTATGCTTCGGAACGACGACCCGTAGCTTTACAGGTATTGTCGATTGACAAAACCGCCGCCAAGGCCGCAGCAGGCAATCAATCGGAAGATTACTGCAATACAGTGGAAGCCAATCGTGCATTTACAACGGGGTTCGGTATTCAGTACAAGGACGAGACCGGCAAGAACCCGTTACTATGGTCGCCGCCTTCAACAGAAAAAGAACTCAAACTCCAAGCTGGTATGCGAGCTCCCGATTACAAGGTGATCCATTATGCCACAGGGCAGAAAGTACGACTGTCACAGTACCAATCACAAACGGATGTGCCCAGCTGGTTATCGTTCTCATTTATCATCTTGGCCGGTCAACTAACAGCCACTGCAAGTGAAGTGGAAAAGGTGTTGACGTGGATCAACACAGCGTCGATGCCCCCATGGAATGTGTATGTAGTAACAACCACACCATCCGACGCCATCGCCAGTTGCAAAGGAGCGATATCCGAAGAAAGCATCATGTTGGATAAACTCAATCGGTCGCAATGTCATCAAGGATACAGTCATGGTCAAGCTTCGGAAAAGAATTTAACCTTTGTTATTATTCGGCCAGATGGCTATATCGGCAGTATTCATCGTCAGGGCACAGGTGACAGCGGTATCCAGCATATCCAGGAGTACTTTGACAGAATAATGCCTGTAACTATTCGCTAAAGCGGTTCAGAACTGCTCCTTCTTCCAGTTGCATTACATTGTTTCCCCTTTTTTTTGCTGGATTTGTATACGATTTCCTTCAAATAGATTCCCTTCATTACCACCATGCTCCAAAAAAATATCATATGATACCTTTGTTTACAAATGGCGTTTATTTTTTGTTGATGGTCTTTGACCGCTGTTACAGTATGGATCAAGATTTTATGCCGGATGGATTTATTTTATTTCATAGCTTGAGGAAGGTGGAGCAATAAATCTGGATTCTGGGGGTTGACCATGGATTTTGCTCGAGCTCGGATGAAGAAGGTAATGGAATGATCTGGGTGATTTTGGTCGGGTTACAGCGACATGCAACTGTCCATGTGAGAATACGGGAGAAGGAAGATAAACGCCGACCGAATCCAGTGTCTGCCCTTGAGATTTATTGATGGTCATGGCAAATGCTGAGCGAATCGGGAACTGGTACCGATGAAAAGGTATTGGGGATTGGTACCCCATTTCAACCGTGAGCTTGGTCCGTGGTATGAGAATTGGTTTTGCCACTATCCGGTCCTGCGGCTATTTCTGCCAGAATGACACCCCTTCGGAAGCCTTTACAGATTAGTTTTGTGCCATTTGCATAAGCCACGCTTATGGTTTAAATTTCGCAACAGCATAATGGGACAACCAACTTTGAGTGTCAACTTGTGCGGTGGCAGAGATCCAGGCTTGATTGAATTCACGAATTCGGGCGGGTATAGAAATCGACTTTGTTCGTCATCATCATCATACACGTCTCGGCTCAGGAGGTCTACCGACTCACCAGGAAAAGATCTGATAAAGTGGTCATTTACTCCAGCGACGCCGACATTTTTGGGGGTAAGAATAGCCCTGGATGTCAAGAAGTCGGACGGACTGGCACGGAAACTTTCGCTGTTGAAATCATGGTAAATGACCGATTTCAGTGTGTCAATATTATACCCAGGAAGAACCATTGATGACGGCAATTGCAGGAGACTGGTGTCTGTTAGCGTAGGCTTGCGCCATCGCCAATTCGTAATAAGAACTCTGAGAATTCTCCAAGTCCAGCGGCAAGATGCGGGTTGTTGTTTGTCAAGGCCTGTTGTACTTTTGTATTTGTTGACAGGCGACGTATTTGAACATGCTGCCACAGAAAAGAACGATTGATGCACTGATCAACAATATATGCCCGAGATTTTCCTGGAATGACAGGCAAGGTTTGTCTGAAATTACCACCAAAGGCAACACAGAGTCCTCCAAAAGGTGTGGATTCTAACGCAGGGATCAACGGTCTTCATTACGTCTTTAAACGTCCTGTCGACTGCTTCAAAAACATCTCTGCTAACCATGGAGCCTTCACCCCACACGATCAGCTTTGTCTGCTGTAGCAGCTTGGCAAATTCGGATCTTGGAGTTATACCGCACATTGAATGCTGGTGAACTTTTAAAGTTATCTTGAACCTTGAGTGGGCTGTAACTCCACCTTTCAATAGCTGGGCACCAGTACCACGCGATACAACAGCTAGTGCGACGCCGCCATGCACACTATTTCCTCGTACTGCATCAAGAATTGCGTTGAATAGATAAGTCTTCCTAGATCCGCCTGGTCCATCAACAAAAACAACTCTTCCTCTAGTTGATAGGGGCTGGAAGGCTAAATCGGTGACATGATCAAATATCTGTTGCTGATCGTCGTTGAATATTGGCGCCTGTAATGCAGACGACTGAACCCGTGGCACTCAACATGAGCTGATCTCAAAGAACGGTTAGACTGTATTCATCTTCTGATGTTCCATATCTCGTATCGTTTAACGGTATGTATCGTTTAACGGTATTTCAAAATCTTGCAAGGCAAAAAGTGAAAGCCCAGAATCGACCAAAAGATAATTGATATCTTAAAGAAAGAGATGCCATACATCTCTTCGTTTGCTTCAACACGCGGTTCGTATATATTATATGTATAAAAGGTTGCAAATAACGGCTTGGGGAACGTATGCTTTGTTTTTATGAACAAATATGGGTAGAAGAAGGGCGTCGCGCGACCTCTCACCTGTTTGTTTGTGCCTTTTGAGAACGTATGAATTACAACTCCGCGAAACAGATTTTTCTGGGCCCGGGTCAGGCACACAGTTGCGACTGACGACGACGTTATTCAATCTGCTGTGCAAGATCTATTACGGATCACCATGGGCACAGCTTCCGCCATCTTCACTCTTGGGCTGCTGTGGATGATCCTTGTTAGCAAAACTAGGGTCTCTTGTGTCCATGCTCAATCAGCTATTCCGTCGAACAGTGACTCGCCACAATACAGTATTCCTGCATCGTGGGCCATCGCTGGTAACGGTGTGGATATTTTCAGAGCCACCAATGCTTGTACGATGCTGACGTCTCCTGCTGTGGGGGCGGTATATCAAACAACGAGTAGTCTGGCGTTTCGGTGGCTTTATGATAAAGCTGCCATTGACGCCTTTCTGGAAATAAACAGCGGTGTTACTTTCAGCTTATCGCTTTCTTGGATTGATAATGCGGCCAACGAAACCCACGTCATTGCGTCAAATATTGATCCAGGCAGCGGCGTGTATCTTTGGGATGTACCGACCAATATGACCTTTAATAAGCGCATTTATGCCGTACTGACATCCGAATGGATCGGATTATCGGAAGAACAGCAAACTACTTTGGCCACCGATGCCGTGTTGTTTTCTGAGCTGTATGGTTTGAGTTGCTACAGCCGGGATCAAATTGCCGGGCCATTTACTATACTTCCCGAGCTCAGTCGGTTCTTCTTTATGACGGGACCAGACCCAGGGATTTGTCACAGCCAAGATATGACCATGAATACCGCTGGGCGAGGGTTTGGCTATTTAGAGAATGTGCCCATGGGACGTTTATTTTTCAACGTGGTAAGCATCAAAAGATCAGATATGCGCGCGCGTCCCTGCATTTGTATGACTGTAGTATACTGATATATGTTTTTGTCGGTTACAGCCTATTCCGATTACGTGGTATTCCGCGATACCGACGATTTCCAGTGTGGACCTATATCTTGTGCCTACTGATTCAGAGAGTGAAGCTGATTGGATTACTGTCGCCAAAAATCTGAGCGCAGTAAGTGCACGCTTCTATTACGGTGTGCCTGACAATCTGGACATCTCCACCACACAGCAGTATCGGATCATGCTTTATGCATTTTCATCGAGCAAGCAGGGTCCCCCGCATTTGGTGTCTTGGGCAGCCGATGGTCCTTACACTATTACTCACCTTTATCGCCCTGCATAGCCCACTTGTATTCATTGCGAGGTCGTTATCCCAACTCTTAGTCTACCATATATTTTTTTATATCGTTGGACTTGGCGAATTCCCATAAGCTATTATACCCTTTATTTTCTCTATTTCATAAAATCCTAACTTTTTACTCAAATTGTAAAATGTATAACTAACGGCTCCATCGACTGGTGAAAGATGATAACCAAAAAGCACTGGACAACGATGGTCTTGGTCGAAGCACGTCACTTGAACACGTGACGTTCCCAAGAGGTTTATCGGTAAAAACGATCCCCGCAAATTCGGAAAGGGTAATTTTTCTTTTATTGTTTTCATCATGCCCCGGATAAGACCTGTGTTGTTTGGTGTGATAGTTGCGTCAGCCATTACATACAAGTGTCGAGATGATTTGTTGCGCGATACCCAGTCGATTAGTCACCGCTTAAATGAAGCCAAATCACGGTTGGACCAGGCCGCCAGTCGCTCCTATTTGGAAGCCAAACGTGCACGATCTTCGTATATGGACAATGTTCCCATTCTCGCTGATTCTCAGCGTTATGTATCGAAAGAGCTTGTTCCTTCCGGTAAAGTGGTGCTTCTTGTGCTGATATAATTGTGACTCTGTTCATTCACTGTGAATTGAATTGTTCGTTTTCTAGTTAAACATTCCTGGAATGAGCAAATTAAAGACGCCGCTCACACCATCTCCACGACCGACTACAGTGCGCAAGCAAAATCTTTGTGGAATAAGATCATCGAAAGCATCAAATAGACAACAATATAATCAATATAACCATTGTTTCGTTTGAAACGTTGCATGACAGATATTCACCATATCATTTTTGCCAATCTCAAGGCATTAGCATAATATGACACGCTTTTGGCCGTTTTCGTATTCACTCTCACTCGCACACAATGCATGAGTATCGGTTTTTCTTTGGGTTTAAAAAATTCAAAGTAAGGAGGACCTCCCACACAATGGACAAACATTAAGGACAGGTGTGTATTTTTGGGACGATGCAGTTCCATATTTATTGGCTCTTTGTAACTTTCTTTTAGCTGCTCACAAAAAATGAAGCGATCGCCTTGCTCAATCCTGAAAATAGCGTTTGACTGTCGCTCTGGGATCGGTACCTGATTTTTTTACTATTGATGTGCACGTAATTTGCTTCATTGTTTATATCAACGATCGATCTGACTTTCTTTTCGAACATTTTGCATCGTGTGCAGCTCGTCGGGCCACCGTGCCTCATTTTGTGTGGCAAACTTTCGGGCCCCGAAATTAAGATGATCGTTTGACATCTGAGCCCATTTGATGGCCCGTTGACAGCTCCATATTGTTTAATGTATGCTGAACATGTGCCTTTACTTTGTACTGGAAAACAAAGCTACCTTCACTGAGGTGTTATTCCAATCAGCTTATGGGGAACAAAGAGATTCAATGACAAAGAGGACATGTATACAATGAATGATTCGAACTTGCCTTTCATTGTTACTGAATACATATATGCCTATATGCAGAACGGAGGAATGCATGCAAGTAGTTTGATCATTTGACGGATGACGTGAAATACATCAATCCCATGCTATGGAAACATGGCTTGGTTTCAACTTGTATTAGTTTGTTGCTTTAGAAAAAAAAAGCGATCGAGTATTATAGTATAAAATGAGTGTATTCAGTGCTGTATCATTATGGTCCATCCCTGCCCCTTGATTCTAATGGTCCGCGTGATGCATTTGGGGAATCATGTGATCCATTTAAACAAAGAACCCAGCCTTTTTTGCGCTCTTTTTTCCGCATCTCCCATTTGACCCCTTTATTCCTTTATCTTTCACTTTACTTCATTCTCCTCCTGCGAAAATATAACGGCATAAAGAGAGAGAAAAAAAGACTCCAAAAAAAAAATAAACCTCTACGTACTATTACGTTAATGACCAAAGCCCATTTACGTCATTCAAAAGAAAGTCCTGGTCGAACAAGTCCTCCATCCTCATTGCAAGATAATTCCAAATTACTCAACAGAGCAACATCGCCACCAGTCAATTATGGAGTCAAAAGCATGGGCAGCAGTAGCGACGACCTACACGACTTTCCAACAGGGTTTGTCCCTGTACCTACTTCTTCAAAGCACCCTTCACCAAGCGGGTTTTCTCGTTCAAAATTCACTTCATCCTCTTCTGCTCAAAATCCCTCGATCCGTCGTTCGTGGGACCAACATCGAAATTATGCAGCCCCAACCTCCGATGGATTAAGCAGCCGAACGCTGTCACCTATCAATTCGCCTTCCATGACCTCCAGCGCCACCACTTGGTCGGTTTGTGATCATGAAACAAGGCAAACCAATATGGATTTCATCGTTCCTACCATCAAAATGGACGAACGTCAAGCGAAGCAATCCAATAGTCGGGCCGAACCGTCCACTGCATCGTCTGTCCGACACGATCCGTCGCAGCCTATAGGCTTCTTTCGGGTGATTGTATGTGGCGATTCTCGTAAGTGCAAATTGCAATACGCTTCTTACTTTTTTCAATGTCCTTTTCGCATTTTTTCCACGAACCCCTCATCAGGTCAACTGACTTTTTTTTTTGTCGGCAAAAATCTAGGGATTGGAAAATCTTCGTTCATCGCAGCGCTCGCCCAAGCACTTGGATCCAAGGGAAAAGAAGGTTCGGGTAGCGGCGAACAGTCTCCGCAAACGGCCATACCACCTGCATGCCACTTGTCGGGTAACCTTGGCCAGACTTCCGGTAGTCAGGTGGAACCTTGTCTGATACAGGAACGGTTCATCAGTACCATGCCATCTGTGACAACCTTAGCGGCTTCCAATCGGAGCGACGATCGCTCAACCAAACAACGAAACGATGCGAAGAATATTTGTCTTGTGGATACCACTGGTTACGGCGCTTATCTAAGTGTAAGCACAGACCCTTTATTCATCACCAGTCTCATGAACTCGTTGTGTAGGCTCAAGACGTGATCGATCCTATTGCGAAATACATTGAAAAGCAATTCCACGCTACACGCACCGTCTTTCGTTCCGTTCCCCATGATTCCGCCACGCTTCTATCTTGGGTTCATAATCCCTACGGTGCACATACACACATCGATGCCTGTCTCTATCTTACCCTGGGACGATTGAAAAAGGTCGACATTGAATACCTCCGAGTGATCCACGGTCTTTGCAACATCATTCCAATCATCGTGAAACCGGATTCGCAGTCAGCCGAACAAGAGTTGCAAATGAGACTCGATATGTTGCGTGAACTGCGCGAGAACAATATCAGTTTCTTCGATTTCGGTCTTCCACTAGATACCCTGAGTCGCCGATGTTCCGAATCCGATCCGAACGTACCTCCGTTTGTCATTTCTCGCATGGAATCGTCTTATCCAGTGGAAGATGCATCATGGATGATGGAAAAACCGTCGGTGGCAGAGAATATTGCGCACTTGAAAGATATCGTTTTTCACCATCACATTGAAGACTTGCGCCGATCAACCGCTTTAAAATTCGTTCAATGGCGTGCAGCAACCTACAAATCTGCCGCTTCCATGGCAGATCGTGCTCCTGATAGGTCTCGGATGCGGTCCACGAGTATGGCGAGTATGCATGGAACGTATGAGGATCGGGATGCCCGGCGAAAAAGAGAGGCGTCGATGGATCATGGCGATCGAGAACGGAGATCGGAACATGCGAATGAAAGTGTGCCATTGGAACAACGTGCAAGCTCCTTATCACCTGCTCACAAGAAGGCTGATCAAGAAGTGCAGACCAACTATGTGGATAGTAACCATAAACATTCTATCCCGACACCGCCCTATACCCCAGATTCATCTGTCACTACTGTCACCAAAAAGGGATGTGACCGATCTTTCTCTAGGACCGTTCATGTTGGCGTCCCATCCCGACGAAAGACCAGTGAAAAAGTACTGCAGTGCTTTCTAATTATTTTCGCTTTCTACGGTTTGTTTCACGTCGTATCCCTCAATATTCTTCCTTATTTTGGCATATAAAACAATGTCAAACACAACACCCTTTCCCTACCCCAACCCCCCGGCATGATGAATCATCAAAGATGGGAGCACTGTAAGTAAATTCAATTTGTACATATGGCACACTTGGTAGAGCAATTCCCATTCTTTTCAATCCTGCAGTGTTGTATATATCATACTCTACAGCTTGATTTTCTTTTCCCTTGTTTGTTTCTTTTTCGTGTATCATATGTTAGGTTGAAGCACGGACGACTGTTATTTTTTTTTCTTTTTGGCAATAAAACTGGTAAAACAAAAAGAAATTACTACAAGTGCCTTATCGACTTGCGATCTTGTAGATTAACTCCAAGCAGATTTGAACAGTGATAACTCTGGCACCAGACTCAATACCGTAGTATTATAATTTTTTTTTCAAGTAACGGTCGTAACGGTCCAAGGGAGTTAAAGATGAATCATAACAGTCTTTTGCAAGATAGAGACACAGGAGATATGAACCACATACCATGAGGGTAATGAAAACATATTTACTAGTCAAGATAAATTAAGTATGTAGGTGATATGATCTTAAAATACTATAAGGAAGGTGATGATGTAAAGGCTACGGATAAAAGTCTGACTGTACAAGTTCAGGAATGATTTTGGACGCTACGAGATCGACTAAAAGGTATAAGAGATGCTTGTTAATGTACTTGTTTTGGAGAGGTTCGATAGTGGCATGGATGTGCGATTGTATTTCATTGAGATCGGTGGTATCGAAGAGAACTTTTACCAGAGATACTGTGCCAAAATGGAATTAGTGGTATGATCCGTGATTGGCTCGGCAAATACACTTACGTGGTAGTGAAGCCGTCAGCAAACGTTCAGCACGAACACGCATATATTCACGTTGCAGCGGTGTGGATGGATCCGCTTTGCGTAGAAAAACCCCGTCGGGCCATAAAAGATCTCGTCCGCACCGAAGGTAATAAGCAATGTGGTCCTCACTGAGAACGTGCAGAATCGATAATTCCAAAAATCTATCGTCAAAGGATGAGTGAACATGGTGGAAAGAGCAAATCGAGATCAGATAACCTTACTTATCGACTAGGACGCCCCCACCAAATACCCGTACCAACGGCCACACAAACATGGCAATCATTTGCCAGGCCCATTGAAGTATCGGTCGATCTTCCAAAAGGAAAGCAATACGCATGAATTGCATCGAAGGTTCGACTAGACGCATGTGACGTGTCCGCTTCTTATGCTGGTGGATCTTTTGATATCGTTCTTGTGAATTGGTGAACAGGACGGTGAGAGAAAGCCAAAGCGATCGTATCGGTGCAAGGAGGAGTTGCAAAGTAATGTAACCGAAAGAAAAAGGGCGGCGCTTATGTGTCCTTTCCTCATTCGTGACATCCTCCAATGCCTCTTCCTCTGGAAGTTCATTCTGCCTTTCCTTTAATCGGCGAAGCCGTGTCGATAGTCCTTCGCCTTCCTTTTTAGTGGTAGTGCGTTCATCGATCGGCGGTGTGTTATCCATCAACTGTTGATTTTGTGCGTCGATCAAGGCGGCTTGGATGCTTGTGACCGAATCATCGGGGGCAGGAGAGGATGTCTGTTGCGATGAAGATTCCGTTTCGTTGGTAACTGCGCTAAAGTAGGTTTCGGCCATTTGCCCTGTTGATTCGAGATTGTCCAATTTGTCGGCATAGTTTTCACACAGCTGCCAAAAGAAAAAGGTCAACGTTAATGTACCAGACACACATTTGCAAGAAAATCGACATGGGAAAACAGGATGATTTTTGATTGTGCTACCTTGCAAATAATCATGTGTATTGTATATGGATCCGCCAGACTTTCAATGAGGTTGGCCAGTACAACGTTTGATAGGATTTCGCGCATCAAATGCCGTACCGCATCACTCTCATAATCTTTCGGGTCAAGCAATACTTTCAGTATGGAAGCCGTCAGTAAGCGCAAATATTCCGCCTCTTGATTTGGCACAGGCTGGAGTGCAAAATGAGGTTGCATGCCATGAAAGAGTTCACCCAGAGATGCAGAGCCACTCGCATGATCCATGTGGAGTCGAGATTTGGCTTGTCGATAGTCTTGGTAATGAAGTGTAAGAAGTTTCGGTACGCTAATGAGCAGTAACTCGGTCCAGTCAATCTAAAAAGAGTTGTCATTGAGTTTTTTTTTCCGGGTTCTACTTCAGTGATGAATACAAGCCATACATCGTCGCACATTCTTTTTTGAATTCGTTGCACTACAAGGGTCAACAGGGACACAATTTCTGTGCATAAATCCTGATCGTTGGTGACCAGACGATACCATGGATTAATAAAATCACGAATCAAGAGGGCAAAGTATGTGTAAAGTTCCAAGTCAATGGCGGGAGAACCGGTGATACTCGGTGGAGGGCTTGAACGTCGAGGATCGGACTTTGGAAGGGTTAAAAGATAAGGGGACAGAACACGGATATGCAACAGTCGCAAGGAAGTCGTGACATTGGAATCACTCATTATGCAACGAACATGTCTTTTTCCTTGGTCACTCTAATTTTTGCTGATATCCCAAAATTGAAAAAGGCCAATCAGTGAATAGCGCCTTTTCAAAATACGGTCATCACTAAACTTACTTGGCATATACAGCAGAGTTTGAGAGACGAGTGTGGATTGGATAACGCCAATTAGCTTATAACGCTCGTTTCCTAGAACAAGTCAATAACAATGAGTAGAAAGATAGCCGCGATAATGAAATGATCGGTGATTCGTTCGTGTGATTGACGAAAAAATGCCGATAGCCACTTCTCCGTGTAAAGTCGAGCATTTATCCTAGCTCAAAACTGAACCTTTTTGTAGTCTTTTAATATCCACTTTGGTGCCTTATAACAAACCAAACATTATTTGAATTCACATCTCATCTGTCAAGGAGTCATATTCACTGATTGGCTTTCAGATTTGTGGCAATCGCAAATGAAAGACCGCCAATCAATGGAACTTCGTGTCAAAAATTATCTATGCAGACACACTACGACGAACAAATCATCATGGCTAAGAGGTACACCGAGAATCCATGCAATACTGCAGATACGCTGTCCTGGTTATTGGCATGACATTAGATAGTATGTCGTCAGCCAATCGATGCTCATCAAGTATGAACACCCATAAAAAAGAGAAGCAATCAGGCTGAAAGACACAATGTACTCATCGCACTCATAAACGCGATATGCAATATGTAACAAGGGAGATGGAGGAGAGATTGCAAGCTAGTGGGCCTTTGACTTAAATGATGCGGTTATATGATCGTCGGTAGGTGAATTTACGTTCCCGTTTTTGAATCATTTTCATTTTTCTTTCTTTGTATTCTTCAATGCATACGTTTATTATTCATGGTTAAACGAGTGTTGAAGAAAAAATTCACTGAAAAAGAAGTCGATTTATACAAACGGCATTTGCTGCAAATTAGGCTCGACGGAAAGTCAAGTGTGGAATTGGACGAAAATGGACTCAACGCCTGGAAGAAAACCGAACAAGGCGCCATGTTCCTGGAAAACTACGATTTTATGCTCGATGAACCCGATCGTCGACGATCGGGACGTGCCACGCACCATGCCTGTGGTGAACCGTCCATTAAACTGCTCAAAGAACAATTCTCGGTAGCCGCCATGAAAAGATCCAGTTCCAATGAATCCGCTTCTGCGGACTCGGACGCTTCCCCCACGCGACACCACGCTCAAGAAACCACCACCGAGGGAATCAACCCCAAGATAAAAATGAGCCGAACCGATCGCGAGAAAGCGCGTAAGAAACTGTCCTTATCTTCAGCAGACAAATGGACCGTCGAGTCCAACTCGTCCATTGTGACGCGATCCGATCAAACCGCTTCACCGAGTTCCCGCGCAACAACCGATAATACTTCATCAGCAGCAACACTGACCACTTTGCCACATACCGCGACTAAAAAGAAAAAGGTGACAAAGAAGGAATTATTACCAGAAGATGTATTCCCGTTACGGCTAGATAAGAAAGATCTCGTATTTATGCAATCGTCCTTGGGAGAAGGCGAGCACGGGCAAGTGGCAGTGGCCAAGTATGGCGGCCTTCTTGTAGCTTGCAAGTGTCGAAGGTCTAATCAATCTCAGCTTGTCTATAACCGTAACATCCTCCACGAACTCAGATATGCTGCGAAACTATCCATGGGACGCTTTATCAACCCTTATATCGGCGTGTTCAAGGCCGAACTTTCGGAAATCCTTTGCAGCGACGTAGAACACAATCAAAGATCTCCTACCGAAAAGCAAACCAACACCATTGACTATTTCATCGTGCAACGTTACTATGAAAATGGTGATCTACGTGACTATCTCCACAAACTTGGTAATGCTGCGAAAAAAAACTAAAAGAAGGGGGGAGGGGAGGGGAGCTTTCACTGTTTGAATGAGTTGACCAGCATATTAACATGATATAGGTAGACCACTTCATCCTTGTGAAGTTCTTACTATGGCCATTTCTCTTTTTTCCGCCGTTACAGATGCGCATCATCTCAATATTGGTATTGTCGATTTGAAAATGGAAAATATGCTGGAAAGTCTTTTGTATTCCTTTTCCCCGATTTCGTTTGTTGCAACCATGTATTAATCCGTCATATCATTCACAACAATAGGTTGACGGTATTGGAGCTGTTTGGTTGACGGATTTTGGGTAACCATAGCAACCACGATTGATACATGGCTCTTGGGTGGTCGAGATACATATATCCATATTGATGCTTTCCATCTTTTTCTTTTCTTTGACACAGATCTTGTGCTGAAATCAACGATCGTAAGCCACTGTTCCTTGATAGAGCCAAAGTAAATTGGACGGAAGAAGTAGCATCACCAGGTAAAAAGAGTGGATTGTAGAATGGATCCTTGTCTCATGGACTGACATCGTCGTTGGATAGAGATGATCGCTAAGCGGATATTCATGAAGAGCTCCGACGTGTTTATGGCCACGTTGATGCTTGCTGAAATTTTAACACATGGCATGGACGATCAGGAATTTGAACAGCGCGTGTTACGGAGACAATACAATGGAAATATTGACCTTCAGTTAGACATATTCCTTCCTTGCTACGCACCGTATCAACCGATTCTTAGCAACGGTCTCAAAAACAATCCCATTGAAAGGCCAACCGCATCCAGCATCCTGTTCTATCTCCACAATATGCAACGCCAATCATTTGGCGATCCCGCCACAAACCCTGCCATGGCGCCACTGTCATCCGCAATATCGCAGCCATCAGAAACCTGCGCAAGCCGCTCCCCCTCTTTATCAGACATCTGCTCCGACGTAACGGAATGTGACCGGTGGAGCAAATCTTCTTCTGATCACGAAAGTAACGAGGAACCATTGTACAGTAAACTGCCTGAAAGGTTACCTAGTGAACAAACATCGCCACTTCATACCTCTTCCGATGGTTTTGACTCTTCGGATCACAACGATGAAGACTATGAGTCTTGCATCAGACGAAGCAGGAAAAAAGCCCGAGCCGTAACCCGTTTGGAAATTGAAAACAACAATTTAGTCCATTCCTGATTTATTACATATCAATCAGATCGCCTTGCATATTACATTACACAGCGTGAATCATGTCATGACAATGCCATGTCACACCACATCACAGCACATCACACCATAAAAATGTTTGCTATCATTATTATCACAACATGATGTTATCTGCCATTCCTCTTTAAAAGGCTCGCTTGCCGCTCAACACTTCAGACCATAGTTTGAAATCACAAATAAAGGACCAAATGGGGTATCGAAAAGTGGCAGGTTTGCTGAGCCGGAAGAAAAACATACGTTAGTATGGCCCTATCACTCCAATTTTTTCAACAATTCTGTCTTACTTTTTCTCAAAAACAAAGTGTCCAATCCATGCAAAGCCGTAACCTAGTCGACAGAATACACCGTCAGGAACAAAAAAGTTTCTATGAGACAGTAGAATCAAAACTCTCACCCTGCACCAACGCAACCCAGAGTAATGATGGTTGTTTCTGAATGGCGGCCCACAAAAGAATGGCTAAAGAAATCGTAGAACCTAATAGTTCGGGGTAGGATTTAAGAATGGCGCACGGCCGCTGAATACAGTTGATCAAGAGAGCATACCGATAATGTGCAAACGACGATTTGTTCGATCGCAATGTTCTCCTAAATAGAATGGATAAAACGCTTCCAAGCTCTGAAATCCGCCAGCAGGTTCCGAGCGACGCGAATAGTTTGGATTGACAACCTTGATACTCATGATGCTTTGGAAAAGACAATAACGCTGTGTCTCCGCGCCAGAATAATTAAAATGGTGACAAGTTGCCGTAAACTGACAATCAAGCTTTGTCAGCCCGTATCTCCGCGAAAAACATATGACTTCCAGGTACACCCGCTTATGTGCCTTTAACTTTTTCCGTCTCCCTCGATCATCCTTGTATTTATAAAAAAAAAAAAATCAATGTCGTTTCATCTTGTCTCTTTTCATCGCTTCACCAACCATGCCTTGTCTTCCATTTATCTCTGCTTCAATGACAAATACAACTCGGCGTTTTTGATATTAGCTGCAGCAATGCCATCATCTCAAGGGAACATGACATCCAATTGCATACCCAGGGCACACTTGCATGTTTTGCTGTTTTGTTTATTCAATCTACTGACGTCTCTACTCATCTTGCCATGCTTTGGAAATGATCTCCTTGCCATTGGCAATAGCTTTCTCATATCCTTCCAACTGTTTTTGAGTAGTTTTCACTTTCTGCAGCAAGAATTTGATGCGCTGATCGATCTCTTGCGGTGGCCGACCGTTGTAAATCTTGGAAAGATGTTCGATAGTATCCTCGAATTTGGCGATGCTGTCTTCAGCCGTCTTCTTGAGTTGCTGGTTCGTTTCAATTTCCATGGAAGCAGCAAATACAGAATCCATCACTAAGCGATGGAATACCGTGTAAAAGATCGGCTTCCCAGGTCGAATCGAATTCGGTCGTCCTATGCGTCATGAAGAATAATTCAGGAGGGGTGTAAATTTTACACACAAGTCGTTTCTGAGGTTATATTTGCATTACCATCGGTTTGCATGACGGTGATAAGCTCAGCTCGTTCCATTGCTTTCAGAGCTTTGTCCGAGCCATTAAATAGAGCACTCCATTTCAGTTCATCGTAATTGATCTGCGCTCACAAAAACGTCAATTCAAATGACAAACGGATGGGTCAAAGCCGGCTTGTGTACACTTACACTTTTCGCTTTTGTTAATCGTTTCACAATATCCCAAAACTGAATTGGTGACCATTCCATACGGTTGTCATCCACACCCGATTCGCCAAAACCATATTTTCGGATTTCAATCACATTTCGTTGGACAATATCATCAAAAGCAGCTAAGTAACAAAACGAAATCAAAATTAATCACGGTCCAGCCCAAGCTTCTGTTTCTCTTGACCTACATTGAGCATCCATATTCATTTTCATTTTCTGTACCAACAGTTCAAGTTCGGTCAAGCGTCCACCTAACGCAGCGACGATATCATGCAGATTCTCGTCCACCTTTTCAAGACCTTGTTCATCCACGTCAGCATACCGTGACACTTATATAGAGAGTAAAGGCTACTTACCGAGCTGCTTTGAAATAAACGATATGGCTACTTCGGGTGGTGCATCTGACAGGACAATATTGGAGAATGTCTTGTTTGGCAGAGCTGCAATGACGCCAAAAAACAAATAAGTAAAACGCAACGATTGACCACTTTCGACTCGCCTTTTTATGCCTTACCTTTGGTAAGCACCTTTGAAATGCTTACATTGGAACTGACAAACACGACGTGAGCGATTTCATTTTCCACCAATAACGAGGCCCATTCCGCCAATTCATCCCACAGTTGAGCATTTTTCCCTGTTTCTCGGTGCATGTAATTCTCAAGCACCACAATCGGTATAGCGTCTCGTACATCATCCACATCCTCATCGTAATTTTCTTCTTTTTTTTCATGATGTTCCTTCGACACATGTTCCAAGACCCAATGCTGAAGTCGCGTCAGGACACTTTCTTGTTTCTTGAGATCACTGTGTCTCGACGCCTTCTCTTTGGGTACAATGTCACGCAATGCAATGGCGACGGTTTCCAGGATACCTTTCATTTGTGAGTCCGGGGACGAAGACAACCCTGTTTTTTGACCCGTGGCAGCCGTCACGACCGTTTCCATTAAGCTGCTCGTTGAAGCCACCCACGTAAATATAGGGAAATAGCCCACTTGTTTCGCCAGTAATTTCGTCATTTCCGATTTATTTCGTGTGCTCACCAGTTGTTCACAATCGATGAAGAGTTTGTTGCTTGGTACATAGTAGTGTTGGTGAGAAAACATCAATCCTAGTCGTGTTGTCCGCCATACTTACTGTCGGTCATCAATGGCTGCTTTTATGAGGGCCGATTTACCACTACCCTTTGGTCCGGTGACGACAATAAATGATTCTACCCGCGCCTGCTGTCAGTATAACGTCAAACGCTCTCCGCTGCTTGATTGAAACCGAAACATACCTGGTGTTTCCCGAAGCCATGTTTTAACTTTCTCCATATGTTCCTTATCATCCGCCCATACAGCGTGCCGGTTGACCGTGGTCCGATCGGTGGGTAATAAGCGGGCCCACGTTTCTGTACGGACCCAGCGATACAGGGCATATTCTTCCGGATTGAAACGTTGGGTGACTTTGGATGTAATGAAAAAGACACGAATAGGATCAAACACAGCGTAAGTGACACCGGCTATCAAAGCGGCAATAACTGGAATCGTAATACGCGGATGACTGACAAGCCATTCTTTCACCACATTGGTTCGCTACACAAGCAAAAACAAATCCAAATCAGCGTCCGCGTTCACCCACAAATATTGAGAATGTTTACCAGCTGTCGTTCATACAAGATATTGAGCCTTGTATTGTGGATGATGTGACCGTGGAGACAATTCTTGGCACTTGTGGCTGCTCGAACACGGGTGAATTGTACAATAGCGTATCGTGCCGGGTCCTTGGCAACGTGCGGATTTGGATACAGGGAAATGTCATAGACACGGCCATATTGTCGTAGATGCTTGTACAGTTTCTCTACACTGCAAGGTTCTCCTTGAAACTCGAGGCGTAATCGAGGCGTGGGATACCGGGAAAGAATATCTTCCAGGAACGGTTCCCCCTTGACCAAGAAAGCACGCAACGGCTGCAAATTGAAGGGCGCCACTATCTTTTGTTTTGACAGATGTTCGGAAATCCGGGAAACAATCTCCTTGGCTGCTGTTTTGTATTCCTCGTCGGTGCTCTGAAAGGTGAACTTCACAATAGCACCCCCATCTTTTGTTCTAACGCATGGGGTTCTTAGGAATCCATAGTTTCGGAGCCTAAACAGACTAGTTCATCCATACCTCGCTTGAATATCCTTGATGGCAAAATCAAAAGGTAAATCCTTGCTGGGAACAGCTTTGCTCGTCCGGGTTTCAAGAAAACGACGCGTATCACGGAAGAAGAATTGTCGGATATCGATCACATTCATTCTCAAGGGAAAAACATTGTCGAGAAACAGCATGGCGGTTTGTTCTTTTGGAACAGACGTCAGTTTAACCTGTGTATGAATCGTCATTAGAGATGCAAAAATGACATAAAATGGCCGATCGAGAATATTTTTCTTACAGACGTGCTGGTGGCCCTCTCGCCTAGTTCTTCAGCAGCCCGTCGACTTGTGGTTCCAAAGTATCTGTTCACATGAGACTGGGTCACTGCACGAGTATGTGAAATGGAGTGTAACGTAGACGGACGAAAGGTTGTCGCAATGGCACGGGGACCTGCCCGTGAACAAGTCAATGCTCCTAACAACATTGCTTCTTTTTCCTTTTTTTGCAGTTACAAAAAAGTCGAAATATGCAAAGGAACAATCAAGGTGACGGAAATTCAATGACGATCGGAATTCCTGTGACGGTCAGGTTGCACGAGCCAGGAAAGAAAAAACACCATAATGATGCAATGTCCAAAAACACAGCGACATTTTAATCTGCGCAGACTCTCTACTATTTCCAAATATGATCCTTTACCAACGTCTCCTCTGCACCAGCCTAATAGAGGCCACATTGAATTTTAGCATCTATTGTCAATGTGCTTGACAAAAAGCCTCATTGGATCCATTCTTTTCGTTTAACGATTAGCCCTGTATTTGGGTGTCAAGGTACCCTATCTTTAATTTAAGATACAATTCTCATCGACACGCATTCTCTACCTGCTATAAACAGTCATTCAATGACAGTGGTTGATTTAAATACTCATTTAATGGTATACAAATGGTCATTCTTCTTCAAGTTGCTATAAACAAGATGTATAGAGACGATCCTTCGATCCGGAGGTAAAGTTCGGCAACACTTTTGAGATTCCGGTCCTATCTTGCCCGTCTGAGTGATGCTCCGACTTGGTTCCGCCGTCAGACGCATTAATCGAATAGTTGAACATGAACTTCATCTTCGCCACCACTTTCGTATGCTGTAGCAGCTCAACATATGGCTGCTTTCCAAGAAATGCATTGATGTTTTACTCATTTTGACGACGGAAACTTGCTCTTGGTCAAAATGGTCAGATACGCACGGGTATAAAAAAATTAAAAGTCAACGCGCGAACAGGAACTGATCTCCACCGTCATTTAACAGTGGAAAATCCATGAAGAAACTGGTGGTTACCCACTCAAATCGAAATTGAACATTGGAACAAGCGAAGTGATCGTTTTGGGGTCACCAATTCTTTGATGGTTATAGGAAAGGAATTTTTTGTCTGCCCCGAAACACCAATCAAGTTGCATGATTCGGCAATGGGCGGTTTTATATGGTCAGAGCAAGGTGGATCAAGTTTTTGACATTTGTCAAACAGGAGAAATTCAAAGCCTGCAGAACATGCATGTACCCAATGTTTTGTACATCAAATGCACTCATATGTAATTAGACGAATAAGAACAACCGAGCAACTTTTTCTAAAAATATGCACCAACTTCTTGAACTTGCGACTGAGTTCAGGCACATCTATCAATGGCAGATCAAAAAAGACTACAATTAGCTTCGCTTCGTAATGCAGCATTCGCACAATGATGCTTGTTATTGCTGCATCAATCAATTTCTTATAATTCCATAATCTGTTTTTAGCTTGAATGTACTCTAGTCGCTCTTTATCGTCGGTGTTTTGCATAAAACAACACCTTCCCGATCCGTCTTTGTCAGAAGCTGAAGAGCTAACTGTCTCGCCAATACTGTGTCACCCACGCTGTTGAGAAGCGATATCTATGTAGGCTAAAAATCTTAAAAAATCGCTCAATTTCCTTCCGTTTTGGTACACGCCTTTGCTGTTCCTAATTCTGGGAAGTATGCCGAGAATAGATTGTATATCAGATTGATGATTTCTCTAACGCATCGTTTATCCTGCGACAACATTTTAAATTAGGCTTAGTGCTTCAGCACAGGATCTCTGTAAGCATTCTTGTCATGCGGCTGACCGCTTCCCTGATGTTTTTGTCAGCGACCATTGGTTGACGACATTTTCTTTGTTCAACATGCATAAAATTGATGCCATTTTACTCGTTCAAGATGAATTCCAGTACTCTTTTCATCTATAATGGTTGCATACACCCGATCAAAATCCAAGCTATATTTCATCGACCATCATCCAGAAGACTGGGATTTCACTCGCTTTGCCCTAAAGTTTCCTGCCATGCGCGCTGATGCGCAATTATGTCAGTACCTGGACGCACTAGATTAGATAATGTGTCAAAAAGTCCCTGCTGACGAATGGGACCTTGCGGAGAAATTCTACAAGAAGTGGTGTAAAGTTAGTATATAGGACGAAGCTGAGCCAAAAGTTCAAAATGCTAAATTGATAAGAAATGCTATCATCAGTCTACCGCAACCACCGCCGTTACCCACTCCGGTCACCACAATCCCTGAGTCTACCCCTGTGGACAACGAGTAAGGACGTAACTTTTAAAAAAGCTTGTATTCGTTATCTGATGATGTGGATATTTAGTGCCCTGTCGGTGGTGGAGAATGCCGAGCCGGTGGTGGAGAATAACGAGCCAGTGGTGAGGGAGAATACCAAGCCTGTGGTGGACAATACCAAGCCAGTGATGGAGAGTGCTGCGCCTGTGGTGGAGCAATCCACCAGGAAGGTATTTAAGACGTTCGCAATTGAAGTACTTCCAGATTGACTAACCATATTTAAATTGATAGCGGACATTGGAAGATTGAGAAGAGGAAGACGAAGAACGCGGCAGACTCCTCCAAAGGAGCCGGCCCAATCCTGCTGACACATCAAAGTCCCCATTGTGGCGTAATTGGCTGAACTTCTTGAATATGTAGTCATATTCCTTTTCCAAAAGCCACATATGCAGCCATATGTGTCGATGGAACAGTGTACATAATAAAACGCCAAAAAATACGACGAAGCATTTGTCGTACTTTTGTGTATGGAGCATATACTGCTCCAGGTATTTTTCATTGCTTTTTCGGAAAACTCGGATACATTCATCGTTGTCAATCATCCTGGATTGCGGTTCGTCCAATCAATTCATAGATCTCTACTCCTCAAAGGTCCAGTCGACCTTTTCTCTGCGCCGTTTCAGGCGGTTTGCCTTTTGCTTGTCAGTGAGAGCAGGCTTCCTAGCTGGAAAATAAGAAGCAAAGCCATATTTCTTCGGTTGAATGTGGACCTTGACATCGCCGTCCCCTCCCCCAGCAACGAAACGTTGATGCTGAATCGAAATTGATGCAAAGGGCGCACCATCACACCTTTTTTTACGCTCATTTTCGATGCCGACGGTGCTTAGCAAAAAGGGGCATGAGTTGTCTAACGTTTCTGCGATCCTGATGGGATTTATTGGTAAGGCAGTCGTCCTCATTTATCAAGCTATTGTCTTATTGAGGATTATTATGTCGGATCGGTTGACGGAAACCGTGGCTGGTATACAAGGACCACGCCCTGGAATAGGCCGGACGAATGGTCTGTCAAGATGATCCCCAAAAGCAAATGTTCAGTTCCATTGTCAACCCAAACGTTCCTTAAAACTATAGAATAAAAACGGGCAAAGCTTAGGCCAGACTGCAGGCAATACATTTTTATTAACTTGGTCGTTTTTTAGTGAGCGACTTGGGATAAATAAATTGAAAGATTGATGACATTTTGAATTACGCTTAATTTTTGCCACAGTGGTGGCTGGAACTGAATGTAGAAAATAGTACTGCAAAGATGTAACCGTTTCGTTATTTATTACTATTGCTTTGTTCTTGTTTAAACGATACCGAAAGATTAAATTGAGGTGCACTGGCAGGCTGATTATCACAAACTGACGGAATTACTAGGCCGGATTGTGCAAAGGGACTGAATACGTTAATTACCAGAATATGTAAACCTTATTTTGAACCGCGTCAGTGGCCTAAGAAGTCACCTTTATGTAAAAAGAGAATGTACTGGCAATATACCTGTCGTCAATGCAGCCAATTTGCATCTAGACAGAAATAAATTAGGCATGACGTTTTGATGTGGATGTCGATCGACAGACAGTGAGTGACTGTCATCCACCCTCAATCACGTCTGCCAAGAAAAAGAAAGCGCATATTCTGCAGCCGGATTCGCCAATAATGGCAATCAATATCATGCAATCTTTTGCATGCTCTCTCCGTTGGTGATGACTTTTACTGTAATCCTTCCGCAGATACAAATCCGATGGGTTGCCTGGGAAAGATTCGCCTTACTGCAGATAGTCGATTGAAAAAAGCTGGGTAAAGCAACCATGGGTCCCCCTTGTTTGAGTTTTACGACGATTGCAGGCGTATAAAGCGCTACATTCTCGGCAACATGCATTTTGACATACCAAATCCAGGCCAAAGCAATTGTCAGGGGTCGACAGAAAGCCAAGGCTTTTTTTTTACCCCTAAACCGAATGATGCAATATAAATACCAGAATCATGATTTAGAGGCGGATTACAGGTCCCTTGTTTCTCTTTTTATTTCAAAATCCATCACTTCATATGAATCGCAATAACAAAACCAGTGGAAAAAAGACGCCCTTGTTGACGCATTTGGTGGCCGGAGGCTGTGCCGGCCTGATGGAAGCTTGCGCCTGTCACCCTTTGGATACGATCAAAGTGCGCATGCAGTTGTCTAAATCTGCCACCAGAAATGCGGCCGTAAGTGGATCAAAGCAAAAACGGACACCATCGCCTTGTCTCAGGACCAGATCAATCTTATATTTGCAACGTAGGGCCAACGACTTGGATTTTTCGGTGTAGGCATGAAAATTGCGCAGAATGAATCTTTTTGGGCACTGTATAAAGGATTGGGAGCCGTGGTCTCTGGTATTGTTCCCAAAATGGCGATCCGGTTCAGTTCATTTGAATTGTATAAATCATGGATGGCCGATATTCATGGTAACGTTAGCACCTCGGCGGTATTTTTTGGTAAGTGGGAAAGATGAGAATATGGGAATGCATAAAAACTCAAAACTCAACTGTCAATGAATAAGCCGGATTGGCCGCGGGTACAACTGAAGCGGTACTTGTGGTTACGCCCATGGACCTTATCAAGATTCGTTTGCAGGTAATGTATAAAAATGGTAGCAAAAGGAAAAATGCCGGCCCGCTTGAGGGAATAGGATACTGACAGTGTTTATAAAGGCGCAACGGCATTCAATGGCAGATCCGCTAGATATTCCGAAATATCGGAATGCGCCACATGCTGCATTTACTATTATCCGGGAGGAAGGCATACGCGCGCTGTACAAGGGCGTTACGCTTACAGCACTGCGACAAGGTACAGAAAAAAAAGGAACTCAAAATGGTTGTGTTGTTCACTGTGACTCATCTTTATTGACCATTGCTTCGTCTACAGCCACTAATCAAGCTGCCAACTTTACGGCGTACCAAGAATTTAAATCCAAAGCCAAAAAGATGCAGAATTTGGATGAACTTCCTTCTTACCAACACTTGATCTTGGGTGGTATTTCCGGAGCCATGGGTAGGATAGCGCCCGCTAAATGGACGATTGAATGAATGATGAACTGATGGATCTTGTATGTAACCCTAGGCCCGCTTTCCAATGCTCCTATTGACACCATCAAAACGCGTATCCAAAAATCAAGTGCACCAGGTTCTGGATACGAACGGTTCAAAGTAGTGACCTCGGACATCATTCAAAAAGAAGGCTTCCGCGCTTTCTACAAAGGCTTGACACCTCGCTTGCTTCGTGTAGCCCCCGGCCAAGCAGTCACATTCATGGTGTATGAGAAAGTGAAGGGATTAATAGATATGTTCTCCGAGAAGATGCAGGAGAGTGAACCAGTGACGAATCTCGTTACAGTTCGGAAATAGCTTCAAGATCGTCTCTGCAATAGTATATAGATCATTTTTATCGCCCTGTGTTCTCTCCACAGGATTTCCTATAATGAGTTTGCTATTTTTTTCCTCGATCATCCTCACCACACTTGTTCATTTCCATGGTATTTATTAAAATAATGATGTGTCGCTCAAAATGAGGAGCTGTATCATTATATTCCCATAAAAGATCGTATGGATGTTCCTAAGCTATGTTGACAGGAGCTGTATATCGGAAATAACAGGAAATAGGGACGCGCATGTCAGCCAAACCCCAGTTTGATTGTGAAAATAACATTCGCGTTAGATCAGCGGATGGTGATCTTTTTTTTTTCTATCTATCTACAGAATGAAACAGATGAAAAATAACGCAACCGCGTTGATCGACCATGGAAACTTCTAGGCGCAAGCCATGGTAAAAATAGGCATCCATTTTGCAACGCGCTTGGATGTCAAGTACGGGAGACCTTCCATATCACTGTGTTTTTTATTGAATCCATCCATGGTCACAATATCTGATACCAATACCGTGAAAACCTTTTGTTCAAACTTGGTCCTATATGTATCAAGCTGTGCCAAGTTTTTTCACTCAAACTCGTTTGAAGCGGCTGTCCAAAGGCACGAAAAAGATTTTTTCGGTATTTGAAACTCCACTTGTTCACCTCGCACAGCCAGTGCACAAAAGCTGCGGCTTTTTACTTAAATGAAATAGTGGCACAGTAGTCAGTTCATGGGCTTAGATGCAAAATTTACCCAAGCTATTGCAAAGATTGTGACTTTTACAGATCATAAACGGGTTGGACGGTTGTTATTATCATTACCATCATTAGCGTGGCAAAAAAAGGTCTCTGATCATGGAAGTCAGTCGATGGAAAAACCCGGTCGATCCAGACTCCGACGATGGGTCCATTGACTTGCCAACATGGGCAATACCATTTTAGCGCCAATGAGTGATGATAATGATGGTGGGCGAAACTGTTCTCCTTGCAGTTTTCAGCTAGACTCATTGACAATTATCCCATTTACGGCCTTTTTTCCTTCTCAGCGTGGGTCTGTTCGCTTGAACTCCGAAGCAAGCTTGGCTATTTTTGTTATCGCGCATGCAGAACTTTTTTTTTTCCTTCTTTTTTCCTGCTCCGTCTCCCTTCCCTGTTTCTTTCTTTTTTTTTTTTTTTCTCGACCTCGACTTTTTTTTTTGTGCTTTTCTCCTCTTCTTTATTCGTCTTTATTTATTTCTTGTTATATAATCAATGGATAAACCCGAGTCACCTACACCCTCTCCATCGGATAACGAGAAATCGACCCCGACCGCTGATGGCAAACCAACATCCGAAGAAAAGGTAAACTGTCAAAATCCCCTTTCTTTTGTCACTGAAATTTCTGCATGTCATCTTATTGTTTTTCTATCTGCTGGTTTTAGCCGATAGTAACAGATGAACCTGTTAATTCAAAGGATGATCAGCCGACAGTGGCTACCCCTTCTGATAGTCCCGAGTCAGAACAGCCGGAACCGACGTCCGCATCTAAATCCGAATCACCCACTGAACCCACTTCGACCTCTTCCGAGGAACCCCAACCAACCACGACGAGTACTACCGACCAACCACCACCTACAACCACGGCAGATCCAACAACCCCCGCTCCAGATCCCACCACTACCAATCCACAAACTTCAGAGTCGCCGCATACACCTGAACCGACACCGGAGCCTACCCCTGATCCCACCACGACACCATCACCTCCACCACCAGACCCAACGACAGAACCTTCTTCACACACTGCAATTCCACCCTCGTCTTCGGATGACCCTGTACCTCCTCCTCCATCATCGAGTTCGGAGAACGCACATTCGTCTGACGTAGGTCCTGTCGTGACGATCACATCTTCCGGAACCAATGTACACACGTTCACTCAAACATCCTACTCATATTATCCGAGCAATGGCGGAAGCAGCAGTCATGCGTTGCCTTCAGGAACCAACTTACCCAACGATCCATCACCGTCTACCAATAAAAATGCCATCATTGGCGGAGTGGTAGGTGGTGTTGTTGGTGCCGCTCTTTTAGGTAAGGTCTATTTGTGAATGATGGATAAATCGATCGAGTTTTCCCTAATCTCAAAATGGATAGGTGCCCTGTTATTCTTTCTTATCCGTCGTAAACGACGACCGACACCGAAAGAGTACGAGCACGATCCTAACGATCCTTTTACAATACCTTATAATCATTCGGGGTACAGCCAACCTATGGCGGGCATCGGATCACCTGCTGGTTCAGGAGCCGCTGCTCGCCATTTCGGTGGTGCACCGTATGCAGAAAATGATCCTGGAACGAAACATGCTTACTATGCTCCTGGCGAGGTCAATGACGGTTATTACGAAGACGCTCCTCATTACCCTCCTGCATCCCATCCTTACCCGCCTTATTCTGGCTCGGATTACGGAGGTCCGAATACCTACGTGGACAATTATCCACCGCCATTGTACGCCAGTCCTCGTCATGTCCCCGATGAAGTGACAGAACCTTACCATAGCCCAACCTCTCCTCAAGAGCGCCATGTGCCCAATCTTGTCGAGAGCGATGCTGATCGTGCTCACCATTAAAATCAAAAACGAAGGGTTACTCCAGGGATTACTATCTTTCTTTTTTATTCCTTTATAGACAATGTATAAACACAAAATGTATTCCACTCTAGCAACATTGCATTGACCGTAAGAACTCGTCGCAAGTCTTGCTGACTGTGGTAGTTTAGTCAGTTTCTGTAAACCATGTAAACAAAATGCATTTTTTTCCATTTTAAGACTCTTATCTGTTTTTTTTCTGCTCTGCAATGAAACACATTGCTTTACTGTTACACATGGGAGGCTGAAAGAAGGGGATTCGGAAGGGGAAAGCGGATAAATGGCGCATGCTTGGAATGGATTTATCGCTGAGCATGTATGAATGCGATCGCCATAACAATAAAACATAGTAAAACATGCCATGATTGTGTATGATGTGTTGTGGCCGGACTCGTCATCATTTCCATGCTTCCAAATCCACCCAAGGCAAACCAACGCGGTTCTCCCTGTTCCAGCAATGCGATGGTGGTAGTGGTCGTTACTGTTGCTGTTGCTGTTGCTGTAACAAAAGACGTCTTTTCCAACGTGCGAAACTCCGACACTGTGGCGAATTGAGTGGCTGTGGTGGAAACCACGACGCTGTCCGCGTTCATAATTTCCCGAACAGTTGGTGTAACGATTTCTTCCATGCTGGACGATGCCGTTTCAGGTTCATAGGCAGAAGTCAACAATGGCTCCGTACTTTGATGAATCTTTGTATTAGGACTAGACGATGTTGTTGTCACCGGCCATGGGTACTCGTCATAAGAAAACGTGTCACTCTCTTGAGGAATCGTGTCCCTCATAGGTGGCCGCCTTGGGTCACTGGATACTTCCTGACCAACGGCAGCACTCGACGTATGGATCTCCATTGACGTAATCTCTGCTGCCGCCAATGAACTTGACGTAGGAGAAGCCACATTTGGATGGTTCGAAAGAGTTTCTTTTTGCACTGATGTAGTACTGGCCAGCGCTGTTTCTATCAAGGATAACATCCAACATGACTAGACTGAATTTCATGAAGCTATGGCAAAAATATTACCTGATTGATCACCATAAAAATCCGGTGGAGCTCGAGGTCGAGTGGATGTCTTTTGTGTCGCTACGTATCTTGCATCGTTCCATGGACTGTAATCCCAAAGCGGATGGGTAGACTCGGAGGCTTGATATTTTCGGTAGGATTCGCTCATCATAAATGAAAAGACCAATGGAAGTTGCAACCATCTGTGAACATTGCAATTTCAATCCTAGGGAAAAGAATGCTTCGTCTTAAAAATTTTGTAATCTTTATTTTATCATCAAGTTTAAAGGGCGTGGTTCAATACATGTTCTTCCCTCAGGGTCTACCATACTGTGATCATGATACATACAAGATAACCCCGATATCTTTTGCGTACAAACGACAAAAGGGACAGAAAGTGATAGAAAATAACATAAATTATTACTGTTCCACTGTGCTGGCCATGGTATTTCTTACAGATCGAGAGTGTTTGACCACTATCATAGGCTAGGATAGCTCATGCGGAGCAACGTCTTGGTTTGATGATTTCGCAAATTAGATTGCAAGTTGGTGTCCTTATGCATTCTATAATTATACGATGCTCATGCGATTTTTGACCATTCGACCAAAATGAAATTCTTTACTGCGGTATGATAGCTTGCTTTTAATTTATTTTATTTTACTTTTGGAGAGGGAAGAATAAACCTTACAATGATCCGCGTGATTTTTAAATCGACCTTTGAAATCGAGGGTATTCTTGGACAATTTTTGTTTGCTCAATGAATCCTGATAATAAATATACATTGCAGAAGAACTGAAAAAAGAAAAATCATGCATGTAATGAGAACATCGCCTTGGGTAGTATAACCGATCATGTCGAGAACATCGGTCATCGGTAAAAAGCCCTAGCAGATACACGAACGTGCGAGTTCTTATCGGGAGTAAACCGAGGGTTACCAATCCAGGGACGGTTTATCTTCGTTTTTCAGGGGTACTTTGTCCACCACTGGATCATGATCAGCAAAGAATTCGGAAGTAAGTCCTGTTGTAACTTGTTCTTCTTTCTTTACAACGATGTGTTTCTCCTCCTCCAAGTCATCGCCAAAAGGAACCCATTGCTCTTCTGCTTTTGCCACGACTTTCTTTTGCTTCACCTTCTTTATCTCCACCGACGGACAATATTGATTGACCGGGCATTCGGCACAACGCGGTCCTCGTGGTAAACAAGTGATTTGACCAAACCCCACTAAAAGCGGATTGATCGGTTGCCAGTATTCTTTCGGTAACCATTTTTCAAGGCTCTACATCGGAAAAATTCAGCTACACGCATCAGCCAAGGGTATCAATTTTACTCACCTTGCGTGTATCTTCCGGTTGTCCATCGGCCGTTTTACACCATCCTAATCGATTAGTAATACGATGCACATGGATATCGACGCCAATGCCATCGTTTCTGAGAAGAGAATGGACATGAGTAACCCAGCTTTGGGCGCATATTGACTTGTCGGTTTTTTCCTTACTTTTTCCATGCTTGCTGCAAGGCCAAGTAACCCTGTAAACAGCATCATGATTCATGATGATGAAGATTAGTGCATGATAAAGAGGAGACTCGTTTATATTGTTCGACAACCAACCATTTTTGGGCCTACAATGTCAAGACTGTAAGTTTCAAGACACACACTATGTGATCCGATCTTTCGTATCAAGCACTCACCTACACCTGGTAAGCTCATCAAGCCTTCAATGCTGTCGGGAATGTCGCCATTAAATTGATCGCGTAAAATAACTGCCGTTCTCTTGATATAGTTTGCTTTTTTAGAATGATAGCCTACAGATTTGATGTACTGGTCGAGGGCTTGTTCATCAACAGCGAGAATGCCTTCAAGATTGAGCCCTCCTGGTAGATCTCTTTGCAACGTCTTTACGGCTGCACTTGTGACAGTGTCTTTTGTCTGCGAAGACAGCATCAGAGATACCAGTGTTTGAAACCGGGCTACCTAAAGACCATTATATCACTCAATGTCAGATGGATCAGGACTCATCATGGATCGATTTTCCCCCAATCTCCAAACTCCGAGAAAATAACTTAATTTATTACCTTGTCACTGACATTGGTGGCTGCAAGCTTTGCACAACCCATGGTATCGACGGGGGCTTCATGTGTATCACGGTAGTCACGGATACTGTCATAGACGATTTTCCAATTTGGTGGAGCTGAATGAAAGTGTGATTCATTCGATTCTGCCTTGATCACAGGACTCGATTTCTGTTTGATCCTCTTCGCTTTTTTAGCCGGTGGTGGTGGCGGAGAGCCATCGGAATCATCTTCTTTTAGAGAGGGCACTGGTGTTTTTGAAAGACGAGCACTGCGACGCATGAGTAATGGGGTTGGTATCAATGACAATTCACGTAATAGTTTGACAGATTGATTCTGGCAGAACAACATTTGCTGGGACAAAATTCTGCAAGAGGACTTTTCTATTTTGATGCATCCAATCAAAATTCGACCATCACGGTTGCCCTCAGCGTGGAAAGCATACAATTTTTTCGTGCAAATGACGAAAGGATACTTTACATGGAAAAGCGTAATTTATCGTAACGGTTTTATCATACCATCAGCAGCAGAGAAATGACGGTCATACAGCAAAATATAAAGTTCGATCGACCCCGTGGTCGGTCACTCAGTTCACTTTGGTATATCAGGGTTCCAGCAGCTGCAACTGTAGTGCAGAGATGCGTGTCGGGGCTTGAAGGTTAGAATAAAGGAAGGGTCCATTCTCACGGCAACGGCTGAATCTTGGTTCCTCTCTTTCCGTTTCACCACTTGACATGTCGCACCAGAATCTCGCTGTATTTGATTTCGACTGGTAGTGCCGATATATGGACAATGGGTCCCTGGAATCGGATGTTCTGACAAAAAAAGAGAAGGTCGCTTATAGAGGAAGACAGCGATTACTGGACGATTCAGAATCTGTCACCGGTGCAGTGGGAGAAAGTCAAAACCCTGGCGGGTATGCAGTGGACCGATTTGATGTAGGTTAAAAACAAAACGGAGAGTCGTGTCGCGGCAAACCGAAACTCACTTTCAACTTGAAAGGGATCTATCGGTGAAAGAAATCCAAGATCAGGGCGTAACAAAGGACCAGTTTATGGCTGTTCTGGAAAAGATCCCGTTTGTATGGCTATTTGATACATGGTTCCACCTCGAGACGAAACACGACACATTGAAACTCTTTTCAATAGACAACCGCGATGCTCAACACACTCAAAGTGCTGCATTCTCATCACACGCGTGTTTTGATTCTATCGGATGCCAACACCTTTTATATCGATACCATTCTCCGCGTAAGAAAAACAGACTTGAACAATGTTTATACATTTTCACATGTCAGCCGAATTTCTCATCAGAGTACAATCCTTGGCTATACTTTCAACCTTTTTTATAGGCCTACGGTGTACGAGACTTAGTATCGGATATCATTACCAATCCAGCCTATACGGATGAAAAGCATCGTTTCCGTATTCAGCGACATATTCCCGCCAGCGATCCTCCGCATCAATGCCCCAATTCGTGCGCAGTGAACATCTGTAAAGGTGATACATATGGAGATTTACTGCGAAATGTCAAGATCGTCGCGTAACACAGGAATTATTTTCTAGGGCAGGAGTTGGACAAGTACATTGCCACACATGGCCCTTTTGAGCGAGTGATGTACGTCGGTGATGGAAAGGTAATTAATTATTCAATTGTTGACCCTTGGGAGAAATCAATGTGAGGCGAGCTGACCCCGTATTGGAAATCATTTTCCTCCGGCAGAACGATTATTGTCCATCCACACGTTTACGCGAAACCGACCGTCTCTTTGCCCGTTCCGGCAAATCGCTCAGTGCCATGTTAAAGAACGATCCGGAAGCAGCAGCCAAAATCAAATCAAACATCACATTTTGGGAGACTTCGGAAGTCGTTTTGAAGGCTGTGGAAGATGAGCACTTATAATGCCGATGCCAGTTCACTGTCTGTCGACTATTTTATGCCACTCCTTGATAGATTATCATGTTAAAAGATTTCAGAGACTATAAAAAAAAGGTGGTATGTAGAAAAAGATTTTATATATCCATAAATAAGTAAAAAAGAGTGTGAGAGATTATTCGACAAATTCTAAGTCTTTGATTCTATCTTTAAAGTACACGTCTTTGTATTTCTCGTAAATATCCTTGAGGCTTTGAATATATTTGGCATGCAATTCTTGAACGACCTTGTCAATGTTGCTTTCATCAAAATCTTTGGGCGGTTCGATCGGTTCTCCAACTAGTTCGGGGACGCTATTAGTCATCCTAATCCACAACGCTATTTAATTTTTTCAAGAGATAGATTACTTACTGACAATGTTCATCGGTCGACGGTGAGGCATCAAGCCCATATCATCTAAAGAATGCTGTCAATGAGCGTAGCCGCTTGAATTTTGGGATGGATACCATGATTCTGACTTACAGTTGAATACACCACGACCATGGAATAAGGGCATGGTAAACCCAAACACTTGCTGGAGTCGTTTTTGGAATAAGCGCAATCGCGATCCTTTTTCGTTTTTCACTTGATCATAAATTTCGTTTTCACCAAAACTTAATACGGGGACCAAATTGGCGCCTGTTTGGACGGCAATTTTGACAAAGCCGAACCGCTTCTTCAAGGTCAGATCCATGACGCCTGGACGAGCATTTAAAGATTCCGTAGCACCACCGACGACAATGGCAATAGATCGTCCGGGACCGGATTTCAAAATATATTTGCACGAATCCTTGGATACTGAGCACAGACCACATGCTAATAAATAGTCGCGATGCAAAGGTAAATTAAAGTTGGACGCCAATGTCAACAATGAAGCATGGATGCCAGGATATAACTTTGAAAATCCTGTGCCTTCCGATGAAAAGGTGGCAATAGCACCAATGGCAATAATACCATGGGGATGATAGCCAAAAATATAGTTCTTTGAAGGATCAAGATCGCTCGTCTGCAAGTAACGTGAGTAACCATGTGCGCATCGTCATGAGGTCCTCAAGATTCCGTACCTTCACAATCTCGACAGGGAAATACTCGACGAAATATTTCCACAAGCGCCAGTTTCGAATCCAGACTGAGCGACGACCTCCTCGAGAAGGGGCCTTATCAGTGAGCATCCATATCAAGTAGATGATTAGGATGGGCCACAACACAGGCATAGTACACAGGCATAAAAAGAAGCCCACCGCCACCGCCGGTTCAATGCCCCACCAGAAAAGAGCCAACGTTTGAAGACGTCGACGAAGCGGAACACGAAGAGGTGCCATGCGAGGCAAAGCCTCCCATGCATTAGTCGCATGCGACTTGTCGTCTTCTGGGGTCACGGCTCCTGTGGTCATGGCACACACGCAGTTAAAGTTGAACCAAAAAAAAAAAAAAAGCGAAAAAGCGGGCCGGACTCTCTGCTCAAACCGGCATTACCAAAAGGAAAGATCTCCGCCACGAGTCACGTGGCTGCCTGCAGCGCTGGAAATGAAACGGGGGTCTCGGACATGCCGACCTTCATCTACACATATTCATTTTTGGGTTGCGTGTTTATTTTCTTCCTTTTTTACCCTTCTCGTTTTTTTATTGTTTTATGAATCTTTAAAATAATGGACACTCCGGAGACAAAAGTACATGAGGTTGAGCCGACGCTCACTGGCGACTCGTCAAGTCAGGCCACCGAGACAACGGATGCTGACAGTATGGATTTCGAAATGAGGGAAACTTGGACAACCACGGATTTGGTGGCGGAGAACGACTTTGATATGATTCACAGGTTGTCCTCGATGCTCGACGAGGTGACGTCTCAACTGCACGAGAAAAGGAGAGAACTTGGCCAAAAATCCGCCAGTTGGACCATGAAAACCAAGAGCCGGATCAACCATCAGACGAACAAACTGGAAGAACGACGCGCCGCGATTCAGAACGAGCTGTTGCGGCATTATCAAACTATCAATGATCGCATTCATCAACATATCAAACTACGCGACAAAATCTCGTTTGTGGTGGGGGTGGCTAATGCCTGTGTGACCCCCGTGGTGGCTTCAAGGATCCCCGAGTGGATCCCTGTTTATTACACCGCCCAATGCGCGTATCTGCTCACTTTGCGGTTCTTTCTCTACAAGCTGCGTCACTGGCATTACTTTATTTTCGATTTATGTTATTTTGTCAATGTCATGGTGCTTGCTTTCCTTTGGATATGGCCATCATCGCCTTCTTTGTTTGTCGCCGCTTTCAGCCTGACCAATGGTCCCGTAGCCTGGGCGATCGTCACATGGCGTAATTCTCTCGTATTCCATTCGCTCGATAAGGTTACCTCGGTTTTTATCCACATTTTCCCCCCTTTGGTAATGTACACCATCCGATGGATGCCCGAACTTCACCGAGACCGAATCGCCACCACACTATATAGGAATCAACACTTTCTCGACTTGAACGAGTTGAAAGTCACTTTTGGCAGCATCATCTACTGGTCGACGGCTGCGTACTTGATCTGGCAAGCGCTTTATTTTGTTTTTATTATTGTTAGACGCAAGGAAAAGGTGGAATCGGGAGCTCGTATCACTTCCTATTCATGGTTACTCAAGGAAACGCAAAAGCGCAAATCGCTGATTCAACGAGCCGCATTCGCGTTTGGTCCAAAGTACAAGATATACATGTTTATGTTGCTCCAGTTGGCGTACAACCTTGTGACAGTGATTCCCACCTATTTTCTATACAAGAGCTTTTGGCTGCACACTGTGTTCCTTATCTCCATGTTCGCAGCCAGTGTTTGGAACGGAGCCAACTACTACATCGAAATCTTTTCCCGGCGGTACATTGCTGAACTCGAAAAAGTCGTAAACAAGTCCCAGAACATGGACCCTGCCGAAAAGACAACAGATCGTCCCTTGTCATCAGAAACCGCGAAAAAAGTGGCGTGAACCCGTGTACAGTAATAGTAGCAATAATAATAAATGAGGGGGGAGGAGGAAACAGTGATTCCATTGGGAAGTGTGTATGTGGAACGGATATCATTCAGTGTCGTGGTATGGGTGATTGCTGAGCGGTCAGAAATGCACCGAAGGGCATACAGACTCGGGAAATGAAGGATGCGTATTGTCTTTGGATATTCGGTCTAGGATGACTCTTTGTCTTCTTGCGGTGTTTGTCCATATTTCATTCGTTTATACTTCATGCGTTCCACGGCTTGTTCTCTTCCCAATTTTGAAGCGTCACGGCGAGCCTGCGCCAAGTCTTTGGAAGCGCGCCAATGATGCCGATTGGCTGCTTCCAGTAAGATGGATTCGTTGTTGTGGAAATAGAAAAAGTTGAATATCCCCAAGGTAACGGAGACACCGGCAAGGATGGTCAAAAAGGTATTATTGCTCATATACTTGGGGTTGTCGTGCGATGACCAAGGCCCGTCACGGTAAGTCGTGTCATCGTGAGCCCAGTAAGCGTTGGTGTAGGAGGCTGGACGATGTCCAGGGGCCGGAGTGGGACCCCACGGCGACGGGGAGGTCAACGGCATATCCCATCCAAGCCCACTTTTCAAGTACATTTCCCGACGGCTAGGATTGGAAAGGAATTCGTAGGCACGTACAACTTCTCGAAAACGGTCGACATTGCCCGTCATGGTGTTGTCGGGATGCAGGGATTTCGCCAGTTCATAATATCGTTTTTTGATTTCCGCAGCGGGCGCACTCGGTGGCAGTGACAAAATCTCAAATGGCGACTTGGTCGGTTTGGAAACAAATGAACGACGCTGATAACTAATGGATGTTCGAGCAATGGTTTGCCGCCATAACATTGTCTACTATGTATGTTCAAAAAGTTGGTTGAACCGGCAACAGCAGAAAAGAAGCAAATGAGAAACAAAAAAAATAAAATGTCAGGTAGGCTCAAAATGGTTGAGATAAATTTGGAGAGTTGTTCATTTGCAATAAAACGTCATTGGATGGGTTTTGCTTATTATGGTAAATCGGTTATTTTCTTTATTTTACATGCCCTTGATGTATTCGGGATGGTTAGTGAAGAGCGTATTAATGGTGGTAATGATTTTCTCCAAAGCACAAAGCCATTCCTCCATCTCCTTCTTGTCCGCATCGGTAGCAACACCAATCTTTTCGTAAAAGTCCTTGCGGTAAGGGCAAGCTTTCATGGCAAGCTGGGAAAAATAAGTCAGCCAAACTCTCTTTGAGATATACAGGTTGACATGGGTGACTTACAGTGAACACAGGACGCACAACAAAACTATGATGTTTCTTCAAGGTTTCTTCATATGATTTGGTGAAGGAGATATTCAATTCCTCGGCAGGGTTATCGATATTGCGACGAAGCGCGCGTGCGGTGAAATCCAGACCACTGGGGGGAAAACGCTCGTTACACACAATGGCCAATACTTTTAAGAACCCAGCATTGGGCTCTTTCCAAACTTACCGTGTCAACCACAACAATCCCTCGGTTGCCACACGCTTCTTTTCAGGTGCTTCGGTGGCGGTCAAGTTTTCCAAGGTATCGTTGGCCGTGGGGTTGGACAAGAAGCGTTCTCTGATTTTCTGCGTTCCTCGGTGTCAAAATCTCATCATCTTGTACTCATCCAAGTCACCAATGCAACGCTTACCTTGATGTTGCCATTCATATCGTTTTGCACTACGGAGAACGCGGCGGAACCAAAAGCATCTGGACAAACCATCGTCAGACACGAGAAAAGGCGCATCGCGTCTTTCTCATATAGTAGGACTTACCGAAAAGCTTGACAACACCCTCGGTGGCTTCAAGAAATTGAGTGGTGTCGATACCCTTGGAGGTGTCAACCTTGGTATATGAACGAGTAACAGTCTGGAAATAAGCCATGATGAAGATGTGAATGCCAAGAAAGGAGGATAACCCATTTGGGTGGGCCCATCCCAGCCCAATATAATTCACGAGCAGAATCTCCAATGTCCGACCATTCGTCCAATTTTTTTAATTTTTCAGAGCCAGTCCTTTTTGACGCATCTGTCAAAAAAAAGTTCCCCATTTTTTTGTGTGCAAACGGTGTCATATCGTCTGATTCAGTGTGATATGCACACTGGGTAGTACAAAAAAACTGCATTTATCAATGTCGTGGCTATGCCCTGCGGAAAACGTAAACCATCTATCAGTTCGCATAACTGTGATCATCGCCAAGGAAACTGCCCGATTTTTGGGTTTCTCAAAGACGGCCGCATAAGACGGCGATCGTCCTTTTTACAACCATCTCTTGGTTCCCATTAATTGGAAAGAGAAAAAAAAATACAGTTTTTTTTTCTTTTTAATTCAATGGAAACATTGCTTATCAAGATGCTGTTGAATTGTAGAGCGACTAATGAACAACCTCCTTTCAAGGATACACGTGATGCGCCTCATGAGATGAACAAATAATCATGATAACGTGAGGAGGTCCACACGATCGTGGATCGATTTATTTCGCCTCGCTTGATTTCACCACTTGTAAGCAAATAGCTTCAATCCATTTCTCCTTTCCTGCTTTTCTCCTTCTTATGCCATCACGATGTTGACCGAATCCACACGGATTGATCGTTTTCTCATCTCGGGTCTCAACCCCGACCATGGCGATGATGAGGCCGACGAACAAGCTTTCTGGATCGGCTTGATGGTGTCATTGGTAACCAACTTTGTTCAAGCATTTGCCATGGCATTCCAACGGAAATCACATATTATAAACGACCAACTGTCTCCTGTGGAGCTTCAAAAACCTTCATATCGTCGTCCAATGTGGGTGGCCGCAGCTACCACGTATCTTGTAGCCAATATCATTGGTTCTGTATTTTCGATCGGATATTTGCCGATTGTCACTCTTGCTCCGATTAGCGCTTTGGGGCTCGTTTTTAATGCGTTCGCAGCCTGGGGCGTGCTTGGAGATCCGCTTACCAGACGTAGCGTCCTTGGTAAGTCATCGACGAGTTTTTCATTGGTTAATGTCATACATCCATTGAAAATGTTCGTTGTTTTGTCATTCTCTAGGCACTGGTAGTATTGTCATTGGCACGTTATTGGTTGGCCTGTTTGGTGTGATCATCGAACCCGATCACGATATCGACGATTTGATTCAACTATACCACAAGACGACCTTCATTATCTATTTCAGCATCCTAGAATTTGTGATTGTTACCGCCTTGATTTTCACACATTACTTTGAGCAACTGTATTTCAAGCTTCAGAAGCAGAATTTCATGCCAGACCAACCACGACTGAAATGGCTCGCCTCGGCTGATTTCAGAATGTACCTTGGTATCAGGCAAGTCACAGGATCATTGTTCCATTCATAAAGAAAAGAAAAAATCCGGATCAGCCCCTTGGTAATATGATGCAATCATTTTTAGTTATGGTATGATCGCAGGCAATATCAGCAGCCAAAGCATGCTATTCGCGAAAAGTGGGTTTGAACTATTCATTTTGACCATCGTTTTCAACATGGATCAGCTCCACTATCCGCTCACCTGGGTTTTGGTGTCCATGGTCATCGTCACAGCTATTTTGCAAGTAAGTCCAGAAGTCAAATCAAGACCATCTTCAGTGGCTCATCAATGATGGTTCCTCCCCCGCGCCTTGGAAGCTTTATTACCTCAACAAGGGTTTACGGCTCTGTGACACGGTGATTCTAGTGCCATTGTCATCATGCGCTTTCAATGTGTCCTGCCTGTTTAACGGCTTGGTATACTATGATCAGTGGAGCCGGTTGCGATGGGAGCAAATTATAATGGTCACGTTGGGCGTCTCTCTGATTATCTGTGGCGTTCTGATCCTGTCGTGGCGAGGAGGAACGAGTACCGCCCATTTACAGGAAAATACGGTAACAGAGGCCGCCCTGGTTCACAGCGACAGTTTTATTGATGAAGCGGTTCCTGCGGAAGATATGCATGAAGGATCTTCATCGGGTCGCATGCGCCATACCTCGTCAGAGCCTAATGAGAAGACCCGACTATTAAAGAAGAGATGATAAGCAGAACGAACTGCATGGCACTTCACTTGACGCACAGTGCTGTAGGCTACTGAAATGGGTGCATAAAACAATATGCAGTTTATGCTGACGTTCTTATGTATCTCACGCCGAGCAATCACCATTTGTGTATTACGTAACAAAACACTCTTGTCTGATCCTACCTATTGATGAACCATGTATTATAACATATTTTGATTACTTTCATATTCTTCGATGTGGCATCGTTCACATTTCTGTGTATTGGGATAATGAATAAACGGATTATCCAGACTGATGTTGGGATATTTTAATGGGTATTAAGTGGCTTCACAGATAGAGCTACACGGTTAAGAGGAGGATTATCGACCCATCGAGCATATGCATTCGACTCGACCAAGTCGATGCTACGAACTCAGAAGGTTGAAAAATCTGACTTAGGGAACCGGATGTTACTAACCAATCGTAGTGGTATACTAGATTGCATTTTTATTTTCGTTTGATTTCAGCCTCATAAGGTCCATTAATCAATGATATTTTTCATGGACTCCTTTGCACACCAACTGCCATTGGGACATATCAGAAGGATTTGCAATGAAAGCATGGGGTCACAATGTCATGAAAATGATAATAACAGGGAAAATGATGAACACATAAAGATGCTCCGAATGACCGACTCAGCTGAGTCGATCAACAAAGGTAATCAAATCAAGCAGCTCCAATGATAACTCTCCAAGCCACTCTACCTTGATTTTTCTTATCAATGGGTTCATTTCTCTTTGTAATATGTATATAATGCTTTCATTTGAAACTGTCTTCCGGTCACCAACTGCATTTATGATAGGAAAAATCCATACAAAGCAATCGACTCAATTGAGTCGATTGCCCTATTCAGTACTTGCTATTAACGATCATAATGGTTGAATAAGTCATCTTACCCTTATTTGCCTATCCAAACCAATCTTTTTCAACTGCCCGCAAGTACTATATACCAAGTCTTCAGAAAATCGATAACTGGCATTAAGGTACAATTTTTACATCGCAGTATCGTCTTAAAGGTCTCTTTGCTTCACGAACTAATATAATCCCTCAAATGCTATGGATTTCAAATTATATCGCAAGTGTATAATTAGCCTGTGAGAAAGTAAAAAATCATGAATATACGGTACAGTATAAGATATGGATTCCGCTAAAACCAAAGAATATTGTTATTGATATTTCAAAGGACAAAACAGAAAAAAATAAATATGCTTCGGCCTTGTTTTACGAAGAATACAGATGATGCTGAGCCAAAGATTCTTCCTAATGTATTTATTAAGGTAATGAGAATCGGTAGTTGGTATACGAAACTGTTAGTGCTATGTGAATGATTGAAAACCCGTGTGATTACAGAAAGAGGAACATGGCATTGAATGTTTTGGTACGCAGGACCTTCCAAATAGAGTAATGACCGAATTGAGCGGGATGGTGTGGAGACATGACGGATGTTCAAAAATCACATTTCGTGCTTTTTTCCCTTTTTATATCTTCAACCTTTTCAAAAAAAAAAAAGTTCCTACACGCACAGCCAAAGAGAGAGAAAGAGAGAGCACGGTAGGGTTCTATTTGAAATGGCATGATAATGAATAGCCTTTTTTTATTTATTTCTGCGTACGAACTCTTTTGTCCGCTGAATACACACGCTTAGACGCCCCAACATCATCTTGCAAATCATGACTTCCTATGACACACGTTCAACCTATTCTTCAGGAGCCCCTCGCCCTTCCGCTTCCACCACGGAATCCAATGATATAAAGAAACTAAAATCCAAATATGGCTCAAGTCTGGCTACTCTCAAAGAACTATTTCATACCTGGTCCGACGAGGATCTACTATTTGCCATTCAAGATGCTGAAGGCGACCTCGAGCTTACCATTGACCGCATTACTGAAGGTACCGCCTAATCTCACTTTTTTTCATTTTAGTTCTTCGCCGACGGTCGTGCAATTATCACTCATGTATATTTTCTCATTGCTTATCATTCATTTCACTGTTAGGTCACGCCAATCAGTGGGATCAAGTCAAAACAAAAAAGTCAAAAAAGGAGACGAACCGCTCCAAAGCAGCGGCAGCAGTCAACACATCTCCCACGTCGTCTTCGTCATCGTCGTATCAACGGGATAAAGTCAATGATCGATCCTACACAACAACAACAAGAAATCCCAGTGACAGAGCCGGCGTAAAGTCGCGCTCTGCGAATTCCAATGTAACAAGCCGTGGCAGTGCTGGTCAGCGCGGCGCACAAGGAACCATCCAATCATTTTCTCACCAACCCACTTCCTGGAAATCAGCAAATCACTCTACGACTCACCCTGCCACCACCACCACTTCCAACAATGACACCTTATCACATGCATCCAAACCATCCTCTAGCAATACGTGGGCCTCCATTGCTTCTATTCCAAAACACGAGACGGAAACCTCCGCTTCTTTCTCTGAACTGAATAATGGAGATGGCTGGGAAACAGGTCACGACCGATGGCCCTCTTATACTTTAGCATCTTCCGAAACTCCCATGCCGCAATCCAAGTCAATGCATGATATTTCCGCCGCTTTCACCTCCCCAACAATGTCATCTTCTCAGTCATTATCTACCATCACCGCTACGCCTGCCACCACCAAGAACGCTGCCAAATCATGGGCCAGTTTACTAAAGTAAGTGGAGGATAGTCGCCCGCTGGTGTATGATAATTGTTTCACAAAGAACTCACTTTGTCGTGCTGTTGTTGTAGGACAAAACCTGCCACCGAACCTCTTCAAATCACTCCGGAATCATCTCAAACCAACAAGCAGACCTCATCCAATCACCAGGAGAATGCACCGGCGCAGGACGCATGGACAGGAGAAGCCCCGGAAGAATCCCAAACTACATCTACCGAGGATGCATGGTCAGCTCCCGTGGATGTGAATGCAGCTTGGAAATCACAGGATACCGTTTCATGGGGGGAAGAAAAGAAGGACGAGTCAACTGATAATGTAGCACCAGCAACTCATGATTCAGAACCGTCCTTCGTTTCTGAAAAAGATCCATTGTCCGCAGGATTGACACAGTCGTTTGCACATGAGGGAGTACCTGCTGTAGTACCCAAAGACAAATCGACAGTGGACGGCGTGAATATCAAGTTCGGTAGCTTATCGCTTGACGAATCAACGAGTGCATCCCAACCGCCATCAAGGTACGCGGTACTTTTAGATAGCCGAAATTGTATGAGTAAATCTGATAACCATTGGTGGTTAGTGCTTCTGCGCTCACTCATCCATCCACTTTGGAAACGTCGGGTCAAGAATCCAGTTCATCTGATCAGCGCGAAGCGATATCTTCCAAGATGGGTGAGGACATTCTAGCTAGTCAAGAGAATGCTTCTGTGAATACGGCAGCAGCAGATGATGCCACGCAACCTCCTGCTCAACAGACATCACAACAAGAACAACAAGCATACCACCAGCAGCAGCAGCAGCATCAACCGGCCCATGATGCAGCCATGGATCCACTATCTTCTGTTTACAATTCGTATGCGTCATATCAACGAATGCACCCCGAATTCAACATGAATCCAATGGCGTTATCATCCAATTACGGTCTCTATGGTTCGGACACTCAGCGGCCACTTGGATCCATGGTACGCGTTTTTTTTTTCCTTTGACTTTATGGGTTGTATTGACAATGTGCTTAATGTAACTTGGATGGATAGGGCTACTATGACTTTAATGCATCTGCTCACTCACTATCTGGCATGCCAATGGGAGGTTATCAAGCAAGAGACAAAGCTGGTCAAGAAAACCCGCTGATTGCCGGTGCCTCGGACCCATCTCAGGCGTTAGCACAGCAACACATGTTTGCCCATCCTTACTATCAGCAGTATTATTACATGGGAAATCAGTACGCAGATATGTATGGGCAGCCATTGTTCAATAAGAACATGTATCCAATGTATGCAGCAGCCCAACAGCAGACAGCGACCAAACCGTCCATGGGATCATCTTATACCACAGGTACATCTCCCTATACAACGCAGGCATTGTACGGGCAAGGAAGTACGACTGCGAATGCCAGTTATGAAGATCTGTTACAGCAGCGTTTGCATGGATTGGATGATTATCAGCGCGGCAATTACAACGGGGGTGTGTCTATGCAAAATCTTTTGAACAGCATGTCCAGCACCCCGCGCACCCCATCTTCGCATCCATCGCTCCCGAAATCCTTGTCGCAACAGCCACCGTCAATGCAAACAAGCAGTGAACAGAGGTTGAACTCATCCGCCAATGATTCATCCTCCTTTGTGGGCTCCATTCCTCAAGCCTATCCAAACTATTTCCAACAGCAAATGTTTTCCTATCAGCAGCAACAACAACAGCAACAGCATTCTCAGCCGCAGCATCCGCAGCAACAGACTTATCGTCATCCGCAATACTGGAACCAATAAAGAAACAATGACCGATATTGAAACATTTTAGAATGAAATGGCAATCAGAGATAAAAATAAAAAAAAGAACCAATGTTGCAGTTGCAGGAAAAAAAAACGTTGCATTGATAGATGAAAAAATATGCATCTTGCCATTGGATAAGAGAGATGATGCGGGAAAAGGTTTGTCTTCCGTTGATTCCGAAAAATGTAAGATGACTCAAAATAAGCTGTGGGAAGTGAGACAACGGAATTTTCTGGATTGTGATTGGCTTAGAACATTTGTCATCCTTTCATGTCCGTTTCCACGCTCTGCATGTTTCACAGCGGGCAGAAGGAAACATCGATGGTCTAGCTGCTACTGCAGGTGGCTAAAAACAAAAAGGAGGACAATCAAAGTGTGAAACGCGATTGGTTTCTTTTAGCGACTTTCTTTGGAAAGGAGAAGCCTGAGAATTTTGGGAGTTTTGTATCACAGGCGAGATCTACTCAAAAAATCATTTATTTGCGCACAATGAAATACTGCACAGATCAATCCACATGCGGTAAGTCGCGCTCCCTCCGGTCATTCATACTCCATAGAAAAATGTCGGCCTCTTGGCCGACCAAAATCGCATGCAAAAGGATCAATTTGGTAAAATTTGGGGGGAGGCGTTTTTTCGCGTGACGGACATATCTGGGTTGAAAATGCTTCTCTGTGTCCTTGTTAAATAAGGCAAAAAAGCTATTACGTAAAATCACCAATGCACACCGTCTGGAAGCTCTGGAAGAAGAGGAGCCCAAATAAACATTGAAAAATTACGCCATAATAGAACTTTTTTTTATTATCCATGCCAACAAACTTTTCAGTGACTCATCAATTCAACGGTAGCTCGTGCAAAGCTTTTTCAATTGATACCAGCGGGGCCAGTGATTTCATTGCCAGCCATCCAGCGGATCAGATCATTCATGGCGACCCCGACGGATACTCGAATAACACGATTTTGAACATTGCATTCGAGAAACAATGTCACTCCCGTTTTTGCTGCAGAACGATGGGACCTTATCGTTGACAAGTGCCACGGAGCGTGTGCAATGGTATTTTTTTTACCGCGTCCAAAGTCAGCAAACGATGGACATGAACGTATGACAATAACGTGTAACGCATGACAACAGCTTGCAGAAGCATGAAAATTTCCTAAATCAAAGAGGGCTTGATAGTACAGATGATCTTCACCAGCGGGATAAGTTTCAACCCCAAATAAAAGATGCAGCATGATCTCCGTGGTGTCTTTGATGTGCATGTGCGATGATTTCTATAGCTGCACCAAGATCTCCATCACGCTAAGTATCGTTTACAATAACCAAGTCATGCATAAAGCTGCACATTATGAAAGCGCTTTCGATGTCTCATAAAGTTTTTCACGTATGAATTTCATCGCTCTAGCGCAAGATCTTCAAACAATTTCATCAACAGATCTACGTCTCGTGCATTGGACCACGAATTATGAAGATGAGGTGGGTGGGATGATATCTCTAAGCATTCATGCAAACTGTCGATACGCAGAGAAAAAGGGGGCAGAGGTCCCCGTCAACAATCGATTATGTGTGAACCAAAAATCAATTCGGATTTCGAGGGGTAAGTGAGTGTCTTGTTTGCCAAGATGCATTTCCAAAATTCTCTGTTCATTGATCTTCCGTGCAATTGAACCATTTTATGGTAAAACTTCCATTGCCATGGCAGGTTTTCTTGTTCATCTTCTGTATGTGCGTCCTGATAATGAGCGAGCATTTTCTGCTTCCTTTTGACGATGAAAAATAAAATAAAAACAAGTCGTTTCTAGAAATTAAAGTTGGGCAATGTTTGATACCTTGCTTTTGAGCTGCAGACTAACTTTTTCTTTTTCTGTAAATACAACAAAAAAGATATAAACATTCCATCACAACCGAACAAAAAAAAGAGCTTTGGCGCAAAGGAGATCTTTTAGTCCATTTGATTCCTTTGCCGTAAAAGCGCGATTCATTTCCATCATTCTCCGTCCAAAGGACAAAGGACAAAGCAAACAAAGATCCCTGATGAATTACTGACTGAGGAAATCACTGGATCAAATCAATTATTTAGTAAATAGATGACACCGTTGCCAAACAACTTTTCGATTTCTGGGTTTAATTGATGATGAACAGGGTAAAGTCTGCAATGTGCGCCGCATGGTACAATCCCAAGGTTTCACAAATGGTTTCTTTTTGGCGAAATCGAGAGTTCACCAAGTTTACAACCAGTTCAGAATATTGTTCTTTCCAGCGGATTGTACGCCGAAGCATCGCTGGCGGCGCATCAAAAAGAAATGACCTTGAAGTCGTTCTCCACTATTTTTCTAGATCAATATCAGTTAATCGGCTAAAGCATAAATACACCAAAGTGGTTGATCATTCGCCCCCTTGTTATTCTTTATATCCTTTACAAACGAGGGATTCTAAAGAATAGTGCTTTGTCATCTGTCATTATATCATTATGTTTGTATGGAGAGGAATGAGAGAAGAGGATAGAAATGCAGCAGGTTTTAGGAATCTAACAATCTAGCCAATCGCGTCCGATTTTATAATTCAAGTTTTTTTTTTTTTTGGATCAGAAAAATGAGACTTTCTTTTACGTTATACAACCAAAAAAAAAAAATATAACCCCCCTCTCTCGTTGGATTTCCGCTAATTTGAGCTCCGGATGAGACAGAATTATATATAAATTCCAACACTTTTTTTTTTCTTTTGCAATCCAAAAAATTGTAAACCCAGTTAAACTTTTTTTTTTTTTTGGTTTATTCCAAGGGGATCTTTTTTTTTGGTATTCCTTTTCCCTTCCGATGGTGCAAAAAGACCCGCCGAACGACCAGCTTCGTCGTGACTGGCATACCCTGGCCATTGATGTGGTGGCCAAGGAATTAAATACCTCATTAACCGACGGTCTTTCCAGCTCGGAAGCAGCTGAACGACAACATAAGTATGGATTCAACGAACTCGCAGCCGACGGTGGAGCGACCTGGTTCAAGATCTTGTTACGTCAATTTGCCGATGCGATGAATTGGATTTTTATCGCTATGGGTGCGGTATCCTACGGTCTGGCCGATTATATCACTGGTTCTCTCTTGATGTTTATTGCCATTCTCAATCTGGGTCTCTCCTTTTCACAAGAATACGCCGCCGAACAAACTTTGGCCGCCCTGCGCAACTTGTCGTCTCCCAATGCCGAAGTTATCCGTGATGGAAAAGAACAACAAATCGCTAGTCGAGAAATCGTTCCTGGCGACCTGCTACTCATCAAAGAAGGCGACTCTATTGCTGCCGACGCCCGCTTATTCTACGTCTCCAACCTCGAAGCTGACGAAGCCCTGCTCACCGGTGAATCGGTTCCTGTTACTAAGCAACTCGTTCAACTGGAATCTCCAGGTAAAGATCTTGCTCAAACAGAGCCCACATAATGGACCTATGAATGCTCACTGATTGACGGAATGACTGACCCGACCTATTTTTTTTATGCCAACAGATGAACCTTTGGGCGATCGTATTAATATGGCGTACAGTTCAACCATTGTCTCCAAAGGCCGTGGCAAAGCGCTTGTGACGGCCACCGGTATGAACACCGAAATTGGCAAGGTGGCCGCCAAACTGAACGAAGCCGGTGACGGCGATACCACTCGTCTTCAGAAGAGTCTCAACCGCATGTACTTTTACCTTCTCGTTGCCGCAGCTCTTTGCGCGATTATTGTTCTGGCCACCGTAAAATTCAGACCCAACTATGACGTGGGCATGTATGCCATCACCGCTGCTTTATCCGTCCTTCCTGCCGGTCTGACCACCGTCATGACCGTCACTCTCGTTTTGGGCGGCAAAGAAATGGCTCAGCAAAAAGCCGTCGTGCGCAAACTGAAATGTCTCGAGACTCTCGGTTCAATTACAAATATTTTTTCAGACAAGACAGGTACCTTGACCATGGCCAAGATGGTCGTCGTGCGTTTCTGGACTCCGGAGAAAGGTTTCTTCTATGTCACTCCCAATGGTTTGGCCCCCGAAGGCGACATTTACCGTACGTCAGAATTATCCGAAAAATCCGTCGATGCAACCAGCGACGAAGTCCTCGAAGTCGTAGAGAAGCATTCTTTATCCCCGGAACTGAACAAACTGGTGGAATGTGCCGCCTTGTGCAACATGTCCAGCATTCATCGACGTGTGACAGATACCAAAGAAGCCATCATCAATGCCTCACCGGATTTGGACGAGAAACCAAAGGAAGACGAAACCGAATCGGATGACTGGATCGCCAGCGGTGCACCGACCGAAGTCGCACTTCAAGTCTTTGCGCACAAATTTGATCTTGGCAAACCTACTTTGGAAGCCATGGGTTGGCACTTGAAGGCTGAATATCAATTCGATTCCACGATCAAGCGAATGTCGACCCTTTGCAGCAACCAAGAGACCGGTGAAACGGTACTTTTCACCAAAGGTGCGGCCGAACGAATCATTCCTCTGTGCAAAACTGTGGGTGCCGAAAAGGGAGAAGACGAAATCATGGACGTCGTTCATCGTCTGGCCGCCAAAGGTTTGCGTGTGATGGCGTTGGCTTACCGACCGTTCCCTGACGACATCAAGATCGACACTGAATCGCGTGAAGACATGGAAACCGAACTGCAATTCCTTGGTTTGACCGGTATTTATGATCCTCCTCGTGCCGAATCCTGTGAAGCCGTCCGCCAAGCGCATCAAGCCGGTATTTCCGTTCACATGCTGACAGGCGATCATGAAATTACCGCGACAGCGATTGCCAAGGAAATCAATATCTTGAACGAGCGAACCATGAGCCCTGAATTGATTCGTAGCTTGGTGATGACCGGTACTCGCTTTGATGCTTTGTCCGACGACGAAATTGACGCTCTGGAACGCTTACCTTTGGTGGTTGCTCGCTGTTCTCCTGAAACCAAAGTGAAAATGATCCAAGCTTCCGAACGACGTGGTAACATTTCCGCCATGACGGGTGACGGTGTCAACGATTCGCCTTCCCTTCGTATTGCCGATGTCGGTATTGCCATGGGCAAAAACGGTAGCGATGTAGCGAAGCAGGCTTCCGATATTATCTTGACAGATGATAATTTTGCCACCATCATTCGAGCCATTGCCGAAGGTCGTCGTATCTATCAGAATATGCAGCGTTTCTTGCTGTACTACTGGATTTGTCTTCTCGGTGTTGCCCTGGTGGTCCTGGTATGTCTGTCTATCCGTGATCCTTCGGGAAAGACGGCCGCTCCTCTGTCTACGCTGCAAATCATTTTCTTGTACATTGCTATTACTCCTCCTGCCGGTGCTTTGAGTGTCCAACCAGCATCCAAGACCGTGATGCAAGAACCGCCTCGTCCTCCTACCGAAAGTATCTTTAACAAGGAAATTTTGCTCGACACTGCCGTCTATGGTCTCGGTATGACCATCATTTCCATTATCGCTTTCTTTGTGCCTCTTTACACCACGGGCAACGGCGTCACTGGCGTGTCTTGCGATTCCCAATACCATGAGAACCCAGCCGGAGCTTGCGATGCCTTCTTCCGAGCTCGTTCCTCGCTCCTTGTTACCGTCACCTTTGCCTGTATGGTAGTCATGATCCACTGTCGCAGCTACCGAGAAGTGGAGTGGGGCTGGCGAGGCCTGAAGGAGACCCTACGATCGCGTACGTTTATGGGTACCTTGATCTTTGATATTGTGTGTCTGGTCATCTTTTTGTACATTCGTGTGGTAGCCATCGACGGTTTCCGAATGATTGGTATTACTTGGGAATGGGGTCTTGACATGTAAGTTGCTTTTCATCTCAATTAGTATTGACTGCCCAGAATACTTACAATTTTTTTTATTTTATTCTATAGTGGTTTGAACATCTTTTACACCGCCTATGGTGAATTCTACAAGTGGATCAAACGAAAAACCATGCGTCCTTTGAACAAGCAGCCCATCCATAAAGAACTGGCCGGCACCCTCGAGTAAAGTTCTAACCATTTTTTGTCTCCTTTGATTATTTAAGTATTTATCCCCTACACTATTTATCACGATTTTTGATATTATCATCACCATTTTTTGTTTTTTGATCCGTTCATCAAAATCATCCCACAAATTGTTAGAATATGATATAATGTTAATTGAAAGAAAATGAAATGAAATTTTCCATCAGTGTTCATAATGTCCATAAATATTACACATTGCAAGTTTTTCTCTTCTCTTGGTTTTTTCTGGTCCGTTTAGTCACAAAAAAAATGCACCTCTACATACAGGAAGAAAAAAAGCTTTGCCCATCGTTTTAAACCTTGAAGTTGGAGGGGTTGGTGCCTTCTTCTCTCTGAGCGTCCCACTTCTCGATCTATTGCAAATCGTACACGTCATTAGTTCGACCCGTTCGTTTTCACTGTGCCTGCCTAAAAAGAAGCGAAGGGAAAAATAGATTATCTAGTTTCCCGGTTGGTGGCTTACCCAGGAGTTGGGGCACAAGCTGTGGTAGGCGCGGTAGAATTGCTTGCAGGGAGCGAAGTCTTCACCACGAGCGTCAATGCACTTGAAGTAATCAACGTAGTTTTGCCAGCAGCTATGAAAAACAAAACCAAAAAAAAAAAAAAGACACCACCCGTGATTAGCTCATTTTTCGACAGACTCGATTTGAATCTCATTCTTCAAAGACGTACTGCTTGGTCTGGTTGGTGTTGGGGAAACTATACAAGAGAAATAAAAATAAACAGAGCATGTTAGTTCATGTGCTTGTTGCCATGCCACTGAGGCGCGTCAAGAAAAAAGCGCCATGACGAGAAATTACCGAGCATCAAAGCCAGCTATTAAAAATAAGGGTGAATAAGGCGGTTCTCATATCGAGAAGAAAAATGTGATGAACGTACCAGTGGCCAACTTGACGTTTTGCTGTTCGACTTCGGACATGACTATTGAAGAATAAAAGAAGGGGGGGAGAAATGTGTAAACAAAAAATGGAGCGGGGATATAAAAGATCCAAAAAAAGTGGCCCCAGGAAAAACAGCTTTCCATGTGCGACGTCATCATCCGAAAGTGGGTTTTTTTTTTTTGGCTTTTTCAGCTTCTTTCTGGAAACACTCGTATTGCCCATTCACCCTTCAACAAGAAAGAACAATTGAAGTATGTCACTTGTAGCCGTAATAATACCTAAAATTCAGCCTATTTATATTATGATATATGATATCGTGTGCACATTAAAAAGTAATCAAAAAAATTTTCGAGGCATTGACTCGAACGTTATTGTTGTCATGTCATTTATCTCCACCGTTTTCGTTATGTGAACACTGAAATAGTTTGCAATAAAAAGAGAAGTGCCAAGTTGCGGCTGGGATATGAACGGCTACGGCCAAGCTCGAGCGAGTTTATTACAAAAATCCGAGGCACATTTTTATTGTACCGTTTCGGTAAAGATGAATTTGTATACTTTGTGATAAAGGCGATTCTGCAGAAAATTAAAAAAATGTACAATGATCGAATATAAAATGATGTCCATTTACACGGCGCCAGCTCCCTGATGGGAAGAGAAACCGGTGTCTGCCGCACTACGTCCATAGCCCACATTATCCTGACCGTAGGAAGGTTGGGTGGTGGTGTTATTGGCCCACGCCGAAGTTCGGCCGCCGTGCATACCGCTCAATGATTCGTCCAAGGCTTCTCGACGCATATTGGATGGTGCTTCAATGGACGGAATAAATTCTAAAATCACAAATGCAATACCGCATAGAACAACCTGCAAATCAATGAAACGTTACAAAACAAAAAGAAAACAAAAAAAAAAAAAAAAAAAAAAAAAACAATCAGCGGACGTCGGATATTGCATTGCATGATATCCCAACTTACAATAACACCAGAGGCAATAGCCAATGCTAAATAATTTAGAATAATGCAGCCGATGCTAGGAAACAAATCAAGAAAACGTTAGAAATTTGCTTTGAGTGTCGCTATTTGCCAACCCTTTTGTCTCGACTTACAAGATGTAGACTAGAGAAAATCGAGAATGTCAGTTCGGTGATTCAATTTCTCAGATGGCAGAACACTTACAGATACCACGGCCCAAGAAAGAGAACATGTACGAAACATATTGCGTTACAATGGGAGGAAGACGGAATTCAAAGACAAACACCATGACACCGAATATGATACAGAATATACCACGAATAAACTGCGGAAATCCTAATAGTTGTAAGGTTCGTGAGCCCGCAACTCCAACATGGAAAACCAAGGCAATGAACATTACCTCCTGTCATGATGGTGGCTACACCACCAATCACCATAAAACAGGCCACCACAATATTGATAATACGAAAAATTAGGCTGTGATTTAGTTGCATAATGGAAAGGTCAAGTTGGATAAAAAGCAAAAAAGAATCACACCACAAGAGGTGTCTATAAAAAAAACTTTATTTCTATTTTACATCATTGTCTTTGGATGCATATTCACCGAGGGCCCTTTCTTAGCGCATAGTCACCTGAGAAAAAAAAAAGTCATTAGACCGTTGCCAAGCTTGGGGGTTTCTGGATTTTTTTTGGCTCAAAATATCTTACCAATTCCTCAGCGGCGGTCGGATGAATGGCAACGCAGTTATCAAAGTCAGCTTTGGTGGCTCCCATGCGCACTGCTACACCGAATCCTTGGAGGATTTCATCGGAACCTCTGCCCAGCAGATGAACACCCACCACCTTTTCTTCGGGTCCCGTCACCACCAGCTTATAAGCCGTAGGCTCTTTGTGCTCGAGCATAGCAAAGTACATATTGGTGAACTTTGAAACATAGGTCTTGACATTTTCAGTTCCGTACTTCTCACGTGCCTGGTCTTCCGTCAAACCAATGGTGCCAGCGGTCGGGTGAGAAAACACAACAGTAGGAATATTCTCATAATCCAATCGGGCTTGGCTGAATTGAGCGCCACCAAATAATCGATCCGACAATCTGCGACCAGCCGCAATGGCCACTGGAAAAAGGACCCCATTAAAAAATCGGGACCCATGAATTGGTCCTACTTTGGCATACTGAAAGCTTACCTGGTGTCAATTCATAGTTACCACAAGCATCGCCCAAAGCATACACTCCCGAAGTAGACGTGTTTTGGAAATGATCCACCACAATGTAACCCTTTTCATCGGTCTTGATCTTGGCAGCTTCCAGGTTCAATCCCTTCACGTTGGGAACACGTCCAGTAGCCCACAACACGCAATCTACTTCGAGCGTTTCAGGCGTGCCGTTGGATTCATATTCAATAGAGATGGGACCGTCCGAAGTCTCACGCTTCAAAGCATTGATCTTGGTGTGGAAGGCAAAGTTGACGCCAGTCGATTGCATCTCTTTCAACAGGGTGTCGCGGATAATAGGGTCAAAATGACGAAGGATGTGCTCTGTACGCGAGAAAATAGTGGTTTCGGTTCCAAGGGTATGGAAGATACCGGCCAGCTCAACGCCAATGTAGCCAGTACCAACCACGGCCACTCTCTTCGGCTGTTGTTCCAAGTCGAAGAATCCGTCCGAATTGATGGCATGTTCTGCGCCGGGAATAGAAGGAGCCACAGGATGGCTGCCTAATCGAATTCCGACCATTCGTCTGTATTAGTCATCCATCCTTTTCCCCTTGATATCTCTTTTTTCTTTTTCTTTTTTTCAAGTTGCATAATTATTACCTGTGGCAATAAGAATGTTCTTAGCTTGCACTTCAATGGCCTCGGTTTCGGATTTCTGAACTCGGACAGTGTTTTCGTTCACAAAGCTTGCCCATCCTTGGAAGTGCTCCACTTTGTCGTTGCCAAGATTTCTTTCGTAAATACCATTCAAGCGCTTCACATAAGCATCACGCTTTTCCTTGATCATATGCCAGTCAAATCGAGGGGTTTCCTGCACAGCATAACCATAGCTCTTGGCATCTCGGAGTGCTTCGGCAACGGAAGCTGTAAAACGAAATCGTCATTAGTCTTACTGGTTCTAAGAATGGGTCCCGAGCTTTTTTTTTTGGACGTTACCAGCATTCCACATGACTTTCTTGGGCACACAACCAACATTAACGCAGGTACCGCCGAGACGATGCTGAGCCTCTACGAGAGCGACCGAGGCTCCGTGAATACCGCTCGCACGACGAGCCGAGGCCAAACCGCCGGAACCACCGCCAATGACCAGATAATCGTATACTTTCTTGGAAGACATGGAAGCTGCAGACCAAGCGGTAGAAGAAAGATGAAATGCGCGTCGGGTGATGTAAGCCAGCTTGGATAACTAATCTATAGAAAAGAAAAGCTAAAGGAACCTTTGCTGTTTGGACGAAATGGTGCCTTTTTTCTGCTCATGATGGGAAATTTGTGACCAGTCAATTGCCCATCTCTGATTGGTCAGATCAAAGTCAAAGGCAAAATCTAGGGGATGATGGATCCACTAAAGACCCACCTCGTCCTGGGATAGTCATCATCATTATTCTTCACACCTTTTTAGCGGATGATTTTGGGAAGGTTTTTTTTTTTTTTTTTTTTTTTTTTTTGACAGAATGTCAATCCTATTGGATCATCAAGCATTTTTCTCCCATAAAACTTCGAGATCAAAAACTCTCCAACGATTTAATCAACGAAGACAGAAGTCGACAAAGTATGATCCTGAAATATACCTTTTGAAAGCCATACAGACCAAGAATATTTTTACTGTAGTATATATTCATGGGTAGATTAATTAATCATTGTTGCAACAGAATCTTTGTCTGCCCTAACAGCCTCAACAGTAACTGACAGCTATTCCGGCAGAAGTAAATGCAACGACATATAGAACCATCCGGTATTACACAGCATATCCAAAATACTTGCTGAAATAAATGTTCAGCAGTGTCGATTTTCTGTTGATTCAGGCAGACAGACCCCTGGCGGAAAATAGTATTGGGGTCTCCGTCATTTGACGTACTATACACGGCCGTCTTTTGCGCCAAGTAGATTCGATTCACATTACTGGTATAAAAAATAAGCACACAAAGTAAATTCAGCTATCAAAAACAGATACCCATTCATCAATGACATTGTGAGAATCTTATGAGCAGGAAAAACAACTTGCCATTAGTGAAGGTGGGGGGATTGTGATTTCCTAAATGGGGAAGATCTTGAACCCCCGATAATTTATCCACGGCAAAGCCACAACAGTAATGCAGGATCCCTTACCCTCGTTTTTTTTTTTCCTTTCTATTGTTCCCGTTGAGTAACATGTTCCGTACACTGCATTCCAGAGTGCGATTGAATCTCGCTTCTTCCTTATCTCTGCGACATTATCGACCTTCCTGCACCAACTACGCGGAATGGACCCTCTCTCATATGCGCAAAATGAGAAAACCCGCTTTGGTCAAAGTAGCCCAAGACTATGATTTGGATACCTCTGGCACCAAGAATGAACTCATTGAACGTATTCTGGCGTATAATCGTGGCGATCGAAATGTCACCCCATCCATACAGATCAACGTGACCGCAGAGGCCAAACCCGGCACGGCGGACGAAAAATTGCAAAATGTTATTCTGGAGGAGCCCACCAAGATGGACAATGTGGATGGACCCGAGCATGTCCTTGCCGAACAGTGGGTCAAGGCATTTGATACAAAGGTTGCGCAACGCGGAAGTCGTACAAAGGCGAGTGCCTGGCGTGATACACGAACTAGCGCACCGCGGGTCGCTCAACGTCATCCTCATCATATTACGGAAAAAGAGGCGGTCACACCAGCTTCACCGTCATATGATGCCGAAGAAGAGATCATTTTTGAACATGCGTTATCTGATAAGGCTATGCCCGAAGATAGCGATATTGATCTGGAATGGGTACAGGCGTTTGATAAAAAAGTGGGCAATCGTGGAGCACGGCAAAATTTGGAACCCGACACATTGACGCCGTTTACACCCGATGCTGCCAAGACGGTATCGTCTGCTATGGATGTCGAAGGCCTGGATTTCATTCGCGTCGATGAAAAGGACGAGGATCCGCGCCAAAAATTAAAAGAAGTTCTTACCGACCCCATCCCGAAGCAAGTCAAACAAGATCAAGAACAAGCTCAATCTCAAGCCCCAGCTCACGATCACCATCAATCCACCCACAAGTCACAACACGAAAGCAAAACCGACGAACAGCAAAGTGAAGGGAGCGCACGGAATTGGATAATTAATACCGCCATTGGATCTGGTATCCTCATTTGGGTCACATCGGGTGCAGAGGGATTCAAGAAGATTGCCACCTTTTTGTCATAGCATGCATTCCATTATTAAAAATTTCACCCGCATCCATCATAATCATATGTGTCATTGTTCTCTAAAAATGTATTGCGTAATAGATGAAAATTATACAAAATGGTTTTACATAAATACGATAGGCTTGACTTCCATCTTTCCTTTTGTTTTGCTTATCGTGGGGATGGTCGAAAAAGGGAAGATTGGATGTCCGTTGGGAAATCGGCAAAACAATACATGGGTCATGCAAACGAAAAGGATATCTTGACCTCAGCAGTGATTTTTGGCAATCAATAATCCATGAATTCTTGGAAATCACGTATTAATGATTTTCGTAACCGAGATGCAGGAAGAATACTGGGCATCAAGTCTATTAAAAAAAAAGGAATGATCATGTAAGTCCGTATTTCCAATAAATAAAGCAAGTGATCAAAAAGGGGGGAGGGGAAGAGAAGGTTTCTTACCGAGAATACATTGAGCGTGACCCAGCCGTTTGTATAATCGCATTCGTACATCCACTTCGTCACGACGTTCAGGTGGCAAAACATCGCCCAGCATGTTATACATGTCAATGGATTGCTCTTTGGGTACGACGGTATCTCTTTCTCCGTGAACAAAGAGAATACGAGGGGCGAAATCTAGAATATCGTCATTAAAGGCAAACAATTCACCGTTACGTTTCACCAGATCCAGCGGTGAATTTGAACAATAGCCTTCTACGGTAGATCCCATCACACGGGCCATGGCCGAAATTTTCTCAACACCGCGACTCGTTTCATACAATAGATGCTGATCAACCGCATAAACACCGGCCATTCTAATCCAAAACAGGTTAGTGATTCCCTTTGCATTCACATCTCCCAATCACGAAAACAAGCAAATAGAGGCAGACTAGCTGAACCGAAAAAAATACATACAAAATTAGACCTTCCACTTGTGGCAAAAAATCTTTCTGAAGTGGTGCTGACAGATCGGTCAACGTGTACGAAGCTGATTTGGTGGAAGGATCACGCTTTTCACTTGGCCCATTTTTGGCTTTAAGGAAATTAGCCTTTTCAATAGCGTCACCAAGAACCACCTGGGAAGCCAAATGGGCACCTGCACTGTGGCCCTATACGCACACACACAGAGAGAGAGGGGGGAAAGGTTATTCACCTGAAACACTTGTATTCTTCATGGCTAGAACTACTTACCATGACGTAGAGCATTTCTACATCGCCATCGATTTCGCCGGCATGTTTGTAGGTCCATTTAATGACTTGACGGACATCATCGTACATGCCGTCAATTTTGACTTTGGGATACTTTCGATAGTCGGGCACCACCACAACATAACCCAACTCTCGTAACGTATTGGCAAACGGTGTGTAGAGATATTTAGCCCCTGACGACCATGAACCACCATAGATAAAAACAACAATAGGAGACGCTCGTTGATTGTTTTTCTTTTCGGGATGGTAAACGTCGAGTTTGCACAAGGTATCGGCATCGGAGTAAGTGATGTCTCGGCTAAAGGAAAAAAAGTTGAGCAACAAGAACAATAGAGGAAGAGCCCCAGTTTCATTGCAGCAATAAAAACTGGTCACTTACGTTACAATGTGTCTAAATTTCTCGGTACCGATATGCCAGTATCGCCATTGAAGATATGCGATAATAATGGGAATGTCGTAGACCCAACCTAAGATCAAGTCGAGGACGGCCAAGTTGACTTTAATTATCCTAGCCGGGTTATAAGGCAGACTGAAATGAGCGTCACTTTGCGCATAGAAAAGATAAGTAATCCATGCAACGAGGTAAAGAGTAACTATGGGGTTGTCGCATTAAAAGTTTTAGTCATTATCGGCTTGCAAGCCCATGTAAGAGCTGGCGTGGGTTGAATGGTAGGACTTACTAATGACAAAGATAAGCAAAGGCAAACATAACACAGCACAAAGAACCAAAAGCGGTAGAAAGAATAGTGAAGCAGAGAGGAAAACCGTGCGCGAATCGAACCACGCCATGATTGTCGTCGTGCTTTATGTTATTCTGGAACAGCCAAGAAAAAAAAAATAGGAAAGACCGCTTGGGCCGCAGGAATTTTACCTTTTTTTTTGTGTGCGCCCTAACCGTGTTTGTGACGTGCAATGTAAAAGAAGCCGATGTGCCGTCAATAAACCAGTATGAGTTCTAGCTATTATTCTATTGTTATGGGTGTACAAAAATAAGAGGAGGGATTTGTGGGATAGATGGTTGGTATCTGACATGTTACAGATGATTGTTTATATGTATCAGAAAGTTGAAAACAACAATAACTTATCTTACATAAGAACGGGATGGTCAAAAAAGGCAAAAAATTTCAAATCCCTCAATACACTTTTTGTTTCTTCTTGCTTGGTCGCCAGTCCACCGTTCGCTAATAGACTTTGAAAAAACCATGTTTAAAAAACCATTGACCAATCTCAAATCATTCAGTCCACTGCGTTCCTCTGATCGACGACGATTCCAGAATGAAGTCTACGATGCTTATCCTTCCATCAAAGAAGAATGTACAAAAGAAGGTGCTACGCCCTTGATGCCCGACACGCTTCAGTCAGCAAAGTTTGTCACGCATATCAAAGTGGGAGGCACCATGTATGTCGTCGATAAAAATCCACTGTGGCTCAAAGTAGATAACCTTAAACCTGTACCGACCGGTAGAATATCAAGGCTTGGTTTTTTTTTTCTGACAGCCCATACTAACATAACCATGTTGTCTAGTCTACACCATGTGGCGCTGGCCCGATATTCTGCCAAAGTTGTACACGTGGGGTCCAGTGATTCATAAACTTATGGAAGGCGCAGGTATGTTGTTTGCTCGATTATTGTTTTTCTGTGGATTGCAGAATTCCCGTTGAAACACCGGTCTTACACCCTGCGGTCACGATCGTTTGGTTAGATCTCATGATTCCCGGTCTTGTGTATGGCCCCGAAGGCACATTGCCAAACTTGGATACAGGTGATTTAGTCGCCATTACCATCAAGGATTATCCGTACGTTTGCATCTTTACGTATTTTCCACGCCGCAGAAAACTAAAACCGATGCTAGGTTCCCGCTCGCGGTGGGCACCATGGCATTGCCTAGCAAAGATATCAAGGTTCGCTCAGGCATGAAAGGCAAAGCGGTTCACATTATTCATGTTTTCCACGACTACCTGTGGTCCATGGGTGATAAATCAGAACCACCGGAACTGCAAGTGGGATCCGAAAGTGACACCGACGAAGAGGAAGAGGACGGTCAAGAGAACCCTTCCTCTGCACAAGATGACATGGAATCCGCCCCAGTTCCCGCTCCCGTTGCCGCAGTACAAGAAAATGAGGATGCACAAGAAGAAAGCACAGAATCATCGACTGTGCAACTTACAACAAATGGTGAGCGATAACACAACATTATATACAACGGACTACCTCCTCATCATATTTTGTTGCAGAAATCGATGACCTGTTGAAGGTTGCGCTTTATCAAGCACTGTGCTTCAAAGTGACATCGGAACAAGCGGCGACCCTCCTTCCTATATCTGCATCTACTCTTTATGCCTCTTATATTTTGCCAAGTCGGCCTTTTGATGTAGGCAGTGAGGTCGATGTGAAAAAATCAAGCTGGAAAAAAGTACAAAAATTCTTGAAAGTTATGGAGAAGAATGGTTTACTGAAATTGAAAGAACAACGAGGAGAAACCATGGTCACTTCCATCAATTTTTCTCATCCAAGGTATGCATTGAAATTAAGGGCATTTTAAAGCCGGGTTTTGGCACTGACATAGTTTGTTATTCTTTCTTTCAGTCTACAGAATGTAGAGCCTATTAGGACAATAGGCGATGGATCCAAAGGCACTCAATCCAGCAGCAATGGAAAATTATCAGAAGCTGCCACATCGTCTACAACTGCACCCCAAAAAATGGAATCCGCTACCATTGAAGAACTGTATAAACCGCTAGGCAATTCCATCCTTGTCTTCTTTGATGCGGCCAAACATGATAAAAATGCGATGTACACGGCAGCTGAAGTACGAAAAGTTTTGACGGACTACGTAAAAGGCAACAATCTTGCAGATCCTCGGAACCAAAAGTAAGAGCCCCTCGTGATGTTCCTACCGTGATCGACCTAACTAATTGGAATGCAGAATGGTGAAAATTGACGCCATTCTCTGTGACGCCTTGTTGACCAAGCCAGAGTATAACACCGTAGAAAAACTTGCGCGCGACCAATTGGGTCAAAGGTAAGACACTCGGAATTTTAGACTGTGTTAGGACAGTTCTGCACAAGACCCCTTTTTACTCAACCGCGCGAATCCTGTTGTATTCATAGATTATTGAGCAAAATGCAGCATTTCCACGTACTGACGCTTCCTGGAAAGGAGCCTGTCTTGCGCAAAGGCGAACCCAAGCCTGTCAACATCACCCAAGAAATTCGACAGGGACGCAAGACCATTACCAAGGTGACAGGCGTGGAGGCATTTGAATTAGATATCGACGACCTGTGCAAGGACCTGACCAAATTATGCGCGAGCAGCGCCACCTGTGAGTGACAACCTTGGCATCATCACATGGATTATGGCTTATATTTCCACATTCTTAGACAATCCTATTCACGGCGTGAGTCCCAAAAATCCTTTGTACGAGATCATGGTGCAAGGCCCTCAGATTAAAAACGTCTCTGAGCTGTTACTGCGAAAAGGTGTACCAAAAAAGCTAATTGAAGTGAACGATAAGACTTCCAAAAAGGGTAAAGGCAAAAAATAAAAAACACCAATCTCTAATGTTGCAGTGAATTCGTGAGCAACAAGACCACTGTACCCAACTGATTTGACGAGTTAGCATTTTTCTCTGCCGTGCAATACAGTTCTCCTTGATTTAGGAATCCCAGAAAACAGTGAATCCGTGTATCTAGAAAATGATCTTAATCGAGCGGTGGCTGTAACTGCCAGCGATAAGTGATGCGATTTTAACATCCCGAATAACAATATCCGTAACCATTTTCTTTTTGAGATCTCTCGGAGAAGCACAAAACGTGAAGCCTAAATCGAATTACTCCAAATCGGATTTGGCTTAGCATTCAGCATATAAAAAAAGATGCCTGAAAATTTCATAAAGTGGTTCCAAAGTCGAACGGTGACTTAGCGGAGAAGGAGAACTTAGTTTTGAAGAGGAGACAACACGGGTCCTGCAAATCAATCAGTTTATGCGAAACTATAGCACATTGTAAACGGAGGAACCAAGGTACAGGTGCTGTTACTGCGCTGATGCGTGTTTCGACGTTTACATATCTGTAACGTTTTTGACGTAGCCCTCAAGAACATTTTTTTAGGCACGCTCACATGCTTTCGCTGCGCGCTTGGTCATTGCGCTATCTATGTTCCATCGCCATTGCAACACAACACCTTGGGAATGGCTTCCTGGCAAGGTGCAGTAGTATGTGAGCTTTTGATATCATAGCAATACTGAATACACGGGTTTTAGACGAAACAAAATTGATACAAAGGGGTAGGGCAAAGATAGAGAAACTTCCTAACATACAACACAATAAAAGAATGTGCACAAAGGCTGAAGCACGTCGCAATCAGGAGTCCACCATAGATTATACTGCACCTTATAGAGTAATTGTAGTGGACATTGGTTGCTCATGGCAGCAACAATGACATGGCGCAGTCCCTCTTTGCATGGCTTTACGCGAAAGAGAAGAAAAGGCGGCGGAGTATGTGAGTTTTGTTGCGAGAACCCATCCAATGAGGTGCTTTCGCAGTCAACAACAGGGTCACAAATCGAAGGTCAGCAAAAGATATAAAAAGAGGGCGTTTCTTCTCATCTCTTTTTTTCTTTTATGCGCCAGTTCGGAATCAGGGGCTGCTAGGCTGGTGGTTACTGGTAATGATGAACGCTCCGGTTTTTGGTAAAGCATTCGGGGTATGGCGAAAAATCCGAAAACCATCTTCTAATGATAGGATTGGCCATCCTTTGAAGAGATTGTTTTCGTTCCCGTCGGCTCTTCCCTTTGGGCGCCTGACTAGCCATCAGCGCACTCACTGTGGAAGGGATGTCGGTGGGTTTGCTTTTTAATCGCAACAAAGGTAAATGAAAAATAAAAAATAAAAAAGGCTTTTGCCTTTATTATTCTTTTTCTCAACTCTTGTGGGTTGAATAATAATAAAATAAAGAAAAAGATAAATGAAAAACACTTTGCTTTTCCTTTGCAGTACGGTCATTTTCACTTGATGTTAAGCGATTTTAAAAAGTGGTCGTTATGCCAAAGAAAATAAGCCTTTGCGTTTCAAACGGTTTTCCCACAATCATTGCTGGCTGATATGGGCTAACAATCCAGAAACTATTTTACCAAGCTTCGCGATATGTTTTCTGGCTGCATCATTTCATTATTTGCCTGATGCCACAAGCCATTGCTAGATGCCAATTCGCTATCTTCCCTGTTTGATTCTAGCTTATTTTTTTTCCCATGCTTCAAACATTTATTTTGGGAAGTGTTAAGTACTGCTGTTGAATGATGTAATGATTTGAAGGAAAGTAAATGTCAGCAGCGGTTACTTTTCACAGAAGGCTTTTGCGCAATTTGATAGCGTTCCCTTTTATTTTTCTGTAGGGGAGTGATGCCGCGCACATTATATTGAACGGTGGAGGCAAGATCATAATGAAAGAGCTAAGGTGACCCTATGAGGAAGGGACGGGTCGGGGGGGGGGGGCGCGCGTCTAATGAAGCATATAACTTTGGCTACAGTCTGGTCAGTGGAGCCTACTGGCAGGCGATTTTCAGTGCGCCGGCAGAAGATTTTAACTTCATCAGCAGTTGGCATCACCTGTTTGCAACGGAGAAAAATGTAGTTGATTTGGACAGACCTTGTCTAGATCAAAAATCGTTTCCCATAAATTTTCCCTAAACTGTTGAGTCTTGTACAATCTAATTACAGCGCCAGAGACAATTATTGACAAGTTTTATGGTCGTCAACACAGTTGGAGGGGACGGCAGAAATTCCAGCCGAAAACAGCGCTTTAGAGGACTGTTTTGCTGTCCATGTCAACATATCGCCATGAAGTCGGTTCAAGTGAATTCAGGCGATGTAAAGATGGCAGTTTTCGGCCATGAAATGAAATCGAATCAGACAAAAATACTACTTGACAAGGTGCCTGCAGTCATTCATACAGATCACTTCAATTGCTATCCGCTTTATTCGTGCTGATTTCCCCCAAAACTGCGATGTAACGTTCAAAAGTGAACAACCAAAAAGCGTAGATCGGGCAAAAATCCATCATAGTTTCCTTTAAATGGCCGCGCAAATGCAGGTTCGCCAGTAGCTTTTGCCGACGTTCCATGACCTTGGTTGCTTCGATCGACCTAGTATTCGCGTCGATCGCCATGGCTTGTTCATCGTCGTCATGATTACGTTTATTTCTGTTGTCCTGATTCCGAGCCGTTACGCCAGATTCGTTGATGGCGTAGATATCTTGGATTACATGGAGAGGTTTTTCAGGTGAGTAGTTGGCCGCCGTGCCTGGCTTTACTGGTGGCCTTGCCGAAAACCCGCCTGGTTCTTTGTATTTCGGCGCTTTAATCGTTATCTTGCCAGAGCTTTCTTCCGCCTGTGACAAATACGTTGATCAGTTCACTTGATGTTTGTTGTTCCTTGACATAACATCGGAACCGGAGCTTCGTGAACCGGCGGTCGTAAAAGGGCAAAAGTCGTTCCCTGCTAGCAAGCAGACTGGTAATGAATAAGCGAGCTGACAGTAAGTTTGTGGCCTTCGACGTAGCAACGTTCTGCTCCACACTCGCAAGCTGTCAACACTCCTTAACAATTGGCTATGCACATGGTCGGATGGTTGCAATGCGCCTTTGTATATAGAATTCGACCGTGGAAAACTGTCTAACCTCACTCGGTCGAGACCGTTGGAGGGCGTTTTCTTCGTGGGGAAGAAACTCACCGCCACCGGAAGCTACAAAGACGTCTGTCACCCCTGGATCGGCTCTCATAGGCGAAGATAGGGAAGTTCCCCTATCGCAAAGTCATTAGCCTCGAGGTCGGATAACGCCTCTTCGAATCGGCTCGAACGAAAAAGCGCACATTGCATCTGTATCCATCAGTGGTCACCAATTCGGCAAAATTGGCACCACTACAGACGATGGTATCCAACGAATCATAAAGCAATAGAGAACAACAACAATTTGTGAACTTACCGTCCACCCCGAACCTTTGACAAATTGAATGCGTACTCAAAACAGTCGGGTTTTGCTCTTGTGAATTCCTCGATGAACTTTAGCATTTGTCGGAAGTGATCGTGATAGCCACGCGGAAACGGCAATGTAGATTTGGGTAGCTTAGGACCGGTGCGTTTTGGAAAGCTGATTTGATATTGTTGAATGCAGTAGTGTGTTGTTGGGCCCACATCGGTGTAAGGTTGCCTCTGTTTCGTAACAAACAGTTGAGAGAAGTGAAGTTCGAAAAAGCTTCGGTTAAAAAGCAACGGTTTCAAACGTGTGAACAAAGGACCACAAACGCCCATTAGGGTTCCACAAACAACACCACGTCATTTCAAGCAGCTGATGTGATTTTTAAACTTGAGAAGACATGATACCACCTGGGAAACAAACATCGAGCTCTTCCAGACAAAGCGCCCTTACTCGGTCACTCTGGCTCTGATCAGCCGTAAACACGCTACATACTGACGGCATTCGTTGGACAAATATCCAAAATAATGCTCTGAATACGGTTGACAAGGGCATATACTATGCATATCAACGGTTCAACATACAAGGGTAGCTATCACGTTCCTCAAAAAGACTGCCGCCGATCAAACAGGAGACCGCCAGGATATCGATCTGGCCACAATGTACCATCTCCACTTCCGACAATAACTACATCTTGTCATCCTTGATACTTTTCTCACACTTCTGTATTTTACGTGCGATCCCAGAAAAGTGCTCTCTCACAATTGCCAAACAATTGATCAAAATCTTTTGTGATTTTATATTTTCCAAAATCGATCATTTCCAAATCGAGCGGTGACTGTAATCCGAGCTACGTGTATTTTTCGTGTGTAAAAAAAAAATGAAACGGAAGAGGGAACAAGATACGTCACAGTTTAGATATTAAAGAAAGGAATAAAAATCAAACAGAACAAGTATGTACATTTAAGAAGGGAAGGCAGGAATGGGCTACTGCGATTCCATTGCCGGTAAAAAAGAATGGCCGGAATTGCGCTTCTACTCTATAAATATGTAAAACAGGAATAATAAAGCAAATTAAAAAAAAGTTATTAGAGATTATTTCTTTTCCGGTTCCTGGTTATCTTTCTTGGTGTTTATCAAGTTTTTCATGAGCTGCTCCAGCTGAGACAAATCAGGAGTGACGCCGGAAGGTTGTTGGATATTCGCAGCCGCAGCCGCTGTCATGGCCGCAGCGTACATATTGGCCATCATGGCCACCGTTTGGGGATTTTGAAGCCATGGCGTCTCGTCGGTCGACTCAGAGTCTTTTGCTTCGTTTGATGACGCGTGCACAGTGTCCAACTCATCCAGCAGCTTTTTGTAACCGGAATGGTGCTCCACCTTGAGACGGGTCAATGATTCCATCACCTTGGATGCCAGTTTGGATCGATCGTCCGCCACGGTCAATATTCTCTGAATCAGGGATACACCGTAAACCTGGTCTTTTAATATGTCATCCAAGACACCAGGATCATTGAAGATCGCGTTTTGTAACAGGTTGCTTGCGTCTGGTTCTTCATTTTGCTGAATGATTTTGTAGATCACCATGGATCCAAACTTGTGAATCGCCAATTTGCTCAAATAGGGTAACAAGCGGGGGCATAAAACACGGAAACGGCCAGACAGTTCCGACACATCCAAAAGCCACGTCAACAAGAGCGAACCGTTTGCGTTGGTCGCTAAAAGAACAGCATTTTGTACAATAGCAGCCGCAACATATATCTAAAAAATGTTCCATATGAGTACAAAATCCCAGGAAAAAGCCGCGAAAAAAAGACATTACCTTCTGTTCCTTGAGTACGGCTGTGTTCTCAAGAATAGCGCGGACAGCACGTGCACCAAAGCGCCCTTGTCCAATTTCCCAGCATTTATCCACGATGGCATCAAAAATGTACTGATTTCGCTTGTGGTCCATCTGTAAGCAGCACTGCACAACATAGTTGCCAAATTGGTCCAACAACAGTAATGGCACGTAGGGCGCGACGTGCGTACAGACCAAATCAGCCTAAAAAATTTACAGGATATAAGCGGTTGAACATGTGTGGTGTAATCCCTAAAACCAACCAATTGAAAGAGAAACGTACCTGAACTGAAGTATTGGCATAGTCAATGATTTTTTGGGCAGCCCATGTACCATTTTTGTGGATACCAATGGCAGCGAGGAAAGGAGCAATCTTTTTCAGCATGGTTTCCTTTGTGGATTCGCTGCAGAATTCAAACAACTTTTGTACCACGGTATTGCCAATATAATCTGTAAGCTTAAAGTTAGGATCGCCGTCTATTTCTATGAACTTGCTTGTAAGCAATTTACCACTGCACAGCTCGATGATATCATCCATGCATTCTGCCGCAATGTCCTCGACACGATCCAGTCCTTGATTGTTATCCAACGCCCTTCTTATTTCACGTAACCGCAATACTTCCACTTTCCGATCAGCGCCCAACTCGGGAAGCAATGGAATAGAAGAAGCGTACGCGAGAGGCACACGATCTAGATTATATACATGTCAATAGGCGAGACCCAAGGAATTAAGCATCTGTATTCGTACCTTTGACGCTTTCCGGACCATCATAACCTAATTGGTTCATGATGTAAAGGCGTTCAGACGCGATGGCTGTATGAAGGTTGGTAGGCTGAAAACCGGAAGCCGACGGGGATTGACCAGGGGTATCCATCAACATACTGGTCATCATCATGGCCGTCGCCCACTGTGTAGCTTGGTAAGTATCAGGACTCGCCGTAGTAATGGATGAAGGAGAGATGCCCGACACATCGTCTTGATCCTCTGTTGAAGCAGTCGGAACTTTGGCAAATCCAATACGGACCGTGCCCGTTCCCGGACCCAGCACTTCCTTGTTTTGCAATGCCTTGCGAGCTCTTACGGCATCTTCCTGATTGTAAAAGTTGACAAAACCACAGTTCTTGTGAGACAAGACTCGCACCGATTCAATCGATCCAAAAGGTTGAAACAAAGAACGAAGCGCCAAAGGACTGATATTGGCAGGAATGTTACCGATCCCTAAAGACGTCCATTAGCTTGCCAAAGAAAATAAAAAAGCCTGGGATGACAGAAAAAGAAACACTTACAGAGAGCGCGAGTAGGACCTTGCGCATTAGGTCCCGCTTCATTGGTCAATGCCATGGCCACATTGACATCGGCTTTGCCAAAACCAACTCGCACCACGGTGCCGTTGAGACGACTGCCTAGTCGTGTTTCGAAATCATTCTTGGCCGCCACTGCCGATTCCACGGTAAGAAAGTTGACAAATGCGCATTCCTTGTCAGACAAGATACGCGCGCTTTCGACGTGACCGTAACAGGAGAACAACTTTATAAGATCCGGTACACTCACGGAAGGGTTGACGTTGCCAAGCCATAAAGCGCGTGAAGGCACCTGCGCAGGTGATGAGGAAGGGGACTCCTCGGTGGTTTGAGGCTAAAGAAAAAAAAAATGTAAGCAACGACATCATTCAAACATACGAGGCAATTTTTTTTTATTACCTTGACGGTTTGCTCTGCAAAGTCGTCCAGCTGCTCGTGTAAACGGCTCATGGTACGAGGTTGGTAAAGCTCCTTTCCTAAATCGAACAAATTGCTGCTACTACGCGATGCGCGTAACATGCTACTTGTTTCTGCGGGATGTGACAACTTGGACATGATGGGTTCAAATGGCATGAATTGCGCATTGTCGGCCATGCCAACGCTAATGGCGCGCGGTCGATGTTGCACAGCGCTTCGAGTCTGGGGAGAAAAAGGGCTGAAGCCCAACAAATGATTGAGATCGGGACGATCGAGCGGATTGCGACCTGCAAATGTGTAGGAGCGATGACGCGTGGGTTCGTCAGAGGGGAAATAGGATGCGGTGGCCGCGGTGGTAACGGCGGGGGTATCGTGAGTGCCGTGGTCATCGGTGTCTTCGTTCAAACCTAAAGACGCGAGGGTACTTGCGATGGTATTGGACGCATTTTCATCCATGGGACTCGTCACTTCGTCCGTTCCAGGTGTTGAAAACAGCCCCACCTCGGCCGGGAAAGTAACGGAACCCGAACGATGACGGACACCAGTGCTCAATCCACTAGGAGACGGGGAATAGCCGTAGTTTAAGCATGGTTGCGACGGCATGGTATCCGCCCGATGGCGTCGTAAACTCTGAGCGGGTGCAAATCGATGGGTTGCTTCCGTACTACCGTAAAATTTTGCATCAATCATCCATGCCAAGCAAGGATCACACCATGTGATACGATAGATACCTTTGCGTAGCCGGAGTCACATTATCCGACGTGTAAGATAATGGCTTCCGGGGATTGGTCCCGTTTACCCATGCAAAGTCCATTGCAAACAATCAAGTGTAGATGAAAAAATGTATTCAAAGGAAAAAAAGGGTGAAAAGAAACAAATTCTTGAAAAAAAATTATCAGAAGAGAGAAAAGAAAAAAGGAAAGCAGGACGGCTGCAAGTGAACTGTCGTAGTTTGAAAATCATGTATGACGTAGTTCAGATTGAAAGGTGTGTTTTTCATCAATTCATAAAGAATTTCATACATTATTTCTGTATATATTATGCTAACCTTTTTCTCTAATTAATAAAAACGGAACATACATTTATAAAGGCAATGTATTTGTATCGAATTGATACAGGTGAATAAAGCAAGTATGGATGGGGGAGTGAAAAATCTGCAAAAAAAGTCCCACCAGATCGGAGCCGGCGACGGAGCTTGAAAAATGATCATTCGCCGGCTCCATTGTTCGTCTGTCATCATGTTTCCATGTCTGAGCGGTTCCCGTAACTTGGGTAGATGCTATGCAGACGATGACTGAAATAGCAACTTTCGAGATTCAACGTAAGCTGGTTGCATACTACATGCATGTCTTTAATGCAGCAAATGACCAAAATACTCTTATACATCAGAAACATCAGTCTGTACAACCATGTTTTGTTTTGCTTTCTTTCTCTTGGTCGGTATTTTCCCAATGCAACACCGTCGCCCAACAAACGCGTTTAAACAAAAATGGAAAAAAAGTAGTCCAGCCAAACCTTTGCACAGCCAATGAAATCGTGTTGCTTAATTATTCGCGCTTGTCCCATGAATCGACCGTTGACGTCTGTGACATTCGTCTAGCCATTTATGAGCATAATTTCAACAGCACGCGTCCTTAGTCGCTTATGCATAGCCGATTTCGTATATTACCTTGACACCCATCTATTTTGGACCCTTGATCAACTCTTGGCAACACAGTGATACCGAGTCCTTGAGTACTACCAACGTTCACACGTCCAAGACAATATACTCAAGGATCCAGTATTGTACCAAAAAGGACTGTCGCCCCCGCTATTACATTCTTTCTGATGAGAAGTTATATTCAGCTGTGAATCTGTGAATAATATACATCATATTTAAACGTAAAATAATCCAAGAAAGACTTCGGGTGAAATGGGTGACCAGAAACTTCGAACGATGAGAAAGCGATCCTAGTCTCAGTGAGATGTATTCGAAAATAAAAAGGTAAATGGGGAGTACTGCTATTTGATGTCAAGGAATTGGGTGGCAGTCAGTTTGAATGTTTCCCAGAATTCGCGAGAGTCCAAACGCGGTCGTACTCCTCCTCGCTGTACCACCTCTTCCAACGTGCCTTCACCCAACGCTTCTCGACATTGCGCATCGTTTCGTGCTAGATCTCGTGCCAACGCTATTTGTTCATCCGAGCCCCACGCCAAGAACAAGCGAATCCAGTCATAGCATCCGCCGTCAGTAATGATCCATCGCTCACCGCGTTGAAATTTTTCATGGACAGCCACAATGGCGCGCGCCACATCCTGACCGTGAATAAGATGTAATGGACGGTTGAGCAGTTTGGTGCGAAGAGCCGACTCGGTAGCAAATCGCGGCACCCAATTACGCGGTTGCCTTGGATATCAAACAATCTTGCATTACAATCCCATCCCTTCTATATGACGCTCAAAATTTTCATCCATGGAGAATAGTACCTTTGCGCGCCCCATAGACCGCCAAGGTGCAAGACGGTTCCGCCGTGTTGTATAATCACTGTTTCTGCTCCCATACGGCCAGTATCCTTGGATGGATCAAGAGGACTGTGTCGGTCGCTGGGAATTTCCGTAAACGGACGCGTTGAAGACAATAATATCCACTGGGACGCACCGTGCAACTTTTCATATTCACGAATCAGCGACCTCACACATTCCGGATTCATCACTGGAAACGTGATCAACACTGTTCTTGCTGCTGGAAGCGACGATGCATCAACGTCTGAGCAGGAATCCAGTGGCATCTCCCACTTTATTGTGTCGTTGCGACCGTCGCGCGTTGTCGCCGCATAGTTCAGATGCAACTCCGTCAATAACTGGACGAGAAACTGTCCGGTCCAGCCAAGGCCAAGAATGAGCATAGGAAGAGCAGCCGTCATGACTTGCTGTTCCATAGTAATAATGACAGGACTTTGTCTGCGTCCCCTTTTATCCGCCCTCTTATTTTTCGGGTTATTTTTTTTTGCACGTCACGATGACAAAACTGAAGAAGGCAGTTTCCGACTGCCAAGCATGAAACCAAAGATTCCCCAGTGTAATCTACAGTGGATAAGTAATGATACTAGATATTACTATGAGTCCTATAAAATTAATACTATCATTATTGGATAAAAACATCCAACGCGATAAATTTTTTCACCTAAATACTCCCACTTCCTTATCCGGAGCTTCGGTACTTGGAGACTCTGACTGGGACACTACGGGAACTGTAGGTTTGTCTGATCCGCCTGGATACGATATAAAAGAGCGGCGAAGGAAGAGTGACAAAATTCAATGTCTTTGATGTGCCAACAGTGTAATTTCGCCTGTTTTTCTGCGACCCATCAATAAATCTTTGGTTTGTGACCCGTCGACCACATGGTTTTTATTTTGTTTGCTTTCGAACCATCAATCCCGTGGTATACAATGGTTGAAGAGCTGTGATAATTCAAGGTATCATCAGAGAAATCCATAATTTAGCGCTCTGAAGGGACCACTAGTAAAAAGACGAACCAGCAAGGAGAGATATCCCCCAATGCTGAGCACCAACCCAGAGATTACCAATCTGTAGTTGACTCATAAAGAAACTAAAATATTCGGCAATATGGCAAAAAACTGGCGATTCTTCATGTGTGCAAAGTCATAACAAGCCCAATCGCTTTCATAAAAATTGCTAACGAGTCCTGACCGATTTCAAGCCTTTTGTCGGTCGCAAATATGAGGGGTTTGGTTTTACCTCATCTATGCTTAAACGGCGTTTTGAAGAAAATCTTCTCGATTTTCTAAGATGGGATATAGGGATAACTTTAAATAATCAGATGGAATTTTTCTTCAATGAAATGGCGCAAGATGGATATTACATGGCGAAAACTAAAAGTGGCACGCATCATCCAGTTTTCCCAAACGAGCTATTTAGTAACCAAGCTTTTTTTTTGTCCCACCTACTTATCCTTGGATCACAACGCAAAAAGGACGTAGGGTGGTGATCTAAAGCATCTTTTCAAGACACATTTGCAGCTTTGGAACATAGTAACGAATGCGATGACGACCTGATGACCGACTATTAGAATTTATATACCAAGTAAAGGTTCTGATGAAGTTCTGGGGAACAATAAATTGGAAGAATCACCCATTTCCATCATGGACACTAGGGAATACAAGCCTCAAAACGGCTCATGTCCTTCGAGAAGCATAACGCTTCAGTACACCAAAATTGCATCATCCTATAACAAACTCGCTTCATCATCTACCATTTCCCTAGATGCGAGTTGGAGGACCAATATATAAAGTGCCAAATTTACATGGATTCCGTTGTTTGTTAACTATAACTATTTCCCTGATCACGAATGGCAAACATCCCTCACGGCGGTATTTTGAAGGATTTGCATCTTCGAGATGCTTCAAAGCAGGCCGAATTGAAAGCAGAAGCAGCTTCCTTGCCGACCCTGGTTTTAACGGATCGACAACTATGCGATATTGAATTACTACTCAACGGTGGATTTTCGCCTTTGGAAGGCTTCTTGAATCAAAAAGATTACAACAGGTATGAGTGACTCTGGATGGCGGCAAGATTGGTCCATTGAAATAACCCCTTTGGTAGTGTCGTAGAAAAGATGCGGTTGTCATCCGGTCTGTTGTGGCCTGTTCCTGTTACGCTGGACGTCAACCAGGAAGAGATTGATACATTATCGATCAAGCATCAACAGCGTATTGCTTTACTTGATCCTAGGAACTATGATATTTTGGCCATCCTGACCGTGGAAGATGTGTACCGGCCCGACAAGGTTAAAGAAGCTACCTCTGTGTTTGGCAGCAATGACACAGCGCATCCTGCCATCCATTATCTTCATAACATCGCCAAGGAATACTATGTCGGAGGATCTCTACAAGCCATCCAAGCACCAGCTCATTATGACTATGTGGCTAACCGATGTAAGTGGAATGCGGCGGTTATACAGTAGCTGAAAGGAAACCAGGTTTCACTGACTGGGGCTCATTAGTTTCACCGAGCGAACTGCGAGCTCACTTCAAGAAACTTCAGTGGACACGGGTGGTGGCTTTTCAAACACGCAATCCAATGCACCGTGCGCATCGTGAACTGACGGTTCGAGCTGCTCGTCAACGCAAAGCGCATCTGTTGATCCATCCGGTGGTCGGTTTAACCAAGCCTGGCGATATCGATCATTACACGCGTGTGCGCGTCTATAAAGCGTTGATGCCTAAATACCCCAATGGAATGGCAGAGCTAAGCTTGCTTCCTTTAGCTATGCGCATGGGCGGTCCTCGCGAAGCGGTATGGCATGCTCTGATTCGCAAGAATCACGGTGTAACACATTTCATTGTCGGTCGTGATCACGCTGGTCCCGGAAAGAACTCTCAAGGCGTTGACTTTTACGGTCCTTACGATGCTCAGGTTTTGGTGGAGCAGTACAAAGATGAAATTGGCATCGATATTGTTCCTTTCCAAATGGTGACTTACTGTCCTGATTCAGATGAATATCTGCCAGCTGATGAAGTGCCCAAAGGCATCACCACATTGAATATCAGCGGCACTGAACTCCGCCGCCGTCTTAAAGTGGGCTTGCCCATTCCCGAATGGTTTTCCTATCCTGAAGTGGTCCAGGTGCTGCGCCAATCGCATCCTCCGCGTCACGCGCAGGGATTTACCATCTTCCTTACCGGTCTTCATGCTTCAGGGAAAAATGCCATTGCTCGAGCGCTGCAAGTGTCTCTCAATCAGGAAGGTACTCGGTCGGTTTCCCTGTTGCTCCGAGAAAATGTGCGTGCGGAACTGTCCTCCGAGTTGGGTTATTCCAAGCATGATCGCGATCTGAATATTGCCCGTCAGGCGTTTGTGGCAGGTGAACTCACAAGAGCTGGTGCCGCCGCGATTTTAGCCCCCATTGCTCCCTATGACGAAGCCCGCCAACGGGCACGTCAGCTTATTGGAAAATATGGTGGATTCTATCTTGTGCATGTGGCGACCCCCTTGGAAGAGTGCCAGAGAAGAGACCGGGACGGAATGTACGAACGAGCCCGCAACGGCGAAATTGAAGGATTCACAGGCATCGACGATCCCTTTGAAAACCCCACCGACGCTGACTTGACCGTCGATATCACCATCCAATCCGTGTCACAAGCTGTTCATGAAATCATTTTACTGTTGGAAAAAGATGGTTATATTGGTTCTTCCTAAATAAAAAAAGATTTTACATTTTATTCTGCTTTTACAGTATGGACCAAACCGTTACATTTGAATTTACCCGATGAAGCCCTTTTTCATATGAACTTTTTTCTTTTTGAGAACACATAAAATCAGCGACACGCCCACCAAGATAAAAGTTGTCAAAAAATAATGCGTTGGATTTATTATATGAGAAAGAACATACAAGCAATGATGAGGAGAAGGGATAAAAAAAAGGGACATGCGAATGAATGGCGAATGGGTTAATAGAGAATTCCGGATTGAATGTTGGCATGAGAGGTACTGATAGCGTTGTACAAGTGTTGCAAGGAATCTTGGGACACTTGCGTAATATCCATAAGACTCGCCGTCGCCTTTTCTTCTGAAGGGTCCGCCGAACATTGCTTCTCTGCTTGATCATGCTGCTGGCCAATAGAACCGTTGTCAAGCTGAGGTTTCATAATTTTAGGATGGCAGAATGATGCATATTTGTTTATAAAGAACGCACCCTGACTACACCTGGAATGTTTGGATGAACCTGTAGTAAGCGCACCACGTCTTTGGGTTGTTCTTGAATGGAACACAAGTGCATTTCCGGAAAGTTGACAGCACCTCGCGTGCTGCCTTGGCTGATGTAGCGGATTAAGGTGTGTGATACTTCTTGGCCAATCAGACGTTGGGCCTCTTCGGTGGACCCGCCTATGTGCGGGGTCAGGATCAAATTGGGGCAATCGAGGAGATCGGGGTAGTCTGAAAAGTGGGGCCCGTTGGATGCCGGTTCTTTGGGGTATACGTCAATGGCTGCACCGGCAAGGTGACCTGTCTTTAGGCCTTTGACGAGGGCCGGTATCTGGACGACAGTACCTCGAGAATTATTCAGGAGATAAGCACCTTTCTTCATACAGTGCAAAATTTCGCGTTCGCCCATCATGCCTTTGGTGTCTTCCAGCTCTGGCACGTGAAGTGACACAAAATCTGAAACCGATAATAGATCTTCCAATGTCTCGAGCTGCTTGGCTTGCCCCAGCGGCATGAGTTGTAACACATCGTAATAGTACACCGTCAAACCCATCGCTTCTGCTAGCACCGACAATTGCGACCCAATGTGGCCATAGCCTACAATGCCAAGCACTTTACCCCGGATTTCAAAGCATCCTTTCGATACCTTGTTCCATATGCCTTGGTGCATTTCGTTGTTACGGTCACCGAGCTGTCGTGCCAACGAAATGATCTCCCCAATCACCAGTTCCGCCACCGATCGAGAATTGCTGAAGGGAGAATTAAACACTGGAATCTATTAATAGGTATTTTTGTCAGTCTACCATATTGGATGATGAAAAAAAAGACCCTGTTCAGTGGAGTTTTTTTTTTTTTTCTGTACTTGCCCCCTTCTTTGCGGCTGTCTGAAGATCTACTTGGTTGGTACCAATACAGAAGCATCCAATGGCTATCAAATGATGGGCTTCATCCAACACCTGTTTGGTTAACTTGGTTTTTGAGCGGATACCGATAATGTGAACAGAGCGAATTTTCTGGATCAACTCATCTCCTACAAGCGCTTTGCTGCATGTCTCCACCTATCATTCGCTTTCAGGTCAGCCCAGTGCCACCATTGTATCGTTTAAGGATTTCGTAAACAGGATGAAGCCTTACCTGATAACCTTGCTTTCTAAATGCTGTCACGGCCGTTTCATTGATGTTTTCCAAGAGCAAGATCTTGATATCAGCTGCGTTAAAGGCGCCCTGCGATTTTGATTTGCTGATTCCATTAGCTGTGCGCTGCATTGGCTGTGATTCCAAAACCACAGTACCGTTGCCATTGGCGACTGCGCCCGTCAGTGTAGCAATAGTTTTAGCGTTGACCATATGAGTTTATTGTTTAGTATTGTATTTTGTTTGCTTTTTTTTTTGGTTTTTGGTCCCTCTTTACACAAAAGAAGAATCAGATTGGCGAGAGAAATAATTTGAAAAAAAAAAGAATTTTTTTCAGTAATCGAGAAAGAAGCAGAAAGACAAGGAAAAATGAGAAAGAAAAAAAGGGCTTCAAAAATAATGCAAGTCGGAATACTTGGATGGCTGGGGAGAACGGTAGAGGCAATACCTTTATAATTCTTTTTTTGGGGCCATTCAATGAGCGACATCACTTTAGATGATCATTGCGCTACCATCTCTAGCTGAAAAAGGCAACCCGGGGTTGCAAACAGACCTTTCAAAAATCGGCCATTGCCTTAGGATTTGCAGGAAAAAATTAAGCTACGGATCGGAAGATGGAAAACACATTTTTGACTGGTGAATTAGAGAACCGTGTTGTAGTTGATTGTTATTTTTTTACTCTAATCTTTCCCTTATCCATTCACTTCTTTAGGTGGCGGCAAATGACATCATGGACCGGATGCAACGTGTGGGCGGAGATGGGAGATGGGGCAACCAAGATATGCAAAAGGTAACTTGGCTTTTTGTGCCTGAATTCCCTGAATTTTCCCGTCTTGTTATTATTTGTTGAAGGTCGTGCTTTCGCATGCATTTCTTTTTTCCTAGCAGCTAATGTGATGAAACTGCGGATTTCCGTTTTGTTACAGTGAACATTGAGGATGACAGGTTTTGAGAATATCAGATAAGAACATGCATGCAATAATCCGTATCTATTACCTGAGCTTAAGCTGGGAGAAAAAGGAAAGAGATAACCATCAGTTTTTTCTTCTTCTGTTCCAAAGAAATCAGATGAAAATAAAAAAAAGGAAATATACTTCTTGGTAGTGGAAGAATATAGCCTCAGCTATTATGCACTTGGTGTTTCGGTATCCAAGCTGTCACTTTTGGTAAAGTCTATGTTGCTCTATCAGCTTGAGAAACGCATGCTCCTGATGCTTCTCTTTTTTAATTTTGTCACACGTTGATAAAAAAAGGTCACGGATTTTTTTGGGTTGACTGGTCCGACCATGATGAAAAAGAAGACATTATGCAATGCATGTCTTTGATTTTTTATATGATTTTGTTTTTCCTTGTTACATTTTAGCCCCCATAAAAGCACCCACTTTAACAGCTTGACGTACACCCAAATCCAACATGATTTCTTCGGAACCTCCTGGAATTGCGTAAGCTCTTACTTCACGATATAATCGTTCAATCTTTTCGCCTTGTCCACCCCGTGTATAGGCTAGTCCACCAAATATTTGTGCAGCCTCACGTGCACAGAATTCAAAGGTGCGTGTTGCCTGCGCTTTGCATAGTGCAATCGGTCCACCCAAACGAAGCGGTTGCAAATCAGGAGGCATATTCATGGCTTGAAATGTAAGAATTTCCAGCCAAGCATGGGTCGCTTCGACTTTGCGGATCATGTTGGCAAACTTGTTGCGAATGACGGGATGGTCAACGAGTCTCTTGCCAAAAGTTTGACGCTTGTGAGCATACTTGAGCGATTCTTCGATACAAACACGAGCAAACCGGTTGGCTTGGATGACGATACCCATGCGCTCACTGTTAAAGTTGTACATGATGTATTTGAATCCCTTATTTTCCTTGCCAATAAGGTTGGCTTTGGGCACCTTGACGTCTTCAAAAGTCACATACGCCGTACCGGACGGCCACACGCCTGAACATTTCATCTGGCGTGTCGTTACACCGGGCATGGTACGTTCCACCAGCAAAAACGAGATCCCGCCAAATCCTTCGCCACCGGTACGACAAGCCACCGTAAAGTAGTCAGCAAATGTACCATTGGTAATCCATTTCTTTTCGCCGTTGAGGATGTAATGATCACCAGCATCGCGGGCTTCCGTTTGAAGATTGGCCACATCCGACCCGCCGGAAGGTTCAGTGATCGCCAAACAAATGTTCTTCTTGCCGGCTAAGCAGTCTTTTACCACTCTTTGTTTCAATTCCTCTGAGCCAAAATGAAGAATAGGCGGCAATCCAATACCCAGTCCGCCAATCATACCCCAGGTCACCTAATGTTGTTTTCAAAGTTAAAATCCCATTCCATCGGTGAACAAGGGTAGCACAACGCCATCCAAAAAAAAAAAAAAATTACCCCGCCCGAAGCACAACGTGATAATTCGTCCACGACAATCACATGGTGGAAAGGGTCGAATTCTTCGGGCTTTAAACCACCGGGCAACGGGTACGGCATCAATTCCGGAGGAACATGGCCAACGCAAGCTGCCAAGATTCCGGCTTCGGCAGCTTTGGTGAAAATAGAACGCGGGAGTTCCTTGGCTTCATCCCATTCGTGACAGAAGGGCATGATTTCTTTTTCAACGAATTCACGAACCACTTTGCGAACCGTGCGATGCGATTCCTTGTAATAGGGACTATTACCATAATAAATAGATTTTTCAGCATAATTTTATATGTGGACAAGGTCGACTGCAAAAAGTCAAGCAGAAAGAAAAAATATTACCTGTGCCAATCCTGGTACCACATTGGATCTCCAAAAGGCACCATGTCGCCAAAGCCGTCACCCATCATGAGTGGGTTGGTATCTTTTAGTTCTTCTTCTTGCTCTTCTTCTTCCGGTTGACCGATCTGGCCAATAAGTAAATCAGCGCCGTATTTCTCCAATACGGCAGCGTTGTGGAAGGCTTCAAACTGCTTGGTTGCATCGGCACCCGACGCCTTTAAGAGGACCTTCTTTCCACCTAAGTATTGTATAAAGGATTAATAATGAATGAAACCTCCAAGCAAAAAGAAAGAATGGTCTCTTTCTTACCAGGGTGATCGTTGAGAAATTTAGTCAAGTCATAGACTTTATCATGGATGATAACCCAGCTAATGCCAATTGAATAAGTGCCTCTTTCTCAAGAGCAAGCGAACATATAGAAAATCATGGAATCACTTGCTCACCAATCATCCGGCTGTCTATGCTTGGTGACTTCTTCGATGGTGAAGCTTTTAGACATGGTAATGGAAGAATAAAGAAAGAATGAGTGACTCTCCCCCTCGGTGGTAATTCAGTTGTTAAATCGATCTAAAAAGTTCTCACTTGAAGCATTTCACGTGCAAATCAAAATACCATTTTTCATCTGATGATTCCTTTCCATTTGCACATGAAAAACCCATCCAAAGTACCCGTGACCTGCAGCAGAAATACCTTTGCCGAACAGCGTAAATGCGCGGTACATAGCGCAGACGGATCCTACAAATAGCTATTGTGCATATATCTTACAGTGTTGCATGTGTCCACAGTATTTTCAGCGAATGCAAACGTATCACCCTGTAAAAAGGGAGGTCTCTGTTAAAACAATACTAGTAAAATGACAGTGATATAAAAAGAGCCGCCTTCAAAATATTTTGATTGTATCATGACCCAAGCAACCCCTGGCATCAGCAGTTGATGCTGGCTTCAAAGGAGCGTTGATGGGTGTGAAAATTCTAAGCGTATCATATGATTACTGTCAATAGGAGCTGTACGCTGACATGTTTGTATATTTGTAGCCGTGTTGTTGAGTAAAATACAAAGCCAGTCAAGGATCTGCAGAAACTTCTGGTTCGCCAATCACTCATGCTTCTACTGGTTATTTATCAAAAGTATGTCCCGTTGAACGCAAACGTTTTTTGGAGAAACTTCAAATGAGTTGCAAACTGTGTTGAAACTAGAAGCAGCTTCGTAACATATCACCGCGTTCTTGTGCGCTCTTTTTGCTTAATATCTTACATTGAACTCAAGCTTATTATTCCTGCAAACGTTATCTTGAGGCATATGGTCTGACACATAAACTAACACTGCCTGACTGGCGCGTATCCACGGCCTTCCATAAGGCTGGTCACCTCAGGACTTTGATGGATCGGCTCAATTCATTATGTACAGGCTGGCCATTTTCACGACGATCTAATTCGTCCAGCAACACCAGAACGAGAGCAGAATCGGTACATTGTCGTTACCAACACATAGGACTGTTCATGTAAGAGTTTCGGATACGCTGTGGTACAAGCAAGGTGTATTTGAGGTGAAGGAGGTATTTTCGATTTGCTGCAATCAGCATATCGCCTGGTCCACATCAGAGAAGGCTACTCGGGGTGTATCACGGGAGTCAGGGATGCATCATCAGTCACTACATGGAGTATATGCTGAACAGAATATCAATCATAAGGAATGCCAAAGTAAAATGTTATGGGTGTGAGAAAAAAGTCTATTAAATGATGCGGCTGTGTGGAAAAGAAGAAAGAGAAGCTTAAAAAATAGGATTTCTCCGTTTATCGGCACTCCTCTGGCCATGATTCCCTTTCGAAAGACTTAAAAAAATGGGACCCAATCGTCTTGGACTTGCGGTGCACATTGCTTCATTTCCTTTCTCTCGCGTACTATGATATGTAAATTTTCGTACAGCTTCTCTCTCAACGTACCAAGACACGGTGTCGCTTACGGGTATGTGTCCCTTTTTTGACGTTAGTTTGATGGATTCTCTCCAGGAGACACAGGTGAAGAACTCGTCAATAGACTGATGAGTTATGTGGAATTATACTGCAGTGTCGGTAACCATCGTCAGAGTGACCGTGAAGTCGCATTGTTGGCGCTGCCTGAAATTGGTGCTACGATGGACCTGTCTTATTTTCAAAATTGATGCCCGTTTTGATGGGAGATTCCCACGCTCCTTTTTGTCTCATTTGACTCCATTATGCTTGCGGCTACGCGTATTGTCCATCGTCCCGTTTTCTTCACCGGCGCTAAACGCTTGTTCAACCTGCGCACACTGCAAACGACCTCCGAGTCAGGAGTTGCCAAGGAAGCCTATGTGGAATATTTGGATGGCAACCTGAAGGGTATTGCCGTGTTGAACTTGGACCGTCCCAAAGCCAAGAATGCCTTGTCTACCAAATTGCTCGGTGAATTCAGACAAGCTTTGTCCGAATTACGTTTCTCATCGTAAGCTACTGTCAAGGCGAATGAAAACCACCAGCTGCTTTATTCACCCTTGGTTTGTGATGTCTAGCGATGCTCGCGTGTTGATCGTGCAAAGTAAGGTGCCAAAGGTGTTCTGTGCTGGCGCTGATCTCAAGGTAAAACAAACGCGTGGATAAAACTTGGTGTTTCCAGCTATGCTAATGTGGAGAACACTAGGAACGTGCTACCATGTCTCCTTCGCAAGTGACCGAGTTTCTTTATTCCCTTCGTCAAGCCTATCGCGAATTGGAGGTGAGTTATTTCCGTGTTGGTTTTCTTCAAGCAGAAAGTAACGGCAAGATGGTGTTAGACTTTGCCCATTCCTACCATTGCGGCAATTGACGGTGCCGCATTAGGCGGTGGTCTGGAAATGGCTCTTGCGTGTGATCTCCGCGTTGCAGGTAAGTTTGCAAAATTGCCTTTCTGAAAAAAGTTGGTCTACTCACCTCTATATCCAGGCCCGAAAGCCAGGATCGGATTGCCTGAAACCAAGCTTGCCATTATTCCAGGGTAAGAGCACACTTGTTCCCGAAAGGGATTCACGGTTGTTGATTGACATGATGTAGTGCTGGCGGTACTCAGCGTTTGCCTCGTTTGATCGGTGTAGCCAAGGCAAAGGAATTGATTTACACTGCATCCGAGCTCAACTCGGAAAAGGCACAGCATTACGGTGAGTCTGATTTACCTTTTTTTCTTTTTCAGAACGGCAGATGAACAAATAACTGATGTTGATTTTTGTAAATGCAGGTATCGTCAATTATATTGATGAAGAGGACGCTTTTGCTACAGCGGTGGCAGTAGCTGAGAAAATCCTTCCTCAAGGCCCCGTTGCGTTGCGTATGGCGAAACTGGCAATTGACAAGGGTTATTCATTGGATATGTAAGTGAAAAAAACGACGGTGATATCGGAGCGATGGTTTATTTATGACTTTTTCTTTATTGCTTTGTAGTGATGCCGGCTTGGAAGTTGAACAGGCCTATTATGCTCAAGTGATTCCAACAGAAGACCGTATTGAAGGTTTGACGGCGTTCCGTGAAAAACGCGCTCCTGTGTATAAAGGACGTTAAGTCATTAATGTATCATACAATAAATTATATAATAAAGAGGTGGCTTGCCTTTTGTATCGTTTGTCATAACACACATCATTGTCTCTCTCTCTCTATTCGAAAAAAAAAGACCAGGGCACTGCATCATAAAAGTTTCGCGAATGACGGAGTTTCATTTAAAAACGCAATAGATAATTGAGGGAAAAAAAGAAAAAAAAAATCTTGGAAAAAAAATATGGAGCGCAAAGAGAATATCTCATAATAAATAAATATATCGAGTCAGCTTATAATGAGTATTATTATATGTATTTGGCTCGACTGTTCCAATAAAGAGTACTTTTTGTCATTGAATAAATATCTTTTTGGGGCGGGAAAGAGGAAATGTCGGACTTTTGGAGGTCACGCTTTTTTCGTGACGTGGTTATGGTGAATTGTGTGGTTGTCTGATGTTTTAAGTCGATTTTTTGTTCCTTTGCGTTCTTCACCCTTGATCAACTGAATAATGAGGTATATTTTATTTTGCATACAATGGCGTGTTGTGTGATGAATACTCGTTTTACTCACATTTTCTGATTGTTATTTCTGTGTATTCAATCTTTGGACAATGGGGTTGGTTCTCTTTTTTTTTGTTGGTCTTTTTTTTTCCGGACATTAGCGACCAGCCACCTCCGGGAACTCCACCTGCCAATAGGCCGATCAAAACTCCCAAGCGACGTTTAAATAAAGCAGCATCGACTGGCGCGCCCATGCCAAATACATCGGCTCCATTTAACTTTGGTGGACAACAGGGCAATTTCGCGTTTACCTTCTCGGCACCTCGCACCCAATCTCCCAATATCGGTAATACGCCGGCCTTCTCAACAGCAACCACTCCTAGTTTCAACTTCTCCGCCGCACCACCTAACCCAAATGCATCGACAACGCCCATGTTCAATTTCGGTCAACCCATGACGCCATCCATGCCAGCCAATGCTCCCAGTTTCGGCGCGTCTGGATCGTCGTCATTCTCCGCACCCACTTTTGGTGGCATGGCAAATACAACATCATCCAATGGTATGTGTCGATTCTTCTTGTACCTAATATCTTGATGCGTTGTTATACTATCTGCGGTAAACTGGGTGCTTACTTCTTTTTTTTTTGGTCATGACAGACGAGGATATGGACGCTGAGCCGTCGAATACATCAGATAATAATATGAATGGTATTTGTGTGACCGTGGCCTTCATCATGTTTGATTAAAACTGACAGGTAAAAATAAGTAGCATCTGCGGCACCAACAGGCTTTGGAAGTGGTAATATCATGGCAGAAAAACCTGCCACTGGTTTTGCTTTTGGTGGTGCATCGTCTTCCGGATTCGGTGCAACACCATTTGGCGGGACATCCAATGCTTTCTCTTTCGGGACTTCACCTGCACAACAAACTTCCTCAGCAGCTGAAAATACATCGTCGACTCCGGCTTTCACATTTGGCGTCCCCGCTGCCACCAGTAATACCGCAACTTCCGCTCCTTCCACTTTTGCATTTGGTAACTCGGCACCCAAAGACACCACATCAGCACCTGCATTTTCTTTCGGATCATCCGCGGCAAAGGACACTAGTGCAACACCGGCATTTTCATTTGGTACATCGGCTACGCAAGAGAAACCAGCTGCACCGGCCTTTTCCTTTGGTGCTGCCTCGGCGAGTCAAGAACCATCCACGGCACCGGCATTTTCATTTGGAGCTACCAATGCCGCAAAGGAACCAGTCACAACACCGTCATTCTCATTTGGTGCGTCGAATGCCTCTCAGGGGACATCGTCTTCATCGGCTTTCTCATTCGGCACCTCGTCGAGTACCGAATCTTCGGCCGCCCCTGCTTTCTCATTTGGTACATCAGCTGCAACATCTACTTCAGCTGCACCTGCATTTTCTTTTGGCAAACCTGCAGCACAAGATACCACCAGTACCAAAGACGAGTCAACCGACAAACCTACCGTTCCTGTAGTGTTGGAGCCAGAGTCTCCCAGTACCGAAGCTGCGGAGAAGGAAGTGGCCATCGTACCAAAACCTCCGCTTTCAACGCTGTCCACCAAAACAGATACTGAGGCTTCGACTGAGGATCAGGAGAAAAAGAAATCGACGGTTGATATTGCGTCGATCAAAAAAGATACTCAGTCAGAGGCAACGGAAGGAACCGGCTCAGATAATAGGAAGGATCAGGATACTGAAAAGGAGAAAGCTTCGTCAGCACCCAAAAATGTAGAGATCGAAACAATATCCAATGATGAGAAAGAACCTGCCCAATCGTCTACGGGTGCCGAGCCCACCGAAGCTGAAGAGACGACGAAGCATCAGCCTTCTATTACCGAAATTTCAGATACTGAAGGTGCCAAAGAAGCAAACCAACCTTCATCGACATCAAAACCCACTACTAGCACCGAAGAAAGCACGAGCACCAAAGACACCGCTGCCACACCTTCCTTTACCTTTGGTACACCAACCAATAAAGAGAGTACGACGACCAAGCCTTCGACTGCACCTACGTTCACGTTTGGCACGAGTAGCCAAGAAACCTCATCGAAGCCTGCTTTCTCATTCTCTGCGCCTGCTTCTGACAAAGATGCGTCTGTGAAACCGCCCACTTTCACGTTTGGTACACCTGTATCCAAGGATACAGCAACCACAACAGCCGTCTCGGCTGACAAAGATGCCATTACCACCACCAGTAGTCATCTTACTTCGGCTCCCGTATTTTCTGGTGGGCAAACTGCGGCCAAAGAGACAAAGACCCCGGCGTTTTCCTTTGGATCAAAGGAGGCGATAAAGACTCCCAAGTTTAGCTTTGGCACCCCAACCACTCAGTCTGAAGAAACCAAGTCATCCTCCACAGCCCCAACATTCTCATTTGGTACACCTGCAGCGAAAAACGACGAAAAGGAAGCCACATCCTCCGCACCGAAATTCACATTTGGTACGCCTGTGGCGAAGCCCGAGGATAAGAAAGCGACTTCTGCAGCACCAACTTTTACGTTTGGTGCAGCGGCTGGTAAAGAAGGAGAAAGCAAAGAAGGATCATCTGCACCTAAATTCTCGTTTGGCATGCCGGCTGCAAAGGGACCATCCACCAGCACACCAACGTTCACGTTTGGCAAGTCGACAACGAAAGAGGAACCAAGCAGCAAGGATAAAACCTCCACACCACCTACCTTCACATTTGCTACTCCGGCGGCCAAAGCAACATCTACCGAAAAACCGGCCATGCCAGCCTTTAGTTTCGGTGCCTCGGGTTCAACTGAAACCGAACAAAAGACTTCCACACCCGTGTTTTCGTTTGGCACGACACCATCAAAAGATACATCATCCAGCGTACCGGGTGCGAAGGGAGCATCTGCAGGTAGGGCCCCTACTTCGTCATTTTCCTTTGGCTCCCCCAATATCAATAAGCCAAACAAGGATGAAGAAGAGGTCCCACCTTCGAATAAACGTAAAGCCGAGGACTGGAGCGCGGCCCCACCGGCCAAGGGATCGTCTTTCAACTTTGGAGCTCAAGGAACCACGGAACGATCAGCAAAGCGTCCTTCCATCTCCGGACCGTCCTCCGGCATGCCATTACCTCAAGGCAAGTCGCCGTTCGCTCAATTTACATTTGGATCGGATACCGCCAGTAGCAAGGCTTCTTCCGCGGACGAAAGTACAGGACGTAAGGGTTCTCTGGCAAGGAAGCGAAGCGATTCAACCGAAGGCGACGCAGCCAAAACGCCCTCGTTCAAAAAGACTATGTCCGAGACGGATTTATCCAAAGATCAGGCCAACAAAGACGAAAAGCCAGCGACTGCAGACAAGGAAAACAAGCCGTTGCCTACTAAAGCCGAAGACACCACCGCGCCGAGTCCTTTCAAACTTCCTGAACAAAGCACTGCTACTAGCACTGCCGATTCAACTAAATCCAAGTCTGAAAAACTTGGTGATCCATTCAAACCTCTGGACGAAGGCAAAACAATCACTGTCAAAGCCCCCTCAATCAGCAAATCGTCCACAGAAGAAAAAAAGGATGTCTTGTAAGTGTTACCCTTGGAATTGATACGATTAATTGTAGTAGATCGACCTAACCATGGCTTCTTGTTGTTAGTGGTCCTTTGGCAAAATCCAACGCTGTACAGACAACGGTGGAAACTTCAAAGATTACCAAACCGGAAGAAATCTTAGCGAGTACTCGTGTATGGGAATTACCGGAAGTGGCTCAAGGGTTCCTTGCGGAAACCATGCAACTGATCAACTCACAATCGCAAATTGGACGTGAGAATCAGACACGATTGGAAGCGTTTGGAGGCGAACTAATTGACGATGTGACGGGTCGCGTGAACTATCTTCGTAACGAAGCGTCGATTCTCAAATCGCAACTTCAAGCCCAGTCGGAAAAGATTGAAGAATTGGGCAATGATACGGATTATCAACTTCGTAATGCGGCTGTATCTCGTTACGTGATTGAATCTAAAGGATCGACACGCAAACGCGTGGCCGGCGCGCAGATGCACGGTGCTTACTATGAAGAATTAGCCAAGAAATTGCAGCAACGATTGAATACCTACTTGGCGACGGTCAATGACATTGAAGCAGCGCTGGGAAGAATGAAGGATGAAGCGTTTTCAAGAGACCCTTATCATCTCGGTAAAGTCGTGAAAGAACAAGTCCACTGTTTCCTCTCCCTGGCTACCAAAGCCGCCGCACTGCATCAACAACTGGAATTGATTCAGGAAAGCAAGCGACAAAAGCTCTGGAATCAAAATCGCATTTAGCATTTTTTTTTAATTTCAAGAAAACTTGACTGTGTATTAAAAGCTGTATGAAGCAAGTAAGAATAAATAAGGCATTATAGTAAAAGACCGTTTTAAGAACATTATTAAGGTGGAGGATATTGAAGGGGAGAAGGACGGAGTGAGATGATTTTGGTTTATGATCGCCATAGCACCGTGGCGGAGGGGTCGAACGATCGAGGTTTATGAGGATGATAGTGATGAGGATGTATCGACAATAGACTCGACAGGACGCTCTTGGGCCAGTTTTTGGATTTCATCGAGGGACAAACTTCTTTCCCAGATACGAATATCGTCATAGCATGCTTCTAAACTGAGATCGGTGTCCCATGGATCTTGATAGTTGCTCTTTTCTGGTTCTGAAGAACCGAACCAGACTCCGTGAACGATGGAACCAGCTTCAGGCGGCCACTCCCAACGATTATTGCTTGCAATAACGTGACCGTCCATGTACAAGATAATGGGAGGCGTCGATCGGTTGAAGTGATCAATGACCAGAGTGTAATGATGGAACCGAAGGTCCATATTGATAGGGAAAGGGGAGGCCTGGACTTGATCGTTTTCTTGTGTTCTCCAAATCCAGTCGTCTCGTATCAAAGTGGAAAGTCCAAGCGATATGGGAACCGTTCCATTGTGTGCCAATGCGTTGTCCAGTTTTTCGGTGCGTACATAAAGTTTTGCATGCTCGGTTTGGATCACCATGGCGGTGCCGCCGTGCTTGTCGCTCGATGTCTGCATCCACCAACTCACTGTGAACCTATCAATGGAGGTTTCGGTGGGCACGGATAAAAACAGGTAACTGTCTTCTCCATTGACGTGAACGGCGCGCTTGGCCTTGTCCGGGCAATGATGAGTGACATGGCGTGCAATCCCGTTGACATTATTTCCCGAATCATCCTCCAGAGGGAGGAAGTTCGCTTCACCCTCCTTTATCGGCGGAGCTTGCCAATGGCCCACTAGAAGAAGAAAAAGAAAAGAGGTTGATATCAATCCAAGGTGACATTCAAACATTCAAAGCGGCGTTGAAAAATTACCCAACTGATCTGATCGGGTAGTGTGAGGCAAGATGCGACAAGCATCTGGGCGTGGATCGGGTTGACCGTCTAGTAAAAATCGTCGCATTTGACAAAAGAGACTGTTGTCGATATTCATAATATCGTCCTCTGTGATGCCTTTCATGAGATGCTTATTGGCGGCCGATTCCCAAATGTGGGTGCCGAAATTGTTGGCGAAATCATAGGATTTCTCGAGATACAACGTGCGCAAACCGGGACCGTCCCATAGAGGCCAGAAGAAGGCAGTGTAATTGAGAACGGTGATTTCGTTGGGAAAGTGAGGAGCCAATTTGCCTGGTAATACCACGGAATGATAGTTCCAATCAGAGCTGTCAAAGGAACGATAGGTGGCATACCAACGTTGCAAAAATCGCGCGTTAGGTCGAGCCATAACCATCGCATTGCAAAGTCCGACTGAACCACCTACAGATGAACCATTCCATGTCGTTAGGCTTTTTTTTTTTTTTTGAAAGCTAGAGAAAAAAGTAACTTGCCTATGCCTTCTTGTGCCATGACAAATTCATGCTGTAATAAGTGATCGATGGGTTGAAGTGATATTAGATCCAAATCAAGGTAGATGCCGCCAAATTGTTGCAAGGCCGTCAGTCGTACAACATCGGCTTGATGAGCGTAATGAGAGACGGGTTGACCAAACACTTCGGTTACAAGTGGTACGGGGCGCAAGGTTAACATGGATTTGGCCTTTTCAAACATCTCCCCAACAGGCATGTAATGGTAGTGAAAGATGATTTTTTCAGGTGACAGCACATCGTGAGCTGATTTGATGGCGAGGTAGTGAACCAAGTCCAAGGTCGGTTCAGGACCGCGTAAACCGTACACAAAATGGACAATCTTGGGAATGACGGTATCTGTCGGCGAATCGATACGTGCAGTTCGGGCTATGGCGAGTTCTTTGAATTGCGTGTCAAGCGGGGGGGCCGCCGTGTCTTCCGAAAGGGTGGCGATGGAGCGGATCCATTGCCGAAGTAACCAACAACCCGCAACGATGAAGAAGAGGTAACGAAACTTCCAACGTCGGTGCGTGCCTCTTACATGCCCCATTCTTGCCCCGGATGAACGGTACATGGGTAAGCGTTGGGCAGTGGAAGGCATGAGTCGATGAGCTCCTTGAAGCAAAAAGAGTGGGGAAACGAAAAAAAAAGAGCTTAAAAAGGGATTGTTGCATTAAAACGTCACTATTTATTTCCCACTTTTTTTTCTGCGATTTTTTTATTTTTCTGTTTTTCTGTTTTTCTGTTGATCGTCCTCCTTTTCGCATTACACAAGGTGAGGGAAACGCTGGAAAACACTAATGAGAGTGGATCCTGCCAGACCATTGGCCCAGCTGAACCAAGGACGCGTGAATCGCGCCGGCTGGTCCTTATGGAATGATTCACACATCAACCCCGTTTTCGAAGACAACCGTTTTAGTGTCTCCAGCAACAGTCGAATTTCATTTTCCGAAGTAGACGTCTGAATTTGCATCAGCAGGCTCATAGGCCAAATCATATCGCGACCCGTGTGAGGACTACCAACGCCCTGAGCAAAAGCTCCTTCGAAATACCAAGGATTATTTTGTGATAGGACAAACGCACGGGTGTTTTGGTAAACAGTATCCTGGGTATCGACGAATCCGAGGATCGGTAAACTTAGCAACGAAGGGGTATTGGCATCGTCCATCAGCAGCTGCGAGCCGTAGCAATCCACTTCATAGGCAAAAATCTTCCCAAATCGAGGGTGCTCCACCACCGCATGCTCATAGATGGCTTTTCGAATTGTGTCGCTCAGGGTTTCTGCTTCGCGTGCAATGTCTTTCAGCTCGGGGGCGAGGTCATTGAATTTTTTGAAAGCGTCCTGAAGATGCTTCGCCAGACGTCCAAGGTTGACGGTCAGCTGCGCATTGGCGGGAATCTACCGGTGGCCAATAAAGACCTGCGTTAGGATCACGACCACCATTTTTTGAAAGTAATGAACAAGAGATTACCAGATAAGGAAAAGTCGTGGCGTCGTCGCTCGGACGGAACGCGCTCCGAACCAATCCGCATTGACGTGATATTCCGCCTATTCCATTTTCGCCCAGCGTTTCCGTAGGGCGATCGGTAAATCGTTTGAATCGGTAACCATTGTTTACAGGCAACGGTTCAGGGGTTTCGATATAGGAACGATTTCCGCCAAGGTATGTCACGGGCGGTCGATGATGAAGTGGCCATTCAACGGATGACAGCACCGGTTCCTCCCAACTGCCCCGCATTTGATGTCGAATCACCTGGAACACGCGTGGAAGCGCTTTTACCCAATCTTCAGAACGAACCACCCGCTCAATATCACCTGTCACCGTCATGTATTCATTGGCCAATTCAAGAAAATGGGCCAAGGAATCCAACTCATACTATGAACGAACACATGCCACCATATATTGTTTGGATTAGTTGTGACGAAGAGGCGCCTTGGCATGAACCACTTACCTTGGATTCCCACACCAGGTTTGGATCGTAGTGAGGAACCACCTGATCAGTACGACCATCGCGGAAGCGAAAATTAGGAGCATACCAGGGACGTAAAAAGGCATTTGCATAAGGATCATAGTGAAGGTAGGAAGCTTGCACTACCAGAACGCCCAATATTAGATCCTGAAGCCGTCGATCCAACGATGCCATGGATAAATAGGGTAAAATTTGGTTAGTCGAATCACGTATCCACATGGCAGGAACTATTGACAAAAAAGAAAAGAAAAAAAAAAGAGACGAGTATCGGTAACAAGAATAATTAATACAGTGACCGCCAAAAGGGTAGACGACCGATGAAAACTTACTGTCACCGGTGATCAGGAATGTGCGAGGATCATCTCGCAGACGATACCATTCGATGGTGGTATCTAGTGTATTGGGCAGACAGTTTTGCAAAAGAATGGCTAAATCGGGATCTTGGAAAGCCATTGAAACGTTTTTGATAAAATCGTCAACGGCGGTACTGACGAATTTTCGTTCATGTTGTGGTGGTCGAACGAGCGGAATACCGTAATGTTTGGGTGGTTCAAGAGGAGGAGGGGCAGGACGGGGCGGTGGAGGTAAGGGTTGGGTGGATGGGAACTCGTTAAAGGTTGGGTGAAAATGATATATAAGAATGAGGTTGACGAGAGCGATAAACGATCCTATTAAGCCAATAGTAATGGTCCGTCGGTTACATTGAGTCATGGTATAATATAAAAGGGCATAGCAACCGTGAAGGAGAACTTGGGAAAAATCGCAACGCTGTTTTCTTAATTTCGTCATGTGATGAGCCCTCTGGGATGTGTCACAGAATTTCAATGCATTTCATTCATTCAATGCATGTTATTCAATGCAGAATTTTGGCATCCTAAATCTGTATGTACCGTAACAAAAAGAGCTAATATGAAAAACGGCCAGTGACATTTTGATCCGTTTTATTGCGGTTATTGCTCTTAACTGGTGACGCATACATTTGCTTTCAGATAACCGACTGATACTATTGCATATCCCTTTTGTTTCTTTCATCGAAAAGATCCAGCGAGCACGAGTGTGAAAAAATAAGGCACAGAGGTTAGCACGTATCGATAGTCCTCATATGCCTCGTGCAATTATCATGTTGTTCGCGCCAACTATTACCAGTCTGTCAAATTTTTGTTGCAATTTTTGCTGTATACAATGTCTGCCCGCCCTTGAATGGACGCTGCCAGTCAGGTTTGTCAGTAAAAAGGTTTCTTTTTTTTTATAAATCCGGAAATTGGTGGGACAAAGCGCAGTATGATAGCAAAAAATTTGGTACAGCTGGCAGCTCAAGGAAGTGCGCGCAATAACCATTCGAAGATACCGTTGCGGTCTGTATATCAGCACAAAAGAGTGTAACCGCCAACGCTGGCTAACATAAGAACGAATCGGATCGCGACTCCAAAAATGGATCACAGGATACTGTAACAGCGGAAGCGCTTGATTTTCCCAGAGTTTGCGGAAAGGATAGCTTAGGGGAATAAGCGGGTGAAAATGACGTTGAGGAAAAAAGTTTACATGAATGTGTGAAGCGAAAAGGCATAATAGACAAATGTTCTCCATGGCAAAGAAGCTCTTTTTGTCAAATGTGTCACTTGTCACCAGGCAATTGTCATGAGATAAAAAAAATCAAATTTAAATGCAATCAATGCTTATTTCATCCGCATTGCACAAATTGACGAAAAATGACCAGTCTGGAAAAAAGAGAAGAAAAAGCATGAATAATACATCCAAGATTTAAGAAATACATATGATAATAATAAAAGTACAAAGGCTGCATTATAAGTAGTACAATTGAAATAAATAGGGCAATGGTAGATCTAGTAAGAGAAAGACTCCTCGTTGCGCTGTGCCATTTCTTGTCGATTTTGCTGGGCAAACTCAATGGCTTCGGGTGAATATTCGGCGCGTCCTAATTTCCGGGCAATACGGTTTCGGATCCAGTGGAAGAGCATTTGCAAAAAGAAGAACACCACGACAATCACGCCCACCACGATATACCATACGGCAGCCATACCGCCTTGACTCCAATCCAAGAATGGATACACCCAAAAGTGATCGCTGTGATATGAAAAAGAAAATGGAGTTCCATTTAGAGTTAGTTGCCAAGCATTCGCGGGGTTTCACAAGAAAAAAAAACTTACACCGCAAAGATAATGAAGGTCAGGAACATGTAAAGCACAACGGTGAAAAAGACAAACAAGATCATGTTGATGTACACTTGCATACGACTAAAGATGACTTCACTCATCATCATGAAGAACGAGGCGGCGTGAACCGAACATTCCATCCACCAACTAATCGTTGTCATATGCTGCGGCACGACGCTGTTGGATGTTTCACTGGCACTTTGGAGAGAGCTGGATTGTCCGCTCGTCAAAGGTTTGGCAAGCACGGCCCAAAATACCACCGGAGTCAGAATACTGCATCAATGTGTATAAGTGGACAAGAAAAGGGTCAAAGAAAACCCGGATAGGTTCCACTTACTTGTACACAATTACTGTATGGTATAGATAGACGTAAAGATAATTAAGAATCGTAGGTTGGTCAAGAAACGACGAAGGGCGTCTTGGGTTAGACATGAGATATCGCACGTGATGGTATGTCGCCGTCTAACGCCGTAAACGATCAATTGCAGATTTAATACGACTATTTCGCAAGTTGACCCAGATCGACCATCAGTTGGAAAATACATACCACTAAATAGGCATGTAAGCCTACATACGTAAGGTTGGTAAAGAAGGCAAAAAAGTGACTGAAGCCTCCTTCGCCCATGGCCGTTGTGGCGATATCTGCCCAGATGACAATGGTCGAATAAAGAGTAACTACAAGACGAATAGCCAAGAAGGTCTTGCTCGACACCCAGTATGAAGTCACCGCCTTTTCAGGCTTGAAACGATCAAATCCAAACCATCGGATCACCCGATACCGTGATGGTTCGAGACGTTCGTCTCGATAATCCATGAATTAAATAAAAACTAAAAGAAAAAAAAAGGGAACGGAAAAGTAAAAAAAAAAAAAAAAAAAAAAAGATTTAGGTTAATTCAACGACCGGGCAATTAGGTACTTTTTTTTATTGTTTCTTAGGTGAACACAAAGTCGTTGTTTTTTTCCTTATCCAATTTTCGAAAATTAGCTTTTGAGAGGCCGAAAAAAAAACTATCATAGTTACAGCGCACTCTTGGGATTCTTCTTTTTTCGGCTCTTGGCTTTTGGACTCACATACGTCGAAGAAGCCGAACTGCCACTGGTGGATTCTTCGGATAATAGAATGTTCACACGACACCGATCCTCATCTGACATGAGCATCGAGAATTGGTCTGATTTGGAATCGTAAGTTTCGGAATGTCGATGCTGTTGGCAAATTTCACAGTCTTGCATTCGGAGTCGACGGGAAGCCGCAGAGGAAAAAAGTCCGCCCGTTCCCCATCCCAGAATCGCACCGACGTAGATCAGCCACGGGACCAGCATGTTTTGGATCAATGTTGGCCACACACCGCCATAGAATGACGCTAGCGCCACAACTTCGGACAATCGCCACAACCAATAAATGACCTCCAGTCCCTTGAACCACGCATATTCATTCAATTGGCGTCTCGGTTTCCCAGTATGCGCCTTTGGTGAGCCGTAACAATAGATATCATGCGATGTCGTCGATCGCCACACAAACAGCATGAAAAAGGAGGCACCGTTCAGCAGAATCTGTTCGCAAGCATACATCCACGAATCGGCAATAGGTACCCATTCGTTCTCAAACACCAGTCCATACATGTAAAAGGTTCCGTAACGTTCTCCTGCAGTGGCGCCTGAAGGAATAAACTCGGCACGGAACCATGGCAATGTCATCATGGCTAGAAGAAGAATAAAAGTAGTAAACCAGACGTAGGGTTGAGTCTCTGGGAAACGAAGGAATCGCAATGCCCATATAAAGATCCATCGTCGTAAGCGATTATAGAGTGTCGGCAACGTTTGCTGATCAATGTCATGGATTTGAGACAAAATTCTGCGACTGCGGCTGAGAGGCGTCGTTTTTTCCGAGACTTGGGTTGCTTGACGTTGTGCATGGAAATGCATGTAAAACTTGGGGATCAGTAATAAACTGAGCATGGCCGTGATGGTGAGAAATGAAACACATTGAAACTATAACATGCATCAATGTTGATTCGGTTTCTTTTTTCTTTCTATTGTCTGATCCCTCCCCCATGCTGGCAAACTCCGACTACTTACATATGTCGTCATGTGTGTCGAAATAATCCATTCGCTGACACCACCGCCAATATTACTTCTCATGCCGTCCACCCGGAACACAATGGATGAAGATCCTGATACACCTTGGCTTGTCCTGACCTGAATTTTCAATACGTGCTGTTGACGAGGAGCGAGACGGTCCGGTTCCCATGGCAAGGTCCACAGAGGTAACGTATCGTTGCCAACAAAAGAGAGGAATGAGGTTTCCAAGAGTACGCCGTCCAGGGTCACAGAAATCGTCAAATCTTGAGGTGAAACGTCTGTAAAGACAAGAAACCGGATATGGGTGCTGTCTTTGATTCGATGGATGGGCTCTTTATGTTTAATGGTGTATCGAGCATCTTTGGGATTGGTGATCAGGACAGCAGGTGGTATCTGAACTTTGGGTGGCCAGAGGATTTGATGATCAGCTGTCAACGGTGTGATGGAGCCACCACTCTTTCTCATCTGCTTAACAGGAAGTCGGACATCTGTAAACGAGATCAAATCATGATCCACTGCAACAATACGATAAACACCATGATCTTTCATGTCAATGACTTCCAACTCTAAAGTGTCGGTCGTCGTGTCATATCCCTGCAACATGTCACCCAAACCTGCTTGACAAGATGGATCGGTTAGATCATGGCCAGTAATCCATTTTATTGCAAATCTTACCAGCCGCAAGTCGATGAAAATGACCACAGAAGTACACACTGTAATGTCGAGCCAAATCACGAAGTCGGTATCCTTGACTTGATACCCCAAAGACCATGGTCGTCGTCGGATAATGTGAAAACTTTTGTCAATCATGTCAGTTGAATTGAAGAGGGCCTAAAAAGCAGCATCCACTTACCACAAAGGTATGGTTATACCATGAGGATAGTAAAGCGTGGGCGAACCGGTCCATGGTGGCGGAGGTCAGGTAACCAAAAAAATTCAAGGGACGGGACGGACCTCGTTTCGGACTAAATGAAACTCAGTCATTCAATTTGTCCCATTGTTTTTTTTCTCGGAGATTTTTTGTCGCGTTTTAGCAATCGCTCTCACACTTTACCATGCGTCAATGGCGACAAATTGATATTGACCGTAATGTTCATTCACCTGCCATGTGTACAGCCCCTGACCCTCTTCAGTTAATAAACCACTTTGGCCGTATTCCCGGTACATGTTGACCCGTGATTCCCATGAAGGCAGGTCGAAACAGTCATGGTTGCCTCGCATATCGTACCACTGGGTATTGTTGGCTCCCTGATCAATGGCGTTTCTGTAGACCAACCATTCTTCTATGTATTGGTGTGATGTAATGCGCTTCTGGTCTTTTGCATCCGTCAAATCTCCCGTGACAACCACAAAACGAGGTCTAACCAAGTTGAGAACCCAGAAAGAAAAGTTCAAAATTCATGCATGGGAACCAAGTAAAAAAAAAAAAAGATCCATCAGTTTCCAACGTACTTGACAACAGGTAATACGGACTGAATGAAATGTAGAAAATGCAGAGTATGCCCTTTGGCTCGAAACTTTGACAAATGAAGATCAGAGATCTAAAAAACAGATGACTTGTCGTTAATGAGTATGATCTTGTAACAGGGCTATAATATTCGATCTTTGCCTGTATGAAATAGAATAAATGATCGGGCTCCGATCCAATCGTGAGGGAATCGTTCCTCTTCATGGTAGATGACATGTATGTGGGTTGTGTGGTTAGCCTCTGTGGCCAAAATAAACCAGGAGCGGCTCCTCTCAGTTCATGTGTCGACGACCAGTATAAATAACACGCCCGTAAGGAACATAGCAGAACAGCGATAAGGTATACCCAAGAAATAACAGGAAATTTCATTTAATATAATAGGAACAAAAAAAAAAAGACTCGGGAAAAAAAAGAGAAGACAGGAAAATAAGACGGCTAGGGGGAAAAACGAAGTTCACGGTAGGGCGGTAAAGGATGATTCAACAAAACGAAAAAGAGAAAGGAATAAAATAGAAGCAAGGAATATAATAAAGCTTTTTTTGACAATTTACAAAGCACTGCATGTGAACTTGGAGTCAGGTTTCATACCTCTTTCCTCGGTTAACCAATTTGGACAAAAAGGAGAACCCGAAGTGTTTGTGTTTGTAAAATGATCGTTTTTTTTCTCCTTTCCCTTTGAGTACATTTGCGTTTGCGTTTCGTTTTTTTTTTTTTTTTCGATAGGAATGTCACCAGGAGATTCATGATAGTATGGATTTCACCAAGATCATCAGTTTCTTTTCGACAAACGCATTCAAAAGATCATCTTTATCGCCAATATCCAAACTGACATAGAACTGTTGTTCATATTTCAAAGCTATCATCCCAACATTAGGAAAAAAAAGAAACCAAGTGATAACCACCTTCGGTTTTACCGGACCCTGCCAACTTACCAAGGCGACGTGCTATATTTCGGCTCACTTCACTCACATCGTTGCCGAGAACGGTGGTGGCCGAAGGTATCGACTATCACAGATTCAAATTTAGCATTGTGCATACTTGCTGTGAACATGTCCATCCACCTACTTGATTTCTCAAACTGGGCACAGCTACAGACAAGTCACTGAGTTTGGCCTGATTTCGACCAACCCACACAAAAGAAGCATTGTTCATTTGAATGACTTGAAAATAGACAGGTTCCGTAAGAAACAAATGAGTCGCCTGATGAATCAGGAAACGAGGTTCTGTGTCGTCCGCCATGGTCCGCTGTCAAAAAGAGAATCCAAACGATCGTCGTCCAACAGAAAAACTGAGATTATCAAAGCGCTGCACCAACTTGTCTAAATTCGGTCACTGCCTAATTTCCACAGTCGGAACATGATAAAGATAGTCCCAATGACCTGCAGTCAGGAAATCCCAGTCAAACCTTCAAAAATAAAAAATCCCTTGTCATCTTTATAGCTACCATTGGGTGCCTGAATTCCCTGTTCAAGTGGGATGTCATACTGAAATTGTATGGCATACATCATAGGCTATATTATTTTTTTATTCACGTGAAAATGCTTTGCTATTGACCATTTATTCGTTTTGTTAAAATCGCCATGTCACAAGCAGCAGAAGTAAGGTTTTTTTCAGACCCGCGGTCATTTGGTCCTGTGATACGACCCTTGGAACATTGTGGAAACGTTCCATGGCAGATTCGAGCACCATTCCGGAACAGATCAGGAGAAAATTGGGTTTTCTTCATGCGTTTAATGAATTGTTTCAACCTTTTTTTTTCCTTTCTCTATTACGAACACATAAACGGTTACAAGATGAAAGATGGCATAGATCGTACAAAAAAAAAAGATAATAATCGTCATAAAAAGTCTAGATGAGTGAAAAGAACACTGGTATTATCGTCTGTTGCAATTACTCTCTTTCCGTCAAGTGAACCCAAACACCGTGGCGTGGTTTTGTTGTCAATACGATTTTGGTGTCGATCACGTTGCCTTTCTGCAACGACAAAGTAAATTGATTGACCGTGCATGCAATCACAGTACGTAGTTCAAGGATGGCCAGATTTTTACCGAGGCACGCGTGGTTTCCGAGTGTAAAAGAGAGATCCGGGAAATTGTATTGTTGGTCGGGTGTCACAGCGGCTTGGTTGGTGTGGCTATCGTGCGTCAGATTATCAAAACTGTTTTCCTTATCAAGATCGTCGGGACGTAACCAGCGCGTAGGATCAAACTTGTTAGGATCAGGAAACATGGCTGGATTCATTTGTAAACCACGCACATTGCACCAAATTTCAGCCCCAGCAGGAACCATCACACCATCCACCACCGTGTCATGGTTCACGTGGGCCGGGATCAGTGCCACCGCAGGGTATTTACGCAATGTTTCCCGATACACAGCGGTTACCAAAGGCATTTTGGCCAGCTTCTCTGCTGTAATCGACGATGGTTCAACGGGAGGCGGACCAAGCACTTGTCTCACTTGTTCGAATAAAGAGGCTTGTAATTCCGGATGTCGCGCCAATTCTGACATGCAAAACGCAAGCGTATGAGCCGTCGTATCGTATCCTGCAAACGTCAACGACAGCAGATCGTTCACCAAATCCTCCCTGTCCGCATCGTATCGACCGCTGGCCACGGCCGCCGCCGCAACCGAATGAAAGGTACGTCTAGTGTCTTGCTCACTGTCCTCCTGCTGCTTCTCCAATGCTTTAGCAAGTGAGTCTCGAATAAATTCCTTCAACAGTTCCCGTGATTTTCGATAAGATCTTTGAGCCCACTTTGTTTCGTTCAATCCGAACGGAAGCCACGCCAAAGGTGATTGGAACCCTAAACCCAGGTGATGATGCTCATTCTGTGCAAAACAATACCGCAATAGTTGAGTGATCAGCGATTGCCCAGAAAAATTATAAAAAGCGCGACTATGCTTACCTTGAGATTGGATCGTCCGCCCACCATATCATAGTTCAAATCACTTCGTCCGTACAAATAATAATTAATGACATCCATTGTCATGTCCATGAATACTTCATCCAGTTCGATGGCTGTCCTTTGGTGAGCGCTTTTTTGAAAGGTAAGCATCAACTGGCCTGCTCGCTTGGCAACATAAGGCAACAGATTCGGGACCAGTTGGCGTGGCTGAAAAGGTGGCAAGAGGATGTGTCGTCTCCAGCGCCACTCCTATGATCGAAAATCGTGTAAGCGGTCATAGCGATGAGCAAATATAAATCAAAAGTTGGTATCGTACCTCGCCTACAGTGTTATTGATACTTTTTCCTCCAAACACAAGATTTTGAATTTTGCGAATCAGATCACCACGTTGGACATTGGGGGTGGCTCCTTTTGCCTTTGGTTTGGTTTGACCGTCAACCAGGACGTCCTTGATTCCTTTGAGTGTGTTTACAAATACAAGTGGTGTACCGGTAACGGACCAGCATACGCTGACAGGCGATTGACGGGGATCTTGACCGATTTGGATCAACATACGCGATAAATGATCTATTTCTTCTGTATCACTTGGTGGTGGGACAAGCCCGAGATAGGACGTCCAGAAATTATCCGCAGAAGCGATTGGCGCGTGAGCCATCGGTGATGTAAAGCGTCGATAAATGTAACGTAAAAACAAGGCCAACGACAGCAAACCAGTGCTGCTAGCAATGAATCCCGTGGAATTGTCAAAGGAAGGTAATACGGCGGATTGCATCGATGAAAAAAAAAGTGGGAAGAACGATGTGACAATAATAGTGAAAAAAAGGCTTCGTAATTTCTCGCACAAAGATTTTATAGGGAACCCTTCATTTTGCATTTTTTTCTGTCGTTAGAAAAAGCTATGCATGGATACAGTGTGAGGGTCGAACGCGTTTTGCTCGCCATGATTGTGAACAGGAGAAAGTGTCAATCGTCTGTATTCAGGAAATTAGCCAATCAGAACGCCGCATCATTCTCAGCCAACGATTTCGTCAATGGAACAATAAAGCTCCAGGGGCAAACCGACAATTCATGCGCGGCAAAATAGTTTGACAGGGAGTTTACAACGCTCTATCTTATGCTTTCATTCGGATAAATACCATATTTAAACACCACCAACCTTTATCGACATTAGCCAGCCACTTTGCACCAAGATGTATCCGCAAATAAAGTATCGCTACAGCATTACTAGGGATTTATGAATCGATCGTTCCTTGATACTGAAAACGATGGAGTTCATACGACGAAAACCTATTAGACTTGGAGAGTTGCCGATGTCACGGAAATTGGGTCAAAATAAATCGAACTATGTGTGCCTGAACTGCTGCATATCTGTTACTGTAATACAGCATGTTGCGCAAAAGAAGTGCGTACAGTGGCTTTAAGAATGCGGTTGCTTCAACACTCATCCACTTGTCATCATATTTCTGTATAGACAAAGAAAAATTGGGCAACCCTATCTGAAAGCCAAAGTTCATTCCGTTGACTACTGGAAATCAATATGTGGTGCCATTGAAAATAACCAGGACATTATTCCGCTTCTCTTATCTGTTATAGGAAGTAGATGATGCAATGTTATATTCAGTAAAATTGCTTAACAAGCCAGAAACAGCTGCATCAGCGACTGCCAATCAACCAACTTACATAGAATCCGCTGCACTATGGATTACCGATTATGCCGTTTACATAACTAAGCGTGCCTTGTGTCCGTTTTTCGCCTGCTTCTAATTTCCATATTGGAAATGTAAAAAAGAATGATACATCAAACAATGACTGTCAATGGTAATTCCAGATGGCTTCTTGCATTGTCGCCCTAATTGTTTTTTCTCTACTATGCATTGCAGTTGTCTCTTTTGAGGCTTGCTCACATCTTCTTTTCTTCCGAGATTGTCATTTTTTTTTTTTGTGCTGAATTGAAAGTGGGCTCATGGCCGTTGATACTCAAAAATAAAACTCGTATAACTAATGACCCTCATACAATAGTTCATCAACCACCGACCATCCACTCTTCTGGAGTGTGCTCTACACCGTTGAACATGCGATGCGTAGTCCGTCCTGCACAGTTGCTTGGTTCCTCCGGGCAACTGGCAGGTACGTTTATAATCCCAAATTTTGCTATGCTGTTCCGTTTGACTGCATAATTTAACCACGCGTTATTTTCCAATATTTTTTGATCTATCTGACTTGTCAGGGCACGCACTACATAAATTTTGGGATCGAATTTCCCAACATTTCTTTAACTGGGTACAAGACAAATTCTTTCGACTATCTCGACCGCTGGACCTATCGGAGTGGCCCACCCCGCGTTGTACGGCGACAAAGCACCTTAGTTATTCATTTACTCAGGACATCGCCACAGAAAATCAGCCGCCGTAGGATCGAGTTGTTGTCCAGCGGCGGTGGTAAATGGGGCCATGATATTAGCATCGTGTAGCCAACCATGCAAACAGAGACATGTAGGTCATTAATGCGTAAGTATACATCTAAGAAACAAACAAGAATATCGCCCACTGTTATTAAATGTCAAACGACATAATCAAGCTTGCTATTCTTGTCTGTCCAATACTAGACGCCACTTCTTCAGGTGAGTTCATAACATAATATACTATGTGCGAAAGTAACGCAGATACATATTGCTGTCATCACGTTGGGCTTAATACACATGAAAAAAAAAAAAACTTTTATCTTTTTTAGATTTTACTTGAACACGCTAATTAATGATCCAATAAAAGATAGCTCTCAGTATCTTTAAAAGATTTTGCGCGGGTTTTCTGTATCGTAATCCGTCAAACGAATGGCGCTCGTAAATAGCGAGGATAGCTGTATGTTGCGAATAGGTTCATCCACATTGCAACAAGTCCATTACAGGTCAAGTGCATCTTCCAGTAAATAAACATGCGCTGGATAATATTACTTGGTCTCAAAAAACATGCACACCCGGTCAGATAAAGAGCGAATTACCTTTGTACGATCCACTGCGGATGGGATCATTGTAATAAAATAATGAAACAACTGAACGGCTTGCTCTTCGAAATCTGTAAAAGAAAAAGAGAGAATCAGCCTGAATCACGATTGAGGAATAAGAATCCCAATGTACAGCAGTGATCTTTGTAAACATGACAAATAAGAGCTTACTAGAATAGAGACTCACTTTGACCGCACTCCCACAATGGCATCAGCAACTGGATGATTTTCGAAGCGTAGAGTATTGTCTGTGAGGATTGTACGTCATTAAACTTTGTCCTGTTACGCAACCTTTAAAAAGAGAAAAAGAGGTTTGGCTCACCTCACGGCCGGCACGATCCCTGACGATAGTGATAGTGAGATCGGAACCAAGCTTCATCACAGTGTCCGATTCTCCCACCAACGGCTAAAACACGGAGCAGTCCATCCATGATACGATCCAAATATTGGTGACAAAAGACTAATGTCAAAGTCCTCAATCATCAAGGGCCATTTAAAGGTTTGCGCCGATGTTATGTGCACAACAAATTCTTCACCCTCTCCCATCATCTGCAAAAGAGCCTCGTACATAGACAACCATTCGACCATCAGCATCAGTGTCTTCCGTGAGCCACTTGCTCAACACCCAGGCAATTCTTCGACGAAGAATCTTGAAACTGGTCATATATGAATTTTGTTGTCAGAATTTGCCGTAAGCATTAAGAAGCCAATTTTCAGGGACTTACGTTGGAGATTTTTGTTTATGGGAATCGGTCGGTTCATGTCAGAGTTTTCAAAGTCCAGACGACCGTACAGTGATTGTACACCAAGATCAACGACTGCATATACAGTATACACCATCATTCGAAAGCAAGGCATGATATATCGTTATTCGATCTTTTTTTTTTTTTATGCCAAGGCGAACTCACAGTAAGTAAGCTGATATACCTTTTGCTAGCGATGATACCATCGAGTTTTCTTTCTAAGGAACGAGGTTCTGTACCCACCGGCGCGATCACAGTGAACATCATTTATGGCCATCTGAAGGATGTCATCGCGGATTTCGGATGTGTCTACGCTTTTTGGCTTCTTAGCTTTGAAATATATAAAGGCGATCCTGGAAACATCGCTACTAACAAGAAGGGTTTGATTGAAATGACTGTCGTGAAGAGACTCATCGAGCAAGCGCAAGTCAGCGATCCTGTGCGTCAACAGTCGCTCTATCTTCGGAATACAGAGCAAACAGACTTTTGGCGAGCTTATACAAAATGCTGGATCCCCAACAACAGCGGAACGACTATCGACCATAGATGCATTCGATGTCGAGGAATTTATCCAGACATCTGAGCTCATTTATCATGCAAATGGAAAGGGTTGTGAACCGCTTCCTCCCAGCGCCATACCTAACAAGTCCACACCGGTAACCATGTGCCAGGATCATTTTCGACTGCTTCTCAATTTTTTAAATGGTTGCATACGATCAGCAGTTCCCACTTCATCATTATCTTAGGACAAGGCATGGATTCGCGGCCATCAGTCCTGTTATTCAAAGTTTGTATCTCTGGCGAAAGGAAAGAGTGGAAGAAAAAAGATTAAAGGGAAACGTACAGTACAGAGACGGAAGAAATGGAAAGGCGACGGGGGTGTTAGCCTCAGTCGAAGGTGTCTGGATCAAGCAGAACGAGTAACAAGATCGGTTTGGAAAGGAACAGCATCGAAAATGAAGGCACAGTAGGCGCGCCAAATAGCCAGAAAAGTGCAGTGGATAGTCGTAGTGTATTTGTGTTAGGAGTATGATGGAAAGTAAATTCCAGTCGAGTGACGTGAGAAAAGCAACCACGACCGTGGCTTCCGGATCACACTGAAAAAGGGGTTCCAAGTACGAGTCTAGACTGACCAGAGGACTGGACAGGTGACCAAGGAATGGGCTAAGGTATCCACTGAATTGTGACATAATTAACAGATAGCGCTGGGGAAAGGATCGGGAAGAATGCCATGCGGAGTGGCCGTCGCAGGTAGCTTGGTGTGGATGGCGCGGAATCATAAAATTATGTACCGAAGGATCCATCGACGTGGACCAGAAGTGGTTCCAATTAATGGGCGAAATAGGCGAATGGACAAGAGGCTAAAGGAGCTAATAGGCGTCAGAACTCACTGCGAAAGTTGCGAGAATAGAGCAACTCTGGGGACAGCAGATGGGCGAAAGCGGAAAGCAGGGAGGTGCCATGATGCAGCCTGCTGCGAGAGAGGTAAAAACATCGTGAATCTGCAAAAGCTTAATCAGTGCTTCTGATGACCGCATTGCGCCACTCGAAGGTGGAATCAAACCCAGTTGGCTAGGTAGGATACATTTTTTAGACCTCGCCTGATGCAGCGTCTACGCACGCGTCGTAAGGGTTGTCGTTCTCAGACCAGACGCGAACTCCAAGGCTTACTCCGAAACTCAAGAGCTTGAACCAAAGAAAAGCGCTAAAGGATTCAGCAAACATGATCTCTGGAGGCTAGTCGTGAATCTTGATATCTGACCTTTCAAGCAATTAAACGGAAAAGATTTGCCATTTTATGTAACCCAGCAAACAGATATTGTGGGAGTGGGTATTACCCAAGTAAGATGTTTCCGGGTCGCAAAAGAGGCCTGCAGTAGAAGATTAAGGTTCTGGATATCCGGTACCTAACACCCTCGCTCCGATTGACAAAAGGTATTCCTATAGGCCACTGCATTCTGATTGACCAAGAGACATGCTATCAAACGGCCAGGGCGAGCACTGTATATCATACACTTCGAGTCAAGATGCCAATACGCGGAAAAACTACAGAATCATTTAAAGAGCCTCTCGTCAATCGATTTTAATACGTTTGCTTACGCTTCATCTCGGATTCACGGCTATAAACTATGGAATCGGGACTTGACTGTGATGTTCAATTTTCATCAAACCCGTTTGATCACTGAAAAATAACGAATGACCAGTAAAATGCAAAAAGAAACTGACCCAAGAACAGGCGCCAATCGGGAAAACTCGAGAGTTACTTTATCATGATCAACTATCGCTGATCCCATATCATGTTTGCCCTCAGGGTAAGTTAATGATGTATGCTACTCCCAGAATTTGTCCACTGTGCTATTCAAGTCTCAACTTTCTTTCATAATCCATTAATGGAAGTTACTAGTGTTCGATATGATATGCTTCTTTAGAAATTTATCGTCATCGTTTGAAACTAGGCAATTGTATTGTGACTGCTGACGACGAATGACACCTAATTCATGCATTATGTACGGAAAAGGTCCATTAGAACATACAAAAACAATCCTTGTATCTCGATATGAATAAGAAAAAGGAAACTTCGAAAATGAAATCAAGGATAAAAGGTTAAAAGGTAAAAAGGCAACGAACGTCATGTTGCCTTTCGAATTCCAAAATTACAGAATACATGCGAATTCTTTTACCCAGTTTTTGTTGATATGATTTTTTGCGCCATTGAGCATTATTTTCTGGTTAAAAAAAATACTAAGCAGCTTGGTATGGTCTTAATTCAGTTGATGCTAACGTGAAAGTATTACGCAAATGTAAAAAATTTGTCAATTTTAACGTATTGGGAGATCGATGTTTCAGAGTGGCTACTTGAACCATGTGCCCATTGTTTCAGACTTGTCCCGCGGGGGTCGAGAACACAAATTCGCAAGAAGCAAGTGACTGTCATACGTCTTGATTGGCTGACAGGATAACAGTAAAGGAATCTCCGCAACATTACTAATCCACAGGGCTGCTGTTGTTGTGTCCCCCAGTGAGGGGCGATTCGGTCGTTTTCCATGGATCATTTTCGATTTTACCCAGGCTGCCCATTTGGCGATGCGGTTTTAAATGAAGATTTTCGTGCATGGTTTATGATCACATAATTTGATTCAATATGTCTCAAGTATAATAAGAAGTAGAAAGGTAGGCAGGGCAAAAAGAGGGGGGAAGAAGTGATAAGAAGGATGGTATTAGTAAGACTTTGGACTGCTTATCAGATGAAAAAGCTATATTTGGGGCGATTTGGGCCTAATAAAGCAGTGCTGCGCATTATGCAAAAGGTAAATAAAGGGAATCCAAGTGCAATGAAATCATAAGAGGATTGATCGGAAATCTTTTTTTTGCAAACCGGCGGTACAAATTTTTTTTTTGCCCCATGGAGCTTCCGATTGAGTCAAATTCTTTTCTTGTTGCTGACGGTTACGCGGCTACAGATGCAGTCCAAAAAAGGAAACTCCGCCATCAGCGTGGCGTCGTTCGAAAAAGCAATAAAAATGGACAGTGGGATTTTCCATTTTAATTTTCTGCCTTCTTTACATTTTTTTTCTGGTCTCAAAAAACTTATCAATTAAGAATGTCTGCTTCTTCTCTTTTACAATCACCTAGCTTTTCGTCTTTGCCGTCTTCATCAACTCACAGCGAAAAAAGCCCGACGACGGTCACGCCTGACGCCGAATTCAATGATTTTTTCGTCTACTCTTTCGATCATGGTTTGGACATGCAGTGTCAGGACGCCGACAGCTGGAGATACGCTCTTTCCAAAGTACGACAGCAAATGTATAACTCGACGAGTGTTTTTGTCCCATCGCCAGCGGCCTATCTGCATGGACATCAGAGCTTTGCTATAAAGTCGATGCCACAGTATGAAGAAGTGTTCAATTATAATGCGAATTCTCACTTGGTCAAGGACCTCTCGACCTATCGGCAAATGCGATCTGAGAATCTCTTGATGCGCATGATCCATTGCAGTGATATCTTGTCCATCGATATCGCCACTATAATGCGTCTTAAGAAAGGCGTATTTGTTCATCAAAAATCCAACTACATCACCCCGCAACCATCACCCACATCCTCCACCATTGAAGAATTCAACAAGCAGATGTTTCCTCAAGATGGTAAATAACCTTTGAGCGTTTTCAATAATTTAATTTTTTACAGCGTAGATCACTCACGATTCATTACTTTCTTTTTCTGCAGCTGAAGCATCGATTGAAACATTCTATACTGATAATGTGAAGAGCATGATCTCTACGACCGGTCTCGAATCGTCCAGTTATGCCATGGATACCTTTGTACCTTACAGTTATACCTTTGGTGCTCGATATACCAACCCCTACGGTGGTGCACAAGATATTTTGATCCGTGGTCAAATCCCACTGTGGTGTCAAATTCTGTTTTTATCCAGCTGCGTTAATCAGATGCCCATTCGGCCCCACGAGACTCGAAGTGGTTTGTTCCCATTTGCGCCCAATATTTCTGTGACTTTCGGTCGTCTCGCCGAAGCTGCTGTGCCTGAAAACGAGATTAGTCCTGATCTCGGTTTCATGTACGAACGATTTGCCATGGATATCAGCGAACCGGAAATGCTTCTGAACGACGATGACGGTTGTGGCCATACCTGGGCTGAGCGCAAGCAAGAGATACTGCAACAGACCTTGTATTGCAATATTCCGGATCATTTAGCGGCCATCATCACTGGTGAAGCTGCGATATGGGCCGCGCAACAATCGCTCATCGTATAAACCTCGTGAATCCAGCTTTTTTATTTTGGTTCCCGTTTCATTCCGTCCCTTAAAATTGTTCTACCCTATTCTCCCTGTTGTCATGATTATTTTTTTATTCGCTTCTTGTACATTCTTTACTTGTTTTCTACATTTCGTTGTTTCCTTGTGTTTTACTGTACGTATTGCTTGCATTTTCCTTTGTAATGAACTTTAATGATAATCCAAGTTGATCCATTTTATCAGCCTTCACAAGTTCACTTTTGGAAACGAAAATTTTTTCTGCGCCTCTTCGGCGACCTCTCCGCATGTTACACGAGGTCAAAATATGTGATTGATCTGCCACACATGATGTGCATGGAGGTGTTTTAGAATAAAAAGTTGGCCCTTGTCGCGCCGTACCACAAAAAATATGCACACATGGACCACCCATGTCATTACCGTAAATAGATAGATATTACAAGACATGCCAGTCATTCAGAAATATAACCCATGAAATAATCAGGGACAACTGCGAGAAAGACAAATCCTGATACCAACAAATACTTTTTTGTTCATAAACTCTATGAAAACCTGCAGGGCATATATTATGCGGTTCGAGAAGTCATTTGGAGTTGCTATTAGCATTTCGGGGAAAAAACAACTGATCGCCCGAGTTTCAGCGACAGCATTATTCTTGGGGTCGCACCAAGTCATCACATTCAGCCTGATCAAATCTTTTTAGATCAATATCAACGCGTAAGAGATACTCCAGTCATATTGGGTTGCAAAAAGCGGACACAGTGCCGTTTACCCTTCACCAAAAATCACCTGGTCACCGAGAAACGTAGATGTTTTTTGTAGATAGCTGACATTAGAAAAGAATTTTTGCGAGGAGAAGGTTGAATTCATGAATCAGGAAGACCTATCAGATCTGTCAAGCTGTGCCACGAAACAAGGATTTCTGGATCTTTGGGTCGACATACATCATTCAACATAATTACTATGTATGCCCTAAAACCATCGCGGATTCTTGGTTTTTACTACTGCAAAGAGTATGGGGGGAGGGGGACATACCAGGTTTCGTGGTGGCTGATTCCGATCCAATAGGGATGTATTTCCCTGCAGGATAATGTTATTCCCGGCCCCTCCTATTGTATCGGCACCAAATGCGATCCAAGGCGACGCGCAAGCTGATAATTCCATTAACATATGCTCGATCAACCCGCATTAATCGGGAGAAACTCAGGTTCGGCCAGAGTGACCATTAACTTCTGTCCTTTTTTTTGATATACAGTATCATACTATAAATTTAAGTCACAGGGATTGAATGTGAATATAGTAGAAAAAATACTCTTTATTGGATACTGTGGTTTAAAGAAAAAATCACACTTGAGATCGTGCGGGTTCCGGTGTCGACTGGTCCGAACATCTGGTAAATGGCCACTCTATCGATTGCCAGAGGATGTACAGCGCTAGGCGTCACCTGTGGGCAGATGTCTTGTGAAAATCAAAAAGAAAAACAAAAGATTACACGTTCGAGCTGAAAGGGAAGGTCGGTACAGTATGAGGACATTAATTTTGCGTAACCCGCCGAATAGAGGATGGAAATTGGCCAGCACAAAACAAACGGAAGTTTGGCAGAAATAGAAGCAGTATTTCCTTCGGAAGGAACGAAAGGGCGCAATGTTCGGAATACAAGCAGCATAGTCTGCAGTTCCTTGCTAGCGAGAGGATCGGTATCCCAGCGCTCCATGATCGCTTCTTCCTTTACAGCGTCTGAAAGGAGCAGCTGGGTTAAGGCTTCTGTAAATTTGTCTGTGCAGAGTTAACGTAGCAAATTTTGGATGGTCAGACCAACAAGGTTATGTGAGGGTATCAAAATCGTAGAATTCAAAGAGAAGCTGGTAAGGGTCGCGATTCATTTACTGGGTCTGAGTTTGGCTGAGATAGCATTATATCGAACGGCTTCACAGCCTCTCGCATGACGAACTGTTTCGGGCTTGCATGGGTTCTTCGATATTGGAGGCATTACCTGAAGCCAGACGTTCTGCGGCGGTCAACGTTCCGGTATTTCGGGCGATGCTAGGAGGAAACAGGTCTGGACCTTGCCCTGTTAGAGCTGCGATGTACTGATGAAGCCCATCGATGTCTGGCTGGCTTCCAAATTGAAGCTGGCTTGGTGGAAGCTTGAGATATTGTCCAGTATATCCAATCTGTAGTTTTGTGTGCAAGCGACCTTATCAGTGTCTTGGGGAAGCAACGTACAACCTTCCTCGTCCGGCAACAAAGTGAAGTCTTCTTTCAACTCGTCAAGAGTTTGGGAAATATAACTGCGGTCCCAAAGGCCGCAAGCACCAAGTTCAAGAACCTTAGCAACACTGTTGCTCCTGTCCCTGTTGTAAAAACCAGATGGTGCGGCACAAGGAACGCTTGCATGAATTGAGCCATCACAGGCATGGGGTCTACAACAATAGTTTTTAGTAGAATCAACATAGAGCGAAGACAAATCCTCGAGTTCTCACCAATGACCATAGTGTCATCTTCTTCCATCATCAAACACGACTCCTTTGACATCAGAAGAGTCAACATTGGTACGGATGATTTCATTTTCTTGGTATTGATTGGGAAACCCAGGAATTCTTGCGAATTTGTTGGGGCCACAGTTCCTACTCTTTGCTTCAAATATTGAGAACTCCTTAACACCCATTATTGATATGATGCGTCGAATAGCCACTTCCCCTCCACCAGAAGAACGCTCAGAGAAGACGCCGATATGTCCGTCGACACTCTTCCAAGAAGGAGAGGGTAGGATGACCCACTTGTTCGTGAGTACAAGCTGGCTACTTTGCTGCGCCCTAGGTTCCGGCATTGGGGATAAGTCCTTCTATAGCAACTACACAGAAAAAAAAAGAACCTTGATCTAATGAACTCCAAGTCTCGTATTTGTTCCATGGCCGAGACCTTTGCCGTTGCTCGCCAGGATGCTCTCAACCTGGCTAATCTGTATTCTCCCCGATGGGTAGAAGGTCATTTTCAGAATGCCCTCCGATACACCGTCAAAATTATTGGTGCCATGCGTTGAAAATGGTAATGACCAATGTTCACAGAGCAAGAAGTCGACCTGTGAGTACAATGGGCAATACAGACATGTACGACTCGTGAATAACGGTTGTATTCTACCGATATAACCAAGTGAGGTCTGGTACAGTAATTTGAACGCAACGTATATCCATAATTTAGACCGGCACCTGTCGGCTCTGCTTCTCTGAAGGTCAGTGACAGGTTCTGTTCTTATCGTATTCTTTACTGGATACCTGTATTTTAGATCTGTATGAGCGACCTGAACTGACATCTGCATTCATTCATATCGCTGACTCCTACGGCCAAAAAGCTGTTGAGAGTAAGCGAATCAATTTCTCAAGTCAACCAGAGAACCGACAGTAACCATGGTCATTTTTCAAGATGTTGTTGAGCATATCCATGAACTTACGGGATAGAATGGTGCATATGTGGTCGGCTTTTTTTCATCGGATTATGCAATGCCGGTCATAACCTTCCAGCAGGACCGAAGAAACTCGGTATGTTTTCAGTACATGGTATATTGGATCATTCCTCTGATTACATTCGGGAAATTTTAGCAAATTCAATAGTGAAGATTCAACAACGGCAACATGTTGACGCAGTCGACTTCTCCAATTTTTAATGGCTACAGCGCCCGAAGTCCAGCTTATGTATACGTATGAGAATATATGCAGTTCATGAGTATGTAGTTTCTGACATAAATGTTAGAACGCACTTTGCTGCATATTGCCTGCAGCTTGGTACCCAGGGCAAAGTCGATACGGAAGAAGATTCGCCATTCGATCCTGCTCCATCTTTACGATTTTCGGCGTGGCTTCACCATGGTGTGAATACACTTAAGTTGGTGGAAGGCCATGGTGCTACTTCCCATTGCATCTCATCAAATCGGTAACATCTATTTCATTGATCCTGGGTACGAACGTTACGGCCCTCGTCCGCAACAACTCAATCCATCTGATGGGACTCACATGGTCCATGACTTTCATCATCGCTGAGATTGTCCTCACTTGTATCCTGCAAGTAGGAGGCTTGCGAAGGCAGATTAGTTAACGCATCTGGCCTTCCATCATCGATGGGCCGTTGCTGGACCCTCGTCTACAAAGGCTGTACCGTGACATCGAACAACTCAAAGCCACATCATTAGTGAACGTGTCCAAAATTTGCGACGGCAATCACGTAATGTTGCCGAGAGTCGAAGCGAGCTTTGGAGAGACATTGTTCGTCGGGGTGTTGCAGAAGGTGCTCCTGGCAGTTTGGAACGTCGACATCAAGTGGAACGACTTTGGCGTATGAACATGCCATCGTTGCATATACACTTAGACCGAAGCGACAAGCAGTCGTGGGTTGACTGGACAACAACACGAAACGAAGGCACCAGCTACTTTGCCAGCGCCATGCGGTATGTTGGTGCGTCGCGAACCCACCCCTGCTACAATGCACTTCGCCAATTTGCCCCCGAAGGTGCCGCCGACGATGGATCGTCGCTGTACGATGAGGAATTGATGACTCAGGCAGCTTCACAGTGGGGTGCATGGATGAAACAGTTCCTTCCCGCTGATCACTTTAGCTCCCAAAACCAAAGATGCTGTGTCAGCCATTGGTTAAGCCAGCAGTCCGAAGAGTACGATTATACACCAACCATGGAGGGTCGGCTCATCTATGTTCCTGCGACCTGGGCTGCCCGACTACGTTGGCTCGACGGCTCCGAACGCACCTTGCAGCTTAGGTTTCCGAATTCGACAAAGGCTATTTACAACCAGCAACCACGATGCAATGCCTATCGTCAAGTGAACTTCGTGGAGCCATGTTGGCAAACGTGGGAATATCGCAGAATGTTTCAGGAAACATATCACCGACCAGTCGAAGATGACTTGACAGATTTCTTCGATGATGAAATCTTCCAAGAGTATGAGCACTCATGTCCCCGATCATGGAATCACATTTGAAGTACGAACGTGCGACGAGCTCATAAACAATGAAGAACTGCTGTACCTGTATGACCATCGTCATCTTTTGGTGTTGTACCTACCTAGATCGGAAAGGTAATGAAAGCTTTGAAATAATTTTTATTGACGATGACGGTTTCTTCATCAAGATATGAACTACAGCTTGAATTTAGAATTTACAGTAATTTTCTGATGGTTTTTGAAAATAGGTATCCTTCGATCAACATCATAGTATATGCATACCATTGTATTGCTCGATCAGATCGAGGATTTCCGCGATGAAAGAAATCCGCCTGAACTCTCCGAAGCAGCAAGAAGAGCCCAGGCAAAGCTGCAGCAATTTTATGCCAAAACAGACCGAAGCCCTGTGTATGCGACGGCGACAGCATTGGATCGACGATTAAAGTACGCGTACTGAACCGAACAGAACTGGGAGCCAAAGTTTATTACCGATGCGAAGTGCAAAGCTCAGTCAGCTTGGGCGGAATGGAAGGGCCCCGATCAAGTTGAGGAAAAACAGAAGTGACGACGTGCGCGATGTGTACCGACCGAAAAAGACGCCGGTTGCTTGACCAGTTGCAAGCATATGTGGAGGCTCCTTTGCTGATTAAGGCCGGACCCAGCAATGACGATGAAGACAGCTGCGAGCTTTTGTTTTGGCAAAGTGTGGGGCCCTCAATTGGCGAAGATGGCACGCAAGTATTTTGCCATTCCAGCACATCGACGCCATGCGAGCGGTTTTTTTCTCGTGCCAAGCATTTCATTCCTGCTGTGGGCAATCGGTTGCAACCTGAGCCGTTGAAGCAGAGTATCCTTCTGAACTCGTGGCTTTAAGCTCCTCCTCCCATCTCCCTTTGCATTTTCTTTTCTCTCCTTTGTTCTCCGTTTTTTCCCCCTTCCATTCTCTTTCTTTTTTCACTTACGTTCTCTTTTCTTTATTTCTTTTTATGTTTTCCGTTCTCTTTATTTTTCCTCCCCCGCAAACCAAAGGATGTACACTCTTTCCTTGCACCATGGATGAAAGAGCCAAGACAGCTCTCAATTGATGGCATGGTACTGCGAATTGCAAACAAGCCTGATATCCAATTGCATGTCCACTTAATTCTCGCGTTTGGTGATATTCGTGGTGTGGCTGATTTAATCAATCACAGCGACCACAACTCATTACATGGATGTCGCTGCCCACAAAGAGTGTGGGTTTTCAGCCCACAACAGCACTCATGCTTGCTACAAGTGCAACAGACAATCTTGTGCCATTCCAGGAACCAGCGAACTGGATTTTTCAGCGGTGTTGACATGTCGGCATGGATCCCAACTACGAAGCATCAAAACTATCTAGATGCATTGCGCTGGAAATCGCAGAGAAACCAGGCTGAACGGGCCAATGCAGTGCGCGAAACGGGTAATCGCTGGTCCGCCCTTCATGAATTGCGGTACTTTGATGTGATTTGATGCACTATCATCGATCCTATGCACAAGCTCTTTGGCTCCGCCGGCCCAAATACACCGAGCCGAGAGGCACACGATGCTTTTTCTCTGTTGCCGATATACTCTGTACAGAAACGGCATATTCTCCTGGAACCGCAGGCACTCGCTTGGCAGCCAGTCGATGTGCATTAGTTTCTTGAACAAAGCCACATTTGGGGAGTGGACCCGGACTTGACGGATATCTTCGTTGCTTCCGATGGCTCTTCAAGTGAGGCACACAGGATACCACATGGCCTCCATGAACATCCGGGACGTCTCTTTGCACATGCAGCAAAATAACAGCGACAAACCGCCTTCCTTTTGCGAAGCAATGAAAGAATGTACCACACTGCACGTCCTCTGGCTTGCCGACTGGCAGTACAAATTCCACTCGGTGCATTTTGCTGAACCCAAAATCACGTCGCTAGCCCTCCAAAGACTTGCCGCCCTAATGGGGATTTGATCCCTCTTTTCACGAATGTTTATAGAATAATTTTGTTTTCTGGGATCCGTCCCTCACTGAGACACATGACGCGCTGTTTTCTCTCAATAAATACGCATTTATACAAAAAAAAAGAGGATTCTGAGCGATTCAGTTAACTTGTTATACAACGCAGTGTACTGTGTATGGTTGGTGACAAATAAGAGCGTAATAATCTATACTGCACACGTTAACTGGACTCGCAAATCGGCGACACAAATGATTTTTTTTTTTTTTCGGCATGAAGGCGTTATCGCTGGCCTTATCGCTTGATCAAAAATCAAAAGATCAAAACGTCACAATTTTTTTTGAATGGGAATATTTTCCTTTTTGGGAAAATTCACCCGCCTTGGCTTTTTTCTTCTTGCTTTTCCCACTGTCACCATGCCAGAAAAGATTACCACTGCTGAACAGCGTGCTCAGTTCCTTGACAAATTCGACAACTTCCTCTTTGATTGCGATGGTAAGTGTTAGGCGTTTTTGGGTATGGAGTCGGTGTAAAAGAGCTGGCTTATGTCTAAAAATGAAACCGTAGGCGTCCTTTGGGTAGGCAAAGAGGTTGTACCGGGAATCAACAGTGCCATGGCCGAAATTCGCAAACGAGGTAATTAAAAATTATGTAATACGCTGTAAAAAGAATGTGAGTATTCATTGCTATGCTGCATAAAAAAAGGCAAAAGAGCCTTCTTTGTCACCAACAACAGCACGAAATCTCGAGACTCTTTTGTGGAAAAGTTTGCAGGATTCGGCATTGACGCTAAAGTGGTAAGTTGGGGACTATGTGGTTTTCATGGATTATCCCCTGTATGGTTTATTCATTCGAGAAAACCTCTTTTGAAGGAGGAGTTCTTTACCTCGGCATTCGCTACGGCCACCTATTTGAAGAATGTGGTGAAATTTCCTGCAGACAAGAAAGTTTACATTGTCGGCATGTCAGGTATCAAGGAAGAACTGGCGGCCGTAGGAATTCGAAGCTTTGGTGCTGGTGTAAGTAAAGTGGAGATGTATTCGGGAATTGATGCAGACCATTCTGATTGAGAGTTCCTCTTTTAGGAAGACAGCGGATTATTAGATGACGAGCCTGTTCCAGATGATCCAGAGGTAACGTCTTGAGAGCGGATGGAGGTGTGCATGAATTGCAACTGCAGCTTTTTAGTTGACATTCGGATCGTAGGTCGGCGCAGTGGTTTTCGGTCTGGATACGCAGATCAACTTCAAGAAATATCAGAAGGCGTTTGCTTACCTTTACCGTAATCCTGATTGCCATTTCATTCTGACCAACAGTGACACCACCTTCCCCAACCACGGCACCATCATGCCAGGTAATAAGAAGGACATTTCTTTTTTTTTTGTATTAGGTCGGAAGAACTCAATTTTATTGGCATAGGTTGCGGTTCCATGGTCATGCCCTTGATTACTGCCCTGAATAGACAACCTGATGTCATTTTGGGTAAACCGGCTCAGAATATGATGCAAGCTATTTTTGCTCAGTAAGTTTTTGGACCTGTACGATGAATTGAGAGCTTTTGAGACTCACTTTGTTATCATCAGGTATGATTTGGATCCCAAGAGAACTTGCATGATTGGTGATCGTTTGGACACGGATATTGATTTTGGTCGCCAGGGAGGTCTTGAAACATTGTGTGTGTTGACAGGTGGGTATCGTGCAATGCTGAATATTTTCTTGGTTGGAACTATCGTTCTCATTCGTTCGTATTAATAGGCGTCACAAGCGAAGAAGAGCTGTTATCGCCCGAAAACAAGATTCAGCCCACCTATTACGTTAACAGTTTTGGCGATTTCGCACAATAGAAAGCATTTTTATTTCGTTTTTTTCCATTCACTTGTATAGAGAAGATAATAGACTTTCTTCCATTTCCATTGAGCTTTTACAGCCTCCAACCAACTTAATCGATGGATATATTTAAGGATGCCAGATCGAAAAAAAGAAAAAAAAAACCCCCCAGGCAATGTCAGTGTCTGATTTTCTCGATCGCTGAGGAATGAAGTAGCATGTGACGAGCAATACAGCGCCTGTATTCAGGCGCCAAAGTAGAGCCAGCCGGTCAAGGATGCACGTCACACTGTTGAAAGGGTGGGTTCTCGATGCTCAGAACGGCTGCTTTTCAGTACGCGACTTCAGCATCATGGCAAATCTTCACGGCCCGGTGGATATCGGTGATTACCTTCAAGAGTTTCTCTCCTGTAAGTTAAAGTCCCATCTTATGCACCACCTCATTGCATCACCAAACAATGATGAGTCAACCAAAAAGAAAAAAAAAGGACACTGCCGAGAGCAAAAAAATAAAACTCATATAATACTGTTGCAGCTATTGATGATCTTCCCGGTGAAATCTGTTTCCTACTCACTGAGCTTCAGAGCAAAGACCATGAATTTCAGAGTAAGCCTAGCTTTTTCGTAGGATTTCTCAATGGTAGGCCAATGCAAACTCATGTGCCTTGAATTGACCCATGAAGAAGTACTGCGAAATATACACAATCGGCAAGTGAAGATGTTTAGCATTCAACGCAAGACGGCCGATAAACCGGATGCAAGTTTTATACCGATAGAGGAGGAAACGTCTTTGAAACGTGAGGTGCAACGATACCTGAATCGAGCCGAGCAGTTGGTGGAAGAAAAGGGAGAACTGGCCGATCGGGCTAAACAACTAGTAAGCTAGCAAATAACCCCTCATGGAAAGGCCGTGTATACTGAATGACAAGAAAAAATTGAACACAGATAGAAAAACATTTGAACCACTTGGATCAAGATCTTGAGGCCTTATATCCGCATCACAATATCCGAAAAGCAAGTGAACGAGAAGCGGCGGCATGGATTGCCAGAATCAGTGCGGCTTCGTCCAACTCGCTCATGCAATGCAACGACTTCGTAACTCCGACTTCCCATTCCCATACCACGTTTTTGCCATTGGATAATTACGATCGCGGCCGATCGCAAGCGGCCCGACGAAAACGAACCATGCCTCCATCAACGATCCCAAACTCCTATGCACGAACGCACGATACCATGAATGATTGGTATGCATTTCCCCACGAAAAAGCGACATTTGAATATCAAAGACAACCCATCCATCGCCCTCCGTACCAAAATGGCGCCTTGCGATATAATCAGGGCACTTACGAATCGTATCACGTACCCACCGAATATGAACATGTGTCACCCGACGATGATGAGAAATATTGTATATGTCAAACCAGTAGTAACGGACTGATGATCGCCTGTGACAACGAGGTGAGCCGACTGGCTGTTGTTGTTGTTGGTTAGATGATTCTTTGAAAGTTTACTAATGAACGTTGGCGGAAAAAAAATTGCTACTAGCACTGCTCTACAGAGTGGTTCCATCTTGAATGTGTAGGTCTTACTGTACCGCCTGAAGGAGTGTGGTATTGCCCTGCATGTCATCTTCGTGCTTCGTTTGGCATGATGGATTACCTATCGGACGACCGACAAGAAAGAGATTCACAGCTGGGTGCCGAGATCAAGGGTGAAATCTAGGCCAAACTATCACGTAGGATCCATGATAACTGTGAATCAAAAACAACCAAATACTGTACAATAGGAAAGAACGAAACTTTTTTGCATGAGCTTTAACTATGCTTGCTTGATCTGCTTGTGACAGGACTCTTATCAATCATCGCCCCGTTCCATCATGACATATGTAACCATCCACTCGGACCGCTGTCGCATCTTTTTTTAAGCTTTATTCCCTTGCGAGTAAACAGAAATAAAAAAATAAAATCTGATTCAACTACGCCATCCTGTAGAAAATACTCTATTTGTTGCATTCTTGAGTTTCATAACACTGTAGCTCTTTGTTGGACGCAACCACTGACGGAGTATGTATCGAGAGACAGGGAAAGATACAATGATAAAGTTTACAGAGATCAACGTTATAGTATGCACAAAATGTAAACTGCAAGTTGGCGGTAATAAAAAGTAATGGGTGCGAATGCATGGAGTTAGTGCAGCCAAGTGAAAGCGGAACAATCTATTGGGTGGATAGGTGGGTGCCACATATCATCAGCTTTGCTATTCCGTGACTCCGCCGTTTCAAATTCCGCGAGAATAAACAACATCCAGTTTCGGCTGGTCTCTTCTTCTTCCCACCCCGTTTTTTTTATTCTTCATCCACCGCCCTACACAATGAGCCCAAACGTAAGTGCCAAACTGTTCATTTTATGCACATCTGTTATTTTTCATGGTGATAATAATACTCCCTCTTTTTGTAAACGGGGTGTTTTTATTTTCGTCGTTCACAGAATCAACCTACTCAGGAACAGCTTGATGGTACTTGTTCATGGAATTGTCGTGTGGAAAAAAACGGGTGGTAGGCTTACATATTATTGTTTGGCTTAGAATGGAAGGAAGCTTTCTCTTTGTATGACAAGAAGGGTAACAGCACCGTGTCTTCCAACAACCTTGGTGATCTTTTGAGAGGATTGGGACAAAACCCTACCCAAGCGGAAGTTCGTGAACTTATCAAATCTGTCGGCGGTTCCGAAACCAAAGGTACAGTGTGACGTGCCCGTCATACCTGAAACGCAAAGCTCGCTGACCCATTTACTGGATCCTTGTAGAGGTGGATATCGACTTTGGTACCTTTTTAACCATCTTTACTCGACCCGACGGCAACAAAGCAGCAGGGTTGTCTCAGGAGTTTATTCAGGGATTCCAAGTTTTTGATAAGGAAGGTGATGGCTATATTTCCGCCGGAGAGTTGCGCTACGGTAAGTCATTCGTGCTGGTTTCCAAAACCACGCGTGGCAGATGGGATGTCTAAAAAAGTGTTACGCGTGTATATGATGATTGACCTTGGTTCGTTTTTTTTTTACCCGTCATGCAGTCTTGACCAATCTTGGCGAAAAATTGACGGATGAAGAAGTGGACGAGTTGTTGAAGGAAGTGGAAATCGGCAAAGATGGACGTATCAACTATGTCGGTAAGTTTCATCACATGACCACCCATCATTTTTTGCTTGATACAGAATGATTTCCGTCTCACACGTCTTCCAACAGATTTTGTTACTTTGATCCTGTCCAACTAAATCCGAGTTCACCGGATGGAGGGAAAAACCACCAAATCATCTCAATGAGAGAAAAAGAAATAAGTTTACTTAGTTTATACCATGGAATGAAAGCTCCATTTTTTGTTTTAGTGCTGAATATCATTATGATAAAGCGATCTGGGAACCCGATTTTGCGAAAACGAGAGGCACTTTATGGAGTGATCACAGTAACAATAACAACTTCCATGGCTTGATTGAACCATCAAGAAAAGGAGCACAGATAAAATGAAATGAGAAAAAACAAGTGGATGACGAGTCTCAATTTCATACGATCAGTATCAAGAGAACCGTAATCATTCAACAATAGATCGACAACTAGCGAACGTATCAGGAAGCTCCATGACAACGAATACAATCTTCGAGTCTTTTGGCACTGTGAGCCATGAACTCGCGACTCCCTTTTTCCAACGATCACGATCAAATAGGACACCAGTTCCGCAAGCATTGCACGTTACTGATTTTGATACAAGAGAGTTCACAGGCAAAACTGAGTAGCTTTTATTTTTTACAGAATAGGATTCTTTTAACGGGTCTTGAAGTCTGTCAAGGAAAAAATCGAGATTAGCCCATGAGCCCACTATTGTTTGTATAATTCATCATTTCTATACTTACAGTCCAAAAGAACGTTCATGGCCTCGGATTCCTCACCGAAATCGGTGACGGCGACACAAGAGCAACCAACGACCTTGCGGGCATTGCCGTCACGGTCAATCTTGCAAAGACCGGCCCATTCACCGAGCTTCTTGGCGTCAGAGACCTTGATCAAGTTAATGTTGTGTTCGGCGCAAAGAGCTTCGACCAACTTGACGTATTCGCCCTCAGTGCAGGATTCGCAGAGAACGGCCAAATGAGCCTGGCGTCTGTCCAAAGCCTTGACGGCTTCCTTCAAACCACGAGCAAGACCATCGTGAACCAAGGCACGACGCAAAACTTCCTGGAGAGCTTCTTCAACGGACATTTGTCCCTTGGTGGCCTCGGCAACAACCTCAACTTCCTGGGTGTCGATGATTTCTTCGTGGTCAGACATACTATACAATCACATGGAAACAAATGCAAATGAGTTTGATGAGTTTCCGATTTACGGTTCTATCCATCCGCCCCCATTTCATCGATCCATCCATGGATCCATCCGTCTATATATTCAATCTATGTAATCCTCGTTTCCATTTCCTCCCATCTCCCATCATGATTTTCACATTGGATGTATAAGCCTACCTTGCGTTGGATGCAAAAAAGAGAAGGTCCGTTCATTCTGCCAATCTGGTCCTTTGAGTGATTCCCCCGCGCTCGAAGAACGGGCCTGCCCCGCCGTTGATTTAACAGTCACACTCAGCCATTTCAATGCGGTTGGAAGGCATGCCTCGCTCATTGGATCATTAGCAGCTCATATAACCAGTCTAGAAAATAGCTGCAAGTATCCAATTATGGATAGTATCAATATTGTGTTCTGGTAAGCAATTCCAAGACTGAGTATAAGTATTAAATGCAGTGACATGATTCGTTTCCAAGCCAATCGAAAACATGCATCCATAATTAACTGTTCTTTCCTGTAGACAGCATGATGCCTCCAAGAGCCATCAATGCTCCAGAACCAGATATTTCATTGAATCACACAGCAAAGACATATAGCAATTTTCCTCTTTTTTTTTCGTTGATCAGTTGACAACCTGTTGTCCATGATACTCTCTCGGACAACAGGCGATACACAGGAACAATGATTCATCCAACCTTTATCTTAAAAAGATATCCTTGAGTCATTATCGTAATCGGGAGACTGCCACGAATGTTTTTTTTGGCAATGAACAATTTCGATATGTTGCTGTTCCTTTTTGCAGTTGCAATAGGAATTACTCAACGGGTGCACCCTGCGAATGGCAAAGGTTTCTCGTCATGTACGAGGGACCCTTCACTGCAGTTATTAAATGTTTGTAAATTAACGCGATAATATACCAAAGGAACAAAAAACTTCGAAAATGTATATCGACAAAATATGAAGGAAAGGCAAAGATCGCCTATTTTCCCAAAATGACCAAAAAGTGGGCATCACCGGGCCGAGCCGATGTTTAGGTCACGTGCAGGCACCACTTACCGGTACTTTGGTGAGAGGGACTGCTTTCGTGGGCTGCGAACGATGGGGAGCGGGGAAACGGTGGTGTCCAAGAACAGTTTCCAGTGGGAGGTGATATTTCTTTGGACTAGGCTACGGACTTTACGACAAGTGGAATTTAGTTTGAAAAGCGTACTAGAGCTGTATCTTGGGAACCAGATGGAAAGCAGTACACAGTCATCCCACCGAAAATCGCCTGTAAGACAAGGGTCGTCCCCTATACCACCGAAACGATCGTTAGAATGGCTCGTTGGACGTCGTGTCAAGATCAAGACCACCACCAACGAGGAAATTGACGGTTTAATTTACACATTTGACCGCATCACCAACTGCCTTGCTTTAGATATCCTTTTTATTTTCAATAATGGCTTGTCATGGTGGTGACAGTACTTATTGTCGTCCCTAGTTTATTGAGGTTCCCTTTGAAACATATATTACCTTAACCTATGCATACATTGTTCTACAGGTCCTCGTCACTCGCGCAAAGGTCTTTCGTTCCGCATTGTTAAAATTCCACAAATCAAAGAAATCCTTTCCGTCACATCGGATGAAAACTCCACGCCTTTGCAAGATCCCGCTATTGAAACCAATATTAACAAGCTGTCAAGCTATTTGCCCGTGAATGCCGTGAATCTCGACCGTCTACGTGGACGTGAATCCGACGCCATGAAAGGTCATTTACAACAAGCAGCGAAAATCGGGGTCGGTGTGACAAAGGAAGCTCAAGACATTTTTGATGCTCTTGCAAAAACGTAAGCGACAAATAGAAAGAAAAAGCCATCGATATATCCTCAAAAGGTAGGGCCTCTTCTTTCCTTTAGATTACCATGCCGCTGGTCCAATGACACGATCATTGTATTGGATGAAGTGCTTATTTCACCTCCGTATGAAGTGGAGAATTGTAAAGCAAATGCATCCGCTGCTGCATCACTGGCGAGAGTAAAGAAAGTGGTAAGTAACCCCGTGACTAATTAAATCGAGGTCAATTGTAATTAACGGCGTTGACTAGTTGGAGGGAGAACGACGACGTCTTGCGAGTGCGAAAAACTGAGATGGATAAGGGGACATTATTGTTTAGCTGATAATGTTGATCGTTGAAGTAAAATACATTATCAAAAGTTTTGCGTGCAACCTCGCTTTCACTATGCAGCAAGCGTATTTTTCTGTATACTGCATATACAAGAATATGATGCTCGTCCTTATGAGTTCGGCGCGAAATTAGGATTGGCTGGTTTTTGTGATGGATCAAGAAGAATAGCGTAGACGTCATGCGTTAAGTGGTCTTCTTTAATAATTTCCTGTTATAATATGCGCCTTTTTTCTTGTATTTTTATATTTTACTACATCCTATACGACGAATAGTCGATGGATTAAATTATCTCGACTGCTTGGGCACTTTGCACTGGCGCAGCGGAACGAAAAAAACGTCATGAGATACACACCAGCCAATCAAATTCGCAACTGCAGCGTTGTAGACAGAAATCCAGCCATCCTTTTTTCTGCCGATCGTCTGGACGTGATTCAGTTTTCGTTACTTATGGCGTCCGTTGGTTCTCTTGCGGCTTCATTCAAAGAGAAAATATTAAACGACAATGACTCTAATCCAGATATATCGCTGTTGAAGAGTCAATTGTGCGATGCCCCGTCTCTTTCCGCCGTGTTGGATACCCTCAATGAGTCTTTCGACGACCTCAGCAGGCAGTTGTTTCGCGAAATTCTAGAGAATTTCGACGTTTTCGAGTCATCGTACCAAAAAGACATGGAACTTCATGCTCGTATTGTGGATGCTGTAAAAGACGTCAATAGCATTCACGCCACAGTGAGTGATCCCGCTCAAGGCGTCAATACCACGGCGGCCAACGCACTGCAAGAGTATCAGTCCGTGCTGGATCAGTCGTCAGAAAATCAGCAAATCATCGATATGCTTCAAACATTAACCACGATTCTCCAAGATATCGATCGCGTCAAAGACCAACTTGGCAAGCACTCGTTGTTGGACGCCACGCTCCTCTTTCTGCGTATTCAAAGCACCGTCCACGATCTATGCGAATCTCAGCAACCGTGCGATTGGCGTCAGGTCGACGCCTTTCAATTTATTCAGCAAGAACTAGATCGGCTGAAAATGCAATTATTGCAAACACTAGAAGATGGCATGAATCAAGCCATCGTATTTCACATAAAAGACAACATCAACTCCATGGTCGTCTATCCGTCGGTTCAATTGGGGTCGACCGCCGATCCCGTTGTCCTCATCCAGATTTTCCAATGTTTCAGCGAACTACAACAACTATCCGTTCAGATGGCTCATCTCAAACGTTCCATATTTAAACATATCGTTTCGCCATTTTACGAGAATTTACGCCATGCCACCATCGAAACGCGTCCGTACAAAGGGAACACAGCGGAAGGAGGTCAACTTGAACTGACCATTGGTTCAGCCTCTTCGCCCGACGACATTGAACAAGGACCCAGCGTCATTGATCAATCGATCGATGTATTACACCAAACGGAATCCATGCTCCAATTCTTCTACACTTACATCTTCAACAACAGCTCCGAAACGCCGCAGCTGACCCATCTCTTTGGCAACCTTATATTACCGGAAATATTCGAAACCTACATCCAGAAATGTCTGGCGCCCTCGGTTCCCTCGTCCGCTCGCGACCTGGAAAAATTTGGCAAAATAGCTCAAGCTGTCACCCAATTTGAAGAAAAATGCGATCACGCGTTCCACCTCTATACAGCAGAGAGTGACGAGACCAGCAAGGCATCACTCACAGCCTATGTCGCTCACATTGATCGCCATTTTGCTGTCAAACGTCGACACAAGGTACTGCAACAAGGACGACAAGTCATGATGCGAAAATTGTACGACACGGAAAAAGCGCAAGAACGTCATAACGATCAGTGCCAAACGTATTGCATTACACAGACACCGCATTTGCTGTCCATGTTACTTGCCGACACCGTGACGGAAGCTGCGTCACTTCAATCGTCTCATCCAATTTCAGCAACCAAGCTCATTGAAGTCACCCAAGAACTGACGGACTTATACCGTGCCATCACACCGAGCTTTCATCGATCCTATTTCCTGTCCAATCCGGCCCATGCGCTTGTCTTCCGCAACGATTGTTTTTGGCTCGCCCATCAGATCGTGGAAAAGCTAGCTGTCCAAAAGGAAACGCGGCAATTTGAAGGATTGACGACCATGTTTGCGAACACAGCTCGTGCATTGCGAGATCTTGGCAACTCTTGGTACCAAGTGGCGATCACTCAACGTATGCAAGTGATTCACGCGTTTCTGGATAAATTGGAAGGATTTACAACAATTGGTGAGGGACGTCAACAAGAACAAACGTGTCATCAAGCGATCATGGGAGCTGTGGAGCAAGCGCAATCGTACGCTCATGCCACTCGATCGGTGCTTGATCCGTCACTTTTCTTGAATATGATGGGATTCATTGTCGATGGTATTCTTGAACGCATGATCAAGGAACTGGAGGATCTCACCGATATTGGCGCTCAAGAGTCGCATCTTATTGCAAGTTTGCTGAACAGCTTGGCTCAATTGGTCAACGGATTTGATCTTCCTGGAAGGGATGCTTCGGAGCCAACGGTTATAGGCCTGGTCCCGCATTGGAAAAAGTTTTGGCTATTAAAGGATATGCTGGAAATGAACTTGCGCGATATCATGGATCATTTCCGTCGAGGCGACTTGGAGCTCTTTGACAAACAGGAATTGGTGCGACTGATTTGCGCCTTGTTTGCAGATACACAGGTACGAGAGGCGAGTATCCAAGAAATCGAATCAGGCCACCCTGTACCTACCGCGCCATCTCTACAAATGTCCCCCGAACCGCGATCCTCCACTCTGTTTCCCCACACACCTGTCCAGCATCAACCGTCGCCCCCCATCACACACACGCCCTCTGGTACGCGATCCATGGTCAACTCGCCATCGACCACCAGTCTCAATAGCGATTATGCAAAACCGAAATCGATCTCCTTGGAGTACAATGTCGATGATACCGCGGAGATGGACAACGGTTGGGATGATGCAGATGAAGACATCTTTATCGACAATATCGAGCCCGCGCCAACAGGACCACCGGAGGTCAAGCCAATGGCCAAGGCTTCGGCGCCGGGATCAGCAACGGAAGCATCATCAAAAGCAGCACTGGATTCCACGTCGACATCATCCTCAAAATCTACTGCTACGCAGCTGGCCATGGGTGAAATGGATATTGATGAATCCGGATGGGATGACGAAGACATAGATACCTCGGCATGGGATAATATAGAAGACGAAGGCAACGGTTGGGATGAAGCGGAGGAAGATCTATTCCAAGATAATACCAAATCCAGCTCTACTTGAAATGGCGACGTTTCTTCGTATTATTTACTTTATTGTATAAGAGCTTTACGAATTGTTCATCACAGTTTTGCTTCCGATCCTGTTTGAATAAAAAAATTAATGATATGATATTTGATTTTGTCTCGTGTTACCTAGGATTTATGTTTCATGCACTGTCAACGAACAACGGACCACTGAATACCCGATGATATGATATGAATGTAAAAGAACCATACCAAAAGATGCTAACAATGCGAAGCGATGCATCACCGATAGGGTAATGAATGAAGCATAGGATTACATGTACCCCATGTATAGGCAAGGGCTATTTTGAGAAAACTAATGATTGCAATCTCTATAACGGCTGCTTGGATATGGCGTTTTGCGTCAATGTAAGCGTCCATAAGACCGTCATATGGAACAGTAGTTGCATTTATCAAAGTGACAACGTTCCTCAGTGATGACTTGCTGTGTGTGCTGCAACAAGTCATCCCGTCCACTCATATGAGGCTATTTGACGACGGTAATGGGATAGTGTTGTTCAGTGTTTTGAACGCATTGGCGCTGTTTTGCAGCACCATATGATTCTTACCAAAATAAAAATAGTGCAAAACAGAACAAAAACAATGCCAATGGAACAATGGCATCCTTTTTTTTTTTGAGAAAAAAACAAATATGGGCCGTATCGAGAACAATGAGGCGGAGAAAGATGGAGTGATTAGAGCGTGCAAATACTCTTGGTTGTGTCACAAGATCGGATCCATTCTGCAGGGACAAGTCCATAGGATCCAATGGTAAGCAATTGTTAAAACTTAAACCAGCACAGCTACGGAAAGAGTTGGTTTTCCTGGATATAATGATACAATGTTTTAATATTAAAAAAACAATCATGAACATATTTACGAAGCCAAAATAATACAGTAAACAAAAGGAAAAAGAAAAAAAGAACGATGCACAGATTGTGAAATGGAATCACATATGAAGAAGAAAGATGCTAACGTGAATGTATTTTCTCATGTCTTTTCATGTCATATTTTCGGGCAAAAGGTCGTTCACAATGACGACAGATATATTTCCTTGGTCGGTTAGGATCATGCGTCTGCATATGCTCCAGTAGATTATGTCGTCGCCGTGATCTGGGCAAACATCAATTTAGTTATGCTTCGGACAAAACTTAAATTCGCATACACATAAACAACCCAAGCAAAAAAAAGTTCTTTTCAACATCTTTTTTTTTTCCTGTTCTATACATCTTCCCGCTGGGGTCCTTGACCGTCTCCCCAACCGCGCTCCAAACACGCCCCCCCCCCCAAAAACCCCCAAAAAAAGAGAGATGAGATCTCCACACATACACATCAACACATAAATATGATATACACACACACACACACACACATACACACATACATACACACAAATACGTATATGCAGTAAGATGTAGTTGTGTAATATATATGTATATACAATGTGTGAATATCCCAGACGTACATCCACCTCCATTTGGGGATATAAAAAAAAAAAAACCAGAATCCGTACCTGTGAAAACATATTGGGCACACGTGTCGTTTTTCTCTGGTGGATCTGGACTTTTTTTCAGGCACCGTGTCGGACATGGGCGTGTATAGGTGTTGAAACAGACTAGGATCTGTATGCGGTGAAGTGGGTGGGACTGGAAATGGGAATGGCGACGAATAGGAGGAGGAGGAAGCGGAGGAGGTGGAGGAGGACGTGTTCCAGAGGATGGGACTGTTACTATCATAATCGGTTGCTACAGAGTCGGCCGATGATGGTGATACATAACTCAGGAGATCAGGAGTGTTTGCTTGATATGAATAAAACTTGTTTGTTTCTGGATTGGCAGTGTCTGGTTCCGCTGGCATGGTGAATGGATGGTTATTTTCCTGAAATAAATGATCTAGGACATCCGTGCAAGGATAATTCACAGGAACGTAATTGTAGTCTTGTGGCCCACTTGATGCTGTTGTATGGGTGGCCAGGCGGCAACACTCCAACCCTACCGGGGGAGATCTGTGACTACTCACAGGTGGCATTGTCGGGTACGGGGAAAAGAAACAGGGTTCCTCCACAGGCATGGTAGAAGTATGGAGCGGCGGAAACATGGCGTTTGTAGGTTGCGGGGAAGGCGCCGCATAACCATAAGTACAGGACATGGATCCGTATTGGCAAATTGATTTCACAGGAACCGGTGGCTGGGCGGGCCACCACAACGGTACTGATGCGTTATCTATGATGGAATTATCCATGGGATCAAAGCAACATGGTGGTGACGAAAATGTCGTCATGCTGTGTGTAGTAGAGAGAAAAGAAAAAAAAAATTGAAACGAGCAACAGGGAAAAAGATCCAAGAAAATATAGATGGAACGAATTTATAGGTGAAAGAAAATAAAATAAAGATTAATGGTTTGGGTAAAGTGGTGTGTGCTTGGGGTATTTATATCACCGCAGCATGAAAAAAACAAAAAGTATTTCTAAGCAACCAAGTCTGGAGAAGAACAACCCTCTTGCTATATTTAACTTTTTTAGACTTCTCTTGAGCTCTAAAAAAGCTTTTTTTTTCTTCATGATCAGGCGCAAGGGCATATGGATGCATAATGCTTGGTTTGCTTCGAATGGTTTTCTTTTTTTTTTATTTTATTTTTCTTTTTGTCATGCAGCTTTATTTTACGGGGAATCGTTTAATACCAAAAGTAGCACAATCACAAGTGGGTTCCACAGGGGCGTTTTCTATAATGCATGGGCATTCAAAAAAATAAGAAGTGAGAACGGTATATTACAGAAGCAAAGCAACAAGCAAGTAAGCATAAGTCGAACCATTTTCCTTTTCACGTCCATGTCTGGTCGGAAAAAAGCGCTTTTCAATGAGTTTGGCCTGTGTTCTGTTTGTATATGTTAACTTGCAAGGACGATCGGGATTTGAGCCATGTTTACAGTATGTTGGTAAAAAAATAAAAAGAGTCATCAACAAAGACCAAGATTCATTGCAACACAACATGCCGCCACAGGCAACCTGTCCCTGTCAGAAGTTCCACCCTAGACGTAAAATGGTGAACTCGTTGCATTTGGCTTTGTTTTCTATTTTAACCATTCACCCTTTTTTTTCCAGGCCACCTTTTTGCATTTTGGCAGTGACTGCCGTCGTCAAGAAACCAAGCACAGACGTCTCAAATAAAAAATTAATGGAGCATTTTTATTTATCAAACCACAGCGTTATTCGTTCTGGCCTATTGATCAAAAAATGAAACTGTGGAGATTGTTGGGCGGTGGCAGAGACATCCTTCCACACACAGCTTCACTGCCTTGGAAACCTAGCGTTGTTGGTCTGAAACAGCGGTCGCTTCCCCTTGCCTATTTGTTAGCACGAGACTTCCATTCTAGCATTCCTTCGTATGCATTTCGTCCTGTTGCGTTTTACACCATTGCTCCTATCGAGAAGGAGACGATTAGATCCCTACGTGATACGATTGAAAACCGTTTGAAAACTCTGGGCATTGTAGGCCGCATCTACCTAGCGCCCAAAGACGGCATTGGTGGCATCAACTGCCAAATGGCGGTCCCGGTCGATCAACTGGAAGCGGTGAAATCGTTCTTTTCCTCGCTCGAAGTGTTTCAACAAAAGGACAAATCTATTCAATACACCGAAGGACTTCAAGATACGGAGACGGCGAGCTTCCGAAATTTGCGAGTGGTTATCAAAAGAAACGTGAGTTGAAATCTGGTCCATGCATATCTTATCCTAACCTTAATTGTAGCTCGTGGCCACCCAAAAGGCGATCCAAACAGAGGATCTCAAGCTCCAGCCTGAATATTTAGATCCCGCCACCTGGCACAAGGAACTGACGGAAAAAGGTTCCAATGCATTTTTACTCGATATGAGAAATCACTATGAATAGTAAGTGGAGCGTTGAAAAATAGAAACAACCTGCAGCCATAAAAAAAAACTGGGAAACGCTTACACGACGCTCTTCATAAAAATAAGCGATATTGGTCACTTTGAACATGCGAAAAAAATGGATGTGGATACGTTTCGAGAAGGCATGGATGTCATGGAAGATCTGATAGGCTCACGATCGAAGGAACAGGATATCTACATGTACTGTACGGGCGGCATTAGGTGTTCTGTTGCTGGCTCTTATTTGCGAAACAAGGGATACCAACGTGTAAAAATGGTAAGTAAGCATTGGTTGGCATGGTGCAGCGACTGTTGGCTTGAAAAAACAAAAAAAAAATTGGCAGCTGATGGAAGTGTCTGTTGTTGGTCGATAAATATAGCTCAAGGGTGGTGTCACTGCGTACGGTCATTACGTTCAATTGCAAAATAAGCCATCTTTATTTCGAGGCAAAAACTTTACATTTGATGGTCGACGCGGCGAACGAGTGACGGATGATGTATTATCGTTTTGCCACCAATGTGGTGCACCCTGCGATTCTATGACCAACTGCATAAATACTCGCTGCCACCTTTTGTTTATCCTCTGTGAACAATGTCGGGCCAAAACAAGAACTTGCAGCCAGATGTGCCAGGATACGGTAGACGGCAAAGTCCAGTGGACGGCCGAATACGATTACCACCGCCAAATTCGCCCCCCTCCTTTGAAACAGGCCGTCTAGTGCTCATTAAACTCCATCCTACCCATTTTTTTTTCTGCTGCTCTTTCACCTTTTTTCAAAACGAATCAGGAGAGATGTGCAAAAGAAAAAAATATTTCATTGATTTTCCATTCACTTAATGCAATTACAATTCGATACACAGCATCCCTATCAACACTCTTGGAAAAAATACATTTTATAGCTCATCATCATAATAAAAACGTAAAAGTAGAAGAACCAAAAAAACCAAAAAAAACAGGCCTGCATACAAGAAAAATTATTGTATTTCTGTACCTTTGAGAAACAGAGGGAAAGTTTTTCGATGGAAGAAGGGATGCCTAAAAATGGGTTATATTTTACTACAGTAACAAAGACAATAACAAAAAGCAAAACAAAAGCACGAGCAGAAAAAAAAATCCGATTTGGTCATCCTCCTTCCCAAATAAAAAAAAAAAAAGGGTCAATGTGTGGCATCCCTTGTGTTTCGGCGATCTACGTGGATGATGCAACGTCGAGGAGGTCGATTGACTGGCAGCATATTAATTGTTGTGCAGTGATATCCAGGCATCTGCACTAGCTGGACGACACGGTCGTACCAAGTCTAATTTGCCACACCGATGCAATTACCGTCTCACTTATATTTTGTATTCTCTTTTTTGCATTTTGTATTCTCTTTTTATTTTTTCCCAATAACGAGCTACAAACCATATCGACTTTTTCATTGTCGTCCATGAATATGGTAAGCGTAGACTGCCTATCTAACCAAATACCTCAAGAACAACTGACTCATTGATCACCACCCAAGATTCCGCTGGCTCGGCAATCCTCTGATGACGATAGACCGGCAGGTCTCAAACTGGCCAGAAATCAAGGCAACATGGCGCAGGGATCTTTGTTTGCCAGAGACATGTTTGGACGACGACCTTCCGCTGCGACCACCAGCACACCTACTGATCAAAAACCTAAAATGTCCTTTGACAGCGATACCTCAGGCTCCAGAAACCTGTTTCAGGCACGAACATCCATCGACAGCCATTCTCCTTCTGTACCGGCGCGATCGCCATTCCGTATTAGAGATTCACAAGCGTCATTATCCAGAAAAAAATCAACAACTGACTCCATAGGTATTTATCGCGTGTGGGTCAGCAAAAGGGAGAAAAAGCCGACATAGGACAGTATCGCTCACTCCTTGTATGTCACGTAGCATCACACACGAGTCATCATAAGCTATCCAACGCTGGACCGTTAGATAGTGCCTATCATTCCCACAGTACAAAGCACGCTCCGTCGATCCATACAGATACAATTCAAAAGAACGAGACTGACGACCTGACGGCTGAATTAGTCCATTTATGGAAGGTGAATCCTCCACCGACGCTTGACGCTGGAGTTTCGACCAAGTTACCCACCGTGACGGAATCGACTGACGATCTCTTGATACAACTACTGGTGTCGCAGGCGATGCTGGATGCCCATACGTTTGACATTCTGTCATTCGATGAAGTGGAAAAAATAAAAAAGGTACAAACACAGAACAATCGCACGGACGGGTATTCAATAGGCGGTGTCATTCCATTTCTTTTAATTCTCATGACGGCATTGGTCTTTCTGTTTTTTTTAGCAATACCATGCGGTCCAGGAGCGACTCTCTGTGTTGCGACCACGGATTGCTCTGGAAACAAGGATCAAGGACATCTCAAAGTCCTTGTTGCATCTCAACGTGTCGAGTCGCGACTCGATTATCGCTTTGGAAGATCAGGCTCAGGCGGCTGAGAAAAAGAGACATGGATTGACGGCTGAGTTTGAGAAATTGACGGATCAAGCCTACCACTTGCAATGCAAGCTTTTAAGACATACGGCTGGGGCTCTAAACCGAGGGTTAAAACGGATAGAAGAGAGAATGGCGATGATGAAACCCACCGACGATGCCTCCCAAGTAAATATTGATCTGGAACGACAAGTGACGGAAATCCAAGACCTTGTAGCGTCCAAGAATAATCAATTGCAAAAGCTGCAAGACCAAATGGATGTCGACCACCGTCGTGGTCATGCAGGTTCCCACACAGACATGAATGAGTGGTTCAGTAAGCTGGATACCATACTTCATCAGCACCAAACAGAAACCGACGCAAACCGACCGTCTTCGACCAACCAGAATGAAAAAGATCGTTCTGCGACACTTGTGGATAGCATTGATCATCAATTCCAGACATATAAATCCAAGATTGCGGAACTGGAACGCCAAGTCGTCACGTTGCAGGAACGTTATCAAGTCGAATCCGCCTCTGACAAGAGGTTGGAAATCCAGTTACGTGCCATGGAAGAGAAGAAGAACGCCGTCGAACTTCGGTATCAGGCATTGCTCGATAAATCCCAACGAAGATCCTTGGATGAATCCGACATTGTCGGTCTCGGAATCGGTCGATCCGCGTAAGTTGTTGACTCGCCCTATTCCGTGGGTTCATTCAGACTTTTTAACTTTTACTTTAATTTTTTTTTATTTTCCTCCTATTCCACAGCCGTGACAGCCATCACGTCGATCAAACGGTTGAACGTCTGGAGAAAAAGGTGGCCAATGCAGAACAGGAGTTGAAATCGCGTGAAAAGGAATTTGAGGCGCAAAAAGAGGAATTGTTCAACTTGAAATCGCGACTCACGGATTTGGAAGTACGTAACAGCAAGTTGGAATCACAAGCGTCCATTTCTGCCAGTCGCGAAAAAGCATTGCAAATGGAACTGAAACAATACAAGGATGAAGTGTTCACGCTTCGCACTGAAAAGGAACGAGGGGAACGCCAGTTCAAGCGTGAGTCGGTCCTCCAAATGCTGGACGGTCATGACAGTGTCAAGATTCAATATGAGCAGCAAATGGAAGAACAGGCTCAAGAATACGAAGCACAACTAAAGGAACAACAAGCCTTGCTGGAAAAGACGATGCGTCGATGCGAGCAGCTGGAAGTGGAACATGAGAAATCGACCATGATATGCAAGGATCTTGAGGATCTGGTCAAGGATAAATCTCGTATGTTGGATCGACGCGACGTGCATATCACCAAGCTCGAAAGTGAATTACAAGAGTTGCGACATCGGCCGCACAAGCCCGATCAGGCGTTGGTCCAATTGCAAGCGGCATTTACGGCGCGTGAGGAAGACTGGATCGCTCAAAATGCAAAAATGGAAGCCAACTTTGAAGGCATTCTCAAAGAATTTGATCGCTTGACAGGGACCGCCATGACATTTGAGACGAGTCGCATGAAATACGAACGACGCATTGAACAGTTGATGCAGGAGAAGCAGCAGATGGATAAGGAGCTAATTGAAGCTCGCATTAACAAGCTGGGCTATGTTACAACCGATACACCGACCACCGCTTCCCTTCGTAAAGAGTTCCGTGCCCTGATGAACGATATCAAGCTGGAGCATCAACGCTCGTTGGAGAAGGAATACGAAGAACAGCGACGACTAGAAAAACTACTCAAAGATATTCAGCACGACAAAGAAGTCTCCAATTACCAGCGCATGAACAAAGGAGTTCAAACCAACTTTATTGTAGTATAATGCATCATATATTCCATTATCGCCTTTTATCATATAAGTTACCAACCCGCTCGTTTAAAATTTTTTATATTCCTTTATTATACTCCAAAAATCAGCAGCAATAATAAATAGTCAAATATTAAGTCTTTAATATTTTCCATTTATAACCTCCGTAAAAGATGCTTCTTGCTTCAAGACACAAGTTAGCTGATAAAAACAAGGCCATCCATGAATCCACTGTTTCGTGATCTGTGCCGTCCTGCATGCAGCAGACCCGGTATGGCAGCTCGGTATAGTACGGTCACAAGTGCGATCCGAAATGAGACTGTCATTTACCCGGTAGCGGTGTTGGCCCAGCTCCCCCTTTTTCCAAGGGCGGATTTTTTTTTATTATTTTTCTGGACTCCCCAAACAAAAAAATCTAAAGGGAAATACACTAAGGCATCATGGCGATGAAACCTGCACCGAACAAGTTGGCTCGACATGTGTCCAACCTTTTGAAGGGAGGATTGCTGAAAGAAGCTCCGGTCTGGTTGCCGGTCATGCAAACCATTCCTCCTGGACCTTCTATTATTCGTTCGCAGAGCCCCAAAGTCGATGTGTTCACGTCGACCGCTTCTTCTTCCACCGACCATGCCGCCCACGAATCCTTCCGTTCCACTCGTCACAAGCAAAAACATTTGCGTTCTCGTCCTCCGAAACCTCAAGCCATCGTGTATCCCGAAGATAGATTGAGACGTCAGTTCTTTAAAGACCATCCCTACGAACTGGCACGACCCAAAGTCTTGGTCGAAAACGAATCAGGCATCAACCGAACTGATTTCAGTCAATTAATGTTGCCCGGCATGCATCCCTCCGAAGTGGATGGTGAAGCGTAAGATCCATTCGACAGTGTTTTTTTCATTTGACTTGCAGAAACACTAATGAATATGAATCGTTTTTGTTTTTTGTTTTTTTAGTGTGATCAAGTACCAACTTCACCTCATGACACACGAACAGATGCCCGAGAGAAAAGCGTATGCGCAAGCATGCAGTGAATTCTACGACATTCGTGCTCAACAGGAAGAGGAAGAAAGACAGTTACGAGAAAAGATGAGCACCGCACTCCGAAGCTTGAACAACAGAAAATGGTCCAAGCATGCTTTGTTTGTCGAAGAACAGGCTTTAAGGAACGGTCAACAGTTGATCTAAAGAAAAAACAACCATAGAGAAAGCGAAAATAAATCAACCTCATTGATATGTATAGTCTGTCGATTGATCTTGTATGTGGGCATGAAAAAAAAAAGTAAAAAATAGACACTCGATGTCAACATCATATAAAAATAAGAGTTTAAGCGATTTTTGTATATTTGCATTTTGCAGCTGTTCCAATTGGAGAAAAAAAAAAAAGAGAAAATACGCAAGCTAGCTGGTGACAGGATCCTTACCCGCTTCTTACCATGCAATACAGTAATGTAAAGGCAACAGGATATTTTTTTTTCTTATTGTGTGCTAGCAGTTCCGTGCTGTAACGTTGTTGTTTTTGATGGTAAATAAAAGATAAAAGATGAAAAAGCGAAAGTGGAAGGGAAAAAAAGAAGAAAGGAAATCATAAAAAATCATTCCATTTAGTAACGATCTCTGCGACCTCCTCTGTCTCTAGAGCGATCTCGACCACGACCACCGTATCTGTCTCGCTCTCTATCTCTATTATAACTACGGGGACTCCTGCTCCTGGAAATCCGCGAGCGTTTGCGATCGTCGCGATCTCGTCGATCATATCCGTAGCCGCCACCACCGCCGTAACCGCCGTAACCACGACTTGAAGAACGGCCACCGTAGCCACGATCACGGTCACTGTATGATGAGTGTCGTTCACGGCTTCTCTGTCTGCCACTGTCATTTGATCGGCCATCGCGTGTACCACCTAATCCACCGCCTAATCGACGAGGTCTCCAGCCTTTGACGGTTCGTCCACGCTCAACATCCACAAGGACACGACGACCAAAAATTTTTAAACCATCCGCGTCCTTGTATGCAGCTGTAAACATGGAGCAAAACGATACACATGCATTAGTTTTAACAGACTCTTTTTTTCCCCTAAAGTCACCAAGCGCACCTCGCATATCTTTTTCTCTTTCGTATTCAATGAATGCATATCCTCGAGATTTGCCTTCGGGCGTTCGTACAAGCCGTAACTGTAGAAAGATTGGGAGTAAGAACACCGGCTGTCATCATGGTTCAAGGCATTTTGTACTTACATTTTTAATAGGACCGTATAATTCAAACTCTTCTTTGAGTTCCTTGTCTGTCAAATCGTAACTGAGATGAGCTACAAAAAGAGTGTTGAAAGGATTGCCTTCGGCTTTTTCGTTTTGCTCAGGATTGTCTACAGATCACCAGTCAATAATCACGTCGTTTTTGCAAGATCATTTGCGGGCTATAATAAACTCACATTCGCTGATGGCTTTGGCAAGATCTTCTTCCGCTTTCTTTCTCTTGGCTGCAATCTAGAAAAGAAAAAAAAAATTAATATTCAATATTACCAAATTTTATCCAAGTGGTAGTGGTCGAATACTTTACTCTTTCTCTACGTTTCTCTTCAATGGTTTTCCATGGGACATAATCGGGATCGTAATTCTTCAACATGGGCACAAGACTGGCAACGCCTGTGACCACGGCGCCTACACGCTTTTCTGGATTCTTATCAAGCGGCGGCGCATATGGTAAAGGCGGTCGAGGAGCAAAGAGTTTTAACAAATTAGGAGGTAACTTGTCCGTCATTGAAACCGTCTTCTTTTTTTTCGCTTTGGTCAAGAACAGAACAAAAGGCACCACCAGAAAAAAAAGCAGCCAAAAGCCAAGCAACCCAAATGAATTGATGACGTCACAACACACTCTTTATCGAACGGGGTTTTCGAGAGCGAGATTCCCGTATTCAAGTTTGATAAATCGATGTAAAACATCGTTATGTATGCTTGGATCTAATGCTTTATCTTACGAAGAAGCATTCATAGCTCCAAGAAATACACAGCATTGGCTTTTCAGAAAGCTGCCATGTTTTTCTAAATAGGAAATTTGCTTTACCAAGGAATAATAGTCATAAATGATGATCAGATCTCGTTTGCATACTTTTTTCTTCTTGGAAATGACCCTATTTGATGGAGCTGTGACAGAGTGAGTACTGAACATACAACAGTATCTACAATACCCTTAAACAATCTCAAGAGAAATGTCAGGTCGCTATTCTTCTATGTGAGCCCCATACAATCACAAATACTACAGCGTTTCAATACTGATTTGTAAGAACCCTCATCAGAGCGGTTTGTTAATAATCTGCTGCACAAAAGGGCAGATATTCGATATATCTGTTCAGTTTGTCGAGGGACAATGAATGCTAAAAGGGAGGACTGGTTGTAATCTCCGATGATGGGTCCTGACGAACCAGATGCAAAATAAAATTTCAACCCCAATTTTTTTTTGTTAGTTTTTTGTCAACAGTTTGCTCTCCCATTTATATTGAAATCAACGATGGCAGCTTCCAAAATCCAGTTTGGTGTCTCCCCTCCACTTTCTACGGCACAGCCATCTGCCGGGGAACTTCGTCGTTTGGAAGAATTGGAAGAAACTCTCAGAAAATACAACTTGTATGAAAGTCAAGAATTGTCATCACTAAGGTAGATATAACTATACAACATGGCGCCAAGCCCTACTATTGCACCTTCTTTGTTTGACCGAATTTCTCACCATCTTTGTTTTTTTTTTTAGAGAGAAGGTACTTTCAGAACTTGAGCAGATGACCAAAGCATTTGTCTACACTGTCAGCATTCGTAAAGGTTTATCTCCAGAACTTGCCCAAAAAGCGGGTGGAAAAGTTCTCACCTTTGGAAGTTATCGACTTGGCGTACATGCTGCAGGTGAGTTGATTGTTTTGCCATAAAAGAAAATAATGATGAAAATAATACTAATTTATGATGTTTTCTCCTTCTGTTTTTAGATGCTGATATTGATACCCTTTGTGTATTTCCTCAACACGTGACTCGCGATGATTTTTTCAACGACATGTATTCCATGCTGCATGCTCGCTCCGAAGTCACTGATCTCACGGTAGGCTCTCAATGATTTTTTTATAACTCTGTTGCATTGAATGATTGATATTGATAAAACGTTATTTTAGGCTGTGACCGAATCCTTTGTGCCTGTGATAAAATTTAAATTTTTTGGCATCGCCGTAAGTCGTGTGATGGTTTGTTTACTTTGATTTGCAACTTGTTTAAAATCCTGGATGATTAGATCGACTTTTTGTGCGCGCGCATGTATCTAAGCGCTATTCCCGACCATCTTGATGTCAGTGATGTATATCTGTTGACGTACCTTGATGAACGATGTATTCGTAGTTTGAACGGAACACGTGTGGCCGATGAAATTCTGTCGCTTGTACCCAATGTGGTCACCTTTCGAACCGCCTTGCGATGTATCAAGTTATGGGCAACAAGACGAGGCGTTTATTCCAATGCGCTGGGTTTCCTTGGTGGCGTCGCATGGGCCTTGCTGGTAGCACGAATATGCCAGTTATATCCAAATTCATGTGCAAGTACCATTGTTAGCAAATTCTTTCGTGTTTTCCTGGAATGGAACTGGAAACAACCTGTCGTCCTCAAAGAAATCGAAACATTGCCCTACCTCAACCTGTCTGTCAAACCGTGGAGTCTCAAGGTACAACCGAAAAAGAAGACAAAAAAAAATGACACACCGTGGAAAGTATATTAACAATTCACGGTTAGAAAAATGCTCACCGTATGCCCATCATCACACCAGCGTACCCAAGCATGTGTGCCACCCACAATGTGACGGACTCGACCCTGAAAATAGTCCTTGGAGAGTTTAAAAAGGCGGACGGCATCATGAACCAGATCATGTTTGGCAAGCTACCGTGGAACGCTTTATTTGACAGCGAGATTTATTTTTCAAAGTATCAACATTACATACAGATTGTGGCCGCCACAGACGATGCTGAATTCCAACTGCAATGGTAAAAAAAAAAGATTGTCATTGGTGATTCACATTTTTTATTGGCTACTTCTGATCATTTCAAACCTAGGCAAGGTCTTATTGAAGCACGATTAAGACGACTGATGCAGTATCTCGAAAATATCCGCGGTGTAGCGCTGGTTCATCCGCTTGTGACCAGTTTTGATTATGAAGGAACTTGCATTAATGAACAGGAAATCCTTGATTTAGCTTCTGGGAAACTGACCGATCAACCTGTCAGAAAAAGAGGCCGTCATATTTTCTGTCGTTCCTTTTACCTCGGTCTCTATCTCAAAACCGGATCAGGTAAATATACATGGCTGCTAACCAGATCTCAAATTCCCTTTTTCTCTCTCTCTTCACTTTTCCCGCTTGCTTGCGTTGAGATGAAGCAGAGGAATGGATCATTTATTTTCTCTTTTCTTTTGCCGTGGTAGTGAAAACATCGGTGGATGTGGGTTGGCCAGTGAATACATTTCAGCAAGAATTACGAAACGATCCATTGTTTGACGAGCACCGGATGGGAATTTATGTGCGGCACATGGAAAGGTCAGTCTTGAATTTGAAGATGAGAAGCAGCTAGGAACCTCATTTATGGGATGTGTTTTGTTTTTGCATTGACTGCACTTAGATCGACGATTCCGCCTCAAGTTTGGGATAAGACGGCGAACAGTGAGAAACTTGCTGAGGTTCGGGCCATTTGACCATACGAATTTATGGGGTGGACGCCATCGTGTGGGCTGGACAAGCAGCGTTGACCATGTTTGTTTTGTAGGCAACTTCGGAAACCAGCGCCAAACGACGACGCACCAACTTGTCATTGGCAGAGGAGTTTTCCGACGTAATATCACCTTCAGAACACACAGTGCGACAATCTCAACCACAACAAGTCTAACACGATATACCAAAATGCCATTCACATTCATTTCATCCAACGCGCCAATTCAAGAAAAAAGAAGGAAGGAAAAGAGTATGTAGACAGCTCGATGATTCGCGGTGTCACCAATTTGTTTTTTCCAGCAAACAGATTGTGTTTTTCCTGACAGTTCATGTATGGGTAAGAAACAACTCCAAAATAGCTCAAGGATGTTCCTTTTTTTGAGGCACATCTGGTTATCTATCATGGAGAAGTTCATTATGCAGAAAAATGAACTAAAAAAAAAAAAGAAAGAATGAAAGGAAACAAAGTAAAAAAGTAGGAGCACAGAAAAGGAAAAAAGGGAAAAAAAAAGAGAGAAAAAAAAAATAGTGGTCCAATCCATTTTGATATTGCAATAGGATCCGTCAAGTCGTTTTTTTTCATACTTTTTCTTTCTTTTCTTCGTCTTGTCGCATAATAAAGCCAAATATTCGTTCAGAAATTCTTACTGTTTAACTTTGGATTCATATCAAAGAACCTCGACAACTTTTTATTTCAGCTGCAACGGCGCTGCAATAAGACACTGTCAAGTGAGACAGATCACGTGCGCTGAAAGAGAGAAAGAGCGGAGAGTCTTTTAATTTTTGTTATTTTGGCAGACAAAGAGAGAGTGTGTGTGTGGACTCACCAATTAGATTACTGAATGGCCAACGTAGATGTAGAAGGATCTCTATCCTTCTCTGCAGCGTCGGATGAACTTCGCGCTGTGTTAGCAGATTACATGAAACGACGCATAGAGGTAAAGGAGGGACGGTGAATCTTGCATCTTGTATCATTTACCAAAAGGGAAAATGTAGGGCACTCTGACAGAAGATTTTCGAAGCAGCGTGGAAGCGGAAGCGATGGGGGATGTGGCAGATAAAATCAAGGACATGCATGCCTACGCATTTGGGAGAATGCGCGACAGTAAACAACAGACCGCCGAAGCCAAAGCGGCCATGGACGAAGCCCAACTCGGCCTGCAAAACGTCTTGTACGAGAAACGTCACATTCTAGAAGAAATTGTAAAGTGTCGAGACTTTCGGTAAGCTAATGATTTTAGTAGACTCGGTATCAATTTCATCATGATTCTTTTAACTAAAATACCATGATAGATCCGTGTATCAGGATATAGAACTTGTTTCGTTGGACGATTTTCGTGCACGAGCCCCTGCGGAATATCTTGATCAGCAAGACAATCCTCACGCATTGATGATCAATCGATTGAAATTCGAACAAGACGAACGAACAACGTAAGCGGATAAGAAAATTGTCGATTTTGGGGAATCGTGGGACTGACGATTCATTCCACATAGATTGAAAGAACAAGAAGAGAAACTGCAAGCGGAACGACAATTGCTTATCAAAGAAAATCGCAAGGCGCAAGAAAAACTCGATCGCTTTGACAAGTTATTAGACGATTTCGTACAGGTACGCTCTTTCTAAGGCATTACGCTTTGAGCGAATTTGGCAGGATGACTAAAAATTTCAATGCGACCACTAGGCATCCTTACCGGTGGAACGCGCCTTGGAAGAAGAAAAGAAGGCATCAACTCATATGGAAGTGGTGGGCGACAATGAAAATACCGAGACCACAACAGCGCCTAAAGAGCCAACCACAGAAACCATGGACGTCGATACAGCATGAACCACCCTCACTCACATCAAGAAAATAAAAAAGAAGACAACACCAACATGAATATACAGATAGTCAATCATTTTCCTGTAGAAAAACACATATGTACATCTTTTTTTTTTTGTTTATTATTTGAATCTCTATAGTTCTATTTTATTTTTTTACTTCATTGTTAATCTTGTTGCAGAGCCAATTTCTTCTTCTTGCGCACTTGCTTCTTTTCGCCAAATTTGGAATCGTGCAATGCCTACCGATTGACAATGAAGATATTAGTTACAGAGATACCAGCGACCGTTTGTTGAAAGACTTACCATGCTTGCTACTCGTTTCGCTGTAGACACTTCGGACAATTCTTTCAAAATTTCATCTTCGTTCACCTTGTACTCTTCCATCTTTTTGTCTGTAATTTTTTAAATGGGTGAATACTGTGTTGGTTCAAAAGCAAGTAATTCGAAATGACTTACTCATTCGGGCTTCAATGTTTTGCACCAATTGAACGTCCTTTTCAGTGACGATCGACAGCGCTTGACCGCCGCGACCCGCACGAGCCGTACGACCTACACGATGGATGTAATCGGTAGGATCGCGAGGTATATCGTAGTTCAACACTAATTCAACTGAAGGGATATCCAGACCACTAAAAAGGGGATACAAGCATGTTAAAATCACATCATCCATCCCACAGGTTTGCGGCCGGGCTGCCACTTACCGACTGCCTACATCCGTGGACACCAGGACCTTGATAACTTCGGCTTTGAATTTACCAAGGGAGTCCAAGCGTTGTTGCTGAGACATTTCCGAATGCAGGGCTGTGCATCGAATGCCGAGTTCCTTGAGCATGATGGTGATCATTTCGGCCGTCGAACAACGACCGCAAAAGATAATGACGGACTTTTCTTTAAAATCATCGGATCGAAGAAGATGGGTGAGGTACGTGGTTCGGACGTGGGAAGGGACAAAGATATAAAATTGATCGAGGGTGGCGACAGTCGAGACACTCATATCGCAAACGTGAACGAAGGGGCGCTTTTTTGGATCATCTTCAGCGTCTTTGAGGGCTAAAATGGATTCGGTCATGGTGGCTGTGAACAATAAAGTTTGTCGTTTCTTGGGTAACTGCGGCAAGATGGCTTCCAATTCGGATACAAAGGTGGGCGACAGTAACCGATCGGCTTCATCCATCACCAGAAATCTCGCTCGCGACAAGTGCACCGCCCCTGAACTGCTGCGAATGTGATCCCGCAATCGGCCGGGCGTAGCAATAATGACATGCGGTCGACGAGAAAGTTCCAATGCCTGGGTCATCATATCTGTCAAACGAAAATAAATAAGAAAACCCTATGCACTCAAAATTCCACACATGACATATTTGACATACCTAAACCTCCCACAACGACGGATTCTTTCAAGCCAATACTTTTGCCCAAAACTCGAAATTGTTCAGCAATCTGAAACGCTAGTTCTCTATGTTAAAGGAATCAAACAGATCAGTCCCTCGATCGAGAATTCTTGCCATGCCTAGGTCATGGCGACATACCTTGTAGGTGTCAGTACAAGAGCAAATACGCCATAAGGCTCCTCCGACAGTTTTTGCAGAATGGGAAGAGCAAATGCGGCGGTTTTACCGGAACCTGTTTTGGCACCACCAATGACATCCTTTCCTGTAGAGTAGCAACCAGGTAAGTCCAGTGATTTTTAGTATGTTCCGAAAGAATGAGATGCTTACCAGCAAGAATGGGCGGTATACAGGCTCGTTGAATTTCGGTAGGTTTCTTGATCTGCATGGATTTGAGGGTCTCACACAGCCATTCGTCAATGCCAAGTTCGGCAAATGTGGTAGTAGGTGGAAGAACAGAAGGTTGAGCTGCCTTTTTCTGAGCCGCCGCCACTCGGCTCACAGTCTTGAAGGAAGTCTCGGAAGCCATGAGACAAAAGAATAAAGGAGTAGGAAATGAACTGAGTTGACAAGATCAAGGAACCTGCTGGACTAAACTTTTTTTTTCTACACTCAATTCATGCCAAATGGCGATTGGTGGGTTGTGGCTTATCGAAAGAGCGCCCCGATGAGAGAGGAGTCTGGAAAATCGAAAAATTTTTTGTCACTACGGGTGCGTAACGGGCAAGCCCAGTCAAGACTCCTCTCTTTTTCTTCGCCCCACACTTACAGAACCATGGCAGACAAAGCTCCCGAAGTCGACAACACCACCATTGCGAACCCTGAGGTGATTACCAAGTACAAGGACGCTGCCGAAATCGCCAACAGTAAGTGACCATTGCTCAATGGCGTCTGCCACGCTTGCCATGATTCTTATTCAATCCTTAACCGATGCGTGTCATGAACAGCCGTCCTCGCCAAGGTCATCAAGCTCTGCGTTGTCGATGCCAAGATCATGGATATCTGCGTTGAAGGTGACAAGCTCATCAACGAAGCCACCAGCCGTATCTACAACAAGGGCAAGCTCTCCAAGGGTAAGGCACCACGCTCACACGCCCACCACGCGCCCCTCCCCCTCCATTCACAACAACCAAGGGGGGCGGGCTCTGTTTTTCTTTCTTTCATACATGAGACTGACGTTGGACGATTTTCCAATTTCTTTTAGGTGTTGGTTTCCCTACCTCCATCTCTGTCAACAACTGTGTTGCTCACTTCTCGCCTCTTCCCAGCGACCCCGAAGCCGCTCAGACCCTCAAGGAAGGCGATGTTGCCAAGATGTACGTATTTGGAAAAAAAATTAGAAGCACGCCAAAAAATGGATAAAGAGATTAAGTTGACTAACGCATTTTTCTATCTAGTCAATTGGATGCTCAGATCGATGGTTACTGTTCGACCGTCGCCCACACTGTGATTGTGGGTGCTTCCGCTGACAAGCCTGCTACTGGCGTCAAGGCCGATGTTGTGCAAGCTGCTCATGAAGCTTTGGAAGCTGCCGTTCGTTTGATCCGTCCCGGTAACAAGAACATGGAAGTCACCAAGGTCGTTGACCAAATCACCGAAGCTTACGGTACCAAGGCCGTCGAAGGCATGCTTTCTCATCAACAGTTGAAGAACGTCACTGACGGCAAGAAGCAAATCATCTTGAACCCCAGCGAAGCCCATCTCCGCGATTTCGCCCGTATTGAATTTGCTGAAAACGAAGTCTACTGTGTCGACATTCTTGTCTCCTCCGGTGAAGGCAAGGTCCGTCAGTTGAACTCGCGTACCACCATCTACAAGAAGACCGATATCCGTTATCAGCTCAAGTTGGCCGCTTCCCGTCAAGTGTTGTCCGATATCCAGGCCAAGGCCGGTAGCTTCCCCTTCTCTCTTCGTGACCTTCCCGATGAACGCAAAGCTCGCATGGGTATTGTCGAATGTGCCAAGCACCAAACCGTGCTGCCCTACGATATCATGTTTGAACGTGAAGGTGCCGTTGTCGCTCAATTCTTGACCACTTTGTTGGTCACCAAGAACGGTAACATCATGGTCACCAACCCCAGCTTCGACCAATCCCTTGTCAAGTCCGACAAATCCATCAAGGATGAAGAGATCAGCAAACTGTTGGCCTCGCCTTTCCCTGCTGTCCCCAAGAAGAACAAGAAGAAGAAAGCCGCTGCCCCCGCCGAAGCTGCCAAGCAATAAACAATTTTAAAGGAAAAAAAAAAAAGAAAATTTGGCGCATGTATTGAACAGTCTCAAGTAATAAAAACAAAACCTTCCAGCATAATTTACTGTATGAATAGTAAAAATACGCTGGATTTTGTACAAAGTAACATGATGTGCATTGTTTATCGAATTGGGGCTCTTGGAACCCCAAGTGTGGGCCTATGCGCTCGCAGATGGCCTTCGACATGTTATTTTTGCCGATTCTTTGGGATATCATATTCAGATGACAAGCATGTTTGGACTTGATTTTCATTAAACCATAGCTGTCGATCTCTATTTAGAGAATCATCTTGGCTGTGGACCATGTTTGATTTCCAGAATCGGTAGCCCGGAAAGGCGAATGATGCATACCGTATGTATATTAAATACATTGATGCACCTTGAGTATCGTTTGCACTTTCCGCGACTATACTTATAATGTTCCACTGCACTTTTCAGAACCTTCTTTTGATCATACAAGTTCGCTCTCGTTCATCATGGAAACGGTTGACATCCAAGTTCAGCTTGCGGATTATTATTACTGTTGCTCTGGTTACTGGAAGCCAGTGTGTCAAAAAAGGAAAGCATAAAATTATTTGCCTACTATATGGCACATCGAACATTTGCAAGTATTTTTTTGTGCAACAATGGATTCAGTCATGGCACGGTGCCATTGTGACAGCATGCTCTGTTTTATTGTAAGGAAAATGAGCGGAGTATACAGAGATGGGTGGGTTTGGAAAGAGTGGGGTAGGATGATGTTGCGTGTGTGATGAGATTATCTGATTGATTTGTCGAATAAGGAGAAAAATGAATCTAGGAATATTTACGAGAAAAGGCCAACATGGACCTAAATACAGAACAGTTAGAAAAATCTCATGGTGGCACAAAATCAAAAAAGAAAACAACTATGACGCCTCATCTATCGATTATGTCTCTGAACTACTTACATTTTGGATCCATTGTTGAATTTAGACATGTACGCATCCTCCAGCGCAGATTGAGTAATAGAAGTATCTGGCATATGGAAGCGAAAAAGTAAAAAAAAAGGATAAGCCGATGTGACAAGTGAGAAAAAATTGTGTCCTCTTCTCACCAGACAGATCGCTAAATGAGGACCCTACTGAATTCAGGGCGCTTGTATTTTCCTTGCCGGAATCGTCAGAAATAGTGCCGGTCGGAGGCGTTTGACCCATGAACGGTGGAGTAGAAGCAGTAGAGGTACGAGTCATGCTGGGACCAAATACTTTATCGGTGGTTTGTTTCGATTTTTGACGCGGAGGACCCGCCCTTGACCCCCCAGCTTGCATGCCTAAACTATCCTCCCTAGGCTCCTCTTCCAGCGCTCTCTCTTGCCGCAAATCATGAGACCCACGCATCGTCGTCGAGGGCCGAGCCGACCCTGAAACCGAACTTGCAGAAATGTCATTGCGAGATCGAATCAGATTTTGCATCGAATACGATGTTTTACGTGCTGGCAAAAACGCCGGCTCTTCCAATTGAAGTCGCATCTTTTCAAAATGGCTGCTAAAATCTTCATTTTCACGCTGCTCGTCATCTTCATCATCTTCTTCGTTATCACCATCTTCCTCATCATCATCATCATCGTCGTCCTCGTCGTCATCGCTATCGCCCTGATTTTCTTCTTCGTCATACGGTATATTCCGTCGATCGGTCCGCCGATCGGTTCGTCGATCATGATCTGATTTTGGTGCTGTGCTAGTGCTGCGGCCCAAGGATACGGAATGGATGGAGGACCGTGAGAGGGCACCAGGTGTTTCGGATGATTGAAACGCTCGACTGTGATGGGAACTAGCAAAGCTTTTGTAGATGGATTCGCCCACACTGGCCGAATCGCTGCTCGATAATTGCGATTGGTCATTGCCAGTGATAGTTCTCGATGAGGTAGGTTTCCCACTTGAAGGTTGACGCGGTGTAATACTGGAAATGGTTGACAACATCATGGAATCATCCCGAACTACACCCCAGCCAGTCAATTTTTTTTTCTTAGTAAGAAATCATTCAAAATCCTGGTAGCCCCGATTTTTTTTTTTGCTTACTGTTCAGTGGCTGCAGCGAGGTGGGTGTGGATGATCCCAGATCATGACGGGTAGGCATACTTTGGGTAGGTGTGAGTTGACTCGATCGTTCCTGGCCGTCACTTTCGGTTGCAGTCATAGAAACACCTTCGCCGGGTTCTTTCCAAATGGACGACGTTTGTAAGGTCGCACGAGAAGGTGGCGTGCCTGTCACCAGTTCTTATCAATACCATCTAATGGATTCGGTTTTTCTTCTCCCCTCAGGACAACCCTGCCTGCTTATTTTTACCTTGCCATGTATTTGTACTGGAGGGTCGGCTTTGAGTGCTTCGATGACTTGGCGGAGGTGTATAAGTTGCTTTGCCTACCTCACTGAGTCGCAACTGTTGGTGAAGCCCACGTAGCTGAGTCTCGTGAATAAAAGCGGCATGACGAACAACATACGACGTCGGCATGCCCAATTGCTCGGCAATAGCATTCCCTACGAACAAAAACAAGAAAGTCAAAACAACAGCATCCGGCGAGGATACGGGGAGGAATTATGCAAACTAGTTTTGACTTACAGTCGGTTTGTTTCTGACTCATGTACCGCCACAAGCGGTGTTCCATATCGTCTGTCCAGACAATCTAAAATCGGCGTCCCCGTTGGTCAGTCCAACATCAAAGTTTGGCCACAAGATACCTCGGAACTTACGGGAGGTGGTTCTACAAATCCAGCTGGACGTTTGAATGGTAAGCGTATAACGACATGAAGTGTGTCTTTCTCTAAACCCATTTGGAGTGAGTTGGAGTAATATCAAGTGCTGCGCTACTCAGGGGGTGGGCGGACTTTGTTGGGTTTGGCACGACTCATGCACCACCCCAAAATATTGCCTGTCACATTTTTGAGTTAGGTGGCACCCGCGCTTGAATTGCCTTTCCCGTTCGGGAGCCCACTGAAAAAAAATAAAAATACAAACACAGCAACATCCCATGCACCCAAACAAAAAAATTCAAATGAAGCACAATATAATATAACACACAGCATCGTCTTTGAAAAGATAGACTATATTTCACAAAATGAGGGGGAATGTCAACATGAAAAAGAAAAGGAAAAAAAAACGTATCTGTGAATCTAACGTGAAAAAGAGGGAAATGCAGATAGGTTTCCTTTTTCTTTTTGGGCCATGCGACACCAAAAAAAAAACAATATACAAGAGATAGGGATAAAGCGAAGGAGGATACAATAATCTACTTTTTTTCGGTTTTGGTTCTTTTCTTTTTTTTCGCATTGTTTAATGCATGCAATCAACGTTCAAAGGATGTTTGAGGTTGATATATGTGTGTAGTTGTTTGAGAGAAGGGCGCTTTTTAGTTCTTGGCGAACATCTTCTTGAGATGGGCGGTGCTGTAGGACTTGGGGCGTTCCAAGGGCATGCCAAGGGCACGATCCCAGATCAACTGAGAAGTGACACCGAGGGCACGGGAGACACCAAAGAGGACAGTGTAGTAGTCTTGTTCGGTGAAACCGTAGTATTGGAGAAGGACACCAGAGTGGGCATCCACGTTGGGCCAGGGGTTCTTGGTCTTGCCGTGTTCAGTAAGCACACCGGGGATGATGTGGTACAACTTGGAAACCAAACCGAACAAGGGGTCATCGGGCAAGTGCTTGAGAGCAAATTCACGCTGAGCAGTGTAGCGAGGATCGGTCTTGCGAAGCACAGCGTGGCCGTAACCAGGCACCACTTGACCACCGTTCAAAGTATCCCACAAGTACTTCTTGATTTCTTCTTCGGAAGCATCAACACCAATGTTGTCCTTCAACTTCAAGGTCCAACGCAACACTTCCTGGTTAGCAAGACCGTGAAGAGGACCGGCCAAACCGTTCAAACCAGCAGCGAACGAAAGATAAGGATCAGAAAGGGCAGAACCGACCAAGTGAGTACTATCATATAAATAAGGTATTGATCAGTCTTATTGTCCCATTTTTACCCCAATCTCCCCAACCCGCATCGCGTCTTCATTGGCCCCGATGATTTTGCTGTCATGCCCTCAATTTTTTTTTATGTTTTCCCTCTTTTTGCTTTCTCGTGTACCTCTCCTCCTGTTGCGTTGTCCCATCCCATCATGACACCAAAATATCGTAGCCCATCATGAAGGCAACACGCCAAGAAAGTTGAGAAACACTTACGTATGAGCAGAGACGTTGCCACCTTCGTGGTCCGAGTGAATGGTGAGGTAGAGACGCATCAACTCAACAAAGTCGGAGTTGGATTCATAACCCAAAAGTTTAGAGAAGTTGTACGAATAATCCTTATCAGATTCAATCTCAGGAAGCTTGCCATCCTTGTAAACATTGCGGTAGATGCGGGCAGCGACCTTGGGGAGCTTGGCAATCAAGTCCATGGTATCCTCAAAGGTGGGGTCCCAGTAGTTGGCCTTGTTCAAACCCTTGGCGTATTCCTTGGCAAACAAGGATTCGTGTTGAAGCGCATTGACAGCGAGAGAGAATTGAGACATGGGGTGAAGAGTCTTGGGGCAACGATCGATGATTTCCTCAACGAATTCAGGAATGTCAGAACGAGCAGCCCATTCAGCAGAAAGGGACTTGACCTGTTCTTGGGTAGGCACTTCACCAGTGACCAACAACCAGAACAAAGATTCGGGAAGAGGTTCCTGGCCACCTTCAGCAGCAGGCAACACCTTTTGGCAATCGGGGATGGTCAAACCACGGAAACGGATACCTTCCTCAGCGTCCAAGACGGAACCTTCCCAGATGAGACCCTTGATACCACGCATACCACCATAGGCCTGATCAACAGTGACCTCACCGAGGACCTTGCTACCGTATTCCGCCTTGAAAGCCTTGACCTCTTCCTTCTTTTGGGGAATAAGTTCGGCAAGACGTTCCTTCAAGGTCTACAAAGAAAAAAGTCCAACGTAAACATCGTTTGGTAAGTTTTCATCGGTTGGGATAAACGCAAAGAAAAAAAGAGAAGCAAGATGGTTTGCTGTTTCTTTTACGTTACCTGGGTCTTGGAAGAATAAGCGCGGCTAGCCCCAACGGCGGTGGCGGGAGCAAAGCGGAAAGCGGTGTGACGGACAGCCTAATCCAACCCCATTTGGGAATATTGAGCTTCAAAGATAAACGCGTCGTAATGGGGTGACCATATATTTTTTTTTCTTCTATTGTTATGACGGGACAATAAGTAAAGGAAGTGTCTACATACCTTGGTGGCGGAAGTGAAGGTGCGAAGAGCAGACATCGAAAGAGGGATTGTGAGATGAAACAACAACGAATAAAGAAGAGAAAAAATCCGCAGAAAAACGGGAAACAGAGCTTATATAAGAAAAAAAACACAATTAGCTTACCGCTTAAAAGATTTCTGTCTTTCAAATGATGATGATTGATGGATAATACAAGGGGTTGCAAGGGTGGGGTGCGTGGGTGGTCACAAGCCACGGAAAGATGCCTAAACAAGAAAGTGCTGTCACGCGAAAAAAAAAAATCGATGGCGGAAAACCACTCGCAAAATCCCAGCTTGATGATTAGACAAGCCTAAATGTTTGCCCGATAAGAACCTGACACATTCTATCCAGTCCAAACTGAGGTTAGTCTTATCAAATGGACCTGCTTCTTCCCAAATTAAGCTTCCCATATCCACCATTTTCCAGGCATTTTTTTTGGTGATCCGATCACCGTCGATAATCCCATTTGGTTCTTGGTCAGCAAAATAGGACAAAGAGTTCTTGACAAACAATCAATGACAACTTGTCGTGAATTACTTCATTTCAATTCCCAGGTTTCATAATAGTATATAAAACCATGCAACAAAATGACACATTCATCGTCAATATCATTTGACAATGTTGATTGTTAGATAATGTAGAAAGGAAGAAGGGTAATCGTCGGCAGTAAAAAATGGTTTTGGTTCCTTTTGAAAAAAAATTTATTACGTGAGTGAAGTCCCACCACTACATCATACCGAAGAATAATGCTTACTTTCTTTTCTTGGATAATCAAGTATCGTCACAGGTTTGCCGCCCAAAGTTCGATTTCCACCAACAGTGCCACAAGGGAAAAGAAAAAAAAAAAACTTTCTGTTGGGAAGAAGCGGAGTAGAATGATTGCCTTGGTTTCAGGTGATTCCAGGATTCCCAGGTAACGTAAATAGAGAATGATCCCATTGTTCATCTATTAGGGTTAGGCAGTGTGTCCCCATGATGAGCAAACAAAAAGGGTGGACTCCCAAAAAACCAACAGGCGAATTAAAACAGATTTGACGGAATGCATCGAATAACCCCATTATGAAATTCCATGTTTCATAATAACTGGCTCTTCCCCCACTCGTCCCCCCCACCATATTTTTGGAGCTTCATTGCTGTGGTTGTTTTTTTTGAGAACGCGATTGTCGGGGATTGAAAACGCACCGTCTCACTCGTCCATCCACTGCCTAAAAAAATGCTGACTGTCAATGGTTTTCGATATTTAATGATTTCGGATCGTTATTGTGGGGGATCCCCTTTTCTTCTTCTTCTTCTTCCTTTTCTTTCATTTAGGAAACAGAATCATTCACAACCATGGCCACACTTCCGTCGATCCAGCAACTGAACCACGAAACGTCGGAAAACTTTATCGAAGTCGTCAACACTTTATTCGAGACCGCTCCTCCCTTGGCCGATCGTCTCTTGGCCGCTCGTCCTTTCCAATCGTACTTCCAACTCATCGATTACGCTCAAAAGATCTGTCTCAGCAACGAACTTAGCTACAATGATAAACTCGACATCATTAACGCCCATCCCCGTATTGGTGCCGGTAAAGCCAACTTGTCCGCCGCTTCCCTCAAGGAACAGGGCTACAACACCCGCCAAGGTGCTCTTTCCAAGGAAGACGAAGCCATCAACGAAAAGCTCGCTCAAGTGAACAAGGTAAAACACCACCATAGCATCTCTGGATAATGGACATCATTTAACGTGGATGATCTTTTGTTCTTTCCTTTTTTTCAGCAATACGAGGATAAATATGGCCATAAATTCGTCGTGTTTGTTGCTGGTCGTCCCCGCGCTGCCATCATTCCTCTTATTGAGGAACGTATTGCTGCCAACAACCCTGAGCAGGAGATGAAGACGGGCATGGTCGACATGATGCGTATTGCTCGCGACCGTTTGATCAAGGCTTCCGTAAACAGCAAATTGTAAAAAAATGAAACCCATCTCACCCAATCATTGCCCACAGATACCTACCGGAGTAACAAAATGACGGTATATTTTCCTGGCCTTGAATAAATCAGGAAACTATTAATGCTTTGTTCGAAAGAAAATCCAAAAAGCAATACAGAAATAAAAAGAATTCATATATTCTTGCTGTGCAAGACTGACCGGAAACAAGCTCTGCACGGACGATGAAAGGATATTTTGAAGCTCATCGATTAATAATTTTGTGAAGTTCGTCCGTCCATGTCTTGCTGCCACGCACGCGTCCCAAAGTTCGTGCCAACTTGTCATGCAACGCGACATATGAAATAATCTGTACGTTATTGTTTGATCAATTTCATAAAATTGATGAGCTGATGATGAAAGAGTTATTATTATTCTTGAAAAAAAAATCAATGATATGAAAAGATACTTTGTCAATGAATGGATGGTGGAAAGGAAAACAATAAATGCGGCTACAGGGGGATCACGATGAGGTTTTCAGCTCACATAATTGCTTGGAATCATGCCGACGGTGCCGTCGGCTTTTCGTGCTTGCCACCAGCTTCCTTCTTTTTTGTGAACGTGCAGCGTCTCGCCTCGGCTAAATGATAATTCGTTCGGATCTTCCGGGTTCGCTTCATCTATACCATGGTTCATTATTTTTGCACCTATTCTATCGATTGAGAATAACACTTACATGGATGTATTGCCACCACTGGAATATTATATTCTGCATGCGGCGAAACAATCACTGTGTTGGTAATATTGTTATTGTTGCTTGCTATTCTTTCCATCGGGCTGTCGTGAAGGTTGAAAACCGGAGGGTTGGAAACAAACATAGGAGGACTATTGTGTTCCTGACGAGGCGAAACGGGTCTGATAGAGGATCCGTAGTCGTATTCTTTGTAAAGATTCAAGGCATTGTTGCCGGTACCCGTGTGATTTCCAAGAGGAGGATGGGTCGTCGTCTGTGGGTAAGTGCTGTTGTAATGCCGGTACAGATCTTTCATCGAGGGAAAGAAAGCCGCATCGTAAGTGACCCCAAAAAAGAAGAGCCAAAAGAACTGGGTATTCACGCAAGTCAGTATGGCTGACGGGTCGATATTTTTTTTTTTTTTTTTTTTTTTTTTTTTACCTGAGCAATAATTGTCATGATCTGACCGACGGCGGTGATTGTCAAGGAAGTTCGGCCAAAATACAGGTACGAGGTCACTTCACCAGTCGCATACGGGACATTAATAGCAATAAGGGCCAAAATCTGACGGCAGCGTAGTTTAGTATAGAGGAGTGCAAAATGCGTGGGAGTTGTTTTACCAGGCCATGGTATGATTCGACGGAATTGATCCATAATACGCAGCACACGAGCAATAGGATAGCTAACTGGTAAATGATGATCCACCAGGATGCCGGATTTACCCACGCACTGGACGCGCATAAACCGGCAAATGAAAGTAGCCATCCAATCTGTCACACCAATTTAAACAATCCTTTAGACCCATAGACAATTGATATCATGTATCACAGTGACTTACGGTGGCCACAACACATGTGAGTAACACAATAGCGTTGGCTATAGAAACATTCATTCTTTGGCGAACAAGGAAATGCAAAGACCAATAGGTTGGGTAAATATATATTGATAATGGGCAAGGGAAAAAATACTGGGTTGATCAAAGAGCCGTACAAGTGGATGAATAATATTCATACGCTTATAAACAAAAAAGTGAGCGATCGAATTGATTGATTTCTAGGATTGGAAAAGTTAAATACAATCAATCACTAACCGATCTTTGTTCCCTTTTTTGTAGAATTGAAGGGGGTGGGATTTGATCGCTCATCCTCAATCATCATCCGGGATTTAATAAATAGATTTTTTTAATCAACAGGATCCAAGGGAAACGTATGTGCGCTTGAACCAAGGACCAAGTTCTTCCTCGGTGACCAATGAAGACGCCAACGCTTCCATTGCATGATTTGCAACCAGGTATTTGTCCATATAAAATAGAAATCTCAAACCACGATTTATTTGATACTCGTTTTAACAATGCTCCCGTAGTTATGACTACTTTTTCCGGTACATCCGTGATAGCATCACATTTAGTTCCGATAGTAAGATAATACACTGGTGCTCCCTAACTTTTTTTTTTGAGTTTCTTTGTTGATCGATCTTTTTTCCGGGCGGAAAAAGAAATGGCAGAGAAAAGAATGAATCCGGCAACTTGACCACAAATTGGCTAAATGACATCACGTCCTGATGGGAGCTACTTTGTTATTGTATCATAGAATTACGGTACTTTAAAGTAGAGCCATATACCGTTATGCGTTATGCAGTATTTGACGAAATAATAATTGGAATCATCCTTTTTGCATTACAGTATCACTGACAAATGTACCAGCCATGCTTTTGCACACAATAATAATATGCATGGTATATCTGAACTTCCACTGCTGCAAACAAAAAGAAAGCATTTTACAAAAATACCATGTCTGTTGACGGGCAATATTTTTAAAATATAATGATACTTGCCTGAAGCAAATGATTTAAACCATTACCCCACAAAATGTCCATTTGTACAGTAAACATTCGGTTGTTTAACACTCCAATCTTTGGTAATTAAGATGACTAAGAGTGAAAATCAAGCGTGCTTGCAAGAGACGTATGATGGATTTTCATAACATTGATATTTAACAGCAATCTATTTTTTCAACCTCGGTGATATTGGGGTTGTTCGTGCAAATGAGATGAACCTTCTTTTTTTTTGTTTTTCTATAAAAAATGAATGCATGCAAATGATTTATTTAAGCTTCAATGTCTCTATTGTTGTTGGAAGCCAAGGACTGTTGGCTTAAGAGGTACTTTAATGTATAGGTATTGGCATCGCATCTAAGAAAAGTAGAGAGGTCAGCATTTGCTCACAAAAAAAATAGGGACCAAGTGGTACTTACAAGTTGGCGATATCATCTCGAACACGGAGGACGCCTTTGCGTAACGATCGGAAAACGGTTTGAAATTCGCCGCGATGGTCTTTCAAGTACCGTCCGTGGGCTGTCATGACACTAATGACCCACATCATGTGAAACTCAACGTGCGGACTTGTTTCCATGTGAACACCCAAAAAGTGCAGTAATTTTTCCAAGTATTTCTCGGGCATCCCACGCGCTACCAAATCCACCGACGCGGGAGGAATACGTTCAAACACCGTGTGCAACACTGGCTTTTCATTCAGCCGGAAGGCCATGCACAGCGCCTTGAGATACTCTCCTTCCTCTAATGTCTCCATCACCGTTTCAGGGGTAATGTCGATTTCAAGATCAAATGGATCGAACAAAATCGCGTCGTCCAACGAATACATCAGTAAACCGTCGGTCGTAGCCGCCGCCCACGCGCGACCCGTCGGTGAAAATCGTACACATTTTGATCGCGCTTCAGGTCGAGTGCGCCTTGCTGATAAGTCGCCCTTTTGTGTTCCCGGTAAACTGTTATCTAATCGATCTTCAATGTCGGACGCCTCGTCGGCTTCCATTTCCTCGAGACTGCCAAATTCAGTCATTTTTTTGGAATTCAGCATTTCCTGCGTACCGTCCAACGACAGGTTTTCAGAGATCTGGAACTTTTTGACCAACACGCTCGTTTCGATGTCGTAGATGCAAATGTATTTGGAGCTTCCACCGCCAATGATGCTCGAACCGTCCGCGGTGTAGCATAGCGAGTTGAAACATTTGCCAGATGCGGCATTCTCGGCCGATGTGCGATCGTTCAGTTTGCGTCCACCCATGATGTCTTTTCGTCCTTCAATGACGGCCGTCTGCTTGCCCAGTTCCACATCCCAGAAAGAAATCATACCGTCCAACGTCGCCGTCGCTACTTGTTTACCGTCCGGTCGATACGCGACGGCCAGCACTTCTGTTTGATGTTGCAACGCTTCAATATGTTTGCTTCGTCCAAAGACGTCCCATGTTCGTGCCGTTTGATCCCAACTGCCACTGGCCAGCATCATGCCCGTTGGTGAAAACGACAGTGAACTAATCGGGCCTTCGTGACCGGCCAAGATATCCAGCAATTTCCCCGTCTGTACACTCCACACAAAAATTTCAAACGTATCCATTGTGCCAGCACATACAATTTCACCACTGGGGTCGACGGCCAACGACGTAAATTGGACAGGGTTAGGACTGGTGAATGTTCGGAAATTACGGTAACGGACCAGATCAAACGCGCGTACGGTGCCATCCAAACTGGCGGAAAACAGCACTTGGCCCTGTTTTGCGAATTCGACCGCGCTCACACCACTCTTGTGTTCGTTGAAAGTGACAAAACAGAATCCAGACGTGGTATTCCACACTTTCACTTTGCCATCGTCACCTCCCGTAGCCAACGTCTGACCATCCGCCGAATAGGATAATGTGTTCATATCGTAGTAATGGCCCTGCTGCTTGAGTACGTATGTCTCTGACTGCCATTCCCAAACAAGCAATTGGCCCAGTTTGCTGGAACCAAAGGCAAGCCATTCGCCTGTTCGGTTGATCGCGACAGTGTTGATCGACATTTGTGAGATACTGACAGAGAGAAAAAAAATGGATTGAGTGGGGCGGAACAGTGCGCCTATATCCATCTTTTGGATTTACCTTAAAGTGTGAATATTGTTAAACGAGGGCGTTTCGTACAGACCAAAGAGACCGTTGGAGAAACCGATGACAAGTAAATTGCCCTTTGAAAAGTATTCGCACGATTTAACTTTGGCGTAGTTTTGTTTGAAGGGGTGCTTTGCACGAACACGCCAGCGCGCCTTATCCACTCGCACAGGAGTTTCCTCATCGACGTCCATTTCATCCTCGGACTCTTTGCCGCGAAGCTCCGCCAAAGTACCATATTTCCACAAGTAAACAGCACTGTCTTTGCTCACCGTGTAAATCTGTCATCATCACGCTGTGTGAGTATGGATTTGCCTCATCACACCGGACCCGATCCAAAATCCCAGTAGATAAGAAAAAAAAACTACTTACACTTTGCATATCATCCGAGAACCAAGCTCCCAGTACTGTATCGCGATGGCCTGATAATGTGGGAGGAATAAATCCTTCGACAGGATGCAATGAAAAGATGCGTGCCGTCAAATCCTTGGACGCCGTGACAAAATATCTAATCCATTCGTAAATGATCGTGTTCGTTGTGCATATACCGATGAGATAAAATGCGGACTCACTTGGAATCGGAACTCCACTGAATGCTCAATACATCGTCGTAATGACCATTGTAAGTGTTATGAAGAAGGAAAGGAGCGTATTCACGAGTGAAGCCGGGCGATTTCCAAACTTGAACTTGCTTGCCGTGAGTCACTGCAATATATCGACCGTCCGGACTGAACTGAATCGCTCGCACTTCCGCCTTGAAGTTGAAATGGTGAAGAATTACTCGTCGAGGAAAATTGATCAACAATGCTCGGCCGTCTACAGATCGCAAATAACCCGAAAAAAAAGAAAAGAAAGAACACAAATAAGAAAGAGTTAGTTTCTAGAGTATTGAGCAATCAGAAAGGAGCATTGAGCGTCACCCACCTTCGTCGACGGTGATCAAAAGAGTGGCTTTGGGAGATAATGCCATGCAACGGATATTTTTGCGCATTTCCACGGGAAGTGTATACGATTTATTGCTACAAGAGTAATAATTAGTATCGTACAATGACGCTAGCATGGATCGCAATGGAAAGACGTTTTACTTGACAAGGTCAAAGACGGACACCCGATTCCCGACTGGACTAAGGATGGAGTTGCCATCAGGGGTAAAAACGAGGTTTCCCGCAGTGTAGACGGTGCCACAGAGATTGGAAAACTAGACAAGCAAGATCAGCAATTACATTTGATTATCACGGATCGGATCTTGGGTTACCTTGAATGAGGATTTCATAAGGTGAGTGACAAAATGAAGAGCTCAGCTCGCAGGCATGACCGAGATAGCAAGACATTTTTTTGAGATTGTGGCTTGTAGAAAAGGTAAAGCAGTCTGTCTTTGACGGAACATAATTATTTCAATGCCCGTTTCTCCCACCGTGAATGTGGTTGAAATTGCCTTTTCCTATTGGAGAAATACCCCAAAAAAATAAGAAGTCGAGTTTAATAGACGAAAGAATGCCGTATGGATGATCGTCATATAGTATATCTTATATATCTATATTGGAATTCATTTGCTTATAAAGGATTGTTTACTACGGCCGCATAGAGTGGGTGGGTCAGCGTTTTGAATTTGGTCAAGTGTGTGTAACGTTGGCGAGAGGCAGGCTGCGACGGTTCGTCTGCAAGTTCTTTCTCTAACCCGAATACAGGTTTTGGAAATACAAAGTGATATTAGCACCGAGTGTGGGAATGCCTTTCTCTGTCCTGAGTAAAGGAAGCATGACCGGTCGCAGTGCTACCAGTCGAGTGAAACGGTACGTCGCGAAACTTGCCCGTCATTCTTCATCATTTTAAAAAGGGCTCTTGTCACCTCACACTTGTTTAACCATGGTTCAACGATCGTGACAAAAATAAAAATAAAAAGGTACGAAGAAGGTTACGAAGAACCGAAATTTCCCATTCGACGTTTTGATTATGTAGATGGACGCAACTATCATCATTCGAATAACAAGAAGAAGCACTTTTTACCCTGTGACGATGAGGAACTTGAACGACTGGAAGTCAATACGCTTCTTTTTCGGTAGATCACCTTTGATTGAATCAAGCGAGATACCTCCTTCTCATATACATGTTTATGCTGACACAGGTTACTTTTCCCAAAGTAAAATATGCAAATCAAATTTTCTGCTACGATTCATCGATACTGATCAACACAATCGATTTCAAAAAGACGCATATTTGCCCCGGTAGAAGAAGATCTCAAAAGGGGCATTCGCGTTTTAAGCGTATGGTAAGTGCCGAAGCATTGATGAGGAAGACGTTTGATTTGACATGATGGATACAGTGCCGGGCCGGGATTCTGGCTTAGAGTAAGTGGTGACGGCGAGACTTTCCCGATAAATTGGCTTATCAAGGAATGCAGGACATGGCAGAGTTGTATCCGAATTCCCATTTTACAGGCACCGATACCGTGATATACCCAGTGAGGTGGGAAAAACATGGGCTATCAAAGATTGTCTATGTCACATATAAACTCTTTTCCTTTTTTTTTTTTTTTTTTTTTTTTTTTTTTTTTTTTTTGCACAGCAATTCTCGCAGCAATTGCCATTTCCGTATTGCTGATCCGACGATTGAACTTCCTTTTGCGGACAACAGTTTTGACTATGTGGTTCAACATGATGCTATTTACCACTATACAAGAGCCGAGTGGGACAAAGTCATTCAGGAAATGATTCGAGTGACTAAACCTGGCGGTTTCCTCGATTACAGTACGTCTGGATAAAGAAAAAAAAAGATTACGATAACTGTGAGTACTCAATTACCTTTCAGTGGAAACCAGTGACACATTGCAAGATCTCGGGCCCAATTTTTCAGTATGGTTAATGCGACGTAAGCGTTTTGTTTCTCTGTTGAGCTGTGCGAAGAATGGATTACTGTGGGAAGAGATTAATGGAAAGAGAGATTTTGATATGGAGTTATGAATAGTGACAGTTTCGATGCAAACACGAGATATTCACTTCAAGTTGGCGACTCAGCTGGAGACGGCATTGATGGAGACGGGACTTGTGCGTGTATTGGAAGCTTCGCATCGATCGGCACCCATAGGTTGGTTAGGTAAACTCGGGGATGTTGCCCTGGAATCGGTCCAGCGATTGTTTGATTCCATGAAACCTCGATTGTGTGAAGACTGGTCCATGAATCCTCACAAATATGATAAAATTGTCCAAACCGCAGCACAAGAGTGCCGAGAATTCAAAAGTTGGATGAACGTCTACTACGTTAGCTGTCAAAAATTGGATAACCACCCATCTCTGCATGCCACAGCCTCTGCCTCGTCTCGTTCACATGCGTGACTCCCGTGAACTGATAACCCGACATCCATTGGCTTCCAATTTTTTCTCCAGCCTCCGAAAACCAAAAATCCCCTTTTTCCACATCTACGAAATATTCCACACCCCTCTCTATACGTGAAACGCGTTCTTTTAGTCATACAGAATAAATAATAAACATATCAAATGTAAAAAGAACGTATTCCAGAGGATATAAGGCGGATCACGCAAAAGCGGAATTGTCAGTTACTGCGCATAAATAGCACGTATCTTTCTCCGCTTGTTTCTTGTTGGCATGGCACAAGACCGAATCTATTCCACTGATTGACAATTGTCAGGTGGAGAAGTATGTACTTAAAAAAGGAGAAGGCACGGTACTGGGACATGGAAGTGTCGTGAGCAGTAAGTAGCTCAGCAAGAGCCCTAGTTCTTTGGTGAAGCTCAACCTGAAAGCCATTAGTCCACTATCGTGTGTACCTTGATGAGAACGACCAATGCAATGAAGATTTCTAAAGAGAAATGCGCCTCTCACTAAAACAAATAAAAATAGAGTCCCTGAAATTCTAGCTTCATAGACAGTTTGATTTCACAGGACAGTGCATTGCAGTTTGGGAACAGCTTTTGCACACAATGCAGTTGGGTGAAGTGAGCGAATGGCGATGTAGCAAGGATTATGGTAAGCAGTGGCTTGCTGAAAACCAATTTTTATTGCACATATAGCTTACAAAGAGTTCCTTTTCTTTTACTTTCTTGAAAGCTTTTGGTAAGCATGGCCTATCGTCCATCATGATACCTTCGAATACATCTCTGCGCTGCGTGATTGAGTTGCTAGATACTTGGCCGGTAAGTCTACAGCATGACGATTATAATATTTTAGTATTCATTTTTGAGCTTATCCAAGTCGAATTTGTCGACTTGGTTCCCAATCAACCTGGCTCGCGAACATAAAGAGCAAGGCAATACACTGTACAAGACTGAATCTTTTGAACAAGCAGTGACAGAATATGAAAAAGTTAAGTCATCTGTCTCTCTATCCTCCATTCCGCAGACAAGATATTTAGCAAAAGGATCATACAGGCGTACTATGCTCACAAGGATTGTCCAACACAATCATTGGAAGAGCAACAAGCATGCAATGATATATGTGTGACTGTGCTGACGAATATGGGCGCCTGCCATCTCAAGAAGGGAGAATGGGGACGCGCCATTGATGCGTGCAAAAATGTAGGTAGAAAGTGATGAATCCATACGGTGCAACGCAGTGACCCAAGTTTCCAAATGATAGGCTCTTTCCATCGATTCAAGCAATGTGAAAGCATATTATCGTATTGCAGAAGCATGCTTACAAACGGGCGATTATGAACAAGGAATACAGTATGTGAATGCCGGGCTCAAGGTAGGCGGGACGGAGTGGGGAAGGAGCCAAGTCGTCTGTGACCGAAAAGCTCATGTCATCATCAGGAGTCATCTGAAGAACCGAACATGAAGGCCATTTCATCGAAATTGCAAACAAAAAGAATGGATACGAAGCAGAAAAACTGCTTATGGTAAAATGTTTTCGTGATTTTTATTCAACTCGTCGTTACTTTAGAATTCCCTAAGATCCATTCAACACGGTTTACGTTAGTTCAGTGAGGCATGGTTATATAGAATCAAACGAGATTCTTACCATGCTTGATGCATGTATTTTTGCACTGCCGACAGAGCTTGGTATCGGACATCTTGATCTTCATGTGTCATGAGCTCCATAACGCGTTGCTTTGCACCGATATCTTGCAAGACTCTGAAAGAGAAAAAAGAAAAAAAGAAAATCAATAAACAGAAAAAAAGAGCCAAGGCAGCCGTTGGTAAGTATTCCCGTACCTTTTGCCAACTTTCGACGAGTATTTGGTATATTGTCCAATATCGTTACAAGCGATAGCAAGCACCGTAGGATTGGTGGATGTACTCAAGATACGAGCAAGCGCTCTAATTTTGATGATTTGATTAGTTTTGACTAGTCGCCATGAACCACTTGTTGGGTACAAAAAAGTACCTGAGTAAACTGTAGTTGTTTTCGTCGAGTCGGCTGCTGTTTTCTTTCCAGAACGCTTCTGATTTGTGAGGAGGGGACCATTCGAGTTTGCCTGTTTCCACTTCGGAAGCGTATTGTTCAAAGGTGGTCAGGCTTTGGAAACTTTCTTGCAGTCGTTCCTTGACGTATTCCACATCTTCCACGATGTCGGCATCCGACCATTTACGCGCCGCCAGATTCTCGGTGAATGGAAGTAATTTGGCCACAAGCATCGCCGCCAGGTTCTCGGCAGGAGCCAGTTCAACCAAATTCTGAGCAAATAAAAAACCCTCAACATCAATCACTACTTCATCATGCCACTATTTTTTTATATATTTACCTTGAGTGTAGCGATTGCCACGCGAATGACTTTTTCTTTGACGGCGGCCTTGGCGATATCGATCAACAAGGGAACTACGTCATATTGTCTACAGTCCCAACAGCGTTAAAACATGTTTAAAAAAGTATAAAGTATGGATAAAGATATCCACAGAAACTTACTCGTTCAATTTCGATGCAATTTCGGGTTCAAATGTGAGTAACCACAGACAGAAAATGACTTGGTATTGCATCTGAGGGGAAGCGGATTTTTCCAATCGACGAACGAGCCTACAGATGGTCCAAAATCATTATTATACACATCTACAGATAAGCAAAAAGAAGACAGTGTACTCTTTGATAGCCCCGTGGGTCTTCCAGAATGGAAGTCTAAATTGTCGTACACGCAGCAACGAAGCGACTTCCTGGACGGCAATATCGACTATATCCATACGTTCACTTGCCAGTTGCAATGTGATCCATTTGTACAAGTCCGAAAGATCTAAAGAGGATGGTATAGGGGCCGAGCTATAAAAAACGGGCGTCAAAATCACCATGCCATCTGTGTCGAGGCTCTTGTCTCCGAGCAACCATACCAGGATAAAATGGTCAATACTTTGCTAGCTTCGAGAGAAGTGACTTCATCGTCCATATGCATCGCTCTACAGACAATAAAAAAAAATCATTCAATCTTGTGTGTTTGCGACCACAAAAGCTGAGTGATTCGGTTACCTGAAAAATGGCTTGAAAGGATAATCCGAGTTTTGAGCAGCTGTCGCGTGAAAGTAGCGTGCATTGTCTTCATGGCCTGTTTGGTGTATGCGTTTTGGTATTGTTCAGCAATGCGCAGAGGTAGAGACACTTTGGGGGAGGGGCATTCGTAGTGCTTACCAGAGAGGATATCGTCGGCCAGGATGCAAACGTATTGTACAGTATCGGGACGAGAAATGTTTTGCAGCAAATGCAGAATGAGTAAAGCACACTGTTCGCCGTTTTGTTGAACTGTGGATTGGACTTGGTCGGCTGGTTTCTTATCGAGTGCTTTGATAAGCTCGACTTGGCTGTGGTTAATGACGTTGGCCCGTTCATAACCCTGTTATTCCAAGTTCATAACCAAGATGAAACGACAGGTTGGTCAGTCTTGCGTTTCGGTTGCCAGGTGAATACCACGGCCCCCCACGGCCCCTCTCCCACACTCACCTCCCAGAGAATGGACTTTTGTCGGTGCTGAGCTATCTTCTTCTCGAGGTAAGCATTGGAAATGAATGCAAGCGGAACTTCTGGCACTTGGTCTTCCATGATGTTCAAACAGAAAATTGCTGCCTACTGAGCAAATACGAAAAAGATGAAAGGGAAGGCCTAAAAAGTCACAGACGCCGCGCTGGTGCAACGTCGTATTATCCCTCGACCGAGATGACAATGATTCGCCGCCGCTCCACCGTCCGTCATTCTCCGACAGCCGACAACCTTTCGTCCCCTTGATTCAACGCCAATAATGCCAATGTATGCCTCTTTTTTTTCCCTCCCCAATAATCTCATTCTTCCTTTATACAGCAGCATGCATTGTATCACCGATATATATTACTAGTTTTCTATGGGAGACCGGAAAGGCGGGGACAGGCGCATCATGCTTGCAAAACCGTGAATGGTGGGGGCGAATGGCCGAAATTTTTCTGGCTGTCACATCGGGCCCCCACCACCAACCCAAAAGGGTCCCCTGGACAAAAAATAACCCGTACGCTTTTCTCTTTTTTTTTTTTCTCTTTTTCTTTCCTCGAGAATCGACATGACTCGTTTGCTTGCTGCACGCTTGTTGAAAGGAACAAGCTTCCGTGCCGTCCGACCTTTGCGAGCCACCTCTTTCCAGACTCGCTTATTTACAAACACTCAGCAGTATGACGCTATCGTGTTGGGCGCCTACACCGACGGTCCTAAAGTGGCATTGGCCGCATCCGAAGGCATCACATCCGCCACGCGTCAGACCATTCTTGACCAGTTGGCCGTAGCCAATTTTAAAAAGGCCGGTGACGTTCGTGTCTTGTACAATGTTGGCGGCGTCAAACAAGTCGCCGTTGTCTCTTTGGGCAAATCTCTACCTGCCGACCAAGAAGCCAAAGCCATGGAAAGCGCACGCACCGCCGTAAGTATCATGCTTTTGCAACCCGCAGTGGAACGCAACCACAAACAACAAGAAAGGGCTGCCAAGGTCATGGGCATGACCTTTTTTTTGTACAGTTGATGTCGGTTGCTTGTTCTCTCTTATTTGTTGCACGGAGGCTAATGGCCGTCTTTTTTTTTCCTTTTTTGTTTCTATAATTGACAGGCCGCTCTTGGTATTCAAGCATTGCATCGTGAGGCGGTGGAGCGAGTCGGTGTGGATGTATCGGTGGATGCGCATGGTGCGGCAGAAGGCGCGGTGTTGGCTCAATTCTCCTTTGATAAACTCAAGAATCCCAAGTCGCAACGCAAGGAACTGTTTGTCGGTCCCTTTTCGACCCCCGCCAAAACGCAATCTGGCTTGACATGGGAATCTGGCCAAGTCTACGGTACTTCGCAAAACTTGGCACGTATGCTGATGACTTCGCCGGCCAACTTGATGACTCCCAAGTTATTCACAGAAGAGGTTGCGTACCTATTGGCCGGATTGGAGAATGTGGAAGTAACGGTGCATGACGAGGAATGGGCCAGACGCAATAACATGAACGCGCTATTGTCGGTGGCCAAAGGCAGCCAGGAACCGCTCCGATTCCTTGAAATTCACTACAAGGGAGGCAAAGAAAACGAAGCGCCTTTTGGTCTTGTTGGCAAGGGCGTGACCTTCGATTCAGGTGGCATTTCCTTGAAACCTTCCAACAACATGGCCTTGATGAAGGGTGATATGGGCGGAGCTGCCACCGTCGCCGGCGCTTTGTACGGTATCTCGAAAATGAAGCTTCCCGTTAACGTGGTAGCCGTCACTCCTCTTTGCGAAAATATGCCTTCCGGTAAGGCCACCAAGCCAGGCGATGTGATCAAGGCCATGAACGGCAAATCCATTGAAGTCATCGATACCGATGCGGAGGGTCGTTTGATTTTGGTAGATATTTTTTTTTGACGTGTGGATGGAATGGGAGAAGAGAAAAAAGTGCTGATCGCCGAATTGACTTTTGTAGGCCGACGCTCTTTATTATCTTAGCTCCAAGTTTGGACCCAAGAGTGTGATCGATTTGGCAACACTGACGGGCGCAATGGATGTGGCCCTTGGCAATGTGTTTGCCGGTGTGTTTACGAATTCGGACGATTTGTGGAAACGACTTGAGCGAGCGGGTGAAATGACATCGGATCCTTTCTGGCGCATGCCTCTTGACGATGGTTACTTGAAGGAGATGAAGGAGTCGCTTGTGGCGGATTTGAACAATCTGGGTAAAGGTCGTTCGGGTGGCGCGTGTTCGGCTGCGGCTTTCTTGAAGGAATTCGTAGCAGGACTCGATTCCCCCGCCGAGGGTGAGGAACCAAAAGAGACGAACGACAAGAATGGTGAAATTGCTTGGGCACACATCGATATCGCCGGTGTCATGGACAGCCAAAGCACCCACGGCTATCACATCAAGGGAATGAGTGGTAAGTTTTCGGAATAAGCGAGTCGGTGGCGCGGCTAGCATCTTTTACTTACCTTTTTTTTCATGCAGGTCGACCCACTCGTTCTCTGATAGAATATGCAAGAAGTTTCAATAAATAAATCATCATGATTTGAAACATTCTATTCTCGATGAAGTTTGTTTACTGCACAGTACAGTTTAACGCAGGATCTATTGCACTTTATTGACTTTTTTGCTACAAACTGGCGGTGTTCATGTACGGTAAAAAAGAAAAAAAAGGCAACGAGGATGGTTGAATACCTCTGTTCCCTAGCTTCCAGCATGGACACATTTGGGGCTTCTTTCTAGAGTAGAGCGGATAATAATTATGTGTATGCGTATGCGGGATGGCCCGATAACATCACTGTCAATACGGAGGAGGTTTCGGCAGTGGCTGCATAACACAAAACTTTATCTGTGCCCGCATTCCAACTGGCTGTCTTTTTTTGCATGTCGGCTGCAGTGTCGTATCTGTTTCGCATCAACGCGACCAATTATTTGCAATCCGCTTGAGTGGAAAACAACATTATATTGGACATGCTTTTCTAACTGCAAAACTATCCAAGAAGAAAATAAAAGCAAGCCGGAAAAGCCTGTGTTGCATGTATCCCATATGTATCACATGATGAGCAGGTCACGTGGTTCAGTGAAGCATGGTTTGGCTGGTTGAACCCTCATCTGATGCCGTCCTGTATTCTGCTATTTCTTTCTTCTTTCTTCATATATTCTTTTTTTCTCTTTTCCTCTGGTGCTTTTTCTCTTCGTGAATCGTTTCTTGTTTTTTTTTCTTCTCGTTTTCTTCTTACTTGTGTTAAAAAAAAAAGGCTCATTCTTTTTACAGTTCTTGTCGTCTCAACGAATACGTACACTTGAACAGCGCTGTTCCTAGCCTTCATTACTTGCTTACGTTCCCTGATTGAACGGTCAAGGGAGGAAGAAAAAGAAAAGCGAAAACAAAAATGTTGCAAGCTACGTTTGATTTATCCAATCATCCCACAATGGAGACGATTCAACTTTTGTCTTCGCTTTTGGACCGGATGACGACGGCAAATGACCAATTGGCTAAAGCCGCTAGGTCCACTCGCTGCATGTCGCTGCCGGCTTCCAGTGGTGGCAGCGGCGGCGTATCGGCTTCGTCCTGTTCACCTGGTGTGGGCTCGTATACCCGTTTTCACGCCCGTTCTATTCCATCCATCGATATCCTTTCGTATCTGTCCCGTATTCTGAAATATTGTCCTTGCTCCAACGAATGTTTTTTGAGTCTCCTGATCTATTTTGATCGGATGGCCAAAAATGCACTGGCGCTCACCGGCCAACCATTTACCATCGATTCGTACAATATTCATCGCCTGATTATTACGGGGGTCATGGTCGCCAGTAAATTCTTTAGCGATGTTTTCTACACCAACACACGTTATGCCAAGGTACGGGAAAATCAAACACTCACACGGTCCCCACCACCCCCAAAATGATCTTCACTGCTTTCTTTTTTCTTCGCTTGCATAATGCCTCTTTTTGTTTTTAATATCATCTCCCCCATTGGTTCTTATTCTTCAGGTTCATTTTTTTCAGCCTTTTTTAACTCTTATTCTCTTTCTATAGGTGGGCGGTTTGTTGGTGACAGAATTGAATGCTTTGGAACTGGAATTCCTCAAGCTCAACCGGTTCAATCTATGGATTTCGGTGGCCGAGTTGCAGAGATACGGCGATCAGTTGCTCAAGATCGGACTCATGGAACAAGAAATGCGAAAAAATATATTATGCGATGCCACCTCGTTGCGACATGCTCGATCGACGTCGTTGGGATCCAACGTGGTGCTACGTAGTGGTTCCGACGCATTGACGGGTCAGCATCATCGACGAAGTTCAGATCAGTCGGCGGATCGATTAAGTGATATGATGGGTCGAGTTTCTCTGGACGAGAACGACGCTTCTATGGGAGGAGGAGCCATGGGTCGTACTATGCCATTTTATTCGCATGGAGCGTATGGTCAGCAAGCCTCGACTTATCACCCATTGTCACAACATGGTTCGGATAAAAAGACGAGAAGGATGTCCAGTATCAGTAACCTTAACCAGTTATATTCGCCTCATCGGTTCCCATCGCCTAAAGAAATGCGGCACAGTCCGGTTGCGCTGGTAGCAGAGGATGGCTGTAACAAAAGGGCCCCTTCCAATGGACAAGACGATGGGCCACCTCGACCTCAAGATTCGAAACAAACATCGCGGCCTCGCCACGGCAGTGTGGGCGGCATGACGCCCGGACACGCCAACGTCTCGTATGCGTGTCCGCCTCGACAATCACGTTCGAGTGCCAATCTTCACCAACAATTTACCATGTGGAAACCGATTCATCCAAGCCAGAATATGATGATGAGTGACAAGGCCAAACCAACGAGCCACCCGCCATCTTTGTCCCACGCTTCCATGCGGTGTGCACCCCCTGAAAGACGATTATCGGTTTCATCCATTCAGGCACCGCCCTTTATACCCCATCACGCTGGTGGCGTCGGTGCAACAGCCACAGCAGCAGCAGCAACAGCCGCTATTGATGACCCACTCAATTTCCATGGTCCTTTTGTCTATAATCATTTTACTTTAGCACCTCCGCCCCATCCACCTTTGGGCATCCCTACTCCGCCATCATCTTCTTCTCCTGTGGATCAGAAATCATCGATGCCTTCGTCCCATTACACTCCCAATCAACTGTATCCGGTCATGTATCTATAGCCGTCTCTTATTATTATTATTATTTTTCTTCCCCTCTTATTCTTTTTCCCTACTTATCATTTATATATCGCGTATGGAGTATTTTATTTTCACCGTTGTATACATTTTATATCCCGCATCCAACTTATCCACCGAAGCATCCCTTTTATATATACGCACAAAGTTTACACAGAAATACACCTCATCATTTTGTCCGTTTTTGGCATATTGGTGTCACCGAACCAAGTGTGGCACAGACAGCGTACCCCGACCGGGAGCCGTGTGATCAAATTTTAAATTTTTTGGAAAATAAGCTTGAAGCGTGGTGGTAGATAAAACCGGATTATTGACAATGATGGTAGGCTGTAACCTACTTTAGTGTATTGGGTAACGGAGTGTCAAAGACAAAGATGAACGTGGCCTTTTAGGTAGTTCATGCCATGGCATTGTGTGCGGCAGAAAAAAGACAAGCCATCGAGTAGAATCGAACCATGCCGGCGTTGATTAGAATTGTGATTATGATGTGCGACACAAACCGAAAATCAGACAAACGAGCACGCGACATGAAGAAGACTATGTTATATTGGCTTTTTTATTAGCCTTTTTTCCTTCTTCTTGTTCATTTTTATTTTGTTTCATCACCATGTCACCTCGATCGAGGAAAAATGCCGTGAGCCATTTCAATATCATGGTGGTCGGGTTCTCGGGCGCTGGCAAAACGTCGTTTATACGCACTCTGTTGGAATCGTTAAAGATGAGCATGCCACATGACAAACGGAATTCGTTCTTTCATCAGCCCGAACTGCCTAGTGAAGCCCACGGACCTTTACAAAAGACCGCATCACCTTACACGATATCGATGAATATCGAGGTGGACGGGGAAAAGGTGGCCCTGACCCTTATTGACACACCGGGATTCCAAACCGAATACATGGTCGATAAACAGTTGCAAGATATTGTAGGCTACATGGAACATCAGTTTGATCTTGCCCTCAACGAGGTAATTTTTTCTCTTTCGATAGCAATATTCTCTGTCTCTCTTTACTTGCACACAATCACACGCGCACTGTAGTCATGACACCTTTCCTTCTCTTTTTTCTTTTTCTTTTTTTTGGACTCACTGGTTGGAATGGGAATTTGATATTGACCCTAGGAAACAAAAGTGAAACGTAATCCAAAAGCCGTTGATACCCAGGTCCATGCTTGTCTGTACTTCTTGGACCCTTCAAAACGTACATTGGGTGAATATGATATCCGTATTCTTAACCGATTAGCGCAACGAGCCAATGTGATTCCCGTGGTTGGCAAAGCAGACACGTTAACCGCCGCTCAACGTCGTCGTCTGCGACCGGCCATTATGGAAAGCATCTACAATGTACACAAGATACCTATCTATGGAATGCCCGAAGACGATGAGGAGGACGACGAAGATGAAGACGAAGACGAGAATGAGAACGCTAACATTGAGGAGAAACGTGACGAGGCCGATGCCGCCCCGGTGGCAGCCGAACCGACGCCGGCCAATTCTACGACCACGAGCAAGAAAAAATCAAGACAGCCATTGGATGAATTTTTGCAGCAGTTTGATTACAACGAGGAGGATGAGGAAACACAGGCATTTATTGACTATTTACGTATGATTCCTTATTCGGTAATTGCGTATGAGGATGAACCTGAGACGGGCCGCCCGATTGAGATTGAGGGTGTAGCACTTGGCCGGGATTACGGATGGGTGACCATTGACTGTCTGAGTGACAAATACAGTCATTTCATCAGTCTAAAAGATATGCTGCTCGGCACCCATCGACGTATTCTGCAAAGTGAAACCGTGGAACGATACTACGAACGATATCGTACCGAACGATTACTGATCAAACGAGCCACCAAGCTGAAAAGTATGGACGTTGGACAGAAAATCCTCGAGGACTTGAACCATCTTTAATGAATCCCCAGTGCGTCGTATACTGTATACTCTTTGCTTTATTATTATTACTATCCGTCCATCGTGCGGCTAAAAAACTAGACCTCCTTTTTTCTTTATGATTTGAATCATCGACATAAACTTTCATACTTGAATCCAACATTGTCACATACCTTGACCTGCTAGTAATGAATAATCATCGATTGATCTACTGTAACAAACTAACAGAGCCATATATAACAAGTGATGCCTCTTGAGTCGAATTTTTTTTTTCTTAGCAGACAATGTATAAAATTGATTATTGGGAGTTTCAAAAAGTGAATTCTGTATGATAAGCTTCATATCTAAATCGAGCGGTGGCTGTTTCGTGTATGATGAATTTGGATGCTCTTAATGAATGCTTCAAGGCAAAACAAACTTTGACGAAGTCACAAAAGCGATCTTTATTGCAGGTCTCTACTTTGCGCTGGGAGTATGGAAGCAATCCTCCTATGCGAAATCACAAATGACGCTATAACACATACGATGACAACGTTTACTGCCTAAAAATAAAAGCGGAAAAGCATTGTTTTTCTTCATCTATTTGATATCTGGTCTTTATAAGAAAAAAGAAACAGTGTTACTGTATGATTCAGCTATGAGTTATGACGGGTGACCCCCAACCAACAACTTGGCGCGCCAAGTTGTTGTAACTTGTTCCCCTATCCCGCCCCCCGTCCAACTTATAGCTAAGTCATGGGCTCGGGAGCCGGCTCGTCTGGTCGGAAGCCTATAAAATGTCAGTACCACTGCCCTACAAAATGTTAGTACAGCCAAAACTTGCTGAAACATCAATCAGCGGGCACCAAGTCGTCACCGAAAGAGCAGAACAGAGCAGAGCGGGTTGAAGCCTACAAAATGTTAGTATCTTCCAACTGCCCTACAGAATGTTAAGTACTATCGGGGGTCGTTCGGCAGTGATGGTCAAAAGGTGCCTTTGGGAAGAGAAGAAGGGAAAAAGGAAACGGGAAGAGGAGGAAAAAATTCTTTGCCGCAGCACTCTTTTTCTCCTTGTTTTTTTTTTTTTTTTTTTTTTTGGTTCAATGCAATAGACGGTTGAAAGGCAGCCATCAAATGAAAAGTCGAAAAAGGCTAACTTGGCGAGAAATGGGTGTAGAGAGACGTGCCGCATTGTATGCGTAAAATTAATTCATTGGTATCCCGGCAACAATAGGGAAGAAACAAGAAGAGTTTCTCACTATGAAAAGTTTCACACACGTTTTTTAAAAAAAAAAGAAAAAGGACGGTGCATTGAAGAAGTCCAAGCGGACTTTTCTGATGACTTAAAGGTCGAAAGCCATCGAACATCGATGACTCTCATTAGTTTATCTTGGCCCAAGGTGCTGACATTCTTTCCTTTTATTCACATCGTTATGGATCTGAAACAACCTTTTTATGACGAACCCATAGAAACTCGAAGCATCGCGTTAGAGGCGTACCGAGCCGAGTTACGTTCTTTCTCTGCCTTTTTATACGCCATTCCATCATCCTACACCTCACTCATCGGCAGCACTAAGTCATACATCTATGAGAACATATGTGTTCTTCTTTTGTTTTTTTTGGTTTTTTTTGCCCTTATGATCTAAAATATTGGTTGAGGATAGAGAATGAATTAAGCATAAGCACGCTAGATGCACTTCGGGAAGCCTCCAGGTTGGAAACTTTCTAATATGAAGTATGTGATCATACTGATTTGGATACAACGCCGTACTGTCAACTGCATAGATGTTATGATTCAACATAAGAATATATTGCACTGTGGTTCTCGTTTTACTGGATACTCGGTTCTTTTTTTCTCTTTGAAAAAAGTGGGAGCCGGTTGAATTGTTAGAACATGACGATCAATGAGACGGGAGTTTTGTACCGTGCGATTTTTTTTACTGTATGCAGTAGTTAAATGAAACAATTTTTTGCATTTGGACAGCGTCGGTTCTATGCGTATCAATATTTATTCTTTTATAAATTATTATCACTTGAATTTGAACCATTTGTAGTATCGCCAACAGTTAGTATGATAGCATATACCTTGTTTGAACGCCATAAAGATCATCGGCGGTCTTCAGGTGATCAGTCTAGCATCTTACTGACCTAATGTAAGGAGCATATATACTAGCATTGGTTTTTCGCTTCCTTCCTCTTTATCCTTTTTTATGACTGACCAACAACAGCTGCGTCTCATTGTGAGCCTTTATCAGCGCAAGCGTCTGTTGTTGTAGGTTTCCAATTTTTTCAGGCATAGTTGGGTCACCAAAGTAATCATATCATATAACCCAAAGAATGAAAGCGTTTAATGCTTAGCAAGGATGATGTATCAACAAAGCCAGAAGTTGGCATTTTCAGGAACAAGTTTTTTTTTGTTGGCAGACAGAAGCTGACTCAAAACACGTGAGAGACGGGCACGACGGCGTTTAAATTCAAAAACGTCATCAGGAAAAAAAATGGTCGGGCGGGCCACGCGTCCCAAAAGGCTGCCATAATTTCTCTGGTTGCTCTTTTTCGCAGGAGATCTAGAAATTACGAACAAGCTTGAATTATCAATACAATGGTAATGAATAACGCCCCTTCTCTTTCATGAATTCCTTGGAGGAGTGTCTTCCTTAGACTGTAGCTTGTTGAACTGGTTTGTCTACACGTCACCATTAACTGTTCTTTGGTAACTAGTTCCGTAATCAATACGATAACGACGTTTCCACTTGGTCACCTCAAGGCCGTATCCATCAAATTGAATATGCCGTCGAAGCCGTCAAACAGGGCTCAGCAGCTATTGGTCTGAGGAGCAGTAAATACGCCATTCTCTTGGCTCTCAAGGTACACAAAATTACCTTTTTATCTTCTTCCTTAATTCAAAATGACTCTTGACAAGCTCAATTGTTGTTTTCTCTGCATTAGCGTTCTTCGGGTGAATTAGCTTCCTATCAGAAAAAGCTCATCAAGATTGACGATCACATGGGCATCGGTATTGCCGGATTAACATCAGATGCTCGGGTATTGAGGTACGACAAGAGATTCCGAAGTGTTGTTGGCCATGCCCTCGGCACCGAGAAAAAAAAAACAGAGAAACTGACACGAATGGTCCATAGTAATTTTATGCGTACCGAAGCCATGCGCTCCAAAATGCTTTACGACCGACCACTTCCCGTGCAACGCATTGTGTCCGCCATTGCCGACAGTAAGTCAACCACAGCAGCAGCGGCAGCAGGAGAGTAGAAATACTGATGCAAAAAGTGTAGAGGCGCAGGTGAACACGCAACAATACGGTCGTAGACCTTATGGTGTGGGATTGCTTGTGGTTGGTCACGATGTAAGTAAAAAGGATAAAGTCGTCAGAGAAGGCAGAAATGCTTATTGAGTGGCCTCGGCATAGGAAACTGGGCCCCATTTATTTGAATGCTCTCCTGCGGGTACCTGCTTTGAATACTACGCCATGTCCATTGGTGCACGATCGCAATCCGCCAAAACATACCTTGAAAAACATCATGAAGCTTTTGCTGAAGGTAAGATGACGTTGTTGATGGGTGAAGAAGCTAGGAAAAAAAAGAAGGGGTTGGTTAACACTCTTTAATTTGTAGCATCCCTGGACGAGCTGATCCGTCACGGTCTTCAGGCGCTTCGTGACACCCTACAGCAGGATAAGGAGCTCAATATTCATAACACTTCGCTGGGTGTAGTAGGCGTGGATCGCGATTTTGAGATCATTGAAGGCGACGCATTACAACAGTATCTCGATTTGTTAGGAGAAGAGACGGGCAGAACACGTCGTACGGGAGGAGGAGTGACCGCTTCAGAATCGGTGGCTGCCGAAAGTGCAAGAGAAGATAGTAACACCGAAGTGGATCACGGTGATGTCGCCCCCATGGATACCGACGAAGCTTAAATTTATTTCAAATAAAAACCAAAAAGAACAATTGTGTGTTGAAAAATAATAGTACTCACGGTTGCTCTTTTGACGTGTCGTGTACCGCACTGTCCGCTAGTTCATTCAAATGTTGTAAACTATATGCATTTTAGCTTTGCTTGTTGTACCTTGGATATACGGCCAATTGCTTTCTAGCATCATCCATATTACAATAGGTCTTTCTTTCGACTTGCATGCTGACACTAAATGCATCCATTCGAACAGCTTGGAAGCCTAAGGCGAATCACTGTCACATTGGATCTCCGATTACGGGCCTCAACAAAACCAACATTTTTTTGCCGTTCCACAGTTTTGTTTGCTAATTGAACCTCGTCACTGTTCTTTCATGGTACGTTTGGTCGATCCGTGACCACCGTCTCCGTAATTGAACTTATTTTCTTCAAGTCAAATGCTAACCTGTTATTTTGCAATAGTCTACTCCGGTTATCATTGGATTTGCAGTTGCAGGTGCTGCTACCGCTGGTCGTCTTGGTCTTAAAGCTTTCCAGGAATGGCAAAAGATGCCCAAAGCACCTCGTCTTTCCAAGTTCTACAAAGGTGGTTTTGATGCCAAAATGAACAAGCGTGAAGCTGCCTTGATTTTGGGCTTGAGGTAGGTGGCGGACTGCGGATGCAACAAAGGAAATGAACGTTGTTCTGATGGGGTTGGAATTATTAGGGAGGCCCAGATCAGCAAACAGAAAGTCAAGGAAGCGCATCGTCGTATTATGCTGCTGAACCATCCCGATCGTGGCGGTTCACCGTACATGGCGACAAAAATCAATGAAGCAAAGGAATTTTTAGAAGGAAAGGCCAAAAAATAAGCCGTCTTCTCTTTGTGGATCATTGTAGATTTCTTTGTATTTTAGATATTTTTTCTTCTTTTTTTTTCTCGCCTTTCAAATGTATTCCCTTCTTCATCAACCTTTAACGCTCTCAATAATTCGGTTCGTCTTCCCACAGTTTATAACTCTGCGTGTTTTATGTGAAAAGTCATGGTAGCAGGAGAATCTCCTCGATATGATCTATTCAATTAGAGCCAGCTCCACATTACTTTCTGCTTACCCGATTCGCTGATATAGATGCTCTGGAGTCTACCGAGATCGTTTCAATCGATGAGAAAGTTGATCTGTTGTTGGTACAAATGATTCAATCAGCTGGCCAAATCAAGTCCACAGGAATGGCGGGCCGTTGACGGAAAGCCGAGGCGTGACTGGCTTTCTCAAATCCTGCTTGCTGCGCGATCAGATAAAATAAAAAACCTCAAAGTTTTCGACAACCCAGATCACCTTTTTCAGCATGGCCAACAGCGACAGATTACGAGTGCTTTTGGAATGGTTCGAAAGTAATGGAGTTCAATGGGACAAGGAGGCTCTTGAGATCCGGGATGTCGACGGATCATTGGGAGTTTATGCTCTCAATGACATTGCCGAGAAAAAACGAAGTAAGTGGGATAGACAAGATCGATGGAACAGACGATCGGTGGACTTACTCAACGTTTTGCAGTTGTAAAGATCCCCAAGGAGTCTATTCTTTCCGCCAAAAATACGGGCATTGCCAATATCTTTGAGGACGAAAGTATCGAAGGAGGATGTTCTCTGTCGTTGACTGTCATGTACGAAATGTCGCAGGGCCAAGAATCACCGTGGTACGGCTATCTGCAATCGCTTCCAGAGTGCGCAGATCTTCCTATCCTTTGGAGCGACGCCGAGAAAAAGTTACTCCAAGGCACGGAAATGGAAGATGCCGTTTACAACGATCTGGTAGGGATAGTCTGCATGATTTTGCCGCAGTCGTAGGTGACTAACCTATAATATTTGATTTCTTTTTGGGTCAATTAGCGCGACCTTGAAGATGATTACAAGGACATTGTAGAAAACCTTCTCGAGAAATATCCTTACATCTTCTCGCCTGAAAAGAAGAGTCAGTATTTCTCATTTGAGAAATTCCGACACGTGTCTACGCTGGTGTCGTCTCGCTCGTTTGAAGTGGATGCTTACCATGAAAATGCTTTGGTTCCGTTTGCCGATCTTTTCAATCACCGTAGTGGCAACGAACATGTCCACTTTGAAACTGACTTCGACGTGTGTGACGCTTGCGGTGCTTTGGAGTATTGCGAACACCAATATCTCGAGTTTCTGGAGAACGGTAGCAGTGATGAACATGAAGGCGATGACGACGAGAATTGGTCTGATGTAGACGAAGAAGTTGATTTGGAGCAAGAAAGTGGAGATGACGAAGACGACGAAGACGAAGCGCCCGATGCCGAAGACATGGGCGACAGCGACGAAGAAGAGGAAGGTCCTTTGAAGGATCTTGAGGAATTGGAAGGCCAAGGTGTCAATTTCTGGCAGAATGAAGAAGAAGAGCAGGAAAAGGACACGTGTGATATTGTAGTCGACAAGGCCGTGAAAAAGGGTGAAGAAGTATTCAATACGTACGGTGATCATCCAAACGTGCTGCTCCTTGGGAAATACGGGTTCTGCCACGATGACAATAAGAATGACTATGTATCTGTGAGCGAGGATTCGGTGATTGACGCCTGCCTTGCTGTTACCAAAGAAGCTATTGTTGCCGAAGGTCAAAATCTCTCGTCGGAAGCTTTGGAAGAAGCCGCCGTGGAACGCACACGACCGCGATGGGAATTTTTCCTCATGAATGAAGCCGTTTTATGTCCCTCCGAAGACTCAGATGATGAAGAGGAAGAGGATGATTTTGACGAAAGTATGATGGATGATGAAAAATTGGACGAGGAGGACAATGAGGAGGATGAAGAGCACGGTTGCTGCGGTGATGACCACGACCACGACCACGACCACGACCACGATGAACATGAACACTCTGGCGGCTGCTGCGATGACGATGGTTGTATGGATGGGGATCAAAAGTCTCGACCTTACTTTATGAATTCGGAAGGATTGTACGAAGACGGTTTAATGTGCTTGCTTCACGTTATGTTTGTGAATGAAGGCATCTTTGCCGAATGGGTCGATGACGTGTCAAAGGCTGTCAATTACTTCAGCGATCTGGAAGGTAGCCAAAAGCCGAAACGAAGCAAAGATTTGAACGTGACCAAGAAGCACGTGTACTCCGTATGTCGATTACTTTCGGAAGAGCGTGGATCTGAATTGGCACCGATCGAGAAAGAAATGGCCGCACGAGATAAGGTTTGTACATGGAGTGGCTTGTTTGTTTGTTAATCTAATCATGTCACTCAACTCTTTTTTTTTCTTTTACAAATTAGACAAAGAACAAGCGAGAATACTACGCACTTACATGCCGTATTAACGAAAAACGAATCACTGAAAAATCAATTGCGTATTATCAATCCATGATGGAATCCGGTGACGCTGAAAAGAAGGCATCTTCCGGCAAAGCGAACAAAAAGATGAAAATGTAAATAGTCCCTTCGCATCGCCCACTCATAATAGACAACGCTAGATGATGTAGAGATACCATGCCTTGTTTTACACGCTCATACAGTAATTTCATCCAATGAACTTTTTTAAAATCTTCAAGTTTACATGCAATAACAAAAGGAGATAATGGAAACATAGCCCATGTCAATGTCTGGACCCTTTGAACCTCTTTGTTTCTACAACGATGAAACCATTACCACTGTTACACGGTATGAGCATAGATGGGGTACGAATGAAAAGCTTTATTTTATTGCGTCGTTTGGGTTGCTGGAGGCTTGTGCAATCCGCGTAAAGTGATATCATAGACAATTTCTTCAATCTTTTTTACATCATACTTGATGCCATCCATTCTACGGAAACCGGGTCAAAGGTTCGCTTACAATCAGAATATAATCGGATCAAAAAAAAATACCTCTTTCGAAGCATGTCGTTTTTTAGGTTGAGCAGAGAAAATCCCGCGCTGACATTCTTGACGAATTTGGAAATGCGAATAGGTCGGTCATAATCACCCATGGTAACAGCATTCACCGCCAACCGTGACTATTCAAGCTCGAGTTAATATGAAAACGAGTCATAGGAATCAATTCCGCCAGCATCGACGCACCAATTCGTTCACCAACGTAATGTATGAATGTAGCATGTCTTCCACAGGCACGTGGAAATTGTTCAAATCATTATTCAAATTCACTTTAACTAGCCGCGAAAAGGGCAAATAGAAATCATCTATGAGAAATCCCAAGTCTGCATGATGTCTTCTCTTTACTTTATACCTCCAATGCGTTGCTCCAACTCTTGCACACCCAATAATGTTTCGGTGTCGAGATAATGCTTGTAAGCAATAATAAAAACCGCTTGTTGCAAGGTGCGTTGCCACAGATTTTCATATCTATGCAGAAGATCGAAACATAAGCCATCTAACTGAGAATACGTTTTCCATTATTTTTGGTTGGCCTACTTGTAATATTCATTGACTGGAATCAAGGCGGCCAGCTGCTGTACACGAGTTTGCAACTCCTGCAGGGGAATATCCGGTACTTTTTATATATTAAATTTCCAGTCATAAACCGAACATTGCAACAACTCAAGGTTTGTGCCGTACCTTTGCCGGTTGGGTCGGAATGGATTTGATTCAGCACTGCATAAAAAGATCGTGCTGTACGGTCGAGTTCTCTGACGACTTGACGAATTTCCTATGGTTTGAAGCAAATCAGATATCGCGCCCAGGCAACATGATAATCCAATCGTGCCGTACGTCCTTTCGCTCCGATTCCTTCTCAAACGTCTGTTGCAGGTCGTTGAAAAACTTCAAGTCAATGCTGGCCATGGTGATATCGGGTGTGCTTGACCGCGTTTTCGGAGGTGGTTGGTCCGCTCTTCTTTTTTGCAGGAAGACCCTTTGGGTGGCGGAGATTGAAATTGGCCCGGGATTGCTGACGCAGAATTGACAGTCATAATTTTTTTTTCGAAAATTAGTGTTTTTATTTCACCAGGCTTTTGTCGGCTGCGAAAAAAGGTCAAACAAAACATCGACACTAGATCGCATGGCTCAACAAGCGAAGCAAGCAGCTCAGAAATTGGGCGGAATGTTCCCTAAGGGTGCTGGTAAGGGTGCTGGTTCTGCCGCCGGTGCTCTTATCGTTTTGGGTGCTTTGGGTTACGGAGTCAACGCATCTCTCTTTAACGGTAAACTATCATTATTTTTTCCTTGCCAGCGAATGGATCCGCAGCCCCCTTTTACACATTCTCATTTATTTTCTTTTTTACTTTGCAGTGGATGGTGGTCACAGAGCTATCAAGTACACTCGTTTATTTGGTGTCCAAAACACCGTCTACAATGAAGGTACTCACATCATGATTCCCTGGTTCGAGACCCCTATTATCTACGACGTCCGTGCCAAACCTCGCAACGTGGCTTCCTTGACCGGTACCAAGGGTAAGCATTCGCTATGCGACAAAAAAACAACGCAAAACCCTCATTCATGGAAGAAATTGAATTGAGATTGGATGTCGATTACGAACTTATTTCTGGGGTCTAATTAGATTTGCAAATGGTCAACATCACTTGCCGTGTTCTTTCCAAGCCTCGTGTGGATCAGCTCGCCACCGTTTACCGTACGCTCGGTCAGGACTACGACGAACGTATTCTTCCTTCCATTGTCAACGAAGTGTTGAAGTCGGTGGTGGCTCAATTCACTGCTTCTCAGCTTATCACTCAGCGTGAGCGTGTGTCCCGTCTCGTCCGTGACAACCTTGTCCGTCGTGCTTTGCGCTTCAACATTATCCTTGACGATGTTTCTATCACTCACGTCGGTTTCTCTCCCGTTTTCGAAACTGCGGTTGAAGCCAAGCAGATCGCACAGCAGGATGCTCAGCGTGCTGCTTTCGTTGTCGATAAGGCTCGTCAGGAGAAGCAGTCCGTCATTGTCAAGGCTCAGGGTGAAGCCAAATCCGCTGAATTGATTGGTGAGGCTATCAAGAACAAGCCTGGTTTCTTGGCCCTTAAGCGTATCGAAGCTGCTCGTGAAATCGCTACTGTTATCTCGCGATCAGGCAACAGAGTCATGCTCGACTCTGATACTTTGTTGTTGAACGTCAATGCCAAGAGCGGCAATGTAGAAAAGGAGTAGACTCGCTTTCTCTCTTTTTTTTGAATTTGGTGTACACTCGATACAATAAAACAAGGATAAACAAACTCCACTTAATTGAAAAAAAAAAACCTTGTTCCTTTTCCACATGAATCATTCATGGTTCACAAATCAAGCCGCCGTCAGAAAATCATAGACCACCACAAGGAAGAAAAAGGCAATTGTCACAGATAAGAAAAAAAAACGGCTTCACGGCTACATTTTTTTTGTATCACGACGACTTCAAGCAAGTTTGATGGTCACACCAGGTTTACTTGCGTGCCTATACTTGCCATGGCGCCAAAACTTGAACCCGCAAATAAGAGGCCTTTTTGACCGTATCAGATTGCAAAACGAAAAAAGGACCATCAATTTCTGTATTAAAGTTTCCGTTATCGGGTGGTCACGGAAACAATCAATTGAAGGTTATACATACAGCATCGCCACAAACCTTTTTTTTTCATTATCCTCAGACATATCACGGTGCACAGGACAGCATCACTCAGTAACATGCGTACAAAACTTGATGGCTTTTCAGTCATACAAGAAAAACTGGTGGTGGACAGACAGATATCCCAGATTCTCGGCTTGATTTCTGATACCGTAACGCCATCCAATCTGTAGATGCACTCATCTTTGAACACAAAAGATCTACCGAGGGTAATTAACAAAGGTTCCAATGCCATGGATGGAGTATTGCGTAATGACGTGTCTACCCGCCATGTGATTACTGATATCATGTGACGAGCGCGCTAAGCAGTGTGTGCGTGTGTGTGTGAGAGAGGCAATTGGAGACAACAAAGGAGCGGCCCGCGCATTTTCAGAATTTTGGAAAAAAAAAAAGTAGAGAGAATCGATCACCGCTGATACTTACTGTTACGTGTTGCACAATTGTCAGGAAACGACAGATGTTTCAATAAGTTACTGAGTAATGAAAGGGGTTTCGGGGTTATTCCGATGGCAACAAGAACGTTTCAATGAGTGATGGTCGCTTGGAAGGAAACCAAAAGTACGCCCAGCCCAATGTTGTGTAACACACACGCTTTTTTGGTTCTCCGTGTCGCGCAATCTAAAATCACCCGTCGGACAGATCATGCCCACACTTCCACCGTGGGTGGCGATGGAATAAAAAGCCTCTTAAATAGCCACAGATATGGCGTTTACTTTCTTCCATTTGTTCATTTACTTCTTACAACTTATGGTCCCAGATCCTTCAACCCCTTCTTCACATTTGATGGCCGCATCCTGTCCTATACTGCCTTCTTTTACCTTTGTCATTGATGGCGGGATCCGACGTAAACGAATCGGCAAAAAGTCCACATCATCCACCGTTCCATCGAGGACGTCAGCAAAGAAGCCCGATCCGTCGCCAGTAAAAGAGAAAAGTGGGCAGGGTCCATTGGATTCAGCGTCACCGAATCGTTCCAAGCATAATCAACTGAATATTGTTCCTTCATGGTTGCCCACCCATCGCTGTGAGAAACCGCCTTATTCTTATGCAACCATGATCGCCCATGCTATTCTTTCAAGCACCGATAAACGATTAACCCTAGGCGAGATCTACCACTGGATAGCCGATCGCTATCCCTTCTACAAATTGGGCGAACAAGGATGGCAGGTAAAAATTTCTGATGCCAAAACTTCGAAAAAGCATTTAGGCATGGAGCTAACCTTTTTTCTTATCATCATCAAAAGAATTCCATTCGCCACAATTTATCGTTGCATAAAGCGTTTGTAAAGTTGCATCGCCCCGCTGCTCCAACCAGCGTCGCTGGGAAAGGCAATTTCTGGACTCTCCGAGAAGAATTCGAGCAAACCTTTATTGATAACTTGATCCGATGCCGAAATCCTACTCGTCGTTCTTCTATCCAGCGATCGAACGTTGCGCTTCGGCGGAAATCATGCAACGAATCCTCCCGTGCCGCTAGCCAGAATGCTCCCTTATTTACCACCTTTCGCATGGACTCACCTTCCACATTCTCATGTCCGAAACGGAAATCCAGTGCGACCAGCTGCTGTGGGAGTTTAGAAAGCGATCGTGATTCGGATTGCGATAGTGGCGTTGATGTGGGAAATGAGTTGGACGAGTCGATCCAATCGATAAGAATGATCAGCAGCAGCAAGAAAAGGAAGCACAACTCCGAAAATGTTTCTGATTTGGCGCAACAAACATTGGACATGAAACCCGCCATGTCACCTTGTTCTTTCTCCTCGTCGCTGCCTTCAAGTCAATCTTCCGTCATCTCGGTTTCGCAAGGTCTGGTGGCTGGCACTCCCTTGACTTTCCCCTCCTTCGTCGGGCCTTGGGAACCACCCACCCTTCCGCTCAATGAATTGACCATGTACTCGCCTCAGTTTCTCGATTTCAATCCTATGCCTTTATTTGACCCCTTTTCTATGCCGTCCATGGCAAACAATGATGTGAACCCAGCCTGTTCTTTGCTGGATCATTTCTCAGTAAATGATACGGCACGCCACCTGGCCGCACCTGATATGCAATCACAGCCTAGCTCATGCATTTATGCAGATCTTATGCAAGGTCTAGGTTCCGGTACGCTTGATCTGATAGGCGCTCTTGGCTGGCCAGATGCGTAAAATTTCCCTTTTGTAGCATTTCCTTTCCACCTCAAATGTTTGTAGATAACCCATTCAAGCAGTCGACCATTTGTATGATACCATCTTGTCCTTTTTTTTTCTCGTATTTTTTTTAGTAGGCTCTATGATTATGTTATGACTATGGTTTTTTTTTGTATAATATAAAAGACATTGATTGTATGATTCATTTAAAGGTTTGGAACAGAGGCAGCTGTTGTAAGATCCTCAGAACCTGTTCAATGTGTCACCGATTTTGTTGAATATGGATATCATGCTCGATCAAGAAACGTTGTTCAGGTATTTCTTTGAAATTTTTTAAATTTGCTGATATGCATACGCACTACAATTAGATCCTATAGGTTTATAGCTTTTCGCGATCGTTCTGTGATATGGTAAAGGCTTCAATTATGAACCGACTTCGAACTTCACATTTCTCTCTTTGCGTGGGCTCCACATTCCACTGGTCTAATATTAGTATTGCTACGCGTTTATTTTATTTTACTTCATTTCGCTTATACATTATCCTTTCCTCTTTATTCTTCATTCATTATATTATATCGTATAATGATATTTGAAAATGACTTCCAGTCATCAACTTCAGCCATGGTTGAAAAAGGTAGCGACTCAACTGAGCCGATTGCTCTCATCGGTGCTTGTGAATCATTCTAAATTTTTACTGCACTCATCTTACCTGTTTTCTATTGTAACATATTATTTTTAGAGATTTCACACACAATGCCGTTCAAGTTATTCAGTGTCGGGAAGGTACTGAAAAACCAATGATGCCAATAAAAGCTGAATATCTACCGTGGTGATGAATATTGAACTTTTTTTATGCTTGCCAATGCATGATGCTTAAGCACCAGTTGATACCCCGTTTTATTGACGACCAAGATTGAGACTGATCATGCGTTGAAATTTCTATTCACTGTTCCATCTTGCAATCTGCAATAGCAATAAGAACGAGATCGATGACGGTATGTAAGACGGAAATCGGCAGTGCAGTGCCATAACTTTTCCTTGGGAAAACACCGATGTCAGTGACATGGCTTTGACGTAATACCACGATGGATTGGCGTCATAACATCGGTTGGTCTCGTCGCACACTTGTGTTTAGAAAACGCAATCTTTTCGACAAACGGTAGATAACGTGAGTGATGGTTTTACTACATTAAAGGAGCGGTGAAGGCGGAAGAAACAATTCCGGCAAAATGACACTCCAGTGAGGAACGTCGTAGTAGGGTTCTTCCCGCGTATTCAAAGGTTGTGGAAAGGTCACATGACGATGATCGGCTGCCGATGAATACGTCTGATCGTCGCGAGAAACATTCTTTTTTGAAGAGGCGGTTTCCCCATAAGGAGGCGACGATGAAATAAGGTAGTGAGCGTCCTCAGCACTGGATTCCGACCAAATAGAGGACCCCAGTGTTGGCGACGTCAACGAAGGTGCTTGTCCACTACGGTCAGCCGACGACGAACCCGTGGAGGAGCTTGTAGACGAACTCGGTTTCCAGGAAAAAGCATCGGAATTCGTTCGAAGAGATGGAAAAGTGTAAAAATCGAGCGGGCATGCAGAACGATAGATAGAGAGCACGCTGTCAAATTCGGCCACAGAAATGGTAAGGTTAAAACCCTGCCAGTAAAAAGAAATTTCAATCGTTAGGGCTCTATCAATATGAATACCGTTTTAGGCTACAGTGCTGAGCTTACAAGAAGTTCGAGCAGCTGCCATTCCATGGCATTGATTTCTTGTATAGAAAATATTTCGGCGTGAACCATCCAGAGCGCATTTTTTAGTGGAATGTCGTGAATATATTTTGATAACACAATGAGAATGGCCAGGAAAAGCCGTTGATTCGTTGACGGCATCGCTAAAAAGTGACATGCGTGAGTCACTCCAGCCAAGGAAAGGCTAGATTCTTTTTTTGTCGCTTACTTTTGTAGGGTTCCGATAAAATATGCTTTAAGCGACGAGCGTAAATGACCGTACTAAGCAGCGTGCCAATATCGAGAAGGGAGGATTTTGCTACATGATCAATGAACCAGCGCAGATCCGGCACATCCCCTGAATATGATGGGAGATCCCATTGGTATGTGTCCGGATAAGGATCATCCTTGCACGACAACGGTGGTGACGGGAAACTTTCGTGAATGAATTTTCTAGCCTGTTTGACAATGGTGGAAAATCGATGGGCATACTGATTCATCTTTCTGTTGGAGCCCTTTGATTGAATACATGCATTTTGAAGGATGGACTCGAATTCGTGAGTGATTATATCTGCAAAAACATCCAATAACACGCTTAGCTCTCCATTGGCTGAAATTTTTATCGTCTCCCTTTTTTTTTTTTTTTTTCTTTGGTGATCAATTAGGCTAGTTGAACATTACCTAATAACTGTTCATAGTGCGTGGATGTACATGCGATTTCCGCAAGACAGTGTGTTAACAGAGAGTCCATATTTTGGTATATAATCGGTGAAACTGTAAAGGAAAAGAAATACAAAAAGTAAAGGCTATGCAGACATCATCGGATTTAAGCAAAACAAAAGGGAACGAAATAAAAAAAAAACAAATGTGAGAAATGATGAGAGCATGATGATAAAAGGAGCTAATCTTTTCCATGTACGTTTTCGCATTCTAGATGACACCATGATATGTTTGGAAAAAATGCTATTTTTTTCCCTTATCGCCACATCTTCATTGACCTTGAGATGATGACACAGTGTTCTCAGTGGAAAATACTAGAGCATATTGGTCTCCGACCCAACTCCGAGGATCGCAAGTGATCGACATACCATCTAGCTCGGTCTCCTGTTGTGCTAAGGAAATGCACTATTCACCAGTGCTGCTATTTTTACAGGTTCAGCATAAAAGTGGATGACTATAAAAACGATTTTGACAACCGAAAGAAAATTGCATCGTCATTTGTTTTGGCTTGTATCGTGCATGATTTCTCCAGGATGTTGAGAAACCCAAAATTCTCACGCACGAAGCATGTTCGCAACTCGTTTAGCCGCAAATTATTTTCTACAACAATAAACATTCGTGGACATCAAGCTATTACCAGTTCTTTTGCCTTTACTTTCGTGATGTCGCGAACCTGTAGTCACCATGATTATCGTATTTCTCCTCCAGTTTTATTTATATTATTCGTCACTAACCAATCATGCTACTTTGGAAAAAAATAAAGTAATAGATCATACCAACGCTCGCAAAAAAAAGGAATTGATGTTGAGTCTGTCATTTTATTTAAAAGGAGATGTTTCATTGTTCTAGGATACTAGTTATTCAGCATGTCCTTTGAAAATACAGTCAAGTGTTAGATTACAAAAAAATGCATTACTGGTAGTTATGGCACAGGTAATTATGGTAAGTTGCATGTGCATGAGTGTTGCGTTATCTAAATCGTTGTTTATCTCATGCGGAGATTCGAGATAATCCCATGAGCCTTGTATTTAACCACGACATGTCAAAATGTATGGGTCATGGCCAAGATAATGTGAGTGTAACGCATTTACAATGTGAGTTTATTGGAGAAAAGAGAGAGGTGTATAAGTGATATGGGGAGAATACTGGATGCTGTCAGCCAGATCATACTATGGCGCCTCCACGTCCTTGAGGACATTTATTGGCATAGTGACCTTGCTGTCCGCATTTATAGCATGTGACATCTTCTAACCGTCGATAGAAACCGTTGGCGGGACGATTGATATGGGTTCGGCCGGTTTCGTCGCCACCGGTTTGTTGGGGATGATGGGGTTGCTGGTGAGATTGTGATGTGGTTTGTCGGTCATCTTCTGTGGAATGCATTACAGGCAACTCGTATTTTGGATGACCATTAGGACAATTGAGACCATCCGGACAGAAACCGGTCAGGTAGTTCTGACACACCATCCTTCGGACGTGCTTATGATGACAAAACGGTCCTATTATTTATATGTGATGTTTCGTTTAGTCGATCTGCTCGGGGCAACATTTGCATAAAATTTAGATTGATATCTTACCATGCTTGCAGAACCCTCGCGCATACCAAGGACATTCTTTCTGTTTGCTTTCAGGATCAATGTGGAGATACATGCATTCGTCGCCGTTGCAACATTCGCCGTATTTGGAGTAGAACCAGCATTCCGGCATCTTCTTCATGTTGAATACGTGTAAAAATTCGCAGCTGTCTCCCTTTTTACACAGTCCACGAAGCCAATGCTTGCATACGACGGACTTGTCTCTTTCGTGGCTTTTATGTTTGAATGGGCAATTGGCGCCCTTGGAACAGGCTCCTTTCAGAAAGTATTTACAAATGGGTTCATCTATAGAGCTAGAGTGAGTGAATCTAACCATGGTGTCACCACCAAACGAAATTGTAAACTGTACCTTCTCTTCTAACTTGATTGTCAAGATCCAAGCCAAGTTCACTCTTGATGAACTCTTCGAAATCAAAAGTCAGCCCTTTATAATGATCGGCGCTGAAAACGGTGGCAACCATGGCATACAGAGGCGCTGTCGAGTGCCTTGCCATGGCGGCGGTAATGAGTAGTCTTTTTAACAGTCACGTGGGCAATTGAAAAAAAAATCCCCCGGATCATCCCACATTGGTCGACTCCACACTGTGCCGTCGCAAATAAACTCTCTAGAACTTATTTCAGCGAAGATACAGCAGATGCTTCTTGTAGAGCGAATAGGAGCAATTTTTTTGCGGGATAGGTGCTTATCAATACGAATTTAGTCATGTCAAATACCGCATTGGCTGCGACTTGTGCAACGAACTGAAAAGAAAAAATAGCAGTATCCTTCATTTTTTGTTCTCCAACCATCACTTTTCATGCTCTTTGCTAAATGAAACATATGAATGGATTATGTTTGTGGTTTGTTATTGATGGCATTGTACTTCGTCTAAATAAGGTATTTGCCAGATGATGTCCATATCGTCTGTAAAGCCTTTTCTCTCCCATTGTTTATCAAATTACGCCCACAGATTCGCAATAGCCCTATTTTGATCAATGTTTGGATGGACCTTTCTGGCAAGTGTATCTTGGCCGCAGTCTATTTTTTATTTTTATCAACTGTGACCTCCTGAGTTTAACTTGCCATTTCGGTCACGGTCACAGCAAACAGGGGAAATATATGTGTTGATCCGAAAAATTGCAACGGCGGTCATCCAATTTAAACTCTTTCCTTTTTTTTCTTTTCTTTTTTTTTTTTCTTCAGAACTTTGAAAGCCCTTTTTGCGTTGTTTGCTTTCACTTATTGAAATTGTCCATTTCCTTCATTTTGAACCGCATACGACCTGTTGTATACCATTTTACTACGTGTGCGCTTATTAGCTAATGAAGGATACTCGAAGAACCGTCAAAGTGGCCGTGGTGGGATCAGGGTTGGCCGGCCTGACCACAGCTTATCTATTGTCGACAGGCACCACAGTTGCCCTGGATGCCAAAGACGAACCCACCAAATTCGAAGTACATCTTTTTGAGAGAAACGAAGCGTTGGGAATGGATGCCGCTTCGATCTCGGTTGGGGGAGAAAATGAATTCCGAATAGATGTGAGGACACACCCGAACTTTGCGTGCCGATCCTTTTGCAGGCACTCATCTTTTTTTTTAAATATCATTACCTAGGTTCCCATGCGATCATTCATGTCTGGTATTGCATTAATCATGGATAAGTGATATAGTCATTCTTATTTGCTCCCCCTATCCCAATCTAGGTTACTATTCCCATCTATTTCGACTCTATCAGCATCTTCAAATCCCCATCAAAGCCGCCAAATTCAGCTTTGGCTGGTACCGTATCGAGTCCTCAAAAGAACCAATGACCATGTCAGCCCATGAAGTCGCTTCGCACTCACACCATCAATCGTACCTCACTTACAGCGGCGCTCGTGCCGTCGGTCATATTAGCAGTCCTATTTGTATGGATGCTTCTTGGACCACCTTTTTCGCTAATGTGCTGCTGTGGTTCTGGCGTCTACTCATTGTCGCCTTCTCGTATACCAAGCTGATGACGATGGCGTTATGGTCTCACTATCGAGGACATCTTTACGATTCGGACCACCCTGTGGCGTCATTAACCTTGCAGGAATGGCTTGAACAGCATCACATTCATCCATTTTTCGTTCACGAAATATTTGTTCCTCTTTTTGCCGCAGTTTGCACGAATTCATGGCAATCCATGATGGAGTATCCTGCCACTTATATATTAGGCAAGTTTTGCCGGAATTGACTCTCTGGTCAGTCCTTATGCAATTTGAGATCCGATACTGACGATGATGACTGTGTAGAGTACATGGCCAGGGGACTATTTCAGGAATCATATGTGGTAGATTGTGGTGTGAAGCAAGTGGTAGCTGCCTTGTCGAGGCCTCTGAAACATGTGCATCTCGGTACTCAGATCACATGTATCACCCCCAATGAAACGCCGGGTCAGGGACGGCTCGTTTTGCATGAACAAAATGGCAATCGGTCGGATTTTGATCATATTGTATTTGCAACACAAGGAAACCAAGCTCTGAAAATTCTCAGCAATTGTCAAAAATACCTTTCCTCTCCCACCCCCCGCGACGATGGTTATGATCAATGGAAAAAACAGCACCAGCTCGTTCAGGACTTGAGTGTTCAAATAGACATGCTTCAACGTTTCAAATATGATCCGTCCTTGGTCATCAATCATACCGACACACGGCTTTTACCCCATGACCAGTCGCAGTGGAAAGTTCTCAACTTTGCAACTTTGGATGCTTCTATCCAACCCCATCCGTCCGATATGATCGTCCCCTATCCTCATAATACCACCATGACCACCCACATTCTCAATGCCACCCACCGCACCATTGCCGACAACGAGACCTTGTATCTGCAAACCACCAATCCCTGCATCGCTCCTGATCCAGCTAGCGTACTGTCGGTATCGTGGTTCGAACGCGCCACCGTCACGGTCAAGTCGAAACAGACGATTGAAAAATGCCTGTTCGAACCTCTAAAAGGATCCGATGGCAAGGTCAAGTTGGGAAATTGTCAAGGCAAAGGCGGCATTTGGTTCGTCGGATCCTATTGCTGGAGAGGCATCCCTTTATTGGAAGGCTGTGTTGCCAGTGCAGAAACAGTGGTAGCCAATGGTATCGCTGTCCAGGAAAATTGTACCATCAAAGTACCATGGTAAATCCCTCTACGTTAAATTCCGCTATTACCCATTGCACGTACTGTAGCACAGGGTATCTATAGGAAAATATTTGTTTGCCACCGTCCAATATATCAAGTCATACTTTTACGTATTTTCACGAGCCATAAATTCCTATTGGATAACAGGGACAGCCTGCTTAATGGCTTGAAACCTGCATACCGCTTTTTATCTTAGTCATTCGACAGAACTGTATTCATTCCAGCAGACGGCTATCCGAAAAAGAAAATTAAGCACTGCGTCGCAATATCAATAACGTCACCAGTTGTAGTTGGCCTAACGGAAAAACTCGCCAAAATGGTTTCGTGTCATCCATGTTTGCTCAAAAAAAAAAAGGGGAAACAAATATCTTTTTTTTTTCTCTCTGAGCTGATTGATGAGCGTGTCGGCAGTCCGCAGGCGTGTAAAATTTCACCCTCAAAAGAGTTCAATGTGTCTTCGATGACAGATGGATAAAGTTCCAACCGGGAAATTTCAAGTCACTCTTTCCCTCCCCCGCCCCACGTTTGACGATGCCACGTTTATTGGGACTCAAGCTGGGCGCCGTCTTGCTTTTACTGGCAGGCGTGTTTGCTTCCACAGGCGATCGGTTGCCGGAATATCGACAATGTGTGCAAACATGTATTTCACAAAACGAACATCAAGTCCTGGATCTTCCCTTACGATTACTGAAATGGAGCATTCCCGATGATTGTCGGTATCAGTGTATGCAAACCCTGACCACGCGCGCAAAATTGCAAGGTGACCGTATTCATCAGTTCCACGGAAAATGGCCATTTTTACGTTTGTATGGCATGCAAGAACCGGCGTCGGTGCTATTCTCCATTCTGAATGGTCTATTTCACGCGCGTTATTACAGCAAGATGAAGCATCAATTGTCACCGCAATTCGATCTCAAACGTCATTACTTGGGCATGTCCGTCATTGCCATGAACGCTTGGATTTGGAGTACGGTCTTCCATATGCGAGACAACAGCATTACCGAGAAATTGGATTATTTTAGTGCCGGTCTCTACATCATGTACGGACTTTACCTGGGAGTCCTTCGTATATTTTATGTCCGCGGATGGCCCGCTTTGGCATGGTCGATACTTTGTGCAGCGCTGTTCATGGTCCACGTCGCTTACTTGACGTTGAAACCACGATTTGATTACGGCTACAACATGACAGCTTGCATCACTATTGGTAGCTTACAAACCAGTCTCTGGCTCGGGTGGTCCATCCTTCAGTACACATCCTGGGGCCAAGTATGGCGTCGACCGTTTGCTTGGCTCGCCGGCTTATCGGTGGTCCTTGTGAGCTGTGCCATGGCTCTGGAAGTATTTGATTTCCCGCCTTGGTACGATGTCGTTGATGCTCATGCCCTGTGGCATGCCGCCACCATCCCCTTGATACCCCTCTTTTACCAATTTTTGCTGCGGGATGCCCAAGCCGAAATGAATCATCCTCACCCTTCTAACCTCTCCAAAAAGTATACTTAGAATCTGCAAAAAGCGAATCCCTTTTTGGTAACCTTCCACAAAAAAGAATATTAGTCTCTCACTTTTTTTACAAAACAAGCAATTAGTCTCAATCCGAGATCCAGGGTGATGATGTTTCTGTTTGTTGCACATAAATTTCCATGTGTTACCTGCCTGAGGTGACCATCATCGCGATCGTCCACTCAGATAAAACCCGGGTCCAGATTTTTCTGCACTTTGGGGACAATTCCTTAACACCGTACTGTACCTTTAGTCTCTTCACTCGGCTCTGCCGCATATCGTTTTTTAGGTTCGAGACGATCCTGGAACCCATGGACCGGACCTGCGACAAATCGAACAGTAAGCAGTACTGAAAACGAGTCCAATCGCCGGTCGAATTGGGAGGCCTTAAAAAAAGTTGAGGTTGAAATGATTCAGAAAGTAAATCATCAATTTTGAGCTGGCTTTAATGCGCCTATGACGCAAATGTGAGACAATTCTGCTTAAAAGGGTTAATACCAAGGTCCGAAGCTCTTGCGAGAATGGCCCTTTTTTATCGCAAACAATGAGCGGCGATCTTTGGGAGCAAGTAAAAATAAAGTTTCAGGCGATTGCCTTTTCAGGCGACGCAGGTACTTTCTTTTTAGTATGACTTTTTTTTCATGACTACTTTGATTTAGTTTTTTTGGGTGAATTTCCTTGGTTGCTGCAACAGAAAAAAAAAAACCTTCTTTTTTGTTGCATTTCATTTTTCGAGTATGACAGACCCGGCGTCGCTTGAGTACCGCAGTGAGTGCACAATTACCCTTTTCTGCCTCTGTATATAATCGGGTATTAACCATCTTTGTGTTACGAACTTGGCTCTTTCTCAATTTTTTTCCATCTATTTTTTTCATTTCAAACAATAACCTTTTTTCTTCCCATCTTGTTTTTCTCTTCTTTCAGGTCGTAGATACTCCAGCGACGGTTTCGCAGGTGACACTGACAGCATAATGAATATGGGGTCCGAAAACCATCGTAAACAAGAACACGACCCTCCACCATCGCATCCGGCCGTCGTCGATGACGAGCCTTCAACACCCACTACGTACTCCACACCTCAAAGTACACCTCAACCGGAAAACAATACACAGATCATCACGACTCCACCCACGCCAGTCACCCCTTCACCTTCCCCTTCGGCGCCTGAACGAGGTGCAACCCAATCAGCCCATACAACTGATGATGAACACGATCCCACCCTGTCGGATCACCATATTCCCACTCACATCCCTCTTGAAGCGCTTGCTGGACCTGCGCTTGTCACTGCTCCCGATCTGGATGGCCGTACCTTGGCGGAAGAGTTTGATTGGGGCGGTCGTGATGACGACGAAGACGACGAAATTGATCAGGGCGCCAAAGAAGGGCGCAAGAAACGACGGGCGCTTGCTCAAAATAATCTCATCATTTGCATTTCCCGCAATTCATCTTTCATTGCTTGGGGTTGTATTGTGTTGTTTGCTCTTATTTTGATCGCGGTCGATGTCGCTATTTTTGTTGTTTACAACAAGCGCGATGTGGTCACAACGGTGTCCTACAATCTGGAATTATGGTTCACTTTTCTTGCTTTCATGTGGTGTATCGGATTTCTGTGTCAAGTCGCAGTGGAACTGGTTCCCTGGGCTATCAAGACCACCGTCGGTTACGTTCGTCCTCACTCTAGTGAAGTCTTGAGAATGCGTTTATCGGTAAGTATTCGATTTGTGTAACCGTAGAAACCAACAAAAAGAAAAATTCTTCCTAATGGCGCGATTTGGATATTTCTGTAAATTGTGTCCACCACTACAGTATTACATGGCGTTGCGGCCATACATCAAGCTTGTGGTGATAGCTGCGTGGGCTTGGGGTAGTTGGGCGTTTATCAGAGACCACGTTGATCAACCAACCGTGACTGACCATTCGAAAAACCCGCCCGTCCAAGTGAGAGCACCCCAGCCGTCGTATGTGGGAACTTTTTTCAGCATCTGGGAAGCCTGCTTTTTCGCCGCTCTGCTTTTGTTCATTGAAAAATTTATTCTGCAACTCATCGGTAAGTCCGCACTGTCCCTTGCTTTTTTTCTTTTTTCCCGCATCGGCTCATGCAACTCGTTTCTTTCGTACAGTCACCTCTTTCCACAAGTAAGTTACTTACTGGCAATGACGTAAAGAGGCATCCTATTTGGGGTGATGCCCCTGCATAACAGAAGACTGAATCTTGGTTTTTGGGATTTCCTTATTTAGAAAAGCATACGGGGACCGAATTAAAAGCAACGATAAAGCGTTGAAAACATTAGATAAGCTCAAACGAGTCAAGCGCAAGAACCCGCAAGAGTTTTTGTTGAAACGCATCCGACGCAAGCAAAAGAATCCTACGGGATCTGCGGCCACGAGCCGGTCGCCTTCAGTGGATGAAATGCATCCGGATCTCGGTCACCAGCGTCTTGGCAACAATCGATCGATAATGAATACACTCCGCCCTGACGACCAATCAAAAGCGAATGTGCGTTTTCCCAGTCAGAATATGGACACGTTGATTGCCATTCCCCCTTTGGAAGATCGTATTCGATCGGACGATGAAAAATATGACTTGGAGAAAACCGACACCGATCCTCATTCTCAATCCGTCAAAGAGAAAGAGAAAGAGCCGGCCAAGAAAAAGGTGCCGTTTTTCAAACGTTGGCGCGCCGAGCATCACAACAATGCGCAGGCCAATCCCCCCGAGGAATCGAAAACGCGAACGGCCGTGGATGCTTACGGCAACCGGACGACGTCGCCTCCTTTGATTTCACGCAACAGCACGGCTTTTTCGCGGTCCAGTTCGGATGAGAAATCATTTTTGGGTGCGACCAAGGATTTTGGATTGGGCGCTGGCGCTATTCCGGGCAAGTTGCTCAAAGGCGGCTATAGAAAGATTTTGAATGCCGGGTCGACTCACGCGTCCATGCCGCAATCGTCATCGGCTCAAGCGAAAGCGTTGGCCAAACGGATCTATCACAACCTGGTGGGACCCGAACCTACGCGAAATTCCATTGTTGAGTCCGATTTATACCCTTTCTTCCGAACTCATGAAGAAGCCGCTGACGCTTTTGCCTTGTTCGACTTGGACGGCAACGGCGACATCAGCAAACGCGAACTCCGTTCAGGCTGTATCCGCATCTACCGTGAACGCAAGAACCTCGCCACATCCATGCGCGATTTATCACAAGCCACGGGCAAATTGGACATCATTCTTATTGTGATCTTTGTTGTCATTTGGGTAAGCAAACTGATTTCAGCTATCGTTGCACGAGATACTGATGCGGGAAAACTAGGTGATTATTGTCCTGGCTGCCTTTGGTGTAAACGTGGGAACGGAACTGATGCCCTTGTGGAGTGCTTTCATTGCGGCCAGTTTCATTTTCGGCAACAGTGCCAAGGATGCATTTGAAGCCATTATTTTCGTCTTTGTCACGGTAAGTTGGTGCTGTGGTACAACAAGAAAGGAAGAACAAACAGACTGACGATTTATTTGTGTTTCCAATATTTGTTCATTTTAAACTAAAAAAAAATTAGCATCCCTTTGATGCTGGCGATCGTGTCATGATTGGTCTTGAGAACTGGGTGGTCGACAACGTCGGTCTGCTGGTCACCACTTTTATGTAAGTTAATGAGAAAAAGGTGTTAATTTATTTGTAAATAACCTTGGATTTCCTTGCACAGTAAATGGGATGGTTCGGTGGTTTATGCCAAGAACTCGGTGTTGGCGACACAGTACATTATTAACTGTCGCCGCACAGGACGTACCGGTGAATGTGTCGGTAAGTTCACAGCCGATCCGCTTTTGATTAGAGAATACGCTGAATCGTTATGTCTGAATTAACTGACCTTGGTTTTCTTGGTCTAGATTTGCATGTTCATTTTTCGACACCGAGTGAGAAGATTCGACAGCTTATTAGCCACATGACGGAATGGTCCAATCAGTTTCCCAAACTTTACACTACCAATGCCACTTCAGCCAACGTTATCTCGTTTGAAAATCAAAATCGAATTACCCTCACCTTTTATTTCGAACATACACAAAACTGGCAAGATCCTGGCGGTCGATGGCTTCGTCACAATAACTTTATGTGGGAATTGAAGGAAGAAAGCGAACGACTTGGTATCAACTACTCGTTGCCTCCCCAACCGCTTACAGGAAAACCCAATGATGCTCCTCCGGAACTGTATAACATGGGCAACCGGTCAGATTATGGTCTAAATGGAATGCAACGACGTCGACCCTACGAGTATGAAGATGGCGTTCGAGGTCCCGATGTGCACGGTGATGCTGGTGGCCATGCCGCCGGTAGCAGTAATGATGTGGATCCCGGTGCTGCGGCAACCCTCATGTTTGCTGCGTCATCGCTGTCATAAAACAAGTGGATGCAGTGAAAATGAAAGAAAAAAAATACTGATCAAAGGAAGAAAAAAAAAGAAATTCGTTTGGTTATAAATAAAAAAAAAAAGAATAATGTAATCTACCCAGATGAATAAGAAAGAAAAAAGATAAAAATAATAAAACAAGAAAACAAGAAAACAAGAAAAAACATACCAAAATACACCAACTCATTGGGCGTTATTGCAATCTCGACCACCTAGACGTTTCATGTCTCCCCACCCATCTTATCCTAGCTTGGCCTTTTTTCCCTGTACTTTAGCTTTTTTTCTTCTTGATTTTTGCTTTGTTTCTTTTTCCTCTTCCACTACCTTTACTTTTTCAGCAACCTTTTTTTTTCTCTTCAGAATCTTTATTGTTCCCTCTTCTTACGTTGAATTTGACGTTTTGGAGAATGAATAGTTCGACCCATTTAATGCGTAACGAAACCGGAGACGAAAACAGTAACGATCCGTACCCTCCGAACGAAACCAAACAGCTGTCGCCTGGACAAAGCGAATGTTGTTATGTGCGCCGTCATGGCAATGGTAGTGATGTCAATGCGACGGTGGATCATTTGGCAGTCGCCATGTCGTCTTCGACATTCTCTCCTTCGAATGCTGGCTACGGCAGCAGTAACAATCCTCCTCACCCGGGCTATTACGAGAACAAATTAACCACTCTGGCCCCTTCGGCCTTCTTTTCGCCACTTCACCCGTATCCGAACGAGATCCATCCAGGAGATACCCTGGTTTGGTTGCAAGTCGATAATGCCAACCGTCGTCGAAACTCCAACACATCGTCTCCCTCCGCTTCCGGGGCTTCGCTTCCTACTGGTGCTGCGGTTGAAACGTTGATAAATCACCATGCAATCGCTTGTCCACCGCTTCCCTCCACACCCTCCTCTTCAATCAATCATAAGCAGAAACGACGACTTTCCGACGAATCTGCTTCTGTTAAAACATGTACTGACTCGCACACCACTGAGGATTCAACAGACGACCAATGGAGGTAAAAAAAAAATTCGATTCATCCTTTGCCGAAACGGGGAATTGACGGTATTTGAAAATAAAATAAAAATAACGATAGGGCACAAATTCTAATGGAGAAAAGAAGGCATCGTCGTGAAAGCCATAATGCAGGTAGGAGTTGTCGTTCTCGAATCACCAGACAGACAATAATGCTTAAATAATCTGGCTCACTGACTATGGCTTTTTCTTAACCTAGTGGAACGAAGGCGTCGAAATACGATCAATGAGAATATTCAACATCTGGGTCGGCTGTTACCGGAGCATATGTTGGCGCATGGCAAAATTAGCAAAGGGACGATTCTAAAAGGCTCAGTTGCTTACATTCATTCCTTGCACAATCAACTTTCGGATTGTAAAGCACGCTTGGCTAGCTTGCAGCAAGAAATTGGCTACCTCAATCTCCCTATCACCTCCACTGCCTTAGGGCATACCTTACCGCCCTCCCCAACCGTGTAATACTTGTACTAATCTGCTCCAAACCAATGTATGCTTCTTGTTTTCTTCATTCAGCATGAGACAATGACATAACTGTTTATCTACTCCTTTTTATGCCCTTTTTTTTTATTTCTTCCCTTTCCTCTTTTTTCATTGTTCTCTATCTACTCTATTGTGTTCCGGTATTTTTTTATCCCTAGTTTCTTCTTCCTCCCCCATTGAAAACTATTTTTTTCGAGCTACTTTCTTTGTGTATCTGCTTGACATGTTTCGATTATAAATGAATTGAATTGTAGTGATCGCGTTGATGTCATTGATCCTCTTGCTTTTATTCACTATCATGGATCCAATGTTTCATGTAAAGGCAGTCTACATCTGCATGAAAAAAAAAAAAAAGAATCGGCTCTTTCAACATAAAAGGAATTGTAAGCAAACATAGAAAAGCACAGAAAACGTCGATGCTGCCCGGATGTATTCATTATTCAATGCGAACCAACGAAATTCATGGAAGTTTCCCAAACATAAAATCAGGGATTAACATGAGTCATTACTTTCCAACTTGATGTCGAATGCTAAGCTTCTAGCATACTTTCATGACTGATGATATACGGTCATAAATTTGATTCGCAAGCCAATATTAACAAGCTACTGGCACCTTTGTTATTAAAGCATATCCTGCCTTTGATTTTTGGCAAAATGTGGCATCTTGTCATTTGACAGGTCCGAGTGAACAAAAAGTGCAACTTCTATTTACCCGAGGCTCGTGATCTGTGCCAGCAGGTATTCATAATGAACTGATTGTGCGCCGTTTTTGTCAACTACCAAGGACCCTTTTCGTTTTACCCGGAAATTGAATTGTACTGTAATAGATTAATTTCCACAATACAACCACTGTTTCCTCTTTGTTCAGTATATCCCAAATGGGCTTCTATAATTCAACACAAAGCGGTCCCTTTGGAAAAGCTGATTGCTATGTTATTGGTTCAAAACTTCCGTTCAATATGCCGAACCGCATCTGCAACTTGATTCTGACTTGCACTGCATCCAAAAGCATCTTTCGTAGTCAAACCCTTCGATTTTTTGATAATATACTAGGTTCTGTCGCCCTCATGTAGCAATGGACTCCACTGTGTGAAAGCAATGTTCACCCATTATATCGAAAGTCCAGACGAAAAGACCGGATTAGATTTGACTTCTAGGGAAGGATACGGTGTTATTGGGATTTATTCTATAATGAACCCCTTGTTTTATGAATTACTATGTTGCGGTTCCTCGTGTTGCCGAGACAGCCTGCGGTGCATTTTGAAACTTTCATGCAATTGGATCTGGCCCCACTGGATCTCGCTCAATCTCCATATTGAAATCGCCGCCAAAAAAAGCTATTCTCACGATACAAGGAAAAACGAGTTTACGGAACATAAAGAGATGGGAATAATCTTATTCGATTGTATATATTAGATGAAGTGTATCACAATTCAATAGGTTTAAATAACTATCTACAGAGAAGATAGGAATCTACATATGATATACAATACAGTAGACAGGGCACTGTAACAAAAATGTGAGTTTTTAAGCCTTGGGACGAGGCGGCAAGTGAGGCGTTTCCTCGTCGTCTTGGTCTTGACTTTTCTTGTCTTGTAGACCGGCTATGGATGCACCATCTGACTCGGATAAGCCGGTGTTTTCAAAAACGACTTGTCTTGGATAACCGGCGGTAGCTGTACCTTGGCTATTGATCGTGTTCTTGGCTTGTCCGAATTTCTGCACACCATTCACCACCACGCGTCTCGAAATCCCACGAGCGTCAAAGTAAACCAACATATCGACCATGTTGCTTGTGGAACCCAGCGTTTTCTCAGCAAGATACCGTGCATCATCGCCATACTTCTTTTGAATGATCTGGATCAGACTGTCTCGCGATGACCCCAACACGGCACCTGCGGCGGTCACTACGCCTCCAACCACCTTGGCGGCTGACTGAAGGGCCGAAGACCCGAAATTACGAGATGCATCCATCACTGGGTCTTGCTGTTGCTCGCTTCGTGGTTCGTCTTCCCGCAAGGCACGGATACCCGAGATAGTCGCTGAGATAGCCTTGTCAAGGAAATTGCTCGTCGCTGGGAACAAATAACAAAATAAGATGGTAAGCCTTTGGGTTTTGAAATGATTACAGTTCGGTGGAAAAGAGGCCTACCTTGACGCATGCTACTTGTCACATTATGAACCCTGTCAAGCATCTCTCGTTCCTCCACTGAAAGTCGCATAGGAGAGGAGGAAGGTTGAATTTGAGCTTCCAAATTACGTGTCCCACTATCGAGCCGCTGCATGAGTACATAGTCCAATTATGCTCGTGTGTTACACGAACCCGCCCTCGGGCCGGGTCGTTGTTACTTCACTCTTTTTTTTTCTTTTTGAACTTTACTTTTGGATATTGCGTGCCAAAACTTGCGCTGAAAAGACTAGGGAATTAGCAATGCGGTCGGATCCTTGTACCAAGGCGTTGCTGGATTGATTCAGTAACTGGACTTTGCGAATGCTCGAAGGATCACTCGCGGTGCGGTCATCCCCATTGACCATGACAGGCAACTTTTGTCCAACCTTGTCGTCCTCCGTACGCATAAAGTCATCTTCATCCAAATCGGAGGTGTCCTTGCTGATGTGCTCCGTGACTTCGCCATCTAGATGCACATCGTGAGCCACCACTTGAGTGACTTGACACGAAGCAGGATCGATGAAAGCTAAAGTATTGTGCATATGGTGCCGATTCTCGTACTTTATAAAATACGTCAGGATATCCTGAAAAGTATCCATATTAGACCGCTCAGTTTCCCTAGAAAACAAATTCAAAGCATAAATTCGGTCAGATGAGCGCCATTGCAATGGTAGACGACGATTCACCGAAACTTACGTGAAGTCCAGCTTCCACAGCCCACCGTCCGATCTTGGAAATGCAATAACATGATTTTGTTCCAGCCACCCTTTCGAGGTTGAAGTAAGAACAATTGATATCAACTCTTCAGTATCGTCGGCCATGTAAAAGCGTACAATGATCGCTTGTTGCGGTAAAAAAGCTTGAGAGGTGATAGATACGGTGATGTGCCCGCTGCCCAGTGTCTCGACGTCTTCGTTGATGCACGATAAAAGCGACACATCGTCTGCCGTACACAGTTGCGATAATGTATTTGTAGGAACCTCCTCAGCAGAAGGTGCATGTGAAATGACTGTCATGGTTTTTGGCAAAGACACAACAAGGCAGAAAAAAAAAGAAACAAAGCAGTAATTCGAAAATGCTGTAACAGGCAACCCTTACTTGAGCGGGGATCGAATATGACGATATTCACTGCATTACGCAATTTATAGGGTTCCTTGACGAGTCGCCGGGTCAGTGACCCAAACCGCCTCGAACTGATAAAAACCGGGTCGGGTCGATTATTTTTGAACTGGTAGACAGTTCGGGTCAAGCTCTGACCGAACCGACGACCCGATGATGACCCCACCTCTGATTCGCGAAATGCGTCTTGAAGTATGAGAAACGACATGCGAAACTGGAACGTGTAATAAGAAATGAAATAAAGCGAAGCAAAATACGTTCAGGTGAAGTGACAGCCATCATAAGAAGAAGCAAATATTTTCGCGTTATTTGAGCACCATTTTTAATGACGATCACATTTGGAGTTGGCAATGGAAGGAATTGGAGTAAGATACCCGGGACTTCGGGACAGTTGCAGCACTATGAAAGACGTGCTAAAAAAAGGATGCAGTGTGATGGCGGCCTTCAGATCTGTCCATTATGCACCGAATGCAACATGGATCTAACGGAGCTCATGAGTTGCACGATCCTGTGCGAAAGGCTTTGCGTATATTTTTTAGAGGATGTTGCCATTAAATATATTTTTATATCGTCAGCCGATATGTTTCTTATTTTCGGATTTATTGAAAAAATGGTCCAAACTGACCACTCATGTTGAAATGATGAATGCAATGGGATGAATTGCAATGCAATCACCAGGATTTCGCGATAATGTAGAGAAGGGAATTTACTTTTCTTATAAAAAGAAGTTCATATGGAAAATATAGTGAAAGCCTTGGAAACTTATGCTGGTATTGCAAGAAGGCTGAGTACACCTGGGACCACAGGTGCCAAGAATACCGGGATGCCAAGAGTAAGAAGTTCGTAGCCAACAGGGCAGCCAAGGCTTTGAGTCTGGTTGACCCAGACACCGAGATGCTTCAAGTCAACCTGGAAAAACTAGATCTTCAGACACAAGGTAAACACCTACAGTGGGGGAAAAAATGGTCCAAACCTATGCCCTTTTTTTACGTTTTTATTCATACGGCGGCTTTCACTATATGTACCGTCCGAATTTTTTTTTATATGAAAGGTACATTCTCTTCTCTACATTGTCGCGAAATTCCAGTGATTGCATTGCAATTCATCCCATTGCATTCACCATTTCAAGATGAGCGGTCAGTTTGGACCATTTTTTCCAATAAAACCAAAAATAAGAAAAATCGCGTTTTTCTTCCTTGCCGATATAATAAACACTGGCGAAATAAAAATATCTTTATGGCAATATCCTCTAAAAAATATACACGAAGCATTCCGCGTGAAATCGTGAAATTCATTAGCTCCATTAGCTCCATGTTGCATCCGACGCATAATGGGCGGGTCTGGCGACCGCCATCACGTTGCATCATTTTTTTTGAACACATTTTTCATAGCACCGCGACTTTTTCTTATTCATGGAAAAAGAGAATTTTTTTCTCTATACTGTACCGAAATCCTGAGCATTTTACTCCAATTCACCCTAATGCTATTGCCAATTCCGCATGTGATCTACATTAAGAATGGTGCTCAAATGACCTGAAAAAAAGCAGCCGAAAAAGCCTGAGAAAAAATGTTGCGGTGATCAAAAACCGTGCTGGCGTGCATTTTACAGCCTTTCAGATCATATTCAAGCTGACGAAAGCACTGGAAGAATAAAATCTGCTTACACCATGTGGTCAGATTAACCTCATGCTTGTTATAAGTGCATCCTCTGCATTTCACTCATTATAGCAGATCATTTACCGGGAAATAGCCTCAAGGCAGCAGTAACGACTTTCTTAAGGCTCTCACTATGCAAAAAAAGACACCCAGAGGTTGTTAAGCTTATCAGGAGTACGTTGATCTGCTATAATGAGTGAAATGCAGAGGATGCACTTATAACAAGCATGAGGTGAATCTGACCACATGGTGTAAGCAGATTTTATTCTTCCAGTATTTTCATCAGCTTGAATATGATCCGAAAGGCTGTAAAATGCATGCCAGCACGGTTTTTGATCACTGCAACATTTTTTCTCAGGCTTTTTCGGCTGCTTTTTTTCAGGTCATTTGAGCACCATTCTTAATGTAGATCACATGCGGAATTGGCAATAGCATTATGGTGAATTGGAGTAAAATGCTCAGGATTTTGGTACAGTATAGAGAAAAAAATTCTCTTTTTCCATGAATAAGAAAAAGTCGTGGTGCTATGAAAAATGTGTTCAAAAAAAATGATGCAACGTGATGGCGGTCTCCAGACCTGCCCATTATGCGTCGGATGCAACATGGAGCTAATGAATTTCACGATTTCACGCGGAATGCTTCATGTATATTTTTTAAAGGATATTGCTATAAAGATATTTTTATTTCGCCAGTGTTTATTATATCGGCAAGGAAGAAAAACGCGATTTTTCTTATTTTTAGTTTTATTGGAAAAAATGATCCAAACCGACCCTCATCTTGAAATGGTGAATACAATGGAATGAATTGCAATGCAATCACTGGGATTTCGTGACAATGTAGAGAAGAGAATGTACCTTTCATATAAAAAAAAATTCGGACGGTACATATAGTGAAAGCCGCCGTATGAATAAAAACGTAAAAAAAGGGCATAGGTTTGGACCATTTTTTCCCCCACTGTATGAACCCTATCTATACAACATTATCTCCCTCCAGGTTGAAGCAGGCTCTGTTACGTGGTCATGTCGGTAAAAACCTCTAAAAAACCCTGTGGGAAAAAATACATGAGGAAAAGACTAGCTTATAAATTACAGAGACTTACTGTATGTGCTTAGTACAGTATGGAATTATCTTTTGAGAACCACCACTTATTGTCTATTACACTTACTATGTCTGAGGTTGATGTTTTGTATTTTACCCTTGCGTTTCACAGACTTATCTTCAGGCAGATTCATTTCTATCTCGTTTGATCCACGTCTGTTCAATATTCCATAATGAATGCAGGGTCGGTAAATTTATCAGCAGTGAGCCATTGAGGAACGACCTCTACCTCCAAAACATATTATGAATGTTGATGACCTCACAACATCATGATACCCCACCCATAGACAAGTAGCAACACTTCATTTATGCTACCCACATCAGTGCCTTCTCTGACCTTTTTGGTTATTTAGCGATACAAACACATCTTTAATAATACAATGCTTTATTTTTAATTTAGATCTTATATTTATTAAAAAAATAAAAAAGATTGTATTTAATGATACTGTAATACAGTATATACAGTGACTCAGGAAATTGATTCAATGTTTGCTGATTTTTTACTTTATTGCAATTATCTTCACAACCACCATATCTATCCACCCCAAATAAAAAATATATTGTAGCTATAACTTCTAGCTTTAAAATAAAAAAAAGATGAAGATTCTAGCATAAGTAGATGATGAGTAATCAAGGTTTCCACACGACTGCTCATTGGATTAATTTTCTGAGTTGCACTTACTTACTGTATTAAATCAATAATCAATCTGTCTACCTTTGGTCTTAATGACCGCCTCCAAACGTTGAGGCATGATGGTAATATACTTCTGGTATGCCTCCTTTGTCACCTTGTTATACCAGATATAATGGACCCACCTCCATAGCTCTTCCATTGATATGAGTGCTTCATCATAATCAGCAAGCTGACACTTCAGATAATACCACATATTTTCAATAGAATTCAGATCAGGAGAGTAAGGGGGCCATTGGAGTACTTCAATATCCTTGGATTCAAACCATACTTTTGCTTTTTTGAATGTATGCTTAGGGTCATTGTCTTGTTGAAAAATGATATCGTCAATCTGCATATCATATTCTCAAAGGCTACCAAGCATATCATCCTCCAAAATATTATAGTATAAAGCTACGTCCAATTCTCCTTCAATTTTAGTAATCAAACCAGAGCCATTGGCAGTAATGTAACTCCAAAGAAAAAGACTGCTGCCTCCATGCTTGGTAACATGATTGACATTGTGATCTCTAAGTGGTTGCCCCTTCTGTGTCCATATCCACTGCTTACCATCTGATCCCAAGTGATTGATTTTTGTTTCATCAGAAAATACCACTCTGTTCCAGTCTTCAACAATCCAAGAATGGTATCTTTTTGTAAAGGCAAGGTGAGCTTTCTTCCTGAAGAGAATCAAGGGCAAGGTGTCAGGTTTATGTATAGATATATAATTATTGGCCTGTAAAAAGTTCTGAATTGTCTGCGGAGCAATAGGTGTGGTAAAGAAGAGTTGTTTGCTGGTGTCTACATCTGTTTTATACTCCCCAGTATTGAAGTGTCGAAGGATCAGGTGTCACAATTGTATGATAATCAGTGATAATGTTCAGCGAAATTAGTGGCAGGAATGCCTAATTGCTTGCAAATTCATTCAACTGTGGAAATATTGATACTGAAATGTGAAGCAATAACTCTGTAAGAAACGTTCTTACGAAGTTGTTGTTCAATGTTATTGATTTTATCTTGTGAAATTGGATGCATCTACAGATGATCATGTTAATTAGGTCAATTAGGAATCGGATGAAGAAATTGAGTGAAATGGATGCGGATTTCATCTTAAATCGGAATAAATAACTGAAAGAAGTGAGAAGGAGAAAAAATTTGGCGATTCTATTTACTTATTGTAACTGTCTGCAAGAAAAGTAAGCAACTCAGGAAATTGATCTAATAAGTACTTGTGCGGAAAAAACGATTACTCATCATCTATTTATGCTAAAGACTTCATCTTTTTTTTTGTTTTAAAGCTATAAATTAGGACTACAACATATTTTTTTAATGGAAATGATACATATGATAGTTGTGGAGATAATTGCAATAAAGTAAAAAACTAACAAATATTGGATTAATTTTCTAAGTCACTGTAATTATTATATATTAAATAAATTAGTTTATTAATATAATCAGGTCTTTTTAAATAGAAGAATGAATATTAAAAATACATTTCATATTTATAAGCTT